AACAAGACCAAGCAAAGCGGAAACTATAGAATCGAGGATCAAGCCACAAGTCTTGAGAGTGCTCAAAATCAAGAAGAAAATCTGCCACTGACTGGTGGCAAATACGCAAATAACCTGCATCACTGATGGATAAAATTGGGCTGAGTTGACCCAGCATTGAATTTAGTAACACATCTTTTACTTCCAGAAGCTCAGTTAGATCTTTGATACGAAGTGGATTCTTTGCAATGATTATTGAACCCAGAACCAACTTTAAACTGGTTTTCTCTGGTTTTCTGAGACCTTGCAAAGCAACAGAAATAATCTGATGATACAGTATGTCAACAACATCAATTCCTTCTCCAGAATGAGCAGAAATGATATTTAGCCTCTCTTCAGGATCACCTCCATCAAACAAGATAAAATCCATTGCAGATTTAGCCCAGACAAATAGTCCAGCAGCTTTTCTCACAAGAAATGATATTTTGTCTGGACCAGGCCACTTTGGAGGCAACCAATTTGCCTCAGAAAACCTTGCAACAAAGTATTTTTCAAGGTCATCATAAGTCTGAGCAGAGACCTCATGTCCAGTATTCAGATTATGATAAACACTGACAGATCTTAGTCTACTCTGAATCTTAAGATAATTGCGGCTTGTAATGAGTAGTTTCAAAGATTTAGAGAGGTGAGACCAGGATACCAATGATGGCAACAGTTTCTCATATGAATCACATTCATCAAGAGCATCAACAACAACAAGAAGAGGCTCCACAGCAGCCCCAAAAACTTGTTGTAAAGGCTTGACAATAAGATGCTCAAATTGCATAGAAATATCAAGGCCTCTGATGTCAGCTTTCTGAGTCTCCAATGCCTGAGTGATAGACTTTCCGAAATCACTAGATCCTGAAGAAAAGTCCAAAGCAATACGTCTCCATAAGTTGTCTGGATCCCGAAGCTCAGCCTCATCACGACGGAAAAAGAATTTCCCAGAGAGACAGTCAAAATCAGCAACCACAGTTGAAGCAATTGTTGTCTTCCCAGAGCCAGGACTGCCAGAAAGCCAGAAAATATTAGGCTCATTCAGATCATTAACCCATGTGTTAATAAGAGTGAGCACATCCTTCCGGGTCCCAGGCATACACCTGTCTCTTACTTTGCCATGTGATGGAGCCTTGAGCTCTTGCAGCCATTTTTGTACCTAGATTGTTTATAAATGAATAAGCTAGTGATAGATTTTACCCAATTTATAACTTACATTTGACTGGTCAGCTATATCTGCTACCTTGGCCTCAAGTTCTCTGTTGTCATTGATATTGATCTATAGGATATCAATGGTGTCAAGAAAGGGGCATTTTAAACAAGCTGATTACTGACAATATTTGCAGAATTAAAGACACCATCATTGATTTGAAAATCATGTGCATGAGCAAACATATTTCCCTGAGATACTTCAGAAGGAAAAAAAGTTATCAAGAAATAATATCAGAAAGCAAGTTTGTACATACCATTTTCTGTAGTTGTGGGCCTTTCACCAACATTTCTTTTCTCAATAGACATATTGGGCTCAGTCATTATGGGACCTTCCTGAACATCCCTCTTGACATCTGTACAAATTAAAAAATAACACCAAGGTTGAATACTTATAACTTGACTCACTTGGTTCTTCCTCAACACTGAGACAGACATGAAAGTTGGGCTGAATAATCAATGAATGAGATGATAAAGAAAGGTGAATATGTATGATATACACTCACAAGTGCATTTAGTTTGACCTGGAAATCTGCAATATATTCTTGATCCTTTCTGAAATTGGCCAATCTCTTGTATGGATTCTGTTGTTGGATCTTGATCACTTCTTCTTTCAAATGGTCCAAAATGCTAGTGCATGACTTCAATCAAGGAGGTATCCACAATAAAACCAGTAAAACCACACACCCTCTCAAATTATCGAAATTGGGTTGCAACGTCAACAGGATTTGACTCTCATTGTATTGACAGGTAGCCTGAACAATTCCCGCCATCTTCTCAATGAAACTCGCAGAAAAAGTGGCCCAATCCTTCTTATTGATCTTGAATTTCTGACGTTGTCGCATAGATAGACGGATGGAATGGTTGAAGTAGGGACACACACCTTAACGATCCCAATGATGGCTAATGCCTCAACGACCGCTGCTTTCAGAGGTGGAAAGGTGTCGCCAGACACAGCGACAACCTCGAGCGCAGAAAGACCGCCGCCGCTGATCACTTGCAGAACGTCGTTTCCCGCGGGATTTAACCCAGTAGTATTCATATTGTTGGTGTCGTTGGTGTCGTTGGTACCGATAGTCGCGTTTGCGTTCATGATGATGGTGGTTGATAACAAGAATGTTAGAGCGTCAATCAAACGTCAATGACAATTGCCTTGAGGGTGTTGTAGTCATGTGACCACGACTCGACAAAATATTATAATGTCTTTTGTACCAAGAACTGCGACAGGAGATTATGGGTCAAGCTAGGTCCCCTTCCTACGATCTCTTAACTGCTCTTGCTACTGAAGGCCAGTTGCTCCCCCAAAGCACGGATCTGCACAATGCAATCCTCCCACTAACGCTACCGGTTGCTGTTATCCAAACTCACACCTCAACTCGAACTAACGCTCCCTTTTCGTTGTCCCACTGTCCCCACCCACAGGAACTCGAGACTACCGAACTCGGTAGCCGACCACGGCCTTCCACAGCACTAGATGTATGGCCTATGGCAAAGCCAAACCACGGTGCAGCATATGTATTTTCCCCCCTCATCCGTTCGGTCGTTACTGAGAAGCCACAGTGCCCCACGACGCAAACGAAACCCAGCTGCGGCCGTCTCGTCTGATTCAAATCCACGCAGCAATCCCTGCCCCACGACGACGTCGAACAACCACCGGAAGTTGACCTCCTTGATCGTATGTCACCCGTACGATCGTCCTCCGTCCCCTCTCTCGGATGCGAAGTGTCCGGCAATTAGCCGTTCCACCGCCCACCCAAGCATTGTCAATCCGGGGCGTTACACGTCACCTCGCAGGCCATCTGTTAATAAGAAGCACACTGCAGGTTTGAGGAATTGGAGCTCTAGATCGGACTGGTGAGAAAAAAGGAGCGGAGTAGATGAGATCTCACCTACCAAATCAAATCGATTGGCCTACCACAGCCGGGCCCCATATAGTGCTAACGAGCTGAATGGAAGACTGAGATGCCCAGTCCCCGAACAACCCGCGATATTCGAGATCATGGCCCCGCCGAACAGGTACTATCGATCCAACTTGAATTCTGGAAACCTGAGGGCACATCAGCAACGGCTGAGATTTTAACATTGAACGAACCTACATCCTCCAAGTATCCGACGATCCCTCGTGTCCACGGTCATCTGCCACATCAGTCCACAGGGTTGTGAGGCTTGTCAGGTGATGATCTTTGAATGCTGTCTCGTTTTCTTGAACTCCCTAGTGGGCAGCGTGAAAAGTTGACCCTCGCCATCCAAAATGGTTTTAACTATGAGGAGGGTTAGATGAAAGCGACGAAGAGTCTAGATGATCCTTACCTGCGTTGAAGTAGCGGTAAAGAACCTCTCAGGAGAAATGGAAATGGGCGCCCGTGAGCGGATTGCGATACACAGACCTTGGTGCTAGATAATGTGTGTATGAGTGGAAGACGGATCTGAAAGACAGAATATTCCTCACCGTTGTTCATCGGTCCATCAAGATCATCTACACATCTGAGATTAGTGCACTCGATAGCGTCCTGTAAGCTTCATTGGTGGAAATCGCGGCCATGGCCTTCATTGAAAAACGATGAGGATGCGGCAAAAGGAAAGGAAGAGTGTTGGGAGGCGTGTGGCAGACGAACCGACATCGGAAACCCCAGGATCGCGGCCTGTTAGAGGCAGTCGAAAGTCTACGCGAAAATATTGTCCAGAAACAGATGAGGACGTCGAAATAGTCACGTCAGATTGATTCTGGAGTGACGAAATGAGATGAGAATGTTAGCAGATGAGAAATGAGGACGTACTCATTAGGTGGCATGGTGTCGAGGGGGTGGCTCGACAACGCCTTATCCTGAAACGGCGCGATGGGCCAGACGATGGGCCCTCACGCGCACGTAGAGCAGAGAAGGTGAGCATCCTGGCCAAATCCTGGCTAGGAGAGTGATGGTTGTGACGAACGAAGTCGTGATTGATCTTCTCAGGTTGTCAACCAGCACACGTGACGCTCTCCCAACGCCACGATTTGGCCACGATGGAAGAAGTTGAACCCTTCCCTAAAGGCGTGGTAGTCTCATCAAGCGCCGAGCAGACTGCTAGTATTTGATCACGAATTTTTCTGCACACGCAAGAGCTGCTGTATAGATGGACTTATTATTAGTTTGAGCGGCTCTTCCTGGGCTCCTTCAAGCTATAACACCCGCATTTCATCCGAATACTTACCAGAAGTGGCTTAGCAGACTGATAGATAGATAGCAGAGTTCGAGAAGAGTTGTGTGCTACATAAATACCCCACAACCTTCCCTAATAGACTCTACTTCTACCCATCTGAATCACTAGCACCCATGGCCGAACCAGAACCTGCACAACCACCACCAGAACAAATAGGCGTCGTCTACACTCCCTTCACCGATCCTCAACTTAATCCGCCGGACGCAAGGGATATCATCAGGAAAAACGTGCCTCAGGGGATTTACTACGACGTATATTCATTCGACTTCGTCCGCATCCAATGGGTCGACCTTATTAACAACATCAGATATCGCGTCGTCACTAAAGCGTATTTTGCGAAGCTCCTCCATTCATCGGCTCGCCCAGGTGTGTCGATCACCAAATGCGCGTTAGGGCTCGTCTTTTTGTCGGTGGCTGATGGATTTAGGTAAGTGTTTCCTGTCTCCTCTTTCTATCTTGCAACTCGTAGTCTCACGTCCTTGCCGTTGGAAAGCCCTATAGGAGAATACCTCTACGTCCTTGACCTCTCCTCATTCCGAGTGAGCGGGTACCAGCCTCGCCATGCAGTGGTTATGGGTTGGTTTCAGGAGAAAACGCCGCTTCCAGGACGGAACGGACGACTAACATACGAGGTCGATCTTTGTCCACGTACGATCCTTCGTCGAGTCGTCGAGTGCGTACATTCCTCTTCCTCTTCCTCACCACCCTTTCTTCTTCCGCTAACATCCCCTCTAGAAAAGCCAAAAACGAACTCAACCTCTCCTTCCTCATCGGCGTCGAATCCGAATTCATCCTCCTAAAACAAACGCACCCCATTGAAGCAGTGAACAATCACGGATGGTCCAACTCCGCCGCTTTGCCCTCCGGCTCCGTCGAAGCCAAGGTCTTGGAGGAAATAGCTGATGCCTTGAGCGCCGCTGAGATAGAGCTGCAGATGTATCATGCAGAAGCTGCCCCGGGACAATATGAAGTTGTTACGGGGCCGTTGGGTCCACTTCAGGCAGCGGACGCACTTGTGCATACGAGGGAGACGATTTACAATGTTGCTAGTAAACATGGGTTGAGGGCTACATTCGCTCCGAGAGTTTATATGGATAGCTGTACGTTTCTCTCCTCTCTACCATCCCATTATCTAACTAACTAAACCACGAACACAGGCGGAAGCGCAGCACACACACACATATCCATTCACTCCTCCTCCTCACCATCCCCTTCGACCTCCTCACCAAACTTGACATCCCTCGAAGCTTCCTTCCTAGCTGGGCTCCTCGCCCACCTCCCCTCCTTAACAATCCTCACACTCCCCCTCAGCGCCTCCTACAAACGCATGGTCGACGGTGCCTGGTCAGGGGGCACCTACGTCTGCTGGGGGACCGATAATCGCGAAGCTCCAATAAGGCTATGTAACGCCACCTCTCCCGCTTCCCGGAACTTTGAAGTGAAATGCGTAGATGGGACATCGAATCCGTATTTGGCGTTTGCGGGGCTTATAGCGGCTGGTGTGGAGGGTGGTGTGAAGGTCAATAGGGCACTTGAGGTAAGGGATTGTAGTGCCCATGGAGAAGTTGGGAAGACGGCGGCGGAGATGGGGGAGGAGGAGAGGGTAAGGTTTGGGATTACGGAGAGGTTGCCGTTGAATTGGGAGGAGGCACGGGAGGCGTTTAGGGGTGATGCGGTGCTTGGGGAGGCGTTCGGGGAGGCGTTTGTGAGGGGGTATCTGAATGTTAATAAGGTGCGGTTTCTGATTTTTGTGCTGGAGAGGACTAACTGGTTGTGGGGTGTTTTGTTTCACAGACGTTGAAGGAGAAGATGAGTGTGAAGGAGAGGTTGACTGATGGGCTTGATGAAGAGGCGACTTTGAAGCTTCTTGTTGAGAATTACTGATATCACGAAGTTTATGGAGAGCGCCACGGATTCCGTTATGCTGCCAGCTTTTTTCCAAACCTTGTACATATAACATGCAATTGTACAGTACTTGAACGTACATAGAAATACACGTAAAATAAGAGTACCAATAACGAGTAGAACAATATTAGTCTACATTGTGTCCGGAATCGTTGCAAACGATGTCCTCGAAAAAGTCTGTCTGGGGAATTCAACATTGGACGTCAAACTGAATCGAAGTGGCAGCGAATCAATCCCACCACAAGCTGTTCACCCCGAAATCTTGCCAAATATATCCAAAGCTCTCCTCAGCCCACCATGCATCCGCTTTTTCACCATCCTTCGTGAATTCCCCGTCGTCGTCGCTGCCCCAGCAGTCGCAGAGGTCGTCGTCGAAGCAGCCAACGGATTCCCACAAACTTCCGCATACACACAGTCCCTCCACGCCGCATACATCAACACCACAAAATTCTGCCCCTCCGGACTACCAGAAGTATACGGGGTCGTGTCGTGCCAGTTCAGCGGGTTCACTGCTGGGGTTGCTATTCCTGTTTTTGTGATGTGTGGGTTGCCGGAGGCGTCGTAGGCGCCTAGGACGGCGCGGATGTTGTCGGCCCAGGATATGTAGCTGGAAACGGAGGAGGAAGAGGTGGAGTTGGAGGAGTTGGAGGAGGAAGAAAAAACGTCGGGACGGAGAACAGCCATTCGATACGCTACGCTCGCCAACAGCGTACTCCCCGAAATCTCAGGGAACCCCTGTCCATCACCACTCGTATCGTTCAAATAATTCCTCAACAACCCAAAACTCATCGGCGAGCTCATCGCGCCGTCTAATATCTCCTTGATGTACCCTGTCAACCCCTCCACCGCATCCGCCTGCGCAGTCCCATTGAGTTGTTGCGCGAAAGGGGATTTGAGAAACGTAGCGAGGACGCGTGTCATCCCAGCTGCGGCCCACCCGTTCCCCGTCGACCAGAGTCCGGTGTCTTGGTTTTGGGGACCCATGATGTGCATCCACGCGCCGCCGCTCGAAGGTTGAAGGACTTGTCGGTAGAGTTGGCATTGGGTGTATGATTGGAGGAGGATTGACGCGTTTTGGGTGTCTGCGCCGTAGTAGGCCAGGAATGGTGGGACCATGTACACGAAGTCTGCCCTGGGCGCATGGGGTCAGTACTTGATGATGGAAAAAATGGGAAGAGAGGGGTACCAAAGCTCAGCAACGTCCGGACGATGCGATATCGCCCCATTCGACCATCGTGGGATCTGCGTGAGCAGCGCATCCACCGTCTCCTGCGCAGCAGCCGTATACTCCCCATCCAACTTACCCAACATCACCGCACTCACTCCCAAACTCGACGGATCACCCGCCGCACCGCTGCCCGCACTCAACGCCGCATACCCCGTCCCAAAATCCACTTTCGACGATGCATAGTTCAGAGCGATCACCCTCGCTGCTGGTAGCGCTGGTATCGGGAACGGGGTCGTGCCAAAGACGGAGAATTGGGGCGTGAAGAGTTCGAGTTGGGCTTCAGCGGATGTGCCGTATTCCCAGGAGTAGCGGGGGAGGGATTGGGCGAGGGAGAGGACGTTTTTGATGGAGAAGCCTGGGTTGTAGGGGAGTGGGTTGTAGGTTGTTAGCGTTGCGGAGAGGAGGGCGATCGTGTTGAGGATGGTGTTGTTCCCCGCCATTGCAAGGCGGTGGTGGCGAGGAGATCAACGTCGAGGGCGTCAAAATAACGAAGATGGCAATCACTGTCAACAACACGTTCCTGTCAACCACTACTTATAGTAGTTTGTGCCTGGTAAGGATTTCAATTTGGAGACCTCGTGTATCACACTACTCACGGTGGAATCAACGAATCATAGCGAATCATTGCCTCAGTTGAAGAAATCGCGCAGTCCCCAGCGCCGGCGGCCGATGGAACTTTGAAAGAGTGATGGACGACAACGATCAAGAATTTCGGGTGACGGGCAGAAGCAAACTGAAGGTTGGACGAAAGCTTTCAAACACCAGTGTGTCAGGGGCATCTGAGTGATATCCGCTCATGATCACCACCAACTTCGACATCTTTAGGACAGTATCATCAGTGCTTCATATTCGTATTTTCTCTTCTCGAGACTTCATCCTTAGCCCACAATGCACAGACTTCCTCCGAGGCGCAACATCGCTCGGTATCCTAAACTTCCGAACGCTCGTTTTTCAACTGAAAAAAGCAATAGACTGAGACAGACAGTAAGGGCCCTAGACTTTGAAGCTACCAACTTGGTGAACTACCTCACGAAGACGTGGCGAGCTTCCGTTAATATCAAAATAAGAATTCTCAGTGGTGCGTCGTTTTTAGTATAATCTATTATATAAAATACAACGTCCTCTTAGATTGCCTTTCTGTTTCTAAGAGAAATCCTCGATACAGTGATGGACCGTCTCCTCAATGGCGACAAGGCTAGCAAGCCCAAAGAAAACCTCGCTCTCTTTCGTTTCTCCAACTTTCCCCAAGCCAACCCCGCTTATTTCCCACCATATCCCACGGAAAGTATAGGGTGTTTCGCCTTGGGCGCCGCCTGATATTAACATGGAGTCGGCCTTCAAGGGGGGGTTCAAGTCCCACCAAGCCGTTGCGACGTCACGGTCCCCCCTCGGCCATCTGTACACCCTTATGATTCTCACGGGCCTCGTCCTCTGTTCTTCCTGTGCACATTATTGAGGATGTCTTAACCACTGCCTTGACGTTACTTCAACAAAATTTATCAACACATTTTCTTGCCTACTTCCAGGAAAACACATTACTTCCGAACGTTCAACGATGGTTAGGAATCCATGTACTCCCCCCTGCTCACTCCATTGAAATCAACAACCAGAGGAAACGCGCTGACCACTGCACTTCTTATTATCATATCCAAGTCACCATTCTCCGGCGAAGTAGAAGTAAGGCGCAAGTTTCGTAAGGTCCAGGTGCCGGGAAACGAAAGGATGCCCATCTCTTCACTGAACTGGAAATGTAACTTGAGCAACGAACAGGTAGAAAATAACTGCACAGACGAACCTGGGAAGAATCGCTAGGATAAAATACATCAAAACCATTCTCGTGATGTGTGACCTTACGGAACTTGATACTGAGATCCTCGAGATGTGCAAGGTTGTGAGATAAAAGATGAAGAAGCTGGGGGCTCAAAAAGAGAGCATGGACGGCAAGCTTTCGAAAATTTGACTTGTTCACAAAGCCTTGTGTGAGCTCTTTCAAGTCGCCCAATGTAAAGAAACCAATCCCCAAATCTAGATAGGTCAGGGTATTGGTGTACTGGTGCACACACTCCACGAACCCACCCACGACGTCGTCAAAATACTTGTATATTTGTATTGTCAGATTTTTCAAGCGGGGAAGGGGTACCTGAAAACAAGGTTGTGTGGACCAAAGGGGGCTGGGGTAAAAGATGCCGCGGAATGAATTAAATTCGATGTTCAGCTTCTGGAGTTGTTGTGAGTTTATCTGCAAGAATTTATGCAGACCGCTCAAGTTTTGGACTTCAAGGTCATAATACGTGTCGACGAACGCGAAGCTCTTTAGCAGCGGCATTGGCGCAAGTTCCCGGAGGACCAATCCGTCTAGATTAAATGGTTCCAAAGCGCTCATTGCGAAAAGGGTGAGTTTCTCGCAATGGTTGTTGATGAACTCAAGCAATGAGAAGTCAATGATGCGCGTGCGGTTCGTGGTTTGGTATGCGACGAATATATCGATGATGAGCTCTTCCAGGTTGTCAAGTTTGATGGTACCGATGGTATTAGGGATCACCTCCAAGGAAACGGATAAGTGAAGGTGTCGTAAATTCGATCCAAATGAACTCCATGCAGCCAAAATATACGGTAGGATGAACTGTCGGAAATTAAGAGTATAGCCAATGGGTTCGCATAGCAGATGGTATCTTGTCACTGAGGACAAATTGGCCAGAATCGCTAGAAGTCTTTCGGACGCGTAAGTTTGAGCCGTTCCACTTGAGCTTTTTGAGCCCCATAAAGTGTATGTGAGCCTTTCCCACCATTTTCTGCGCCGAGGAGCGACGGGAAATTCTCCTGACGGAAAAGGGCAGATATGGAGCTCTCGGACGTATTGCGCAGCAAATTTGCCGCTACAAAGAGAGATGTAAGCATTATAATAAGTCAGTGAGTCCTTTCATAGAACGACGAACGTGAGACGTTGGAAAGAACGGATCGTTTGGGCGGCTTCGACGTTTTTGATGTAAACACATCGATAGCGTTCCTCCATAGCAATTAAAAACAGTGGGCGGCTGACGGCATAAAGATTTTTGACTTCTTGCGAGGTCAGAAAGCTGGCAATATTTTGCCAGACCTCATAGGGTACATCCGCAACGATACTTTGCATTGACAACGTTCGGGCAGTCGATGGTGAACGGAGGCAGCTGAGGATAAGTTGTGACTGTGACCTGGACCAGGCTGTGTTGTCAACATGGACATCGGTCAGCTTATGTAACCCCGCCGAGTTCCTCACCCATTCCTCACCCCAATTCCTCACTCTCTATTCACGTTCATAGATCAAGTCATTCGAGTTCACTCTAGTCCTATCTGCAACATTCTAAGAGAGGCAACCTGCCAGCAAAACCATCTTACCGGTCAGGCTCAGTCACCAGGGCAAATTACAAATCACGACACTGGCTCAGAATCTCTCACCTTGCTCTCACCTTCCATTAAAGTAGCTATGAGCTCCTCTTCATCCGATTTGAAGCCCAAAGATGCAAAACCTTCACAAGGTATTCAACATTCTGGCGAAGGCGTGTCGGATGTTCGAAGAGGTGGACTTCCAGCGCCGGTGAGTGCTCACAACTAAATTATTACAACCCGGCCTCCCTAATCAAGGTATCGGTTGAACAGCCATCCCCAATGATTGGACTTCGTTACTGTGCGCAGTTGTCTCCTAATTCTACTAGCTTTTATTAATGGTATCTAGGAGTGCAGTATACTACCGTCTCTATACAACTCTGGGAGCAATGAAATCGAACAACCCAATCTACGTCAACGATCCGTTCATCAGCCGTACTCTTGCAAGACTGATTACACCACCTCACACCGCTTTACTCGTGAAGAATCATCTTCTCAAAATCGAAGGCTTCGCCAGGGAGACCCCCTGCACTCTTTTTGAATCTCTCAGCAACCAGACCGCGATTGAGGATAACTCCACTCGCCTCTCAATCAAGGGCCAATCCGGCCCTGGCTTGACTGAAGACGACCCCGTAGCTCTTGTCGTCGAGGTGCAGGACATTGAAAATCGATCGGCGAGCGAAGGGCAGCCAAATGCCCTACCCGATGCTAACCTACATTATCGTGTGTACTCGTGACTTGCTAGGTTGTGATAAGCGTTACTAATTTCAATTTCGTTCAGTTTACTACCGAATTTATGACCCAGACGGCGCGCTGGCTTCCAGAACGTCTTTCGATCGCACTGATGATTTTCTAGGTCGAGTTGATACGCGGTCTATCGCACCACCTCACTCTGTAGCGTCGGTTGAGGCTTATATTAGGAGTGCTGAGGGAATAGCGAACACAACCATTCAGATGTTTGAAAACACGAGCGGCGGCTCTCCCCTGAATGACAGAATCTTACCGCTCTTTTCTCAGGACTTTCCAGGCTCTATGAAAGATGAGCCCATAGCCGTTGTTTGTGAGGATGTGCTACTAGTAGTCGATCCGAGGTTGTTTAAGCCGATCAAAGTCAAGACAACGTTCCGTAAGTGCCAACAATAAATTTTGCGGTTTCCAAGACATTCCAACACTTGCGGTCGCCAGGTCCCAGTGACGCCAATCTCCCACTCTGGCTTTCCATTACAGCAGGAGATACGCTGCACACAGATCTTGCGAAGATGAACATGGCTTATATTGGCGGTATACGTAATCAGCCCTTCGCGATTCCGTCTATCAGCATTATGCTAATATACCTTTTGTTTTTGAAGAGTCTTGCAGCGGCTACATGGCAATGAACTCCGCTGGACAGGAGGGATGTAAGCTTTTTTCTCTCTCTTGTTAAAACAGGGCGTAACAACCAACATCCAATAGTTGTCATGGACTCATTCCTCGAATCAGCGGAAAGTTTGTGAAGATCTCAGGGCGTGGAATGCGATCAGGATGTATAACTTTAGACTAAGAAATAATTGTTTTCAGAAGCAAGATCGAGGTCAGAACCGCAAGTATCTCAAGGACGTCGTCGGGGACAGGATTGAACAATAGTGTGCTGAATCTCGAGGATCAGCAAATTCTGGTTCAGTCTAACTCCACCTCCTCTTGTTGAAATCAGCTTGATATACAATTCTGTTGCGTTTTCGTTATGACCAGGAAAGGGTAGGAGGAGTATCTGTCAAGAGTTGCGACGTAGTGTACGAAGCTACGCGATTACTTCTCTATGAAGGAGCTATCTCCCATCCTAATCGTGGAAAGCTCGTGAGAGTCGAAACTTGACGTCTCCGTTTTTCTTGCTCGTGTCACAGGACCAGCAAACGTCCCAGACGAAGACTGGGTAAATTGAAGGGTCCGTTTGCTGACGTTCGGGTTCATTGTCTCCTTGGACCATGCGCGCCCGCGAAGGACCCGGATAAAAATGAGCTGGGGAGCCAGAGCCTAGAGAAGGGGTACGTGAGGATCATTCCGTCGGGATAACATATAAGAAATATACCTGAACTTGGGGAAGAAGTGGGAAGAACAAAGTCATCGTGGTGTTGCCTTGGGCGTACAGGGCGATCAATACCATGCTAACCAAGGCCGTCGGGAGGGCTGATTCGACTAGCATGGCAGCGACGCTGGTGTACTCACGCCCATGTGTATCACCCATGATTGAACGAATCTTCCTCCTCGCTAAAAGAAGACGGGTTATGATGATGGTGGTGACAAGCATGTTGAGTGTCATGGTCAAAGAGAAGTAAGGCAGCCCAAACTTGACAGTGTTTGCGGCCCAAAGGCTAGAAGCGGGTTGGGAGGCAGCAATAGTCTGGAGACATGACAATACTTTTCAGGATGTAAGCGGCGAAGTATTCAGCGTTATGATACAAGCTTACCTGTCGAGGCGATGAGCATCAAGATGGGAAGGATGATTACATAGTAATTGCTATTCCAGACTACCCAACACCGGTATATCTGAAGAACACTGTTTAGTATCTCTTCTTGAGTAAGACCGTTGATACGCACCAGTAACGAATCAACCAAAAAAGTAATTACGAGGCCGGCAGAGTTCCCGATCGTGTCAACAGGTAAGGCTTCTTGCTCGTTAATAAATGCCAGAGGGCCTGACGGGCTGTCGTCAACATTAACGCTCTTTGACCCCTTGACCGGAGACCTACCGCCTTTATAATTTCGCTCATCGATCCATGCTAGTTCATTGAAGTTGATGTTGCACGCGATAGTAACCGCTGCGAGAATAAATAGCACGGTAATGTAGATCTGCTGCATCCAAGGAAATTTCTTCGATCGATACAAGTGGTAAGTGCATGTGGCATAGACGGCCATATGTACGCCTGATCATCTTGTTAAATCTTATTGCAAAATCGGAGAAGAAAACATACCGAAAGCCATCGAACCAATGTTGACACCAGCATTTATGACTTGTTCTAGCCACAAGGATGCTTGAGGCTCGTCAGTAGCCCACGACGCTGGTAAAGAAGGCATGCTCTCCGCGGTCACTGGTGGGGGTGAAAGTCAAGTGAGCATGAAGTTCGAGAAGGCCTAGTTATAGATCGAAGTACTTAGTTGCCATATAGTCGTAGCGGTTCAAATGCGAACGTGTGCTTTCCTAAGTGGGAGTCTTCCAGCCTCAGTCCTGGATGACTCTCTGATGATCATCACAGATGTGTCTGCGTGGTCGGAACGCCACGACGCTGGCGTTTCTCATTTAATGTAACAGCGAAAGAGAACAAGGATTAAGTCTCCCATGCAAATGACCGGGGTATCGTTGTTGAACCATTTTGAAGCTTCAGCTAGAAGTTGGGTTGAAGTTATCCCCCGGCGCCCGCCGGCGACCGGCCTGGTCACGTTTAAATTGTTCGCTCCAAAAATAATCTCTCTGGAGCGTTAAGCCACTCTGTGCTCACTAGCCACACGCCAAATGCCCACTCAAAGAAGTAGTGAGGATGCCATAAGACTTGATGAACGGGAAAGCACCGCCGGTCCGTGTTGGAAATAGAGGATGAACTACTATTATGTACAAGTTTCTACAGTCCTTATATACCTAATTACTATGTATCTACCATGTTCTAGTGTTATCTACATACTCGGGATTACTAAGTTAATAGTCCGATATTACTAATTAATCAAGTGCGAGAATGTACTGGTAAATGCCGGAGTGTACTATTCCAACACTCCTCCTCAATTCGGCATTTCCGAAGAGCTTTCAAAATAAATCCTAAAAATAGTTCCTTCATGTCTGTGCTGGTCACGTAGCATCAGCACCAGAATATCTGTAGATCATTCCTTAGATCTGCAGTCTTTTGCCTGATAGGCATCCCAAAATATATTTTCCCCATTTCGGCAGGAGCTCCTCCTCAACTGCTTACTTGCTGATAGCCTGGGAAATTCCATAATTCCTTCAATAACATGCATCACCCAGCGATGTAATTGCAAATTGTGATGTTTCCTTTGTCGGTGAATCATTGATATCTTTTCCATCAGCTGTTTTGACGGCTTTGCAATGTCGTGAGATATGTCCGGTGCGTCCACAGCGATAGCATGTGCGATTATCAATTAATCCTTCACGGCGATCCTGATTTGGGCCTCTGCGCCCACCTGGTCCCTTTCCATCATTATTGATGCCATTACTATATAGGGCAATCTCTGTGCCTGGCCCTCCTTTTCGTCGTTCCTCCTCGAGCAATGCACTTTTAACATCAGTGGTTTTTAATTCTTCCTTTGATGCGATAAGTGATGTAGCTATGCTTGAGTATTCATTGTCCAAATTGAATATGAGGACATCTGTAATGTCTTGATCTGAGAGTGATACTCCAATGGCATTGAGTTTTCTCGCAAGATCTGTGATGCCGTTGACATAAGCGGAAATTGATGCGCTCGTGTCATGCTCAAATCCATAGAATTGCCGTTTAAGGTTAATGCGCATGGATCGACTGTTCTTCTCGTAAATATCCTTCAGCGCTTTCCACGCTTCTGGTCCATTTTTAGCGTCGCGTATGTATGTGTATTGGCTCGGCTCGACGGTAAGCGCAATCAACGTGAATCCTTCCTCGGCTTTAGTCTCCCATGATTTCTCTGCCTCCTTTGTGGATGGTTTTTCTTCTTCCCCTGAAGTCACCTTCCAACATCCCTTCTGCCGAGTCACTATACTGACTGCAAACTTCCAGTCATGATAATTCTCGCTATTAAGCTTTGTGATGGTTGCAATGATTCGATCACTTGACATGATGCTATAAATAGCTACGAGATAAGATGGGGCAGCAAGTGCGCAAGTGCAGTAAAAGCGGTGAGTCTCTTTACGGGGGGCCGGGGCCCATAACCTGTTGGAAATAGAGGATGAACTACTATTATGTACAAGTTTCTACAGTCCTTATATACCTAATTACTATGTATCTACCATGTTCTAGTGTTATCTACATACTCGGGATTACTAAGTTAATAGTCCGATATTACTAATTAATCAAGTGCGAGAATGTACTGGTAAATGCCGGAGTGTACTATTCCAACAGTCCGCTCTGTCAACAGACGATTCGAAACACCGGTTATTCGAGCACCATGTGCTACCACTGGCATGGCTTGATTTCGAAAGATAATTTAGAAACGACCGAATCATTATTATGCGATGTGCTTCTCCTCTTTCATGGGGACGATGATCAGCGGAAACTCAAAGCTTATCTGTGAACTCCCAACAGGCACTAGATGCAAACATCTTGTCCCATTGATTCCCTCCCCACGTAGCAGTCGTGGAGAACTTCTCGTGAGTTCAGAAAATATCTTGGGAGTAAGCTCAATGATTTGCAGGCTCTCTACGTCAACTAGTAGTCGATCTACAAGTGTTGCACGAAATGCATAATCGAACCATGCAAGGTAAGGTAAACTGCGACTCTCCTGGCGGACTTCAGATCTTTGAGATCATGTCAGGTTTGAAATGCAACTTCATATGCCTTCTCATGTTCACATTTCTTCCGACAACTATCTTTTTGGCTGCTTTCTATACCTCTGGGCCCATCCGACATGGAGGAACGCGCGAGTATTGTGGGTCATATCCTAAAATCCGTTGCACTCGTGCTTCATCTTCACTTGCAGTGTATGAAGGCTCCGATTATCCCCAGAGATGGGATATTCTGCCCTTAGAAAACGTTCAAATAACAATCGAGAATTCCGTACATTTTGCGCTCGACTCTCCCTTGGGTGGTTTGGAATGGAACAGCACTCTTCCATCAGGAGGCGGCTTTCTGTACTTGGGAGAGAATCTGGAGCAATTCAGCATCTCCACATTTCACCAGCTACGATGCCTTGACATTGTACGCCAGGGCTTGGTGAAGTTCCGGAATGAAGGGCGACGGCGCACACCCAACGCTCTTGTTCATCACTGTATGAACTACCTTCGTCAGATGATACTATGTCGGTCTGATTTGCGCTTGGAGCACGGGCGCCATCTTTTGAGGGGGATAGCGGTGTCGGACGTGACGCACAGTACGTGCAAGGACTGGGGTCCTGTGTTCAAGGCTGCGGAGGACAATTATCGCAATTATGTCCAGAAGTTATCTGGGAAGAAACATGTATGAAAGGCTTAGCTTGGATGTAACTCTCTTTAGGCCTCAGAACACTGGAATTTTTTTGCGAAGCATGCAGCAGTATAAAAACCTCATCTGCCAGTGTATCGTATCATACTACATTAGATACCAATTTGACGCCAGCTCCTGAATATTTTGAAATTTGCGTGCCTCTCAAATTGGCGGAGCTACCTCGAAAAAAATCGAATCTTCTGAGCCGTACGTGTCTCTCCCATCCATTTATAGCTCTAGAATTTTCGAACTTACTATGCAGACTGATCAATGCTTCTGATATCGCAAAGAGTGCATGTGCAACTCCTTGATGTAATCAGTTCTTTCGACACGCCTACCGCCCATCTGACTCCGCTTATCCTCGCGCGTGGTAGCTAACCTTCCAAGCGTGGAGTGGTCAAGTGCCTGCCATCCGAATCAAGAAGTAAGCCAAATCTCTGGGTCGCCAGCTGTTCATTTGCGTGATGGTCAAACTAGCACTCCGAACTTCAACGTCGACAACAAAACCAGTTTTTCCTTTATGTTCTCGAAATCCGCCATCTCATTTATTTTATGCGTTTGGGGCATCCTCAACTTGATATATATCTCCATCCGTACGCAGATACGTCCACCCGTTGGCGAAGCCTATAGTAAGTAGTCGATGATCATGACGCTTCCCCGTCGTTGGAGCCAACTTGAAGTATTAACGTAAAATACCAGCATATCATGGACACGATTATCCAGAGACACTTCCACTCCCTTTCGACCACCTCGAGAATGTGTTGCTCACAGTCGAGGAGAGCGACCGATTCACACTCACGGGGCATCCATCTGATCCACAGTGGGCTCGACTGGCTCCAGCCTCTGGAGGATACGTCAGGCTAGGTCCAGAAAACCGCCTCTTCTTGGTCTCCATGTTCCATCAACTCCATTGTCTTCGCTTCTTCAATTGGGCCTTTGACCCAGAGTTTGAAGGACTCTACAAAATTTTCGCCACTGAGGATCACAGCGCGCATTGCCTCAATTATCTTCGGCAGATGATCCTTTGTTCTCCGGATTTAACCCTGGAAAAGGGAGACTTCCGGACGCGCAATTTTGCACTGGAGAGGAGCGGTTCCACGCATACATGCCGTGACTGGAGCACAGTGTATAATGTGATGGAGGACAATTGGGATCGGTGGAAAAACAGGACATCATGATCCAACCTCTAGAAACGGGCCTGAAGGTTCACTTGTGTTGTGAAATTTGAGGGTGTTGAATACCACGGAGTATTTAATAAATCTTGAACAATTTACCTCTTTATACTACCGGCGACGGTGGAATATATTGGAACGAGTAGCAGTACTATGAACAGGAAAATATTCTTTTTTTCAGCCACACGTCAGAATTTGCTCCTCATGGTTAAGGACAAAATGACCCACCGCAATAGCATGAGTCCCACCGGGACTAGGAAACACCGCCTCCCAGGAAAGTTAATAGCATTGAAACGCGTAGACGTGAAAACCTCCCACGTAAGTACATGCCTTCCCCAATATCAATGATCTGATTGAGCAAACTTAGCTCTTAGTTGTGGGAAGTGTGCAAGAGACTCACAACGAAAGGAAATAGTTAATCAGGCAGTTGTAAAGTTCTTGCATCACGATTCGAAAGACAACAGCATCAGAGAAAAGATCACGATCCAGGCCACACAACGAACACTATTTCAGAAGCATCAGCAATTTTTGTTTCGTTAGTATCCTGATAGACACGACCGCAGCTAGGAAGTCCAAGGAGCTCCCAAACGCCATCACATAGGAGTCGACGCTACTAGTGTGCAACGCGATGTCAAAGTTGTGGGTCATCGGCGAAAGATAACAGGAGCCGCACCTCATTGATGAAAGCAAGTATTCCTGGGTATCGACGTTGAATGTCTCCGGAGTTCACGTTTAAACGGACATCCATCTCATCTTCGGGTACGGGTAAATCTGAGGTTGGTGGCGATAACGGATGGTAGACATAGTCATCGTCATCTGCCATCTTTCTGCGCGGAGACAAGATGTTTTTGGAAAGGGGGGAAGACATTGTGCGACTAGGTGAAGGATAGGCGTTGGACGGAAGCGACCGCGATCTAAGATTTTGGGATTGTCGAGTAGGAGTACTAGAGCCATTGCATTCCTGAGTAGTTTCGGTACGTCCTGCGTTCGGAAGGGGAGGTGGAAGATAAGTAATTGTTCTCAGCTTTGACGTAGCACTCATTCCGATCGGTTTGATGGAAGACTTGTCCGTCATCAATAGACCGGGCAAGCGAAAGGGTTTAGTTGTTTTGAAGGTCGTAGTAAGACTGGGTAAAAAGTTAGTGAGCTCAGTAAGACGCGCTGCTTGGTAACCTCGAACCTGGGTTTGAATTTCTTCCGAGATGGAAGAGTACTCCATTCCTCGTCACGATCCGCAACCGAGACGTCATATGCATTTTTTCTAGGACGTTTTTTGGTATCCACGATCGGTATCTTGCGCGTGCGCGCAGAATAATGAGGAGAACCCTGTTCCACGAGACCCGTGTAGGGTTGCTTTACGTTTTTCGAGGTACGATCAAACATCCTTTGAGCTGTAGGGAATTTCGTAGTGGAGATATCGTCCTCCTCTTTGGGGTGTAGCGACGATGAAGCCAGATTGCTAGGAGACAGACGAGGAAGGGTTTCTACGGGATCTCGGTATGAATAATCTCCAGTGGGTTCATCTTTGACTGGGCGGTACGCTCCGATGAACGGCCTTGGTGTACCCCTGACTAATAAAACGATGTTAGTAAGTTCCTATCGTCGAGTTTAAAGAGAAAATACCCCAACTGAAATGAGACCCTTCCGCCTCTTCGGAAAATGGCGACGGTGAAAGCGGTTCCGTTCTCATATCAACGGAGACCAGGTGGCCAGAGGTTTCTGCAAAATCTCGGGAGCCGTAGTGTTCCATGGGTTCGTCCTTGACCGGAAAGTGCGCGATAGACGACGGCCTCAATCCATCTCTGGCTAATGGAACTGATTTAATCAGATTCCGTAAGCAAGTTCAAAGAGATAGATGTTGAACCAACAGGAATTAGACACAACACCTTGGGAGTTTCTTGTTCGACCATCCCTCCTCTCTAGCAAAATAAGATTAGACGACGATGCGTGGTATTGATCTGGAATGTCGCCAGAATGGAAGGCAGGCTCAGAGATATCATAGCGTTCGTCGTATAGCAACGGTGAATAAGACTCCGCAGCAGGCCCGTTTGACGGAGAGGTTAGTACAGCTGATTTCGATGAGACGAGGGCACCATAGATTTGGGAAAGGTCTTGGTCTTGAGAAGCGTTATCCGTCAAATAAGCAAATTCTGGGTGCCGAGAAAGAGAATTAAGCAGTGAAGCCTCTTGGGGTTGGGATATATGCGCGCCTGAAGGCCGTATATGCGTTTTCTTCAAGGAGACGGGCGAGGAATGGTTCGATGACTTCCTAAGAAAATCCTCTGAAGCTAGCGAAGCAGAGGGATTAGGCCTAGGCGCGACGAGTCTCCGTGGGCCGTGTGTTCTCGTAGCTTGATGAAATGCGGCAGAGTTAAGCGCCAACGGTCGCCCAGATGTCCCAAGTTTCTCGCCACTATGTGTTGCCAGAGTCATGAAAGGGGGTTTCTCCAGTTGGTTGCTGACATGGACGGGTTTTGGTGCTGGTGGTCGAGGTGCCAATTTCAAAGCAGGCGCCCTTCCCCTTGTGGCCGAGTGAGCCTTTTGCGCTTGCCTCTTGAATCCGTCGACTATAGTCAACGGAGCCTTCAACTTCGGGGCATCTCTAGAGAACGCAGGTTCAGGGCGCGTCGCTGGTTTGTCGACCTTATTAACAGTACGAGCGGCAGCGTTGATCTTGGCTATGCTGAAGGGATTCGGCTTGTAGACGGCGGTTTCTTGTCGTTCAGATATGTCAAGGTCCTTGACTAACTTCGCTTCTTCAGACTCCTTCTCCGCAGGAACAGCAGGGCCTTCTTCTGAATCGGAGTCAGTGTCATACACGTTGAAGTGTGATGTCCTGAAGTTGAATGCCCAATCGGCCGAGTAATTTTCCTTAGCCGACGTTGTAGACTTCATGACGGAAACAGACGCCAGGTTGGGAGTAAAAAACAGCAGTTGGACTCGGAAGAGCAGGCAGCTTCAAAGAGAGTAGCAAACGGAATCCCACATGTCTGGAGAAAAGATCGAGAAAAGAGTAGAGTGCCAAGAAGGCAACGCCATTGGCCGCTGGCGCATAACATTGTTAAACATTAGTGCGATCCACAAGACACCGCTTGCTTCGGTTGGACATCGCAGCGGCTACTGTACTTAAATGTGACAAAAGCAGAGTAAAATAACAAGCCAGGTTGTGGGCCCCATGAACAAAAAATGCCACCATCAGCTGCGTTTGCCTGACTCAAAGCCTGACTGGGAGTAAGTAGAACATGATCCGAGTCGTCGCGACTTTTGGCGTAGGCGAATAAACATGGAAGGGAAAGAATAAATAACCAACAGCGCGAACAAGAATGTGCCTCAGTCATTTTGTTGTGATAAAGGCGGCTTGCATCGAATGAACAAGATCCCTAATCAAGAAAGCGAAGTCATACAAAAACATGCAAAAGAAAAACGAAACATCATTGAACCCCCCTCATATCCCAAAAACCTTCTTAAAAAACCCCTTCGACTTCTCGTGACTCTCAACCTCATCATCAAACGAAATATGAATACTCCCATCCTTCGTCTCAGCCGTCAGCTCGTCGCCTGCCCAGCCCTCCTCACCATCCTCCCCCCATTCCTCAGCGACAAATTCACCAAGGAAACATTTTCGGATGCCTTTATTTTCTGAGAACGTGGTGACCTGCGCTTGCACCTCCTCCGAGAAGCGGATTTTGCCGTCCTTGATTTTGAGGAGTAGTGCCCCATGGAAGGAACGAGGGATGTGGAGGAGGATGGATCCGTCTGAGGTGATGGTTGTTAAGCTGATAGGGCGGCGGGGAGTGGAAGGCGTGGAGGCGTCGTGCTATATGATACAAAACGTTAACTTCACAAAAAATACTTTCAAGTGGAGAAAGGAACAAACCAATTTAAACGCAACCCTCCCATCGCTCGTCTTTGCGTGAAATACCACCTTCTTCCTTTTCCCCTTCATATCAACGCTGTCGGGGACAGAACAAGGGACGATTGTCACGTCCGCCTCGATCTTTCCGTCTTTTGTCTTTAAGAAAAAGTTCTCCCTCGCATCTTCGCTCACTCCCTCCGGAAGAGGCGGGAGTACGGAGCAGGGAATGGAAAGGGACGGGTCGATCACCCATGTCCCTTTAATTGAACCGTTGCGCTGGGAAATAGAGGAGTAGTTTGTGGGGCGGACAGTTGGGCGGGATGAGGAGGAGGATGCTTCGGGGGGAGAGTAGGTTGGCGGAGGGTCGTTCTATGAATACAAAGAGCATTCAAAATGAGTACCGAGACGAGATAGGGCGTTGTAACGCGTACAGTAGCAGAGTCCTCGGCATTGTCGATCTTCGCATCGGCCTCCTCTTGTTTCTTGATGATCATGACTGTGATTTGGGAAGCAGGAACTTGGGTATGGGTATGAAGCTGATTGGAAGGAGCCAAGGGATTTATATCGCCTTCCAGACGCAGCCAGCGTCATTAAGCGTTCGTCCGCAGCAACATGAGGACAGTTCTACGCAGGAACACATGATCGGAATGAAAATCTAGAAAACTGCGATTGAGGCTAAGTGTCATTGGCGCGAGGCGCAGCTCATTCCAGCCGTTGTACTTACGCGTTTGACACACCGCCGCAGTGCAAAGATTTCGATTGCTGAAGGTGGTTCGGTGCAGAGACATTGCCGTGTAGATCGGAATTCCCACAAGGGTATTACAACTTTTTTTCCTCCCACCATCTCTTCCGACGTCGCAACGTTGCCCAAATTTTGAAGTCAACATACCAAGATACCCATCTCCATCTCCACCACAAGTCATGTTTCCATGTTCCTCATCCCAAGAACCCGAACTCTCTCCATTCTCCACCTCCCTACCCGCTCCCTAATCCTCCGAACGCCCCAAACCCGGTCCGTCACCTCCAGGTCTACGAAAGACGAAATAAGCCGCCTTAAGAATCCCTCTCGTGGCGGGCGTAACCTCTCCGAGCGGTACCGCGCCCTTGAGCGGGCTCTGCGCGGTAAAGAGGCGTTCGCAAGGGGGAAGGAGGAATTAGTGCACCACGTACCCATCATCTCAATTTCGGTGCAAGATGAAAATTTGAGGATGGAGAATATAGAGACTTTTCATGGGTTTATGGTACCGCAAGAGCCCAAACCACCCGCGGACGATGGTACGTTCCTCCCGAACAACCCACATCCTGACATTTTTATAAATCATATCACAGAATGTTGCATGTCCGGCTGCGCCGTATGTGTATACGACCTATATGAAGAATCGCTAGCATCATACGAAGACTCCATCACCGCACTACGCAAGTCCCTCGGAGCCCTGGGTATACTTCAAGATACGTGGCCCCTTAACATCCGGCCAAACGTTGAGAAAACCACTCCGGAGAGCAGGAAGGGGGTTATTTTGAACGCGTTTGAGGAGATGGAGAGGAAGTTGAAGGAGAAGAAGGAGAAGGAGGATGGGAAGAGTTAGTTTTCGTTCTTATACCTATCTCTCTATACACGATAGACTAATTAGATGTGAATTTTCTTTGTGCTTTCAAAGGTGCCTCCGTCCGTCCGCCTCCCTCCCGCTGAGTGACTGGAAGCTGTCCGACCAGCCAAAAAGGCAAGTTAAGCGATCCCTGGGCGACGACGTCAAAGAGATCTACGAGGGTTTGAGGTGGATCCTCTTTGGCAACCGATGAAGTTCAACTTCATGCGCTCCGGGCCCCTGCTTTTACGCTCTATCCTGCCGCTCAAGCCGAGGTTTATGGACGTCTTACGCGAGGATATCATCTACTCTAGTACTCCCCTGCCACTTCCCGTCAAAAGGATGCCATCCTTCGGAGCCATGTCCTCGTCTTTCTAAGATGCGCCTCCTCCGAAGACTAGGCTCTACCTCCAAGTTGAAACCCGAACAACCGTCGTAAGCATCCCAGGCATGACGAAGACGACTTCCTGTGCCGAACGATCCTCATTGAGAGCAACTGTCTCTATCCCGTCCTTCCGTTCATGCCACGTACTCCAGGCTACTCGGACCAAGGGGGCCATGCCCGTTGTCGGGGCCACCTAGAAACACTGGAGAAACCCAATGTCGTTGGTTATCATGGTCTCCTCAAGATACACGCGCTCTCTGCGTTGAGCCATCGGAGCTGTATCGTCATCTTTCCCGGCCGGTGAGCTCCTTCTCCGCCCTATGGCCAAGTTTAGGTTGACAGAGCGGGTAGAATCCTCTCCCACCTTCAGGTTGACATCAACCACCGCGTGGGGTGCTCATGTTTATGGGTTAACCAGTCGCCCTTTAATGGAAAGTGGGACCACGCAATCATTTGAATCTTGAGTCCTCCACAACGCAAAACGCAACTTCTGAAAATGCATTTGTGCTCGTATTGGAAACGCAGCGGGCGCGGTCGTTTTATTGATCCCCTCAGTTACGCATCACTTTCGCCCTCACATCTCAAATCTCCATCCCCTCCTTTCTCACATGCTGCCTCCAAGGTCCTCTCGCTGTTAAAGTTACATCCGAAAAACGCTGATGGATTGAAATGGCCTCCTACGTGATTGACTATCACTGGAGGCAAATGCATCTGCACCCTTGCGTTGCGGGAAGTAGGGACGTTTTCGCGCAAGTGTTGGAGACCTCGAAGCAACGCAGGAGCCCGAGCCTTGGTCGTCCGAGCTGACCAACCTTTCAACATCATTGTTGATCCCTCCCAATCCCCTCCCTTACGCATACTACTTTCCTCAATGGGTCTTTTCCCAAGTGAATCCCAAATTAAGATACAAACCAGGATCGTAAGCATGGAATAAAGCTCAGCGGCTTCGCCAGCAACCGGACCATCCTTCTCCTAAATCGTCACATGAGTCATGACGTATGTTTGTATATGTGTTCCCATAACGTGCTGTGAATCGGCTCTCTCAGGACTTTCAACTACATAGGCTCAGTCGCCCTTTGCGTACGTACTAGAACAATGGATGGGTGAGCTACACACTCTTAAAACAATCGCTTGTTGTGAACTTACTGACATCCTTTGATCTCAGTGTCACGTATACTAGTATCGCCGGAACCAGTCTCTTTCAGACAGAGGAGGGATATTTTGGTTCCATATCCCAAGTCTCCCCGGCTGATGGGTCCCATCGTGGCACGAAGACATTCTCAATATCCTCAGTTTCGAAACTCACCGAACTTATTGAGCCGACGCTATCCCAATTCTCCACAAGAGCAGAGTATTGCACAATGTCCATCGGATTGGTCGATGACTCGAATAGAGAAGACATCCGTGATTCTTTGAACGCAATAAGCGAATCTATTGGTCGGCGGAATGGCTTTCCATATCCAGTCAAACAATATGAAGTGACTCACGCAGATGCTTATTGTGGGACGCTCCCGTCCGATGAGAGTATCTTCTATATCATGTTTCTTGACTTCGCCCCCAATCGTATAGCATCCGAAACTTTGGTGACGGTATATGACGATGACGATGAGGATGGGGGTAGGAAGGTGCTCAGGATTTGGGAAAGCAACGTTAGCATCGCAGAGTCTGTTTCTCTGGAGGACGCGATCAGCAGCGTTGCTGTCTATGCCGGTGAACCGCCTCTTTCTCGCATTGTGCTCATCAATCCCCCTCCATCCCTCACTCCGACACTTCACGCCACACTTCCCGAAATTCACCCTGGTGTTCCCATCATCGTGTCTTCAGCCTCGGATATATCTCAAGCGCTCGCTACACATCAATACCTAGAATTTGGTAGATGGTCAAATTGCTGTTGTTTCAGTGTGGGTACTCGGATTTGCCCTCCAATCTGCATTGCCTCCGCCACAGGCGTTGCCATGCCCTTAGTGGATCTGTTGGTAGATTGGGATGAGGATTGCCCTCAGGAAAGAGTTTTCTCCACATCAGTGGACAATCAGACGACAGCTACACTGCGGCTTTTGTTGGGTGACCACCCTTTAGCAAAAGATAACGTCGAGCGGGGCGTCATTGCCTTGGAAGGATTGGATCCAAGGCCGAGGGGTGTTGGGTGCATCCAAGTCACGGCGACGTCCTTCCCTGATATGCAAGGATTTTGGAATATGCTTACAGTCAAAGTGGAGCAGCTGACGGAAGATGGGCAAAAGTGTCCTCGGACAACAAGCAAGATGTTTATTTTTCCCCATTTCTTCCCCAACATCCGGGACGAAAAAAGATATATGTTTGATGCCCGGCGTGGATACGAATACAACTCGGAAGAGGTCCAGTGGGAACTTCCGGAATGAATTTCCCCTCCGAAATATGCAGACCTTACAGTCAATCAAATTTGATGATGGAGACTCATAGTGGGTGACTTCCCGTAACACAAATTCGCTAGATTTAAATAAATCGACGAGATCTAGGGTCTTTTGCCGGGATGCCGAGTCTTGTAAGGGTTCGACTTTGATGGAGGCCCTGGTTGGCACCCAGTTATAAACCTTAATCTATTCAGAGGGTACAGACCCCTCGAATAGATTTCAAACGCTGGAATCAACCCTGCCATCACGACACCTTTCCTTCCTGGGTACGTTTTCTTCCCACCTAGCTTAGTCAGCTCTACCTCATCCCTCTCTACTCTCCTACGGCTGAGGGCAGTCTGCTCTCTCGTTATAATTTGAAGCCATTACAGAGTTTATTAGTAGTGCTAACGTCCTCTGGTTCCAAAATTTCCTCTCCGAAGCTGTTTTTCCTTCCACAAACAATCTTCTCAGCACATAACTCACAGAACCTCAGCATGTTCAGCTCAAGTTGACATTTTCTCGGCTTCATTTATTATGTGTCCTACTTTCTGGCTGATATGATTGAGCATCAACTATAATACACCCATCCATGGGCCTGTGTGTCCTCAAAACAGCTCAGATGAGAGGGAAGTAAGTTTATTCATGTGAGGTGAATAAATCTAATCAGTTGGCGTTACGGTTTATTTGCTTGATTAAATCGCAAGCCAGGGTACTCATTTCAAACTCCGATAAGGGTCAGATTTACTCGTTTATGTAGATTTATGTTACGGGAAGTCACCCAGTACTCATACGTCAACTGTCTTCAATATCCCCTTGAAGGATGATTTTGAGGTCACCCTCCTTTTGCAAATGCATAAGGCAAAGGATGCCGGTTTCACGCCCCTATTTCCGCATAGACAAGCATCGCAGCTTTCCTCATTGGAAGCTATGTATCCCAATGGGTGACTTCCCATAACATAAATTTGCTAGATTTAAATAAATCGACGAGATCTAGGGTCTTTTGCCGGGATGCCGAGTCTTGTAAGGGTTCGACTTTGATGGAGGCCCTGGTTGGCACCCAGTTATAAACCTTAATCTATTCAGAGGGTACAGACCCCTCGAATAGATTTCAAACACTGGAATCAACCCTGCCATCATGACACCTTTCCTTCCTGGGTACGTTTTCTTCCCACCTAGCTTAGTCAGCTCTACCTCATCCTCTCTACTCTCCTATGGCTGAGGGCAGTCTGCTCTCTCGTTATAATTTGAAGCCATTACAGAGTTTATTAGTAGTGCCAACGTCCTCTGGTTCCAAAATTTCCTCTCCGAAGCTGTTTTTCCTTCCACAAACAATCTTCTCAGCACATAACTCACAGAATCAGAGCATGTTCAGCTCAAGTTGACATTTTCTCGGCTTCATTCATTGTGTGTCCTACTTTCTGGCTGATATGATTGAGCATTAACTATAATACACCCATCCATGGGCCTGTGTGTCCTCAAAACAGCTCAGGTGAGAGGGAAGTAAGTTTATTCATGTCAGGTGAATAAATCTAATCAGTTGGCGTTACGGTTTATTTGCTTGATTAAATCGCAAGCCAGGGTACCCATTTCAAACTCCGATAAGGGTCAGATTTATTCGTTTATATAGATTTATGTTACGGGAAGTCACCCAATGAGAAGGATGTCGAAGGACCATTCACTTGAGGCAGGGTCCAATGTGTGATCTAGGCAAAGGTACCTCCATAATTGTCGACACTTGTTGAATAATAAAGCTGATGTGCATCCCGAAAATATTGATTATCAAAATCTCAAATTGATGAACAATAAGAACATTGAGCACAACGAGTGGTCATTTCCGTTATTTTATTCTTCAACATAATCTTCAGCTGAGTGGTGTTGCCATGGCTACCAAGATTATTTCCCAAAGAAATTGTTTAGATATGTAAATTGAATGTGCTCAACATTCTTATTGTTCTTCATTTTGTAATTTTGACAATTGATGTTTTCCGGATGCACACCAGCTTCTTTATTTTACAAATGGCCACAATTATGGAGGTACATATGTCCAAATTTGTCCTGAATATTCTTTGGACCCTGTCTCAAGTGATTCATGCTCGTTCCGAGCCGGCGCTGAGATGATGGGCTAATAATTTTTGGGTCCTTGGTAACATTCGAAGTGGCGGGACCGGCTGAATCAAGAGAATCTGACTCGCTTCTTCTCCTTACACCATCTACACATCTCAAACTACAACCTCCTCATGGATACTCCTCCTCCGTACACCCCAGGCTCCACCTTGACAATCAAAGTTTCTGAAGTCTACATCATCGTCACAGTAGAAAAGCAATTCACTCCTTACACATCCAGCCAGGTACTCGTCGTCCATGCAACTTCTACTAGTGCCAAATTACCACCAAACCACCCTCCACTCGGCACTCCTATAATTTTGAAAATTTACGATCCTCGCTACGTCGAGAACCGCGAAGCCTTCTATGGTTATGATGGCACCTTTTTTCCTGCGAAACCGTGGTCCTTAGAAGACGAAGAAAAAGCCACCGCCTATCGCGAAGCCATGGAGGATTGGAACGACCTAATTAGCGACGAGGTCGAGATGGCAAATCCGGGCATGGTCATTGAATTCAAATTATTTCTAAAGGCATACACTTCGTGGACTCGAGAGGTCAACGCCTACCTTGCACTTGCTGATTCTCCTCTTTCCGGTTTCTCTGTACCGACGTTGTATGGTATTGGGGATTTCATACCAGAAGAGCCACGCGCAATCGTACCCCGCATACTCCTTGAATATGTCCCGCACTCAACGTCGCTTGACAAACTCCAAAATATCAAACTCATGATCACGCCATGGCACATCCGCACTCTCCTTGCGGCCACTCGGAAAATGAATGAACTGGGAGTCGTTCACTGGGAGTTGCATCCTGGCAACATCCTTCTTTGTCCAGATCGTGTGGTTATTGTCGATTTTGGTAGGTCAACGACACGAGTACAGGAGGGGATTGATATGTTCTCGGATGATAAGTGGATGGTGAAGGTAGAGGATGGTTGGAATGAAAATACGGTGAGGATGTTGTTGGACGATTTGAGGGGGCACAAAGCACTTGCGCGTTTCACGTTGAAGGCAAACAGGAGGGTGGCCTCGGCACGCCTTGATCAAAATATCGAACCGCGCAAATGACAGGTCTAATAATTGCAATGTTGTTGTATGAAAATGCGATAGAATTGAAAAACGTATCTGCCGCCTGTCTGCGCATCAAGGAAGGGGCGTCGGGGAGTCTATGATCCACAATGGTCGATGAGTTTGAAGCATACAAAGTTGTTTTTTTGCGAATTAAAATTTCAATTCTTCGTTTCAACAAAATGCTCTACTGGTTCTAGAGCCGGGGATAATTATACGGGAGACAATTTGGCTACTTGAAATCGGACAGCAGTGTTATTTGTTCAAATGAGTGCTTTGCCCACTGTCAAACCGTTAGATTCCAGTGAGCGCCCCAGAGTAGATGCCCTGCAAAGGTTGTCGAGCTGATCTGAGTACTTCATCGCGCTATTCGTGTTGCCAGACGCCGAATAGAAATTCGCAACTATCCCTAGTAGCAAGGCCAGCGGAGCACTGTGAAGACCTTCTTTTTCAATCTCCGCTATCAGCTTGAGGGAGGCTGCGAGTACGTTGGGGCGTGATTGATCCTTCAGCCAAACGAGGTGCCCAACTTGTATTTTTCCGACGCGTTTTGCGAGCTCCGAGCGTAACGAGTCCGTTTCCTTGGTTGCTCCGACGCACCCAGGGCATACGCACACAATGCCGTAGGGTGCTAATTCCTCAGCACGCTCGCTCTTGGTTTGATAGATGTCGCAGTACGAATAGAACAACTCTTCTCCTTTTTTTATATCGCGAACTGCTCGGAGCTCAAAGGAAAGGGAAGCCATGTTGAAGCGATGATCAGTGTTAGGGGAGCAGCTGAAGATATCTCAGCTCAAGACTTGCTTGACGGTCGTATAATTCAAGTATCTCACCTGTGATTGACCCTCGACATAACCTTCAGAACAGCAGTATAAGCCCTGGTATTGTCGCCCTCGTGACCATTGTCGTACAAGCGTGGCACTTGATATCCATTGGTGCGAATGATCCCCAGAATAGGCCCACTCCCGTCTTCAGTATGGCTGTTCGCCACGCCATGAATGCCTCGCGGTTTTCATCACTCATCCTCTTCAATGCGATGCCAAGGCGTTCCTCCCACTCGTCCATACTAACCTGGATGATCTCCTCCTTGGAAAGACCCTTTGAGCCAGACCCGGCCGCCTGTTGAAAACCGCGTGGTGTAATCAAGAGAGGCCTCTCGGCGACAATGAGGTCTCCAGTGCGGACGGAACGCGTGGCGAACACCCCAAGTCCACCAAACGGCGAAGGCCCAACACGATGATTTACCTTTCCGCCTGCAGGTTTCTCTACCGGGCGCGGAAATCCTGGGGTGCTGAGGATTCGAAGCTTGATGTGCCCAGTCAAGATACACTCCGTCCAATTGTCAGGTTCATCATCCTGTGTAGCGTCCGAATCCACGCGTGGGAGAGTAGTGATTACGATCGTGTTTTCGCTGTAATCTACGGTGTCTCCGGAGGCTTCGCGACCGAAAACCTTCTTAGAAACAAAGCCCTCAATGGGCCGCGCTGTTACAATGTTAGGTTGCACAAAGTCAATCACAGAGGCTACGTTACCGGTCTTGGCAAGCTTCCCGTAAGGTAACTTGATGTGAGGTTGTGGAGCTAAGTTACAAATGTTCAAAATGGTGGGGTGAAAAACCATGATGAAGAATCCGACTAACCGAGAGAGCCATCTCCCTTGGGTGGCACTCGCGGGAGCCCTATACCCTCCGTCTTCTTCGCCTTTGCAGTTTTGAGAAAACCGCGCTTCATAAGTTATAAGTTGAGGTCGGAAGGTGGATGAGATGGGCTGGATAAAGGCGATTGATTAGATTGTCTAGATTGTCGCCTTCTTATATAGATGCTAACCTTGTGGTCATGTGCACAGAAAGGTCCATTAGAAGCCACCCAAACTAGGCACTATGAGTACCACTATCAAGAGTCGCCGCTAAGTTTGCATCCAGTTTGCATAGGCCTCCTCGATTAGTACCCCTGACGACGAGGTCACGAAGAATGACAGTACTAGTCTCCAGCACGAGTATTGAATATTGAATGTTGAATATTGAACAAAGACGCTGTTGTGGTTCTTGTGGGATGCTACAATCCTTTTGTGAAAATCGAAAGACGACAGAATAACGCGTCCATACATGCAAACATATACACATACCGGAGCGAATTCAACAACAAACAGACGTTGAACAGACGTGTATCCCACACTGCTTTGATTTTCAGGTTCATATGCTTTATGAACATGGTCCAAAGCAAAATCCAACGACTCTCACCATGGCACGACGACTTGACTCCAACCTGAGGCTTGAACGTGAACCGTCAACGGCTCATCGTCTTTCCGGACCTCGGAGAGACCTCAGAAGTTGATATCAAAGATGATGTTGAGTCGACGGGACTGCTTACGGGACCGGCTAGCCGTTTAATGGTGGAGGAAGGTGCGGAGAGAAGGACGGATTCCAGGAAGAACAAAACAAAACCGCCACTCGTACGTAGGGAACACTCCATGATCCGGATCTCCTGATGGGGCTGGGGCGCTTGCCCAGTAGTATAAAGGCCAACAAGAGGCGGTGTTCAACGTTCAACTCTTGCCTCCGATGCTCACATCGATCTTCTTCGGATTTCTCCTTTTCTCTATTCTCACCCGCGCATCGGTGTCAGACACTCTGCACCTCACAGCCATTGTAGGAAAAGATGGCGTCTCTCAAATGGAGTGCTGGTCTCTACTGCCCCGGTATGCAGTATCAAGCCAGGTGCGCCCTTTCAATTTAATCCTCATAAACCTGAAATTTATTCTTGCCAGTCCGGAACGGTGGGAAGCAAACAGCTTCAATTAGGTTTACTGGCAAACGGGTCATATACCATGTTCCCCCTCCCTGGGCCGTACAATGCTGGGTAAATTTGGTTGGTTTTGCGTTCTTTGCAATGCAAGTGTTGAACTCTCGTGATAGGTTGCACAATGCTCCAAATTTCCAGTAAGCGATATTTCATTTTGAACCCGTTCTATACACTCGAGCGTCTTCGCCAGATATGTCATTCTTCTCGCCGGAAATGCAACTGTGACCTTTCCCGAGCGTCCAACAGAAAGCTTGAGCATCAAAACGGGCGATATGCTCATCGCGGCGGACGTCCTCGGCACGTCTGCACTTGGTCATGAAACGGTTTGGCAGGGGGGTTCTGTCGCTGTCCAAGTTCCGTTTGAACCTGGATTTATTCCAGATCATCATACATCCCCTGGTTCTTGTCGGTAGCTGGCTGGGGTGTTCGTGTTATCTAGCGCCCATTGCTACTTTTGCTCTACCACAACTACCAATGGGCAATGACTTAGAAGTAGTGCTTTTCGATGGTTGAAACGAGATCCGGTGACATTTCCCCGACGAGTAATTTTAGTTCCAGATAGCCATCTTGAATACTTGAAGGTAAAGTCAGTCCAAGACGTCGACCATTCAAATGAACCGCTCTCTACCACATCCGCGACAGGCATCAGAGATATGATTGTAATCATCATAATCGTTGTCGGAAAGGTATGAAGCATAAGCAACCAGAAAAGACACAAAGAAGTATCGAAGGAATCCATGGTCCCCAGTATCATCAGAATATATACTACCTGACCATCATGTAGGCATACCCTCTCCATCACCATCGGAATCAATCGCGGCCCGAATCAGACCTTTGACACCAGGATGCCGAGGGCTGATGTCACATTTGAAAGGCAAGGGTTGGCTACACGAGTCCATGAGCGCACGTTATAATTGAACTCAAAGGCGGGGCACCTTGTCACCGCAGAGAGATACTCCATTGACGGCTCAATGACTTTTCCATCATTATCCACGGGCTTCGTTATCGTGAATGCTGACAGGATCGACGCTGTGGTGAGCCAGACTGTAGAAAGGGCAATGTGGCTTCCCGGGCATGCTCTGATATTTCGGAGTTTCAGCCCCTAGGAAGAGCACGAAGATAAACCACCTTACCGACGCCCGAATCCGAAGGAGAGAGCGATGGGGTCGCGCACGTCGTTGTCAAGTTTTCCCCCTTTCAAAAACCTTTCAGGCCTGAAAAGCTCGGGGTTGGGATAGTCCGCCTCGTTGTGAAGCATTGCCCTTTGGCAAAGTAAGTGATATTGGCCGACAGTCCATGGGCCATTGACCAGAAGAACGCACCATGCGTTCCCGATAACAATAGAGTGGGCGGGAATGCGATAGCCTTCGTACTCGTCCTCACGCGTTAAAGAGTGTGGCAGAGCTACAGTAATTTAAAAAAACAAATATCTGGACATATGGCCAGCGACACACCGATAGGAGCTACTGGTCTCCATCTGAGGAGATTTGATTATATGCACAATGCGTGGGAAAAAAAAAATTGCTCCTGCCTGAAAGCCTCTTTGATCACAGCGGAAAGGTATGGCAGTGAAGCTTCGTCGCACAAATCTGGAAGGCGATCACGGCCTACAACTTCGTCTAGTTCTTTTTGTGCTTTGGCTTGCACGTCAGAGAATTGCAACAGTGCCAGAATTATTGTATATAAAGCAGCACTTGTAGAGCCTGACCCAGCTTGGGTATTTCTTTTTGAAAAAACAGTCGAAACTAAGGATAAACGCTGACGCACCAAGAAAAAATACCCCAGCAGTATCTTTAATGATCTCGTAACCGCTCTTGTCGTCGCCTTCCCATTCTACCAAATTTTCTAAGCAGCGTGACACGAAAGAGGGCGTGGCGACGCCGTCAGCCTGTGATCGAAAAAGCGTCAGCACCGCTGTAGGAAGGTAAAATGACACGCCCACGATATCCTTCTGTGCCGCGGCAAAAGGGGCGTCCCGAAGCCTTGCTGCCAACAGACGCCGCTCCGTGGCCATTCGATTTGCACCCGCAAGATATTCAAGGATATAGCTGAACAGAGGTATCGAATCGGCAAGAAAGGTGCGTGGGTTGCCTAGTAGAGATTGTAAGGACTCAGACACACGCTCTGAGAGCGTTATGAATGGGTCGTTCTTTGGGAGAACTCTGATTCCATATGCGAGTGACAAAGTCAACCCGCCGTTCATGCTTTGAAAATGTCAATCAAGATCACACTGGCAGTCGGTATGTAAAGTGGGCGTACTATTTAATATGGTCCATGAATTCTTGAGGAGTTTCTACGAGTTGTAAAAGCATTTTGTGCACGTGAGCAAGCTGTCGTGGTCTATAAACAGCACTATCAGAGGGGTGGAACCGTTGATGGAATATTCGGCGGCGCTCCATCCATAGCTTCCCATATGGTAGAGAGGACATGAGCCACGAAAGACCCATGCTGTAACGAAGTCAGCTCTTGAGCGATATAAGGGGTGCATTAGTCTTACAATTCGTTGACCATGGTTGCGCGGGGTCTATGGAAGTTGTTGGTCACCACTCTCGACGAAGATTTAGAGAAACAAAGCAGACCGACTGGAGTAGATCGCAGACCTTTCGCCCAGGAGGTCAGTTACGCTCTTGACCGAGTTGAGCACGATGAGAGAAAGTCCTGGACCTTCCAAGTAAATGATATCAGAGCCTAGGACATCGTAAGCTCGGAGTAACGTTATTTCTGGCAAATATATACGGACCACATTCGCGGCCCCAACGAGCGTACGTTTCCCATTCCAACGTTTGAGGTATAGATAACATGTTCCCAATGAATGGGTACTTCTTCGGACCTGGAGGAAGCGGCAATTTACTTTTCTGCTTCAGGCGGTCGCGGAGCAACAAGGCGAGCGCAACGGCCAAGAGGATCGCACAGAGATCTGTGAGTGTGAGGCCCATAGAAGGAGAAAACTGTCCTTGAACTTCTCGACCCGTCTCATATTAATGCCGAATATATAGCCACGTCATTTGCCGCTTCCGAGGAACGGGTGAATTTGCCACTGGATTTTTCGCCACTTCATGTGGATAATCGCCACCATGGCAGCTGATGGTCAGTGCTAAAATGATATTGATAAGGGCTGGAATGAGGATAAATTGAGGGGTCTGACGTACTTCAAAACGCAGCTTCAAGTTATTGTAAATACCCGCGCGGATTCCGCGATCGCCTTCGGGGTAGTCCTGGTGGTCCGATGATCATCTTACCTTCTCGCCGCATGACGCACTGCTGCCATTATTCTGCGATGGCCCAAGTCAATACAGCGAGGCATTTATTTCATCGGAAAATTTTGGTCTCTCCACACAGAGAAGAGATTTTGACAAGATGGAACAAAGGTAGGCCCTTTCCTTGAGTGAGCCTTGCGAAAACTTACTTTGCAGGCACGAGGACGTACTTTCAAGTCTGTGAGGAATTTTCAACAGCCCGAATTCGAAGCCCTTTTAATTTTTGGTGATATGGGGAGGCCCTTGTAGAATCTAATCATAACGCTGGAGGACCTAGACAAGATGAACAAAAAGGTGAGTTCTTTGCTTCACTTGGACCTGAAGTAAAATCCAGGTAGCGTTTAACTTCGCTCTTTGAGCACGAGGGAGGCCTCAGTAAGGGCTCTTCGTCCTTCCCCTAAGACCATACAACTAAACGATATTAACAAAATGTGACTTCTTTTGAGAGAGCTTACTCTGCAAGTTTGTAAGTCCATAATCCTCTTTTCGCGAAATTCTGAAATCTCGAAGGCGCCAAGTCCTCTAAGGAGAAACTGAAAAGCCTCGCGTGTATAAACGAAGAGGCCTGATACTACTCCATTGATTCGGAGGTTGAACTTTGCCAGAAGAAGCCTCCATTTGGTGGTTGTGGAAAGTCAAGAAAATGGGTAGAGTCACATCTGTGTTTGACCCAGACGCCGCGAACAAACAGCTCGCTTAGCATCGCCCACAATCACCAACGCGCGAAACTGCTCCGACGACCGCGACGATGTCGTCGAGCACAGCGCTCAAGACGTTCTCTCTCACCAACGACATCCTAGAAGTCACCCCTCAAGATGAAATTTACCGATTCGATGCTGAGGCTAACAGGCGGATCAATCAAGAGGCTCCTTGGACGAAAGAGTGCGTACCTTCTCACCCTCAAATCATCACCCACCCACCTTGCTGGCGCCGGGCGATGGAGATCGATTTGAGAGCTTACCAGCCTTTTCGTGTCCTAGCCCACACTACTTTAAGTCCTGCAAAATCTCTGCAGTCGCGCTGATCAAGATGGTGTGTGGCATGACACTTAAGCCATGACGATGGGATAAAGCTGATATGGTGGCTCGCAGGTGATTCATGCTCGGTCGGGGGTACCACACGAGATTATGGGGCTCATGCAGGGGAAGGTGGTTGGGAACTCGATCGTCATCATGGACTCGTTTGCGCTGCCCGTACAAGGAACTGAGACTCGCGTCAATGCGGCTAGTGAGGCCAACGAATACATGGTGGAGTATATCCAAGGCAGTGAGAAGGTGTGTACTGCCCCGCTTCCCTTTAATCTATCCTTCGCCTTCGCACCCCTTCTCATTCTTCCATGTTTCAGGCAGGGAGGTTGGAGAACGCTATCGGGTGGTACCACTCCCATCCTGGATACGGATGTTGGCTTTCCGGTATCGATGTGAACACCCAGATGAACAACCAGAAGTTCCAGGATCCGTTCTTGGCGGTCGTCGTGCGTCTGTTCTTTGTGGTAACACTATCTTTCACCTCATTTTGTGCAGATCGATCCAAATCGCACCATCTCTGCGGGAAAGGTCGATATTGGCGCATTCCGGACGTACCCCGAAAACTACACCCCAACAAACGCATCTGCATCGGAGTATCAGTCAATCCCGTTGAGCAAGATTGAAGACTTCGGTGTCCATGCGAATCAGTACTACCAGGTCGACGTGGAGATTTTCAAGTCGAGTTTAGATAACGAATTGTTGGCGTTGTTGTGGAACAAGTATTGGGTGAACACGTTGAGCCAGAGCCCGCTGATTTCGGTGAGCGTTGGCTGTATCCGATATATAAGCTTCGGAGAAGAATGCTGACCCCTAATAGAATAGGGCGTATTCTGTGTCACAGCTTTCTGATCTGCACCAGAAGCTTGCGAAGGCACAGTCCTCTGTCAACTCTACCCGCGCCCATGTACCCACTCTCAAGGAGAAGGACGCTGGAACTGGTACACAAAAGGTAAGCCAATCTGAATCTAGTATCGACTATCGCCTTACCATCTGTCTGCAGCAAAAAGAGAAAGACGAGAAGAAGAAGGATGACAACCAACTGGCGAAGAGCGTCAAGGACAGGTTTGTGCTCTGCCTTTCCGATTCATTCTATGCTGACCCCTATGTTAGCACGAGGATTGCCGTCGAGGCCCAGCATGGGCTTATAGCGCAAGTAATCAAAGACGTGATTTTCTCAATGAGACCCCAGAATGGCTCGACGAACACTTCGCAGATATCAGATGTTGCGGATATGGCCATAGGCTAATTCGAATTCATTTGGAGACGCTGTGCCGCTATGTTGTATTGTTGTTGGATCAGAACTGTGTCATTGTACATGCATGTAATACTACGCAAGCTCCATCCGTTGCTTGGAATTTCAATCAGGTGACTCAGAGTGGTGGCTGTGTAGATAGGATTGGGCAACAGAACCAAACAGACAGATTTTGTCGCCACAACACTCGACGTCCTCCAAACCCCTCAAGAACACGCCAATCCTCAACGTGAGTGCCTCTACGCTCGTCTATCGTGTTTCCGCGCCGTTGGGCTCAGGATTATGCGGTTTTTCATCGAAACAACGGATTCTATCGGGTGGATTGGCGTTGGAACATCTGGATGATGTTGGCGGGACCCTGTAGAAGTCAATGCTAACCAACTTTTCCTGTTTCAATAGAATGGGTCTTCAAGAATTCCAGGTCGTCGGCCGCCACTTGCCCACCGAGGCAGACCCTACCCCCAAAATCTACCGCATGCGCATCTTTGCGCCCAACGAGGTCGTTGCCAAGTCGCGCTTCTGGTACTTCCTTAGGTACGTTTTTCTTCACACTTACCGCACCACCAACCCAATATGATCATCTCCAACAGGCAACTCAAAAAGGTCAAGAAGGCCAATGGCGAGATCATTGGTGTGAACGTTGTGTGTATCTTTGATGTCCCTTGCAGCCCTCAAGAGGCAGGCGGAATGGGATTGCTGACTTAGCCTCTGCGCCCCGTCGCGTTGCTGTTTTTGTGTTTTCTAGATCCAGGAGAGGAAGCCTCTGAAAGTCAAGAACTTTGGCATCTGGCTCCGATACGACTCGCGCTCAGGTACCCATAACATGTACAAGGAGTTCAGGGAGCTCTCGCGCGCTGCGGCTGTTAAGAGCTTGTACCAGGACATGGCTGCCAGACATCGTGCCCGCTTCAGGTCGATCCACGTATGTGTCATTTGCCCTAAGTGTGAAAGTGTAGGCTGATAAGAGGCGTTTCATAGGTCCTCCGTGTTGTTGAGATCGAGAAATCCGAGGACATCCGCCGCCCTTATATCAAGCAGCTCCTCACCCCCAAGCTCAGGTTCCCCCTCCCTCACCGTGTCACCAAGATCCGCTCGACCTTTGTGGCCAACCGCCCTTCGACCTTCTAAGGAGTTTTCGCAGCGGTTTGGATGGAAATGGGATGACTTATCTGAGGGTGCGCTCGACATCCATTATGCGAGTACTTATTATACGTTCTGTTTGCAAACATATGATATGACCCTTCATGCCTCTAAAACCTGTCTGTGTGTTATCAGCTGTCTTTCTGGCCCGTCTCTCACATCTCCTTGTGCATCTGCTGATTAACCCTCCGTTTCCTCTTTCCCTTCCGCTCACCTACGCTGATTTCACCGTCGATTCTTCATGAGAACAAGTACGCGATTCCAGTGTCCTGAGGTTGTCGCTCACGACGCCATCCTCTGAAGGAATGAAGACGATTGATTCGCTTGATTCAACCAACCTGTCCCGCCACTTCTAAGAGCCAACATGTTACCAAGGACGTTGATAGCCACCCAAAAATTATCGGTTCATCGTCTCAGCGCTCAGATCATGACCAACATGACTAACAGATGCAAATTCACTGTTCTTGACCTTGAAGCTTGAAGACTTGACCCACGACTAAAGTTACGAAGCGGGCATTACTCCGCTCTTCTCTCCAGAGGTTTCGCTATTCTGTCTGAAGCTGCCTGGCCAGCTGGTCTTGCATCTGCTGAGGATGGTCACCTCCACTCTGGCGTACGATGGCGTCTACAAAAAAAATTACTCGGCCCATTGGTCCTCATTGGGCCTTCAATATCAGATCATCGCACTTCGGCGTGTATGACAGAAGGACTCTAAAGAAGCGAAACTAGCTCAAGACCTCGACAGAAGTATCTGAACGATGAGAAACCGGCGTGGTTACTTTCAAGTTGTGAACAAGATGTCGAGGCGTCTTCGGTGCATCTATCATATTGTGCATCCCTTCGTAGTAGTAGCTGTAATTCACCTATCAAACTACTCAAAAACTACTCCAGCCCGAGTGCAAGCTCTGTGACAGAGATTCAGAACCCTTCCCAGTTTGTGCACTGAGGAAGGTGATTCTGTGTATATAGTGTCGATCGCCGCCAAAGGAAACAGATTGTTCAGGTGGTCCGCTACGGTGACAGGATCCGATTTGCCTAAAGAGAAGTGATTTATATCAAGTTTCAACAATTGTTCGCCTGTTCGACGGGGACGCTTCACAATGCGAGCCGGGAGGGTCGAAAAATCAACAGACAAGCTCAATTCTCGTAAACTGGGAAGCTTTTTGGTGAGAAGAGTTAGGGATCGGAGGTTGACACCGGCGGTCGCTAATTGAAGCTTCAATTCACGAAGTTCAGGCCATGCAGTCGCCATCTCAACGATGTTGTCATGAGATAGACTGGGTGAAGAAGGGAAAGGATAACGTTTCACAATAAGATGTCGCATCTGATGACATGAAAGCAAAGGCTCAAGGTCTGAATAACGGGGCATGATCATCAACCCCGATCTGGCGGTGAACTCGAATCGCTGCACAGTGTTGGCCCATTGTGCCACGCTTGTTAAGATAGTTCTCCATTGGACGTCCGTACAGTCGAGCTCAATAAAAACCGACTCAATCGGAATGAAGGTAAATATGGTAAGGATTGAGTTGATGAAGGGCCCGGAGGCACCAGTGAGGCTTAGAGAGCGCAGCGATTGGAAGCAGGGGAGCTGGAATTTCACATCGAGGGGTGACGCATCCGATGAAGCACTTGGGAAATTCATTTTGAGCTCCACGAGGGATGTAGAAGAAGCAATGATGTCGAGCGGAACATTCCCTGATTGTATTTCAGATGTCGAAATGATGAGGGTGTGTAGATTTTTCAAGCTGAGAATGGGGTGGTATGACTCGCGGTTGGAGAGGAACCCAGGGAGCACCAGCGTGTTGATTGACGGTGCTTGTTCTAAGATAATCTTCATAAAACCTTTGTGCAGGGGGTAGGGGAATTTGCCAAGGGAGTAATCATCACAGACGCAAAAAGAAACGGTACGAAGAGTCGGGGAAAGGAGGAGGGGAAGGGCAGGGATCAGATTGGGGTGGTCAAGTGTCAAGGTGACTAGCGACGGCAGCATTGGCCGCCCTTGAAAATGGCGCGCTGCGAGCACCAAGACAAAACCATCAAATCCAGAAGGGTCCTCAGTGGTAACTTGAAGTTCATGAATGGCAGCTGCGTAACTTTCAAGTCTCAGCCAGTGAGCGGGCTCGACATCATCGTGGAAGCCCTTAGATTGAATGAGAGTCAAGTTTATTTATAAAATGACTTGGACGAACATAGATTCCCCGGGATTCGTCGAATTCAAAACTAGGTATGACGTTGAACAAGGTTGCAAGAATTCAAGGCGACGCCATAAAACAGACACCGCAGGCTCGAAAAAGGCTTTGCAAGTTCGTGCCAATGCAGCGAGTGAGTCTTCGTCCGTGAAAATTTCGCCATAAAAATTCCCAAAGATAATTGAGAGGATCTCTGGAACTTGAAGAGCGGGGTGAGGCGGCATGAGTACAGTGCATACGATCGGCTTTCGCACTAAAGGGTTGGGAGACAACCAGTCCAAACGAAGCAGAGTTTGGCAACCAACAGGGGGTGTATTTCAAGCGGAATCACCAGGTGTCCGACCTCGTGGAAATTGGTCCTGGTGTACGGAGGGTGAGGAGAGGTGAGGAGGTACTCGTAAAGTCTGGAAGAAATTTGCCGCTTTCAAGTTGATAAGTACTTATGTGGGATGATTTAAGGGGATTCCCCGGATTCAGCCCAAATGGGGAAGGTCAGGGTTCAGTCACGCGCGTCATGCTGTAGGCGCGCTTGGCGCTCCTGCGGCGTCGCCTTCTCCTTTCTGTCCTGCGCTGCCCCCTCTAGTTGTACGGGCGTTGTGTTTTTCTTGTTGCTTTCCCGTTTTGTAATGATCTTTGGTCTTAAAAATATCATTTTGTCGTTGTTGAAGCAAGCATGTTGAGAGAGCAGTCAATAGTAATAGACACTCTCGGATGGCATGAAACAAATAGCTATGAAGTATATGAAACAAAATACCTACGAAATATAAGAATTATAAAGATGTATGTGCTTCCCCTTCTCCGTGTTCAAATCCAGACACTGGGATCTTGTTGAATCAACCTTAGTTTTCCGCGTCGGGTGAACTTCTTGGAGAGCTCGAGTTTGATTTGCGTTCTTGTGCAGTTCCGTACTTGCTGGAGCGCGTTGTGCCTTTGTTCCAGCGGATGGCTTCCAAGAGCTTCGGGATGCTCTTGTCTGCATCTGGATACTTGCTAAGGAAATGATCCTCATTTCGGCCCAACCTAAAGATGAACAAAACGAAGCCCCATCAGGAGAAAATCTCTTGAGTCAGTAGGTCAATGTAGCTCTAGTATTTATAATACCCTGGTAGTCTAGTCCCCCCCATGAGTCGCTCCGGTAGTTTACTGTGACATCTCAGTAGCCCAGGTAGTTCTTCCCTTGCACCTGATAGCCCTCGGTACACCCTCCTTCCACTTAGGTAGGCACTGGTACACCTTGCTACCAGAGCTACTTGTGTGTACTGAATCTACTAATTTCTTTGTAGATGGCCACTAATTTTCTTGCTTCCAAATTAAATTAGGGGTATAAATGGCATTTCGACTATCTAATACAAGGGGGTCTACAATAACACCACACTAATAAAGAGGCTTTAAAGCCAATATCCAAGAAAGTATGAAAGGTGAAAATAATGGATAACATTACACATGAATGAAGGGACACCAGGGTATCCTCATTCAGGTTCGGGAGGGAGCGCTCAAGCGTCGTTGATGTTGTTGTCCATCCGTCATCATCGTCTTTGCGTCGTCCATCGTCATGGTCATTTTCGTCGTGTTGTGCACTGTGGTTGTGGTCGTCCGTTATTGCCGCCACCTGTATCGTCGTCGTCCATCCATCTCCATCATCATGTAGCCATTGTCGTGTGTTGTCGTCATCGTCGTCGGGTCACATTGCTCAATGTAGCAGAGGGCGAGGTGGTGACATGGCGGTGGTTATGATGGCCGCTAAGTGGGTTGTGGCTATTAGAAAGGGGAACAAGAGGAGCTGGTGGGGCTTACAATGTGATGTGCTCACCTGTCTACTGTGGACGGTGATGACGGCATGCGTTGTCGCCATCTGGGATGACGTGGCACATCCGTGTCCCGTGTCGTAGTCGCATGGTAGTTCCGTATTGTTGTTGAGTCGTCGCTGTCCTGTGTTGGCGTTGCACCGTCGTTGTGTTGTGTCAGTCCGGACGACGAACAGCGAATTGGTTGTCATTCGTCGTTTGGTTGCCACGTCGCTTCTAGCGACGTGGCACCTGAACATTGTATGACTAAAGGAATGGGGGGCAGGGGTTGTGTTAGCTCACCTGGGTTGGCACACAACGTTGTCACTGTCCTCGTTGTCGCGTCGATGTTGCAGGCGCTCGTTTTCTTGCCAGAGCTGGTGACGTGGCGTTGCCGCGTTGTTCTTGTGGTGTTGGGGCATGCCGGGCTGGTTGTGGGTGGTCAATGAGGGTTGTGGGTTGTGGTGGCCATTGGTGACGGTGGTGGTGCGGCGGTCGTGAGTGGGCGTCATGGATGATCGATGATGGTAGTGGTTGAGGAGTTTGTGCAACGCATTACGCACACCCAAATCAAGCGTGGCCAAACGCCGACAATCAATGAATGAAATTTTGTCTAAGTCCTCACTTCAGATTTGGGCGTGGCTATGTGACAACAGCATCTAGTGAGCTCTGTTTAGTTGCTTTAAACAGTTGTATGGTGCAGCTGCTAGATTGCTCTCTTGTCCACCCCCGAGATGTCTTGTGGAGCTGAGGGTTCGATTCACGGTGTTTGCACTATTTTTGACAATGTATATGACAGATGGTGAAATCCATGGAGTCTACTGAAATAGTCAAGCAACCTCAATATTTCGAGCAGAAACTACTTGGTCTACTGACACTGTAGGAACAACAATCAAGGTCTATGGGGAAATGAGTTGAAAATATTGGAAGCTATTGAGTTTATGAACAAATGAACTGAGTGTACCTGGACTATGGGTGCATAACCAGAGTTTATCAGCACTACTTGGAGCAATGGAAGCTACTGACTTTCTGAAGAAAACTACTGAGGGTACATATTCAATCAGAAAACTACATATACTTTTTTTTTTTCCTGATGCCCCTCAGTGTAAGCAACCGGTTAATCAAAGCTTTGGAATACACATGCCTGACAAACTCATCAAAAATCGTCTTCCGTTGGTTCCGCTTGCTCGCCGTGGCGCTACTCCCCTCGTACCAGTCCTTCGGCCAGTCCTTCAGTGCACACTTCGTGACAGGATCGATCTCCTCCCACTGCTTGATGACTCTTCGCCAGGCACCAGGCACTCTTCCCAGATCTGGGATTGCGAAGGTGAAGCGACGGAAACTTGGCATAATGACAGTACCACCCTCAGATGATGTTCCCCTTTCGGAGCTCGCGGGGGACATTCCACGGCTAGCCTCAATCACAATAGCCTCAGGCGGGCTTTCGGGCAAGATATACGGGGCTGATGCCGCCCTTGATATCACTCGCGATTGGGTGTGCGACACACGCGTAGGTCCAACGGATGTGTTTGATGGATTTAGAGTCGTTTCCAAAGTGTGGCTGACCATGTCTGAGTGACAGGTATGGGAAAGTGTTGCCGTGATCACTTTCACAAGTTCGTCTATCTTGTGGTCAATCCCCGCCTTGAACTCTCGAACCTCCAGACTCGATACAGGTGCCACAGCGATGTGATCTCCCATGAAGCTCTGGTCCGCACCAAGGGGAATTGGGTGCAAGGCATTTCCATGCCCCGCCTCAAAGCTCTGCAGGGAATCCATCAAATACTTCATCAATGTGTCAACCTTGACATTGACATCCCGGTGAGAAACGAAGCTCTTAGATCTCCAGTGATGAGACAACTTACGTGCTCTCCAATTGCCCATCCACCCCACCATCGGATCCAGCTTAGTGGCCATCGCATTCCAATAGGTGCGTACATAAACCTGTACTGCGCGCCACCACGACGAAAGCAATGTGTGGTGTAATGTTTTTTCAACCCAGCTGCCGCTGCGAACTTGGTAAGTAATCCTTGCAGCATGTCGTAGCTCATGTCACGTTTAGGATGAATCAGTCCGTTTGGGGCGATGTACGGGAATATGTAATCGTTGCCTTCAACTTTGTGGTTAGGTTGGAGTTTTTGAAGGTACGCTCGCCATTTCGGAAGGTGTGTACTCATGTCGATCGCATGGACATCTTGATGATATATATCGTAGATGTTACCTACAGGACAGAAGTTGGTTTTTTCTCAGTCACGACTGGCAATTTGCTTACCGGTACGTGGACCTTCATATCCTTTTGCATGTTGCCATCCCTTCCTGTTTTCAAGGACAATTTTGAAGTGTGGAATGTAGTACGGTGCTGGCCCAACACAATCCTCCTTGATATCTTGCTCCTGAAGTGTAAGTAACTCGAAACATCTATCAGTCCAATTGAGTGTTCCGAACAATTTACAGATTCAGAGTTAGGTAAGGCATACCTCGTCCATAGCGTAAATGCAGAGCTGATGAATGCTCGCATAAGCGCGTGTTCGGCTCGAAACATTAACGTTTCGATATCTTTGACCGGCAAGGTGAGCAGGTCATCTGGACACATTTTCTCTGACCAGTCAATAATCTTTTTCATCTCTTCAACTGTTATCGCCTCGGCATGGTTACGGGATGCTGCATGTCCCTTTTCTACAGCTCTGACCTTCACTGCATGGATCACAGCCATGACGGCAGGTGCTCGAGCTGGACACCCAGTTACCTCTCCCGTCTTGTCATCCAATCGATAATCACCAGCGTACTTGTCCCCATTCCTTTTCGTGTGGTCAGATTATGATCTGATCCAATAAGCTTTATGCTCACATGGTATCCCAGTACTTCGCAAAGGCACCCTGAATCCCGTATGCAGTATCTTTTCTGAGGCCCTGCACAAAGCACTTCTGGACTAAGAACATCTCAACAGCCATTGCAGAGTAACGGTTCGGGGGGTTGGTGAATGCCTTTTCGAGCTCGTCTGTTGGGATCCCTTCGCTACAGATGTCCTCGCTGTTGTTTCGCCTCTCCTCAATCAGAGTTGCCAAAAACCTGATTCCTCTATCAAAATGTCCATCATACGCATTGCTAGTATTTTTCACTGAGGTCACTTCCTTCACCTGCACGTTTCGGGTCTTCTGCAGTGTCGCAAGTGACGCTGCGGCAACTCGAGCCTTTTTTGATGCACGTGGCGGTTTTGGCTTTACAGCTGAGGGGGATACCTTCGACGCGGCAGATGCTATATTGGCAGCTGCTGCAGATGCTTTTGTACGCGCCCTTGGGGCCATGGTCAAGTGGGACGAGAGCGAGGTAAAGTCAATTCAACAGTGTCCTACCAATTACAATACCCCATGTTTCAGCTTACAACTTCACCGTTCATGTCCCCAGTTACCCGAGTAAGCACCCTTTCATTCTGTGGGTCCAGCTTGATCCAAGGAGACATGAAGGTACAAGTACATTTGAGCTTAAATAGTCTAAAAATACATTTTATGCTACAACGAAATTGTGTTCGAAAGCCTATGTTAAATCAATGAAATCGAGCATAACCCTTTTCCTTTTCAATCCATGCCTTGCCTGATTATATTCGTGAGTGTGTGCCGAATCTCCCTCATCAACTACAAGCGGATTCTGAGACGAGCCAGCAAGGGGAGGAGGATCTGCGTGAGAGCTTGACACCACAGGCATCGGGGACATGACTTGCTCGTCGTCCTGAGCCAGAGGACCCATATGAGAGGCCAACGCCGCGGAGTTGGGGGCTGTCGCAGGATTTGCGCGAGTGCTCAACGCCCCAGCATCAGGAGCCATGGACATGACAACGCCCTCATCCTTATCAGGAAACATTAGCTATGGGTCTTGCTGACTGATAGACACGATACATACAGAGTCTGTGTAAATCCGTCGTGGCCTATTAGGTTTTGATTTCTTCTTACGTGTACGTGCATTATATTCATTGAGTAGATTGGGAACCCTGGCCTTGAGAATTGTCAATGGGATCCAAAAGTACTGGGGGGGTCGTTGTTGCTGAAGGGCCTTCCTACGTATGTCCTCGTTGAGGTTCGAAACGGTCTCACGGATGAGAGCCAATGTTGCTGTCTCAACGCTGAAGCCGGGCACAGTAGCACCTGAATTTGGCCCACCCGGACCAATCTTCTCCCGTGCAATACGAAACAGAGAAGAGCGCGTGAGGTGCCTATCAACTGATCCGGGAGTATCGATGGGCTGTAGGACTAGTCAGATATATCCTACCTAAGAGAAGGGAGCAAAACAAACTTACATTGAGGAGCATCCGCATCACGGCTGCTGGCCAAACATTCATGCAAAAACGAGGAACGATGACGCCAGCAGATCCCCACGAAAATGACTTCTCGCACAAGACTGCAAGTTTGGCCAGGTTCAGCTGGTGGAGCCCCCAGGATGTCGTATCAGGGCCGTTGCCATGCTCTGACCAGGAGGTAAGTGGGTGGGTGTAAAGCCGAAGGATGTCGAGCTTGGGGAAGTCCAAGGGGATGTTCTGGGCTAGTGCAGGGTGCTTCATACCCATTACACCATGTGGGTCGTAGAGTAGCTCATTTGCGAGCTTGTTGCGCCAGTCGTTGAGGAAGTCTTGGAGTTCATCTTGAGCAAGTTTGGTCGCAGCTTCAAAAAGCGAGTCAGCTAAGCCTCCCTGAGCCAGCTGATAAGCAATCTTGGAGCCGCATCCAGGGAGGCCGATCTAAGGACATTGCTATTTGGTAAGAAAATAGATATCTGCCGCTATTGTTAACGTACCTGATCATAGTCGCCGCCGCTCAAAATCGCGATGAAGATCAGCTTGGCGCGGGTTAGAGATGCCAGGTCCTGGATGTCGGTTGAGTTGTAGTATATGATCTTGTCGCCGTCCGCTTTGATGTTCGGGCTTGAGACATAAACATTTTGAGTGAATAAAGAGCGATTTGGGAACAGGAACTCACGGCTTGATCATGCATGTGCCCCCAAAGAGGAAGACATCAAAGTCGGTGGTAAGGACGGCCTCAATTAGACCATGGGCAGTCAACTGGGCCAGCTCTGCCTCCGCCTCTGCTGGGGCCTAAGAACACGAGGGTAGATCAATGAGAGACAAGTAAAATTACTATATAAAAGTATACACACACGATATATGGGGCACCCAGCTTCTCGAGCAAAATCCTCCACGTAGTGTTCCATCCAGTGCGGCTTGTCGGCTTTGACGTTCACTCCACGCTTTACGCGGGGACGACCAGGACCATCTTCGACAAAGACGGGAAGAATCGAGTTGGCGAGGAGGTGGCAAATCCGGTAAAAAATGGTGCGGAGGCCGGGATTTTCGCCAGTCTGAGAATGGGCGGCAGCTTGTGCTTGACAGATCCACACACTACCATGAAGATGTAAGTTAACTGATAAAGAAGACGTGAAAAGAAGTCCATACCTTACGTCGACACCAACACGAACCATGTTGTCGCCGTGGGGGTTCAACTGAAAGCCTTCCGTGAGTGCAAACTTGGTCAGAGTTTGCTCACGCCGAGCTGGTTCCAAAATCTAGAAAGGTATCAGTTCTCAGGTCACAAAATCTACAGAAGCCGTCACCTCAGAAAGTCCAGGTACGCCCATTGTGATGGTCAAGGTTGAAAATGTCGGGGAGAAGGTGAGACATTGCCCCAATTCAGTGGATTGAATTGAGAAGCAATGGGAGAAAGGAAGACTTGGAGTGAAAAGACGAAGTCGGTGCAACACACACTAAAGGAGGCCGACAAACACGCCGCTCGTTGGATTCAGGCAGTGCTTGCTAGGTGCTCGCCGCACTGGTGTTGTTGTTCATAGACTCATCAATGAAGCTGTGTTCACGTTTTTTTTACATCACATGACCCAAACGCGTCAACGCGTCGACACATTGACCAACTTCTTTCATGCCTCGCATACTATTGAGCTCTTGGAATTGGAAGCAATTGATTGCCAGCTGGTGCCATTGTATTAAATATTGATTTGTTATATTTACATTTACATGCATCTAAACAGCATGTATTTCTTGGGATGAGCCCAGGAAACAGATACCTAGTGATACTCAGAATTGGGCATAAGTGAGAGTTGAGCGAATAAGTGAACATAAGTGATTATGTTCGGTCGATTTAGCTTAAATCTGGCTCATTTTAGTGGATTTAAGGACCCTTGATACCAACCAGTTCAATTTATGGGTCAGGCGAGCTGGCAGCAGGCCAGCCGATTTACTCGTAAATCGGTTGCCAAGTCCTCAACACCCTGGTTGGGCCTGGGTTGGGCTAAAGTAAGGGTCATCCACGGTCGTACCCTGTTGTACCCTGTTTCGCCGTTGAAAACACAGATTTACAACCGTAACCCTTGAAATTCAAAGACATGATTCAAGTCAAATTCAAGTTTGAAAAAAGCTATTATCTCAAATAGTACACACTATACAATAAGATGGACCTATGGCTATGTAAACAATTCAAGAAAGTGATGATTGGTGGACAGGACTCGCAGTGTCGACAGAAGAGCTGGTGGCGGATGACAAGATCGCGATACACAGACTGCAAGGGGTGATCAGACGGCGAAACTTGGGACCAGGCCTGCAGGGCCATTTCAAGAAATTGAATGAAGGTGCACCAAGCGAGAAAAGAGGGCCTCTGAGACGGGAAGACGTCCCAGATCAGGTGAGAGGGATCAACGCTTTTTGCGCCCCGCCTGGAGACTCGAAATAGCGAGGACTCCTCACTACGCCAAGAAGACATCGCATCGTAGAAAAGCGTGTTGAAAGCGGTTACGGTGGGAGCCGCTGACTGTGGAACGGGTTGAAATGAAACAGGTGCATGCCATGTCAATAACATAGGAAGTATCGACATCCATGGGGGAAGAAAACTCTGGTAGAAATGTGTCAGTATAGGTAGTCACAACATATTTCAAACAAGACTAGAAACTGACCTGGTTTCGTTGCTGACTGAAAATCGTTGCGTCGGAAGTTCTGAACGTCGAGAGATGTCCAAAGGTTCAGTCGGGCATCAAATCGAGGTCTTTCCGAGGGGGAGAATTGAGCGAGACATTGGATGGAAGGAAGGCTCGAGGTCCGACGAAAGGAACGATATCGAACGCGTTTGCTCCGTTTGCGTATGGGTGCGGAAGGCGCGTGGAACAAGATGCTGGGTGGAAGCTGAGGTGAAGAAAGCCATGTCGGAATTGAGTACTTCTGTTTCTTGAAGGTACGACGCGTCGATGGATCTATGAGACGGTCCAAAGCGATAGGCTCTGAATGTGGAAGCGAGAACAACGCGGTTACCTGAGTGATGCGGAGTCAGGGAAGTGTTGGGCAAGAGACTTGGCTCAGGGAAAAGTGATTTCTCACAGGAAAACGGAATCCGGTGATGGGCGCATTTTATCAGATTTAACATTCACTCCTTAAATCGAGTGAAATAATTGTACTTACAGTCGTGGACAAGCAAAGCCCACTAAAAAAATGGCTGACATAGCACTTCCTTTTTGAGTATCTGAAATGATGCATATTAGTTAGCTGAAGTTCCCAGTCAAATTTCAAAGAGATTTATCGAGCAGTTCTTGAGAAAATGTCTATTTAAGGAAATGGTCCCTGAAATTTTGGCAAAAACCCTTAAAAGGAAATGGAAAAATCCGAAAAAATGCGCAATCGCTTCCTTTCAATAGACGGAGCGTGTCCACCGCGTTTCAAAGGGTTTCATCGAGTGGTTGGCCCACAATAAAATCCTGAATTTGACTAATGCTGCCTAAGAAGAAAGTCAATGCCACCTCAGAAGCACTAAATGCTTGTCCTGCTGGCCGTTTATCAACCGATCATGGCAGTGGATGTCGGCTTATCACATCAGATTGACTGGGGAGGCTGCCCAGTGGGCTGTGCGAAAGCAAAAAGGGCAATGAAGCGTTTCGAGGACCGCAACGATGCATTTAGATACAGCTCTCAACTGAATTTTGTACATTACATTTGCAATTCTTGACCCTAAAAATTTGGCAATTACTAATTACTCGTGGGAAAAACTTCGGAGGGGGTGTTTTCGACGTCTTTTGAAAAACTGAGCAAGATTCTGAAAGAATCTCGCAATTTCATCGAGTTTTCGGTGAGAAAAGCGATTGGTGGGCTTTGCTTGTCCACGACTGTATCTAGTGGCAAGGCCGTGATCGATTTATCCGATCACGAGTTAATCTGAAGTCGGGTTCAATGGAAGAACAAAAACCGTTTTGAACCTCTAAAAGAATCGTGAATCTTTTGAGCTGGCCGATGAGTAGTAGTCTTGACACCAGTTCAATTACCCGCCTCACATTGACCCAATCCGGACTCGTGTATAGAAGTCCCTCCGCATCCGTTTACCCCCTCGTCCCCAACATAGTGATTTGAACCCCTTCGAGATTAGTAGAGTCGAGCAAATGAGTGGAGAGTCCAAGAAAGAGTCGTTTGAGAATTGTTGTGAGATCATTCTTGAAGCTTAAAGTTTGGAAGGCTTCTAGTATTAGGTAATCCATTTTACTTCGATGATAAATTACAAGAACGGCGGACAGATCAAGAAAAGAAAAGAAAAGAAAAGAGTAAAAAGTGGGATGAGTAGAACACACAAACATACAACGAATGATGGATGGTAATGGACAGTGGGTGATGCTATGAAGAGAAGGAAGATCAAGAGGAGAATGTACGACGTAAAACATGAATGAAAGAGAATTAGCGTGTCCAACGAGCTTGACGGACCGTAATTTAAGTACCAGATACGCATCATCAAAAGACGACAACAAGAAATCCAAGACGACAGCGTCGGAGGAGGCCCTGGCTCGGAGCAAGCAGGAAGGGAGGGATCGGCACCCAGACCCTACTCCGCCCTAGATCCCTCCCACCTCCTCAACATGCTCTTGCTGCCGCTTTCCACCCTCACCCCCCGTAACAGTCAACCAAGCTTCCAACCGCCTCCCCAGCTCCCCTCCACGCCCACCACATATATCCCCCGTCGTATTCAACATCTGCTCCTTCTCCTGCTCATCCACGAACGGCAACTTCCTCGACAACCGTGCTACTCCTCGTGCGGGTGGTATTGTTAACACCATCCCAGCCGCGCCTACGCCGTTGCTCTTCGCCCCCTTGGTCGTCCCGTTCATCTTGGAAGTCCGCGAGAAAGAGTTTGAGCTGGATCCTCCCGTTGCCTGTGCTGGGTGATGATGATGGTGATGATGTAGATGATGATTCTCAGTACGCGGAGACGCAATCACCGCTCTTGATGTCTCCCGATCCGCGTCCGCCTCCGTACACGCGCTCTCCTTCCCACTAGCAGCTCCCTTGAACCACTCACCCTCAAACTCTTCCGGCCCCAATATACTCTCCACTAATCCCTCCTCCCACCCATCCCACTCCACACACCGATGTGCCATCCTTAGTCGAACACCCGCGGATTCATGGTGCAACCACTCCCTGCACAGAGTCGTCAAATCAGCTTTGGAGCCAGGTGGGAGTTTGAGGTTCGCAGAAGCAGGGTCGGAGGGGAGTCGCGCAACAGCCTCGCGGAATAGTTTGCTTAGGAAGGGACTGGATTGGAGGAAGGCGGGTACGTGTGCGCAGGCCCAGAGTGGGCGGGTGGTGGTTGATTCCCAGTCGATTATACATGTCTGTCGGAGGTGTTTGAGTATGGTGAGGTAGTATAAGAGAGAGACATACGATGGATGTGTTATCCTTTGCATCCACAAACACATTCTCCAAGCTCAAGTCATGGCAATCCAAGCCAAACTCCTCTTTACCTTCCCCCATGGGCCGATCATCCTCCAGTTTCATCAAACGCTCCATAACCCTCATCCACCTCCCCATCTCCCTCCTAACCTGATCCTCCCTCTGACTCATATGAGCCACCAAAAAAGTACTGCGCTGCATCCGCCTATAATCCCTATACATCGCATCTCCAGGACCCTCCCATTCCTCTTCACTCTCCTCCAGATCCCATTCATCAGAATCATCGCTCTCGTCTCCAGGTACCGCCCTTAACCTGTGATGCCGCGAACTCCTGATCTCATCCGGGTCCAGATGTAACCGATGTGGAGCTGCGCTGCCTTCATTCTCGCGTATTACACCCTGGATCTCGCGCTCTGCGCAGGACGCCAAGTAAGACGCGGTGGAAGCCCACGGACCGCGGTTCAATTCTTCTGGGTGTGTCAGATCGCCACGGTTGGAGCCGAAGAAAGGCCAGGATATAATTGGGCCCACGTGGAAGACGTGAGTTGCAGTATGAATAGACTGGAGAGACGGGGTCTTGGGCACAGGGCCGTTCACCCCGCTCATGCTTAGCGTTGGGGAGAATGGGAATGCAGAATATGCAGGGCAATATTGGCTGGCTTTGGGGGTTGGGGTGTCGGAAGAGACTATTATCCGCGGGTCAGGCCCGAAATAGATGGACCCTATTCCGGAGAATCGATGCGCGAAGAGAGGGATGACGATGGCTGCGAGGTTTCGCATGAGCTTCACAATGTCACTGTAAGGGAGCCCGTGATAAACTTGTGAAAGCGGAAGTCCGGGCGCCTGTAGGGTGGTAAGTCACGTGATCGACTCGAAAGTTTTAGTGATGCACCTTCGACATGAGAATAATTTCACCTCCTAGGCGGTTGTAGGGGTTTGAATCGTAGTGATAGACCTTCGGAACGGGGACACTGGTTTTTTCGCGAAGGTAGCTCATTGTAGCAACCTCTGATTCGGTCTTGAGTCTGGGCATGAACCGACGTGCAACGCGTGCCACTAGCTCCGTGTAATCGACGAGTGTGACAAGGTAGGCCTAAATAGATGATCAGTACATGTAAGGGACCCCGTCCCGAGACGGATTGACCTTGTGAAAGGTTCCTTAAGCAAAGATCAGCTCAGCCGACAGCCGAAACATCAGAGAGCGACATACCCGCACTAAGAAAGGTGATACGACCAACCTCGACACCCATTTTCTCGCGGACGACGTCCTTCAATACCCTTCTATCCACTTCGAAAGGAGAAGCACCATGCAAGGCGGCATCAGCCTTAGATTCCCGTTTCCTGTCGGCATGTTCGGTGGCCCAGTCCCATTGGAGCAGTGGCTGAGTGGTTGTCGGCGTTGGTTGCAAATGTTGTTGGTCTATGTTCAAGCAAAGTTTGCGGGCATCCTGGTGCATAATAGAGGGGTTACGGGTGTTGTGAACGCGAGGGGACCCCTTATCAACGAGTGGTGTCTCTGAATCAACACAATTTCCCGGAAATGAGCCGGAACTTGAGAATGCGGAATTAAGGAAAGGTACAACCAGCCTTGAGGCACTAATAGAAGAATAGATGTTGTTAGCAGCGAGATATGTTGTGAAGGCGGTGTGTAGACGCTATGGTAGAGAGGGAGACGTACTCATAGGTTTTAGAGCCGATGTGCTTGGCCGTGTTTGCATCTCCCGCCTCAGAATTGCTCCCCACACACGTTTCTGCTCCTGCCGCTGCCGTTTTACTCGCTGGATTACCCATGGGCGATGAAGATATTTATCATGTAACTCTCGAAACCTTTATATCCCTCGACTCTCCTTGGCGAGTGACGTGAACCCTTGCTTCTTTTCACCGCCAGAATTCGCATAACTTTCCGACACCGCGTATTTGGCTACGAACTCGTCACTTCAATCACAAAAACATCCCACGTCTATTACCCCACCACTGCGGTTAATATATATTACCATAGTTGCTCACACTACGCCATGGTTGCTGCTCTCACCTACCGGAGTGGGTCTCTTCCTGGTCTCATCCGAGTCACTTCTTGACAGATAATACTTCTCCGCGCCAAGCCCCCACGCCAAGACGAGTCACTTCACTATCATTTATATTCCGCACAAATTCCGCACAAAATTCTGCATCAATGTCCCCGGGTGCCACGACTTATACATCGTCCGATCAATTATTTCTATCAGACGGCCTTTACATCTGTTAACTAATCGCTGAGCCTCAGTAAGCGCCGGTCTCAATCTCAAACTCTACCCTGATCTCGGAATGCAGGGAAGATGGGACGCGAATAACTTCATCTTCCGCTCAGCACACTATGAACTAAACCGCGCCTTGGCATCAACCCTCAGGTTTCAACGACTTCGTTGGGAAAGCTAACGCCATTCTTGGTGGTGAACAAACGCCATTCCCACTTGTGCTCATACATCCGAAACGTGCATTCAAGAACTCGCTAAACCTAGCAAAGCAGGTCCAGGATTCACCTTGACTGCGCCTTGCACGTTCGCATAATTATCCGCACCTGCGCCACCAGGGTTCTAGCGATTACGTCCATAACAAAGTCAACAATCCAAAAGATCCGGCGGGCGCTTCGGTCCTTCGGACACTGGGTCGGTTTGCCCGTCTGGGTCAAATAAAAAATCGACGCACTCATCAAGCACCCAGCAGTTTCTTCCATCACATGGTCACAAGACAAGTCCACGCGAATTCCTCTATCATTACTTTGTTTTTCTCATTGTCTCTGGCAGCTATGAACTGTCACTTGTTCCGTCCCGGACGCTGGTAGCACGACATATGGCGTCGTGTTCCGCTGACCGTGATCCACCATTCATTGACCATTCACGGAAGAGATAACGTTCGTTTTTTTAAGCCAGTCTGAAAAACTCAACTGCAAGCAGGTTGTTTTATAAGGATAGTCTTCGAAGTTGGTAATTGACGCCTCTTTCGAAGGCTGAAGCGCCTTTGCTTCGGATGGCGGACTGGCGCGTTTCAATTTTGACGCAATCACACCACCCCATACAATTTCTTCCGCACACTTTGAATTTAAGCATGACGCTTCGGCTACCCGCGGCTCGTCATTTCATCTGGAGATCTAGCGGCTTTTATTTTCCTGTGACGTCGATGAGAGATTTCTTCAATTCCCAAGCTGCCAGATGTGCCGCGTCCGGAGCATACAAAACACTCTATCTAGTCACCTGGTGAACGGACTTATCGTTCGACCCAGCTCTAGATCTAAAGAGTGCTATAAATAAGAAGGTCGAAGGCCGCCTGATTTTTATCAATAGAATGCAGACCTACAAATGTGCAGCTTTGAAGAATATACAAAGCCATTTAATTGCGAGTTTGGCTTGCAGGTCGGGGGTTGCGTAGAGATGTAGAGAGCGTCTATGGAGGTACCATGATGATAAGCGTAGGTTATCTGACGTCACGTACATATGACAGGTATCTTGGGGCACTCGCCGCCTCCTGAGTCCTGACATAATTCCCACTTCCTTTCAACTTTCTTCTCATTGGCCGTCCACCTGATGAGGTGCCTTGTTCGAGTGCCGGCATTGGTTATTGAAGGTTGAAGGGCCTAGCATATGAACTTGCCTCGACGAAGGTTTATTTGAAGTCTATTGGCACCACCCACGATTTCCAAAGCAAATCCCACCGCGCATCACCTTTACGGCGAGTTTCCCTTCATTCTTGTTCTTACAATTATTCGCACTCCCTGTAGTCTGATATCGCTAGAAACCCCAAGGGTGTTGCCGAGAGCATTCAATGGGTATGACCATATTTTCCTCCTTTCTCCTTATCTTATCTTGAAAGGTGTGCAGGGTCCCTGTCAAATCGTATGGGTAACGTAGATGCTGAGGGAGTTGACAAAATCTCCTACCTCTGATGTAAAGTACCATGTATTTTGTGAAATTGATTTTTTTTTTGGTTTTGGAGCACAATATATGGCGTGGCAGTACATGTTCAAACGTTCATGCATAACTTGGACGCACGAAATTCCAGCATAGAATTCGATGACGGATTTGATTTCGTCGTCGCTGAGGGTAGATAGTTTTTCAGGACCACCAATGAAAAGCAAGTAGGAGTCGCCAGTTATACGCTTGATTGCGTCAAAGGCGAGTCATCATGGCGGGTAGTAACATGGTTCCGTCCGCATTCACTGTTGACGAGATTAAAGCTTTAATCATGGCCGTCAAGGTTTCCAGTAAGAAACCAAGATTCAACAGCTTCATGGCCCGCACCATGACCTACCATCAGTCATAAATCGGCATCTCGGACGTATACACACACGACTTGTGAAACCGTCGAAGACCCCAATAAATTTCGGACCGTCGAAAACCCCGATAGATTTTTGTTTTCCATTTAAAAGCTTCAGTTGTTCACCGGCACCACCGCTGAGGATGGTCGGAGTCGGTTAGACGCTGAGGACGAAATTGAAGGGAAACAGTAAAAGCATCATGCTTAGTGGTCGTCACAAAAATACGGGCTAATTTGGAGCGCAATTCATCGGCCGTAATGTCTCGCACAGGTAAGAATTATCCATCTGGTCGTAGAATTGAGTCAGTGGTTGGTCAGTGGAAAAGCTGTTGATGCAACAAACAAGTACAAAGCTGATTTCCTCTGTACTTTCATGATGAAGCCCAACGAAGATCGCTACACAACTACAAACCATGGCTCATTCAACAAATTTAATGAAAGCTACAACCATTCCAACAACGACTACTCTTTCACAGATAACAGTCAACGTACGTCAGACGACGCTGAGCTACAATCTCAAGTCGCTGATATCCACCGGCGCCTACCGCTGCAGACCATACCTCCACCGTGAACAGTCAAACACTCGCTCCTACAGGTACGGTCCAAGTCAATAATTTGGCTTTCACTCCGCAATGTTCCCTTTCTTCTAGTTATGCTCCGAGAACATGCTGTCCTCGCTGCTTCATACGATTCACAGGAGCAACAACATACCCCGCTATGTCTATCCGGAACTCGCGCGGTGATTCTCACTCGTATTTTGAAATGGGCGGGTTCGAGTGACGAGAGCCCCATATGCTGGCTTCATGGTCCTGGCGGTACTGGGAAGACCACCATCGCGGCCACGCTTGCGAAAAAGTTCGCATCTGAGGGAAGACTTGCAGGCACCTTCTTCTTTTCTCGAGAATCAGCACTCCCAGGGCGTTGGACTACCCAGAACCTTGTGACGACCATCGCATATCAGCTTGCCATTGCTCATCCCAATGTCGGTAGGAAAATCCATCGGGTTATCCAGGCTGATCCAACACTCTTCTCTAAGTCGTTGTAGACGCAAATGGAGAGTCTTCTTCTAGCTCCTACTCAGCCTTACACATTCCCATTGCTTATCGGCCGGACATTCCGGTTATTCCTTGAACTAGCCTCAGCGCTGCTCCCTTTCTAATTTTTCATTCCGCGTTTGAAAACGTCACGCGGATGGTGCCTCATTTTCTTACCAATAGTTGTCCATCTTTCCGCTGTCTATGACGCGACTAGGTTTGTTGCCCTTGGTGTGTTCCCCAAGTGGTTGCCTATGATTGTTATCATCGATGGGCTCGATGAATGCGATGGGAAGGACTCGCTTGAACTTATCAGGATTCTCGCAGGTGGAAAACGGGATTTTTCAACTTCTATTCGCTTCTTCATCACTAGCCGCGCTGAAGATCACCTCCAAGGAAAATTCAGGCTCTATGCCCGGCGGACGCAGTTCATCGACTTAATGGACTTTTGGGCTCATGATGACATTCACATGTATCTTCAGGATGGCTTTTCAGTGGTTTTAGCGGAAAACGAAGGGTATATGAAAGGCGTAGAGAAACCCTGGCCTTCAGCCTCAGACCTAACAGCACTGGTGGAGAAGTCTGAAGGTCTATTTGTGTACGCTTCTACTCTTCTCAAATTTGTGGGTGATTTGGACTCGGGAGAAGGCGTTCCCGCGACACGACTAAAGAAAGCTATGCTACGACATGACGGATTGGATGGTATTTATCATCAGGTTTTCCGTGACACCCCACACTCCTCGAAAAATGACTTCAAGCGACTGTTTGGCGTGCTTCTACTGCTCAAATACCCACTTCCTATTGACGATCTCGTACAACTGCTTCGCCTTGGTGGTGCTAGTGAGGCTCGACGCCCCCTGAGGGGTTGCAAGGCAATCCTCAGATTTCCGGATAATAATCAGGGCCAGGTCACTTTTTTTCATGCATCCTTGCACGACTTCCTGCTTGAGGAAGACCGTTCAAGACAAAACTACATCGATCCCTTGCGCCATCATGTTTATTTGCTCTATGATTGCTTCAGAATCATGGTGTCGAAGTGTGGATCAATATCAAGTAACCTGAAGGCGTCCCGACCCCCACCTCCCAATGGCTTTGATCCATTTCCAGCTAACCTTTTGTATGCTTGTCGAAGTTGGTGTTATCATCTCAAGGAGATCTTGACCTTCCATGATGGAATGAGCTATCTCATGTCTCATCTTAAGGACGAGATTTTTAGAGCTCTTTTTATATCCTGCTTGAGTTCCCTTGCGACGGATTGGTTTCAACTTTCAAACATGGGCGATTATTTTTGGATACCATCAATTAGATATTTGGGGAGGGCTTCAAAATGAGCTGGATGCTATAATTTCCATGTGTCCAGTGAGCTTGAAAATATTGGCAAAGATTCGTGCTGACACTGATTCAGGACGATAATATCTTCAGCCCATTGCACGACTTACGAAAACAAATTAAAAAACACAGGTGTAATATTTATTCAAGTGTGAGTCATTCTCTGATACGGCATGGCAGGATTATGGCCAAGAAATATCAGAGTAGGTAAGTTGATTTCTCTGAGAAATTTAATATCCTCTGTGTCGTAGACAAAATTCATGAAGAAAAAGTCAAGCGCTTCTTTGGGGAGGCGACTCGCCAAATTTTCTATAGGTTTCTGCTTTTTTATTTGACTAAATTTTACCACAAAAGCTATAGTCGGACCCTTCTTAACCCACATCACTTCTTCGAAATCCATAGACTGCCCGCCTGTTGCCAATGTTTCGGTGATTTTCTAAATCTAAAAGTTTGTCACGGTACATGCCTCTTCCGGTAACAACTTCTTACATCCTACGCCGACAAAGATCCACCGAAGAGTAGCGAAGAATATGATTGAGATTGGTTTACTACTCTGCCTTTTGCAACTTTTGTTACTTATCCTCGTTTCGGCCAAACGGTTTGCCGTGGGAGGCTGTTTAGCCACCTTGTTTTTCTGTTGAACCATAGCCCTTGGAAGTAAACAATTATTGTCCTTTGCGGGGCATAAGGGTCCGTAGAATGCAGATCGCGATGATCGATGAACGACTACTGTGCCTTTTGTATCATACAAGGTCTCCATTTCAATGACAACTCGATGACAACAAGGACCCACAATGAAGCAACTTTTCTGCCCCGTCGCTCACAAACGGTTGCCTCTCAACTACCTGGCGTTTAGTTCGGACACAGAGAAGGACATTAAAGCCTACTCATCCCAACGAGTTGTTGTGGATAGAAAAAGATATGATGGCAACGAAGGTAAAGCGAGTGTTTTCGGAGATAGCGGAGTTGGAAAGCTCCATATGAAGCCTGTCAACAAGCCCACACCTTGCGGCTTCCCCATACCTCCCTAAATTCAACATACCGCAGGACGGCTTCCAATGTCCTTCAGCACTGTATTCTTCCCCGACCCACCGACTAAAGACTCACTTGCCTCGGCCAGGCTCTCTCTCTCAGCAACGCGCACCTCGGCGTTCCAGCTTTCCTCAAAAATACTCGCAGCAGAGTCTGCTCTCGCCCAGCTCATTCGCGAGTCCAAACATGCCATTGAGGAAATGCAACACGCGTATGGGGCGTTGCAGGATCAGATTTTCAGGACGGAGGCATACTTGAGTGGGATTCGACGTTTACCTGTGGAACTACTTCGGGAAATATTCATGTGGTGTTTCGATTCTAATGGATATGAGGCTTCCGCGTGGACCCTATCGAGTGTCTGCACGAGTTGGAGGACCTTGGCGTTGGGCATGCCATTAATTTGGTCGAAAGTGAGTGTTGTCTTTTTTTTTGGTCGTCCTTGAGGCCATTTTGGGATATGGGCTGAGTGGGGGGGTTGGATTGCGGGGGGCGATCGAAACTTGGTGCTGCTGTCTGCCCCCCACACGCCTTCCACGTTCCTAGACTCTGAGCGGCATGGGTCCTGTCGACTGTCGACTGCTGCCTGTCACTGTCATCTCAGGTCGCTTCGTCCCTGCGCCTCCGGAGAAGTCGGCCTTTTTACCCGGGTAATCGCTTTACCTTACAAATCTGAGGAGGCTTGGACGAACGCAGTCTTCTCCATCCCGAGAAAGAATTTTTTTCCTCCCATGCTACTTATGTCATATCTATGATTCAACGTGACTTACCAAACTGGACTTACAGATCCGTTTAATAACCACGCCCCAATCATCGGCGGATACGATTCGTCTTTGGTTGGAACGTTCAGGGTCTTCTGTACCCTTGGACATCGAGATAGTACTACGCGTCGCCAGTCCTAAATCCACCACTTCAAATTCTAATGCGGATGCGTCCAACACGTCGCGACCGCCAAGAGCGTCGTCCCCTACGCTACCCCCCTACCCTCAGACATCGCACTACGTGGTACCGCATCACCCACCAGGAGGGACAGTAACGATTCTCGCGCCGGGGAATGTGCCCCCACCCATCATTATGCCCCACTCACCCACCCCTCCTCATACCCCTTCTAGTCCCCACAGTTCCACTACGGATTCGTCGTGTCAATCCGAAAGGAACGAAAGACAGAGACCGGGTATGCATTGGGGCCACATTGCATTCTTTTACCTCGTGGAACAGATGCATCGATGGGAACGATTTGTATTCCGTTTCGACAAGCAATTCGCCTCGCTAAGTGCGCTGAAGGGCATCAATGGTATGTCCGCCTCCCAATCATGATACATCCTACTGACGCTTCTTATAGGTGACGCCCCATTGTTGAAGGAATTCGAAGTAACCAGCGCAGAAGCCGCATTCTACACCGAATGGCCTTGGCTTCCTAACTCTTCGGGACCTATACCCTCGTTACCGAATCTCCGCACTCTGACCCTCCAACACGCACCCTTCAAGTGGAACTCCCCCATGCTCCGCAACCTCAACGTGCTCGTCTTACGCGCCGTTCCAACCCTCCATATCCCCTTCGATAGAATCCTATACATCATCGCCCAGAACCCTGCGTTGACGGAGCTTTCTCTGCACTTCCAAGGCGTACTGCCCGCCATACTCCCTTTGACGCCCCTTACCCTGCAAAACTTGAAGAAACTCAACATAGGCGGGCACTATCTCCTCTCTTCTGTCGTCGATGCACTCTCCCTTCCAATGCTCCAAAACCTGACTATTGATGTGGAGGCACGTGACCCCATCGAAGATACTATCTCTGCCTTGATCACACGGTCCCAAAAACCTCCCATAGAACACCTGTCGATTGCGTATAATTCATCCGCGCAGGCGTTTTACTACGGCCCTGGGGGCGTGGTGATCTCATGGTCTCTCTTGAACGACTTGCCCATGTTGAAGACGCTCCAGGTTGGGGGTACGCCTTTGGAGGGATTGGTATCGGCCCTGGGCGATCCAGAGGACGACGATAATAACCACCCTCCTGCAGTGGGAGGTGGTCCTGCCCATGGTTGGATCTGTCCGAATTTGGAGAAGCTGGGCATGAGGGCTTGTCATGGACATAGTGAGGGGATGGGGCGGTTGATACGCATGGTGGAGGCGCGGAATCCGATTCATGCGAATGCGGGTGGGGCTGGGGCGCCTGATCGGCTTAAGGTGTTAGAGATGCATGAGTGTACGAGCGTGGGTGCGGATATTGTACAGTGGTTGGAGGGAAGGGTGGGTGTGGTAGTTTGTACGGAGCCGGTGTATGACAGGTGCGTTTTTGTCTGCTTTTTTGTTCTTTCTTCATGGGCATTGGTTGATGAGGTCTTTTGTTCTTTAGGTCACTTGGCCATCCATATCTATAAAACCGTATCTCAAGGTCCGTTCCGTGAATTCGTTCTCTGTGTTCTGTGTATTTTTGTTTCCCAGTATTTTTCTTCTGTCTCTCTCTATTTAAACGCCCCTTGCATTCCATTCTAGATCTCATCTTGTTCACCTCATTACGATTTCCCTCTATCTTGCAATGATTCCTATTTTATTTCAGCACTCGACAATTCATATCATATACAGCATTCACGCGTCTGGTATAATTCTACTTTTACACACTACGTGTTCGCCTATATTCATCTTCTCTCCTCCGCTTCCGACTCCGTACTTGAGGCCCTCTTTTCCATAATGCCTCTGTATTTCCTGGCTACCGCTTCACATAAAACGCATATGGCGACGTTATTTACAATTCACATACGTACGCCTTTATCTCTGATAGTAACATTGACTTCACAATTACTCTGAATTTGAACAGTATAACCAGTATTTTGGTCCTTTCGTGCCGTTGGCTTTTTGCGTGTTCACCCATCAACTGCGGATAACGAATACTCAGTGAGACGCGTCCTCTCCGCTATTTTCGTCGATAAACCCTTGCGTTGACAGATGAGGATCAAGCGAAGATTATCATGGATTTTTAGTACCCCAAAACAAACGATCTGTTGAGATTATAGGTATATCTGATACAATCAGCAACAAGCCAGCAAATCTCCTCAGCGCTGTGAGGAAGAAATGTCACCAGCTCGATTGGATTATCCGACCACCAGGCAAAATCATCCAAGGTCCAATGGCAAGTGGAGATACGATAAACGCAATTTACCGGTCGTCGTGAACTCGAGAGAACGAAAGGAGTTTCGGTGTAGAAATGCGTTTGAAAGTGAGTGATTTCTTTGAATGCGTTGAATCATTTTTATTTTCATTTTTCAGGCAATCAAAGTTGGCCCCACTTTTAATAAACTTTTGACTCACAATGACTCGGAGGCTCCGCAGAGACGCAGAAAGTTTGGCTCATACTCCGTTGAAGCCGACATTTTAGAAAGGATATGGTTTCCTCAAGGTTTCCTCCGGCTGTAAACTCTTCATCGGATTGACATTCTGGATTATCTGTGGGATGGGTAATTTATTTTTGATAAACATCGCGTCCTTTGCACGTCCTGTGAAGTTGTATTTCGTGTGACTTTTTCCCACCCTCGACTTTGACGAAAACTTCTCACTCGAATCGCCGAGTCTCAGTCACTTCACACAATGTACTGAGCTCAGATCACTAAATCTCTCCACCCGTCCCATCTGCTAGTAATAAGAGGGTATAACGGGCACTCCCAACGCTCAAAGGCAAGACGGTCAAGTATGGACTCATCACTTCCTGAGGTATCATTGAATTATTTTCGGCCACACACTGACATTCTAATTTCTTAAGATTCCTGGTGAGCTGCATTCCTCGAGCTCTGGAATTATCGAATTAACGTCAACTTCTCTGTCAATCACTGTTGAACGCGTTTCTGCCTCCTTGGAGATTCAGACATAAGTATCAGGTTACGCCAGGATGACTGCAGTGCCGTTGGGATTAAGCCGTTTGTCGCCTGTTGCTTAGTATGATTCAACATTCATATTCCGAAGTAATACTAACGCGTATCTTCAGCTTTTTCCTACCAGCGAGGAGAGCGCCGACAGCCACTAAAAATGCAACAACAGCAGCAATAATCCCAACTATCACCGCGAAGTGCACCATGGTTTTCTGATGGGGTGAAGTCGTTTTCGGTGGTGGTGGCCTGTTTGGCCCCCCGAGCGCTTGACTGTTCGACAATGCCAATGGTGATGAATCTGCCGAAGCCTGGGGTCCGGGCTGTGAACTGGTCGACGGCGTTGGCTGTGATCCTATCTCTTTGTTATGCAGCCCAGATGGCGACACCCCGTTTGCTGAACCACCATCCCCGAACGGGTTAGTGGTGTTTGAGTTGATCTGGGAGTTGGGGGGCATTAAGCCGACAGGATCTCCAGATATCACAAGCGTGAAAAGAGATTTTGAAACTGTGGCACAAGGCAAGGTCTGCTTTCAGCGCGATAAACAACAGGTTGATTCACAGAAGGTCCTGGTGGACGTACAAATTCAGAAGGTGGGATTGCCTCGAGGTGAGGGGCACAGAAGCTCAGCAAAGCAATTTGATTGGCTAATTTGCTTTGCGACAGTGCGTCCTTCGAAACATTGTCCGCATTGGCCGCTATCGCAAGCGAAGTCTCCGTCGCACCGTATGACTTAATCGCCCACACACCGAACACAACTCCCGCAGTAATTCCGGCGATTTGGAGGGCATAATTAACAATTTCGCTCCATGAAAATACCCAAATCACTGCTGTAGTGCGTTTGTCCTTCCGATCATGTTCTAGAAGCTTCTCATCGTTCTCTGTGCTAAATTTCTCGTTGTTGGGTGTATTGCTAGGACCAATGCTTGACATTCTGTCCAAGAGCCCTGGGTGACGATCGATCTCAACGATGGAAGGGCTGCCTACGACGGTAGGGCTGCCTACGGTGGAAGGGCTGCATAGGATGGAAGGGCTGGGGTCTAGGATGGGAGGGCTCTCGGGGCTTAGTAGGATAGGAGGGCTGCCTAGAGTGATAGGGCTGGGGCTGAGGATGGTAGGATTGCCTATGGTGGAAGAGCTGCCTACAGTGGAAGAGCTCCCTATGATGGGTGGGCTTTCTTGGCAGTCACTCATTTGCAGAGAGTTGGGGAGCTCTTAGTACTATGGGTGCGTCCAAACTTGTTATACGTGCTGATGCAACTTGTATTTCAAACAGATAACGATATGCTGTGGTTTCCCTGCGACTATTGACCATGATCTTGCACGGCAATATTTCAGTCAATGAGCGCTCCGATTCCCAAGTTTCCAAGCTGCCAGTGAGCCTGCAGACATCTTTCGGGCCGCTCTTCTGTCTTCACTCTTGGCTAGCGTCTCAAGGACTTGTCCGGTCATTTGGCAAGCGGTTAACGTAATGTTCTGTGCATCAAGCCGACATAGCCCATCAACCGAGGACAACGTGCGCAGACGATGAGCATTGAGTACTAGGTAAGTTCAAAAACATATTTACTACGCGACTTCACTCAACTTCACTGATATTCGTAAATGTGAATTTGATCAACTTGGGTCGTAAATTTCAGATCATGGATCCTCAGTGCGAAATCCAATTCGTTGTGCTCTCGACGGCCCTGGCGCCGGAACACTCTCTGATTTCGAGCAAGTGTGGAGTGTTACTCAGGTTCGGGGTCAGTGTAAACTCAGCCTTTTCTCCATTGCCAGATGTAATCTCCTGGAAAGGGTCAAACAACCGAGCATTCGGTGAAATCACAGATCATTAGAGGATGCCGACGCTACTATCACTTGTCGGGTTGTTTCAAAACTCTCATTGATACAACATTGATCCACTGGCAAGGACAGCTCCGTCAAATCTTCACCAAGTTTCTCCGGACCTTGACCAGTTGAGACTATGGTTTCTCCTATGATAGCAGTATTTTTTCAGTAATAAGAAAAGGTGAGGATGAGGTGGCCGGAATCGCGATGTTGTCGCGATGCAAAACCACGATGAAATTTCGAGCTCCGAATGTAAGAATTCAAATATTCAAGGCCCTTCCCCTCCGCCGTCCGGACAAGTTCCTTTTTTGTTTCTGTGACAAAAATTGAAAAATTTGGAATCTTATCCAAGTACACAAGCACCCCAAGCAGCCATCCACGCATGCTATTGCTCGACTCCTTGTCAGGCCTACGACGCCCAGCAAATCCATTATGATTTGATTGTAAACTTGGGTTTTATGTAAAGGGTTATTATAGGCTTATTATAAACCTGCATTTGATCTTTATTTCTGAAGTCGACTTTTCACAGCCATGCTATTCCAGTATCTCGCACATCGCAAGGCTTGGTGAGCTTAATCTCTTTTCCTCTGTCTACAACAAATCAAACCTCACACCAAACCAGTGAAACGAAACAGGAAGAGCGACGACAGCGCATCACCGATGTCGCCACAGCTTTCCACTTGTCGGAACCACTGACAGCTCAGGAGGTTGAGGTCCTCGCTGAACCTATTTCGACCCTCGTCTCTGCCGTACAAACCGGCAAGGCTGACCCAGTCGACATCTTGAGGGCTTATGGGAAGAAAGCGCTCAAGGCTCAGGAGGCCACAAATTGTTTGACAGAGGTTATGATTTTTGCGGCGCTCAGTTGGGCACAGGGGTGTAATCGAGATGGTCCTCTAGCCGGGGTGCCCGTTAGCCTCAAAGACGTGAGTTCCAACCTCCCACTTGCACCGTCAATTGATGAACCTAGCTTATCGAGATAGACGGTCAGCGTGAAGGGTTGGGACGGGTGTATTGGCTACTCGGCGTGGGTAGGCAAGCCCGCTACGAAAGATTCAGCCCTCGTTCGCCTCCTACGCGATGCCGGTGCAGTCCCTTTTGTCAAAACCGCCGTTCCTATCACTCTCCTCTCCTTCGAAAGTGCCTCGGACGTCTTCGGCCGCGCCACAAATCCCCACAATAGCAAATACTCACCGGGAGGCTCGACCGGCGGTGAAGCCGCTCTTTTGGCGTACGGAGGTTCACGCATAGGTATTGGCACGGATGTGGCTGGTTCTGTGAGGGTACCCGCGCATTATTCTGGGGTGTACACCATCAAGGCATCGACTGGGAGGTTTTTGAAGATGGGCAACAATACCAGTATGCTCGGGCAAGAGGGCGTTGCGCCAGTTTATTCCCCTATGGCGAGGACTTTGGAAGACTTAGAGACGTTCTGGAAGGCGATTATGAGTATGTCACCCTGGAATTATGATCACTCGGTAAGTTGTATGGGTAGAGTCGCTTCGCTGGCTAATTTAAATTGACAGGTACTTCCCATCCCTTGGAGGGTCGTCTATTTGAACAAAGCCCCTCTCCGATGGGGCGTTATGTGGGATGACGGTATGTCGTACGATTTACAAGCTAAATTTCACTCGAATCATTTACATACTCTGTCCTTCCAGGTGTCGTCCGCCCTTCTCCCGCATGCAAACGAGCCCTTGAGATCGTCGTTGGCACTCTTAAGAAACATGGCCACACCGTCGTTGATGTCACCCCTCCTAGCCCATACGAAGGCCTTCAACTCGCCTCCGCCCTCCTTCTCGCCGACGGATGCAAGACCGCCACAGCTCCCATGCGCTCATCCTTCATAGAATCCAACGACCCGGGCATGATCCAAGCCCTGGGCATCTTTCGGCTTCCCAGGCTCTTACGCTGGCTATACACCCTTTACGTGCGTTATGTGAAGCGTGACGAGGTTTACGCGGGGCTTTTGGACGGGTTCCATGAGAAGAGTGTTGTGGAGTTCTGGCCTTACATTGCAAAGAGGGAGGATTATAAAGGGCGGTGGTTTGAGTTTTGGAAAGAGCAGGAAAAGTTGGACTTTCTTCTTACTGTTCCGAACGCATTGCCCGCTGTCCCTCACGGGGGGATGAAGGAAGGTTGGAGGGCATCCGGTTATACTTTCTTGTTTAACCTTGTGAGTCTTCGTTTCTTCGCTATCATCATAGCTGATACCGATGCTTTTCATCCCTAGCTGGATTATGCTGCGGGCGTTCTTCCTGTCACGCATGTGGACTCTACGTTGGACGAATTACCCCCCGGTGCTTTCAGGCCCCGCAATGCCGTCGAGCAAGGTGCTTACAAGGCCCATAATGCCAAAGCGATGCACGGTCTCCCCGTTGGTGTTCAGGTTGTAGGTCAAAGGCTTGAGGAGGAGAAGGTCATGGAGGGTATGAAGATTATTGAAAGGATGTTGAGAGAGGGTGGAAATGCCTATGAATTGTTGAACGTGTAGTCTTGTGGTCAAGACTTGTTGGGTTGATCAACCCAAGATCAACCCTTCCGCCGATGAAATTGTGATGGTTAATGATGTATGATCACGTGTGCTGCCTTTTCTATGACGCTAACCCGACCTGCACTCTAGAAGCATGTCTGAATTATTCCTTCGCCTCCGCGGAGGATCATTTCAATCAAAGGGGTCCTCTACTATCTGGGGAATGCTACATTACCTTAACGTTCGGCCAAGTTGATGAACTTTGCACGCCACTTGTCCTTCGCTTTCAGCCCGAAGACCCGCTGTCGTATTCCCTAAACGTAGGCCATTTAAAGACAATCTGAAAAGAGAAGGTGTCAGCCAAGAAGCTACAAGGAAACGGGCGAATCAATAGCGCAGGAGCATTGAACAGACAGTTTCTCCATTGGCCTGGGTTCTCTTCGGAATCAATGAACGCCGAAAGAACAGAGTTGGTGGCAACATCATGTGTCCATGCCACCGCCAGTTAATCACGGTTTTCACGGATTCGATGGGGGTCGACTATTCATCTTTGGCAGTAATCATTTTGCGAAAACAACGCGATGATCATCGACAAGCTTGAAGTACGTCCGTCCAGTTTGATCCTCGAATGTCACTTTGCCTGACATGTTTCCCTTTGGCGTTGCGCTAGACGATGTCACAGTCGATAGTGTGCTATCTCCTTGCTTTCCAATCGATATCCGAGGTGCGTTTTATAAATAATGTCGTTATCCGCTGGAAGTTGCTCAATCAAGCAAGCAGGGATAACAGACAATTGATGAATGAAATCTTTCGAATCTTCAATTTAATTGATAGAGATGTGCTAGACAGCCTAGACTTGCCCCGCTCAGAGTCACACCTCCGAAAAGAAGTATAAGAGGGGGCAGGGAATTGAGGAAACCGCCAATTGAACCCAGTTCTATCTTTCACCTGCAAATCACCCAGCCATGAAGTTCAGCAGCGTCTCTGCGCTACTTGCGATCACGCAGGCTTACAGTATCGTTGGTGGTGTAGTTGGTGGTGCTGGTCAGGTACTTGGTGATGTACTCGGTGGTGTTAATCAGGTAGTTGATGGTGTAGTTGGGGGTGCCGGTCAGATAGTTGGTGGTGTAGCTGGTGGTGCCGGTCAGGTAGTTGGTGGTGTAGTGGGTGTAGTTGGTGGTGTAGTTGGTGGTGTGGTTGGTGTTGTTGCTGAGGGTAAGCAGACTCTCCAATTTCTTCCACGTTCGCTTGGTCGCTGATGCTTATCCCCTGATCTAGGCGGTCTTGTACAAGGTAAATACGTCGATGATTGTCTCCAGTCGGCCACTTTCTAAAGCCTTTTTTTCTTAGGCGACACGGTAAGCCTCGCTATTACCTCAGGATATATCAAACTTGATTTTGGCTAAAACAGGGACCTTCAACTCCCGGGCAACTCCCGGGGACCAGTAACTAACTGCAAACGAATCTAGATCAATGGTGACACGAAGTGAGCACACCGTTCAAGTTTGACTTCTCTCAAATCACTGGTTCCTGACGAAGTTCACATCAAACTGAACAGGCTGACGAGGACACACACTCCGTCGTTGTGGACTTGCTACGTAGATAGAAATCAAGTTGTAGCTGCTGCTTTTTCAATCGCACCTTTTCCCCAGACCTAGTCTACTGACTCGGAACACACCATCAGAATCGAGAGGCTTTCCACCCCAAAAGCCTAGATGATTGTACGTCCTGTAATTTGAACCTTTCAGATGAGAGCAAGATCAGAGTCGGCCAAAAGAATAGCTGATGCTTCGACGCGCTGACGGCGTACAGCTGTGGTTATCCTTTCGAAATGTAAACATGGAGGTTGTGGCACCGAAAGGCCCATAATAAATCGACCGCCGCCATGCATGCACGTTATCACAATAGCATGATAGCTCTGTTCGCACCCTCTGCATATATTTCACCTTGTTTTCGAAATTTGGCGCAGGAACAAGAGATAGGGGTACGACCTTGGAGCTGCATCGGTACCAGCACCGCTGTGTTTGGCGTTATCCAAAGCTGCTCATTGTCCATTGATTGCCCGTGAGGTTCTCGAGCTTTTGAAGTTCGCTGTTCGCCCCCCCTGTGCGTCCGCATATCATATTATCATTTCTCAGAGCTTTACAGACAACGATGAGATATCGCGAGAGGTTATGATGTTCAAAAAACGAGAGGTAATGCCAGTGCAGTTGAATTCGAACGACAGTCAAAATATGAAAGGGAGAAAGAAATTATACAAAACGTAGACGATATATAGCAGTAAGAATAAACATACAACGAATAGAGACTTTCTTTGTAAATAAAAGGAATGCTTCAACGTTTGTGTAGTTGGATTGTTCATATCGAGCTTGGAATAAAAGATATGAAGAGATGTTAAGGAGTGTGAAGTACGACGATCAAAAAAATAAAACGTCAGCATTTATAACGAAGAAGGAAGACGACTCTCATCACATCCGCACTTGAGGAACGAAAACTGTTCCTTGTTCTCTCAACGCCGCCTCGATCAATTTCATACCTTCCAGGACCTTCTCTTCTTCGAGCCTTCTTCCAGCGACCTGGACGCCGAGAGGCAATCCATGCATCTTCTCAGCGTCATATACCGAGAACGCACCCTTGGCAACACCATTCAAAGATTTGCCCTGGGGAGTAGAAGCAAAGTCTTTCGGAAGGGCATCAACGATCTTATCCACGAACGTGACGGGAAGCACGCCTGCAGTGTAATCCAGCTGAACAGAGAGAATTGCCGTCAATCTCGGTAAAACTGAAAGCACAAATACGCACCAAGCTGAAAATGCAGGTGTAACCAGCGCTCAGGAGAGTTGCCTGTTTCGAAGTACCATTTTCGAGGGCGGGTAAGACGTGAGGTACCGTTAAAACAAAATCGAGGCCATCCTCCGTCCACTTCTGGTGCCATCGTGCGCGGTATTCATCTCTGGCCGCAATGAGCTTGCGATCCTCGACTATGGTTTTTGCGTGCATAATATCGTAAATTTCAGCTGAGATAGGATCACTCGAACGAGTAAAGAAGGCAAGGACCTTCTTGACAAAGCGCGACAAGTTAAGCAAATCGAGGATAGAAGAGGTGGAGACACCAAAAGCCTCTCTTGGGCTCAGCTGGCTTGCGACTTGCTTTCCTATCTATAATGTCAGCAAAGGGGCTGATGAGAAAAAGGAAAAGACGAACCGCCATCCGCGAAGAGAAGCTGGTAGGCGATCTTCAAACCTTCAAACACATTTGGAGGATGGCTGCGAGTTTATTAGCGCATCGATATGAAAATGGGAAGCAACATAAGACGAACAAATCGACGACTTCATGTCCTTGTTTCCGTAACGCTGACGCAACCATTGTCAGAGCACGCCGACAGGCCGGACTCGGCGGGATTACGCCTGACAGTGAATTAGAAGCAGCGAAGCGAAAGGATCATTCAACTTACCGTCTTCCCACATGATACCCCACTTCAACTTGCGCCCTTCAACTTGAAGATTGACAAATTTCCAAGGCATCGGAACGCACTGGGTATCACCACATCAATACGAGGAACAAAAACTGACGAGGCCACAGGAACTTACGGTATGGTCATAGCGCCACGGCTCAGACAGGACAACCCGCTTCCAAAACTCCTCCAGATCTACAAGATTCCCAGCTAGGGGCGAAGCCACGATAGGCACACCCTCCAACCCCATCATCGATGAAGAACTGCCCCACATCGGGAACCGCCCTGCGCTCCCCTTCAGGCTCCAAATACCACAAAAATGAGCCGGAATCCTGACGCTCCCTCCCACATCCGTTCCAATCTCAATCTTACTCCCCCCGTAAGCAACGAGGGCGCCCCCACCCCCAGTCGACGCGCCAGCTGTATGGTTAGGGTTATACGGGTTGGTAGTGCGGCCGAAAATATCAGAGGTAGTCTCAAGGGCCAAAAGCCCTGTTGGAACCGTCGTCTTGACGTGAACAAGGGCACCCGCATCCTGGAGAAGGCGAACGATCGCGGAAGATGCGGACGCAGGGCGTGCGACGTTACGAGAATAGCCAATGGTGGTGTCATGCCCAACAATATCAACCGTATCTGAGAGGTGCAAAGTGGTGGTGGTAGGTGGGGGATAAGATGATGCGATCAGAAAGTGGCGTTCTTCTACATGAAAATGTGATAAGATACCTTTGATGCTGACCGGTACTCCCAAGAGCGAATGGTCATGAGTCCCGGCCTCAGTGACCTGTGTTTCTGAGTCGACTCCAGGACCCCAGTTGGCAACGGAAGGGATGGATAGCGACTCGTCGAACATGATGTCGGTGACGCAGTTAGTCGCATGCTGCGCAACAAGGGTTTTCTTCGCATACGCCATCATAACAGCCGAAGGCGCGATCGCGCCTGAGCGACATCTGGAAACGAGTTGAGAAATGGAAAGAGCGTGAATTTTTTCTTCGGATAAAGAAAGTGGCGTCGAGTAAATGGCGGGGAGGGAGTCAATCTGTGACTGCCGCTCCTTCTGCTTCCAGAGGCTGCCCACACGTATTAGCGGTTGTCATCTGAATCAGATTAGGCGACAGCGAGAGACTCACCATGCGCGCTGATGAGCATAGCCCGAAAACGAGAACAGCATGGTTTAACGAGCGAGGACTAATGGGCGTGTGCGGCAGAGACGTAGAACGTGGTCAATGGCTGGGTCTTATACCCAGAAACCTCATCCGAGGAGTTCCGTAGAAGGGAAAAGAACCAGGAGGAGGCGACGGCGGCGGAAGATGCCATGTAACTTTACTAGAATCCCACCTTGAAGACGTGAAGAAAAGTGTCCGACCGGGCGTGGTTAAGTTGGGTCTATGTGACGGAATGAGAGAGCCAGAATATCCAAAAACTGAATCTTCAGAAGCGCCAAGGCTTCTCGGCCCTTCCCGGCAACGTCCAAGTGACCTGAAGAAGAAAGTCACTCCCCAAGAGCAAACCGGAGATATACTGATTGCTATCAAAAGGGGTAAATGCGAGATAGACTAAGAATAACAAAAAAATCACCGGAATTGAGGAAGGAAGGGGATGGGGAACAACATCACCCGTCACCGCGGACCCAAAATATTCGACTTTCTTGACGTTGAGGGTTGTAAGAATGACGCTGGTCAGTGAAATGCCATGTATTAATCGCCGATAGAAGTCCCAGGCACCTCAAATTAGACCTGATAGATCTGCGGCGCAAATGCGACCGCCTCCACCGGTTCTGGAAGAAGTTAGAGCATAATTGATTGTGAAAGAGGGGACGAAAATGTCGCTGCTGGATTGCATGGAGCGGCGTACGTCAGATGCAATGTTCGCAAAAAGATTGACCAACGTTTCTCAGAATGAGCAAAATGTCGCTGCTGGGTTGTTACTTTGAAGTGCGAACGCCAAAGGCTGAACGCTCTGTTGGGCACACGTCAGATTCAATGTTCGCAAAAAGATTGACTCATGCATTTATGTCAGTGGAGATAAGGCTTGTTCGGATTTCTACAGGCGCGAGTCTTCCCAAGGCTTCTCGAATCCCATGTCGAAGAGCATATGCATATTTCATGAAGGCACCGCCAGGTCGCAGAATTGACTTTCAGTAATTATTCTTATTGCGAAAGCTAGTAATGTTCATGTCGACCTGATATTCGAAAGACTCTATGACACTGGCAAATAACCTCAAATTAGTTCAACGTACTAATTGCCAAGGTAGCTGGGAAGGAAGCAAAGGTAGTACTTACACGCCGAAATCCCAGAAGATCACTGGAAGCCCGAAGCCCATGAGCTGCTCCTCTTTGCAAATCTATCATAAATCGAGTTCTCGAACCTTGCCTTTCTGTAGGAGTGTGTAGCCTGACCCTGTATTGCGGATTAGAGGTCATGGGATGCGCTCAGTGAGTCGCTGTCGAATAGCTTGTGCGACTGCTGGACCGTGAACAGGAATTTCGTCTATTTGACCGGTAAATTAGATCAAAGAGTTATACTTCAGCATAACTAAAACGACATACTTCCATGGAACCCTTCGGTATGATGAACGCCCTATGATCCGTGTCAGAATGATCTAGCGCTCTCAAAATCCAACATTACCTCATGGGTTTCACCTTTGGAGAACGTCAGTAGGGAATTATTTTGCACTGCATAGTGCTACGGGTATATCACCGTTATGCTTTTTGCGTTATCTTTATATAAATATATGCGTACCTTGTGGCCCATATTTCTCGCCAACATTTCATAGTCCAATGCGTAGGCTAGATACAACCGGGTCAGCCGAGACTTGCTTCGTAGATTGGAGGCAGCTCACAAGGAGGATCAAAATTTTCGATGACCGTGGATCGATCTGAAGGTGGCATCCAGAGCTGATGCTAAATATTGATAAAAAACAGCATCCACAAACGTTATCGCCAACTCGAGCAAATCACAAAGATAAACGGCAGACGCGTACCGTAAGGCCGTTCCCATGAACACCGACGATGATCTATGTATCCCAAGTCAATGAGGGACGCAGATAAGAACCAAAATAAAAGCTCAAGCTCACTGTACTCTTCGCTGGTAGCGCAATCTGGTCTTGCAAACTCATACGCTCCATCATGGGCATATGGACCTCGCACAAACCTTCCTGCTCCAGCCCTCGAAGCGCCTCGACCAGGCCCTAATGATCTTTATCCGTGAGCCTCCGAGTCCTCCCCGCCCCTTGACGAGAGATGTACGTAACCACTGGCTTCGTTGTTACGACACCAGGTATACTTACGGAGCCGGTGACGGCGCCATTGGCGTTAAGATCTGGTATATAACCTAGCAGATTCTCAGTGAGAGATTTTCGGATGGGAGCCCAGTAGTCTTCTGGCGCGGAGACGGTCATAGTCCCTGCAAACATATTATACCACTTGCTCGCGTATGCACTTGAAAGGGTAAATATGTTCAAAAACGAAATCGCCAGGAAGGCTGGGGAAACTCACTGTCTATGCGTGGCTGCCCTGTTGATGATCATAGCGCGTTCGAAAACGACGGTGGTATTGATTTTCACGAGGTCCCGCCAATAGTCCGCCTAAATCTTCAATCGCGGCAGCTGGGAAAACCGCTCGCATGAAAGGTCCGTCAACGCCAGCTCTATCCTTCCACTCATCCTTTTCCGTGGCCTATGCTCACCGAGCTTGATTATACCTCGAAACATCAATCCAATTCAGAACCACGAACTATTTTATCGGTTGAACCATTAAAATGAAGCGCGCAGGAAAAGGGAGATCCTTGACGCGACTACTGCTGTCAGCGAGATGGGAGTAAACCCATGATGATATCGCCCCACCAATGGTAATAATGCTAGACTCAGACCCATGAGAATGAGTAGAGAGCGAAAGGGATTACAGCACCTTCATAAACTGCCAGTGGTCGTGAACAATGACTGGAAAGTCAGGTATTCGCACCGCGAAATCTCCAAGAACCCCCTTCGCTTTGAAAGGATGAATGAATCACAAGTCCTAGAAGTGTTTTAACTGGGTATTATATGCGCGTTAAACGACTAGTCATTATTGATGGCGGCTACGAAAAGAAAAATCACGACTGCGATCACGCCGGAAGTCGTTGCTCACGACGGATGTAGGTCATAGTTTTGTGAAAGTTGTGGTGACAATTGGGACGTGTATGGCTTACGTAAGTTCAAAGTTATTTGCAACCATATTTATTCACACTATTTCTTTCCAGAAGGCGACAATCTGTCACGAATATCATGTTACAGTGCTTTGCATGTGAGATTGCACCTACTCAAAATTTCACGAAAACTTCTTTGTTCTTGTAGTTTGTGGCTGATGTACAGTGCACCCAAAATCAACCGACACACGAAATACAAATGCAGCCAGATTTTCGTGGAATTTGCAGTGCAATCTCACATGCAAAATACTGTAATGTCGCTATCATCATACCTGTCATTTGCGCGGTTCAATATTTTGATCGAGGCGCGCCAAGATTGCCCTATTTGCTGCCAACGCGACACATGCAAGCGCTTCATGCCCCTTGAGTGTATCCAACATCAACCTCACTGTTTGTTCATTCCAACCATCCTCTACCTTCGCCATCCACTTGTCATCCGAGAACATATCAGTCCCTCCCTGTACTCGTGTCGTCGACGCCCCAAAATCGACAATAACAACACGATCTGGACAAATAAGGATGTTGCCAGGATGCAACTCCCAGTGAACGACACCCAGTTCATTCATTTTCCGAGTGGCCGCAAGGAGAGTGCGGATGTGCCATGGCGTGATGAGTTTGATATTTTTGAGGTTGTCAAGCGACGTTGAATGCGGGACATATTCAAGGAGGAGTATGCGGGGTACGATCGCGCGGGGCTCTTCTGGGATGAAATCCCCAAAACCATACAACGTCGGTACAGCAGTACCGGAAAGAGGAGAGTCAGCAAGTGCAAGGTAGGCGTTGACCTCTCAAGTCCACGAAGTGCATGCCCCTAGAAATAATTTGAATTCAATAACCATGCCCGGATTTGCCATCTCGATCTCGTCGCTAATCAGTAGGTCGTCCCAATCCTCCATGGTTTCGCGTAAGGCGGTGGCTTTTTCTTCGTCTTCTAAGGACCACGGTTTCGCAGGAAAAAAGGTGCCATCATTACCGTAGAAGGCTTCGCGGTCCTCGACGTAGCGAGGATCGTAAATTTTTAGAATCATAGGAGTGCCGAGCGGAGGGTGATTTGGTGGTAATTTGGCGCTACTAGAAGTTGCATGGACGACGAGTACCTGGCTGGATGTGAAAGGTGTGAAAAGCTTATCTACAGTAAAAATGATGCAGATTTGGGAAATCTTGATTTTCAAGGTGGAGCCTGGGGTGTACGGAGGAGGACTATCCATGATGTTGGTGTAAGGAGCAAGACGTGAGTCAGCGCGAGACTCATCACCAGATATAACTTGAAACCGATTGTGACATTTTATTACGGACCGCGGTCACAAGCTTATCTCTAAATAGTATGACACTGACCAGTCTTCAAAATTCAAATCAGTCGACATCAACATCGATGTAGCTGGTCAGGGAGATACTTACACAACGAAACTCCGGAGCGATTTCACAAATACATTATAAAATTAAGTCCCAGCGACAAGCTTGCCTTTTCTTGAAACTTCAATCTAGTCTAATCACATATTCCAAACTGTACACAACAGAGATCATGGGATGCGCTCGGTGAGTCGCTGTCGAATAGTTTGCGCGACAGCCGGGGCGTAAACCGGAATCGCGTCTATTAAACACAAAGTGAGATCAACGCAATGAACAAGGGTGTAAATAAAATAACGCACTCCCATGGAATCCTGGGGTATAATGGACGCCCTGCGAATGATGTCAAACGAAGCGGTAGAGCAGTCTCAAGATACAACATTACCTCATGAGTTTCATTTTTAGGGAACGTCAGCAGGGTATCATTTTGCACTCCATAATGCTATAAACAAATCATCAATATGCTTTCTTGTCATGTCTTATATAAAATACGCGTACCCGGTGACCCATATTCCTCGCTAGCATTTCATAATCAAAGGCATAGGCTGGTTGGCAGAGCCGAATCAACTGACAATCGCATCGCAGTAACTTAGGAGCGACTCACAAGGAGGGTCAAAAATTTCAATGACAGTGGATCGTTCTGAACGTGGCATCCAAAGCTGGTGCTAGACACAAACGAACATTATCATCAGGTCGGGTAAATTAAGATAAAGGCAGAGAAACTCACCGTAAGACCGTTCCCATGAACACCGACGATGATCTGTGCATACCAGGTTAGTGATCAGAACACAGGGCGCGTACAACAAAAAAGCTCTCACTGTACTCTTCATCGGCAGCGCAATCTGGTCTGCCAAACTCATACGCTCCATCATGGGTATCTGGACCTCACATAAACCTTCCTTCTCCAGCCCTCGAAGCGCCTCGACCAGGGCCTGGTGATCTTTATCGGTAAGCCTCCTCCCTGCGCCTTGGCGGGAGATGTACGTGACCACTGGCTTCGTTGTGACGACGCCAGGTATACTCGTAGGACCGGTGACGGCGCCATTCGCATCAAGTTCCGGGATATACCCTAGAAGGTTCTCAGCGAGAGCTTTTCGGATGGGGGCCCAGTAGTCTTCCGGCGCGGTGACGTTCATTGTTCCGGCAATCATTTTGTACCACTTGCTCCCGAACGGGCTTGTGTAAATGTATATGTTGAGAGACACGGAGCTTAGGAAGGAAGTAGCACTCACTGTCTATGCGCGGTCTCCCTGTTTATGAGCATAGAACGCTCAAAGACGACGGTGGTATTGAGCTTTATGAGATCCTTCCAGTAGTCCCCCTTTTCGATAGCAGCTGCCGGAAAAACTGCTCGCATGAACGGTCCATCAACACCGGCTCTATCTCTCCATTCATCATTTTCTATTACCTACACGCGTCGGCCATCAGTAAACGCCAAGATGTCGGTTCAACATAACGTACCGTCAAAATAAACCGGGCAGGGAAAGGCAGGTCCTCCACACGACCACCGCCTTCTGCGAGATGAGAGTACACGCGCCAGAACCCCAAGATGATTTCACCCCACCAATGATAGTAATGCTGAACGCGGTGCCGTGAGAAGTGATCATCATCATAAGAACCAGTGATCACGCCACCTTCATAAATTGCCAATGGTCGTGCACGATGACTGAAAAGTCAGGTATCCGCATCGCAAATTCCCCCAGAATTTCCTTGGCTTTCGATGGATGGATGAATTGCAAATCCTGGTGGTACTCAGCACCGAACAATTCATCGCCTAAGGAGGGTTGTACTCACCTCATCAGTTGGCTCCAATTCCTTTCCAGCCCCCATCTCAAAAGGTTTTGCTAGTAGGTATCGCCGGGGAGGCCAAGAACTCGGATCCGCGGTGACGACGTAAAATATGCCCGCCCGAAGGTACAGTCGGTCAAAGACCGTGAAGCCAGGTGCATGGGCGCCTCCAGGTATCACTGTTTCGGCCGTGGTATTGGCGATTGTGTCAAAATGGTGGTTTGGAGGAGAGGAGTCGGCGTGGGGTCGCGGTATGTAGTCCTCTTCATGAGGTTGATATTGCCCTGCGTAAGCGGGATCACTCTGCTTCAGCCATTGCGGGACTTTGTTCTGCACCGAGACCCGAACGTGATCGTTGTTGAGGGCGGCGATGAAGAGAAGGAAAACCACGACGGCGACAACGACGAAAAGGCGTTGGTCGCGACGGATATAGATCATAGTTATGAGAAAGAGGTGTGACAACGCAAGCCCCCCCGTTAAAGCAAGTCTGACAACAAACCCTTCAAAACGTGGTCAAAACTCAGGAACATTGACACCTACTGACACACACGCCGCTTATGATCCCATTCATTTGTCAAGACTCAACTGTGCCTGCCCATGATTCTAAGAGACAACTAGCATACTCACTCGTCCATTCCAGCTATTATAATGCTTTTGAGATGGCAAGAGAGCTCAAGAGAGAAAGAGATATCAGGAATTAGTAAACGATCGTCGGCGCCGATCGCGGGCGGCCGTCAATCTAATAATTAGGGTAATTTATAAACCGAACCTAAATTTAGCACCGTGCATTTGGAATGTGCGAACGCCAAGCCAACTTCCTCTTGTTCAGCGATTCTGCGTTGTTTCATCTTGCTGTGGTCACAAAAAAGCTGACAAAGCCCAAGAGGACAATTGACGTAAATTAACGCCCCTCGTCAAAGAGCAGTTTCCGGGCAGTGTTATCAAAAAATGAGCCAACAAAATTCAAATTGAAGATGGACCTGAGGGACGCGGCTTGGACGCGGCCAAGCCTTTGGGGAAGAAAATCGCCGTCTCTCCAAAAGGGGATCACAACGTTAACGGACCCGGGACAGTGAACACGACTGTGAGCAACGCAAAACAGAGACTTCCACTGGCAGGTGATACCATTCACCTCCATGCCCCTAGTCGAATTCCCATGCAAGGCGAAAGGAAGCATTGAAAAATATCAGGGAGTGGCGCGGATTTAGTTTTGAATTCTTAGGTATAGTCTGACGCTAAAAAAAAGTGGTACCCAAAGACAAACCAGACGCGGAAGTGAATATACCTTCATGAGAGCTAGTCATTGCAGGTATATGACAGACCTTTGGTCGAGTGAATGTCAAGTGAACGTCGAATGCACAACGGCAATGCCTCAGAGAATCGTCGGACCTGATTCAACCCTCCGGAGATAGGATCTTCAACAATCATCTTCCAGATTTTTTCAAAGTTAACAAGAAAAAAAAGATGCTGGCAGTTGCACGTCTAGACCTTGGCAATGCCGCAATGGTACTTGGTACCGTCGAAGGAGGTCAAAGGTTTTTTTTTTTCATTTTCATCAGGTGACCACGGAATTGCGGAGTAACGATCCGGTCATCCTTGAAGTCAATTCAACTACATAGTTAACGAATATAGCGTAGATTACGAGCGAATCAATAAAATGAAATGGTAGGTAAGTAGGAATAAGAACCTCAGTGTTTGCGCGGGTAAGCCAAACGACAGGGTAATTATCAAACCAGAGGCACGTATTGAATTTTGAACGCATTTCAATATATGTATCACGAGAGATGAGGAATGTGAATATAGATGAACATGTGGATAAGGGGAAATAAATGTAAGTAAGACAATTTCTCCAAGGAAATAGAGATGGCGAGGACGTCGTCACCTAGCAGATTCTAACAAACTGCGCGCGGTTTGAAGGCCATGACCACTTCTGCTTCTCAGAGGAAGGCCAAACAAAGTTCTCAAGCATAGAAAACGAAGCTGACAAGAATACGGTGGAGAAGTTTGTCACCAGTAAAGCGAGAATTTCGAGAGGCACATATCTTGTGCAATACATAACTGTCAATTCAATAAAAGAAGCAAGGCACTAGGTACCAAAAAGATTTTATACTACGTCCATAGCCTCATCAGCATTTCCGATATTGCTAGGAGGCAGATGATCATCCAGGTCCTCGATATCACTCCAGCTAAATAGGTCATCCTCGGATATACCTTCAAAGTCTTCTAACGCCTTCCTCCGGGCGCACTCCTCAGCGTATTCGGCTAACTCCTCATCGTCAAGGTCCTCGGGGGTGAGCTCATCCATTGGCGTGACGGGGATGACTGATGTTGAGGAGCTGGATGGAGGGTGTGAGCCACCAGGCACCGATCCTTGAATAAGTGACGAAAAGAAGAGAAAGGTGGTGAGCTTAACATCTAACGCAAAAGTGTCGGAAGAGATCTTTACCAGTCAGCTCTTCTTCCCAAGAGGCAACATCCTCCATATCCGGGTCAAATGAAGACCCGACGTCGAGTGAGTATGAAACTTTGTATTGATGTTTCCGATTCCTATTCGTGTTGGCCATAATCCTTCGAAATAGCTGGATCGGAAGAACGCATGAGTGAACTCCTAAGAGCTAAAGCGAAGGAATGAAAAGCTATGACGCACCTCATCCTGCATAATATCTTCATCGTCCTCCTCGTCATCCTCGTCCATAAGTGCTTCGTCGAACCCATCGCTACTGGCTTCACTCGTCCCAGCATATCTCCGGCCTCTTATAGCCTTCGCCCGCGCCTTCGCAGCCCTCTCATAGCACCGTTGCTTGAATCTCTCCCTGAGCAGACTCTTCTGTGAATCCCCCTTAGTCGGCGTCGTTGTGCCGTACTCCAGACCCCCTCCACTTCCACCACAGAACACAGAGCCCCCGCTGCTGCTGACGGTCCTCTTACTCGAGAACGTACGCGTCAAATTTGACGGGAGAGGTGTACTTGGAGTACGAGCCTTGTACTGAGACCTTCTCCTAGCTTGTGCTTCAGCCACTGGGGACGACTTTGGACCGCTAGGCGACGCGAGCGGTGAAGAGTTCAGGGGTCGATGAGTGTGGTACCTGTAGTCCAATGTATGTGTGTGTGCCGGCGTCGAGGGATACTGGAAGACTGGACTTGAGGAGTGCATTGTTGATCTTGTTGAACAGGTGATGACTGAGAATATTCGCGCTTCGTCACGGCGTGACGCGACGCGAAGTTGCAATCCGGGCCGGGGTATGTACCATTGTCCGTGTTTCCCACGTGCACAGCTTCCATCTTTCTCCCCATCGCCGTCGACGACTAAGCCCCAAGTCAATATGGAGCGCGCGTTACAAATTCCCGAGATCGTTCTCGAAATTTTAGAAAATTTTGAATACCGTCTTGAAGACTCGGACTCAAATTCGCAGAGTCGCAGTACATTGGCAACTGTCGCAAGATCTTGTAAAACCCTTTCTTCCGTGGCATTGGACATTCTATGGCGGGGCCCGCTCTCAATGGTTCGAATATTTGCTGTGATACCCAGCCTCAGGTTTAATGATACCACAAGTATGCTTGTGAGTCCTGCCTAGACTAGGCAAACGATCTTGGTACCTGACACATTGCTCCGCAGGGCTTCAGTGGCATTGTCCAGCAAGAAGACTGGGCAAGATTTGAGAGCTATGCATCCCGTGTTCGTCAAATAGACGAAGAGGGTGAAATTTCAATTGAAAATGTGGTCTTCATTCGCACAGCGCAGTATCTTCAAGGAAGGCCAATGTTTCCATCGTTGATATCATTGTCGCTATCCGATTTTCCTATCATACTTCCACTTCTTGTTTCGCCATCGCTACTCGCCATCAATATACTTCAAGACAATCCCTCCGGTTCACAGACAGCGCTAATACAAAGCATCTGCGATGGAGCGCCTTCGCTGGAGTCCTTCGGATTTTGCGGAAACCTCGAAGGAAATTCCTTTAAACTTCTTTCGCAACTTCCATACCTCCATCACTTGTTCATAATTGGAGATGTCATTCCAGTTGACAGTATCGCATCATTCAAATCACTGACAGAATTATACCTTCAAACGAAAATCTCAGAACCTTTCCACCACGGTCACCGCAAACCTTTCGGGTTGCAGGACCTTCGGAACCTCACAATTGTTGCCCCACCGAAGTTTGTCATCTTCATGTTGAAGGCTTTCTCAGAAAGCCCTCTGCAAAATCTGAATTGCACCGTTACCCAGACCCAGAATGGTGCCGTTACTTTGGCAGAGTGGACCGATGCAATCAGCATTATCTCGTCGTGGGCCAGCACCTTGTGTCGCGTCCGGCTCGGGTGCATTCGCTCCACAACGACGATAATCGAGGGGTTTTCATACCTACAAGATCTCCTCAGCTGCCATCAATTGGAGAGATTAGTCGTCAGAAATAATTTCACCACGCTGCTCTCTGATGACGATTTCACACGTCTCTCAGCTGCATGGCCCAATCTAGAAGAATTGGTGTTGGAAGGGGACCTTCCAACGGTGCTCGACCCGTTAGCAACAAAGGCGTCGCTCAATGTTATCGCAAAATGCCTTCCCAAATTACGCGTTTTGGATGTACCACTGAATTTAGGTGGGATATCCCTAAGAGAACCGCGTCTCCTCGCTTCACACCAGCTAAAATCAATCAATTTCGAACGCGTATTCTATGATCATGACCTTATACCCCTCGCCCATCTACTCGACGGTCTCTTTCCCTCCTTGGAAGTTGGGGACGAATGTCAAACTGCGGCGAGTACCGAGCCAGAAGAATCGATACAAATGTTGAAAAATTTGTTGTTTCTCTGTCAGGATGCTCGGGCAAACCGTTTGGAGATGGTTGAATGAAATCCTGTTGTTGAGAGCCCACTGGTTAGGTGGCGAAGTGTTTCCTACGAAAAAAAAAAAAAAGATGAATGATATTGACTTGGATAGTATGAGAAGATAAGATTTCGACTGACCTGACGTCCCGTGAGCTGCTGAGCCTGCAGCGACAATCATTTTCGGCTCCATTTGTGTGCATTCCCCGCCGGGCTCGAGTCCTATGTAAGGTGGGCTCCGAGGTTATGAACACGTGATGACTGAATATACGCGCTTGGTCACGGCGTGACGCAACGCGTAACAATCTCGAGCTCGGTGAAACCTTGAGTTACTCCTATTTCTCTGCCTTCAATGTTCCAGCCAGAAATTTACTGGCAGATTTATCAACTGCTTGAAGTCAGTCTCGGGCCGGATACCGGTGTTTGTGGGCTAAAAGGAAAAAAAGAAGGAAAATCTCGCACTTCCAGACTTGCCCTGCTTCCATCCTTCTCCAATCGCCGCCAACCCCCGAGTCGATATGGAGCGCGCGCTACAAATGCCCGAGATTGTTTTCGAAATTTTGGAAATTTTTGAATTCTTTGATGCAGACTCAGATTCGCAGAGTCGTCAGACATTGGCAACTGTCGCAAGATCTTGTAAAACCCTTTCTTCCGTGGCATTGGACATTCTATGGCGGTACCCGCTCAAAATGTTTCAAATATTTCGTGTGATACCCAGTCTCAGGTATAATAATACCACACACATGTTTGTGAGTCCTGCCTAGACTCTAACGATCCTGGTACCTGAAGGCATGGCACACCATTCGCAGGGCTTCAGTGGCATTATCAAGCACGAAGACTGGGTGAGGTTTGAGAGCTATGCATCCCGAGTTCATCAAATAGATCAAGAGGGTCAAACTTCAGTTGAAAATCTGGTCTTCATTCGCACAGCGCAGTATCTCCAAGGAAGGCCAATGTTTCCATCGTTGAAATCTTTATTGCTAGTATCCGATTCACCTATCATACTTCCACTTCTTGTTTCGCCATCGCTACGCCACATCAATCTAGAACAAGACAAGCCATCCGGTTCACAGACAACATTTATACAAAGCATCTGCGATGGTTCGCCTTCGCTGGAGTACTTCGGATTTTGCGGTGACCTCGAAAGAAGTTCCTACGAACTTCTTTCGCAGCTCCCATATCTCCATCACTTGGATATAGATGGCAAAGTCATTCCAGTCAATATTATCGCTTCATTCAAATCACTGACAGAATTGGAGCTAACTACGGAAATCTCAGAAACTTTCCACTACGTCGACCGCAAACCTTTCGGGTTGCAGGACCTTTGCAACCTCACAATTACTGCCCCACTGAATTTTGTCACCTTCATGTTAAAGGCTTGCTCCAAAAGCCCGCTGCAAGATTTAGAGTGCACCATTACCACCACTACTCACACTCAGAGTGGTGTCGTGACCTTGGCAGAGTGGACGGATGCGATCATCATTATCTCGTCGTGGGCCAGCACCTTATGGCACGTCGAACTCCAGTATGACTCCGAGACTATACCCTTCACAACGACGGTAATCGAGGGGCTTTCGTATTTACAAGGTCTCCTCAGCTGCCGCCAATTGAAGAGCCTTGTTGTCAGCAACAATTTCGCTACGCTACTCTCTGATGACGATTTTACACGTCTCTCAGCTGTGTGGCCCAATCTAGGAGAATTGGTGTTGCAAGGTGACCTTCCAAAGGATCTCGACCCGTTAGCCTCAAAGGCGTCGCTCGAGATTATCGCAAAATGCCTTCCCAAATTACGCGTTTTGGATGTACCACTGGATTTACGTGGGATATCCCTAACATTTGACGGTCGTCTGTGGACAAAACCCACTTTTCTTTTCTTCCTACATACTTTTCATGAAATAAAGCTGGTGATTGTCAAAGATTGTCAAAGATTGCCAAAGATTGTCAAAGATTGTCAAAGATTATCCCATCTTAGAAACATGTGAAGGAAGAAAGTCAAATTTTGCGAACAATCTTCAACAATTTTGCAGAATCTTCAACAATCTTTCCTTTACAATTAGGCTTTGGCTCTATTTACGACCTGAGATCTTTGGCAATCTGGCATTTTGTAGGTATGTACATTTGGTACATGAGCAAAGTTAAGACTGAATCATTTTGGGAAAATCCTCCATAATCTTCCAGATTCTCAGCTTTCCGTCGACCTCAGAATTAAGGGACCTAGCTATGATCTCTAACAATCTTTGACAATTGTTAGGAACCCAGGAACTGCCAAGCCGATCGTGGATCTGGTGAGGGCATCTCAGCACTGCGATTGTTTTCAATGTGATCTCTTGACTTTCACCTATCCGCCACAATCATGTCAGAGCAACTCAAGAATATTCGGGCAGCTTATCTCGTTCTGCTGGATCGTGTTCACCTTGCCTTGAGGACTCAGCTTGGTGATGTTGCCCGACTCTCTCAACAACGTGATGAGGCACTTCGCTTGCTTGAAGCAGCTGAACAAGTATGTCTTTTCAAGTTCTCACACATCTGCGAAATGCCTAACACTCTTGTGATAACAGCTTCAGGACCATTTCCCCCCTGCTGAGTTCAGCATACTCCAACAAAGTATTGCAGCTATAGTCAACTCATTGGATCAAGCTCGCCACGAATCAGCTGACCCACCAGACGAGCCGCAGCTTGTTGTCGTTACTCGGAAGAGTGGTGGGCGACCAGGTCGTCCTCGTGTGGAGATAGATCCCACCTTTCTGAGGGAAGCATTGGCGCTCCGTGGGCCCTCAGGTCTCAAGCCAATTTTCAATTGTGATGCTCGGACGGTGCGACGGAGGGCACTTGAATATGGTATCGCAACTCCAGGAACTCCTGTTTTTGTTCCCCAGATGCAGCCTGATGGTGTTATCAATGCCGTGCGATCAACATCAACTTGTGGGATCTCAGCTCTCACCAATGACGAGCTTGACGCACTTTTGTCCAGCATTCTGGAGATCTTTCCAACCTTTGGCCAACGCATGATTGCAGGTCGTCTCAAGGCTAGTGGTCATCATGTCCCCCGGGAGCGCATCACAGAATCATTTCTTCGGGTACATGGAACACCTGGAGTGTTTGGGCAGCGCACAATTCATCGTAAGATTTATAAAGTGGCAGGTGCCAACTCTCTCTGGCATCACGATGGTCAGCATGGTCAGGCTCAGAATACATTAAGATTTGCAGCCCTCTGCTGATAGTCGTTTCTAGGTCTTATCCGATTTGGTATTGTCAAGCATGCCTTTGTTGATGGAAAGTCGCGCCTTGTTGCTCGGCTTCGTATCAACAACAACAATCGAGCTGAAACTGTCCTTATAACATTCCATGAAGCCCGAGCCCAGCATGGGACGCCTAGCCGTGTGCGTGGTGACCATGGGACAGAGAATATAAAAGTTGCTGAGTGGATGGAGGACAACAGAGGATCTGGGCGGGGCTCGTATATCTGGGGCAGGTGAGTTACCTATTGAGAGTCTTATTGGAGCCATCTGAGAAAATTGACAGGAGTGTGCACAACACTCGCATAGAGCGCATGTGGTATGACATCACCCACGGCTTCGGGATGAAGTGGAAGAACTTTTTCTTAGATCTTGAAGTCAACCACGGGCTCAATCCACAGTCATCTGACGACAGGTGGCTTCTCCATCACCTCTTTCTTCACTGCATTCAAGAAGATGCGGATGAGTGGACTTTGGCTTGGAATTCACACAAGCTCCAAATCAGAGGGGAGCGTGAACGCAGTCCCCGAGACATGTTTCTTTTCAGCATGATACAAGATGGTCCCCGTGGAATTTTACCACTTCCAGAATCCCTGGAGGAGGATGTTGAGGATCCCTCAATGTATGGCATTGACTGGGAGGTCGCCGATGATCCCACGTTGATGAATCATCTATTGACGGAAAATCCACAAGACTGGGTTGAGGAGAATCCCTTCATTGCGAGTACTGGTCCACCAACTTTCTCACATGTTCCATGTGAATCACCCAACTGTCCTCTTTCTCCAGAACAGGTGAACATGTTGGACACTATGCTAGCGATGCGAGTAAATATTCACTCAAGAAGTATGGAGATACGACGCCTTGTTTGGCTTGAGGCTGCCAATATATGCAGACATTTTCTCGCCCACACAGAACAACCTTTCCTACCTACTGCTTAATAACACTAAGGAAGTCATCAGCTACCTTTATTTATATATTCTTTCGTATAGCAAGATGTTAAATCAAAATTGTATTGATCTGTAAAAATCATCCTCTCCTCCTAAACATAACTACGCTAACAATACTGATCGGAAAAAGAGTCTACTGAATTTTCTGTATTGAATTGTCAATCAACTGCTGTCAGAATTATAAAAATTAAATGCATACCATAATTGTTGCAATGGTCTTCTTCAACTCCTCTGGATCTGATGAAAAGGGAAAAGGAAAAGCCAGTTGATCCGTCTTATTCTTTCCTGAGATCCAATGTTCTTCTGGTAGGTCAATTGATGCGGCCATTTTATCCAGGCTACATACTTTTCCCTCTACAAGGCGTGACTCCCACCATACCACTTTGCAGAGAAGATGCTCAACAAAAATGGGACTGAATCCGAGAATTTTCTTGTCGTCCTCTGTAAGGAATTGGTGAAGATGGTTGTAAATGATCATGTATGCAGACCGAACAGATCCAAGGTCAGGGCAGATGAAACCCAAGTGCTGAAGACCTCTGTACGCCCCCAGTGTTCCATGATCATATATCCAGTCTGCGACCTCTACAGATGCTGGCATCTTTGCCAACCCCAGAAATACTAGACTGTTTACCAGTTGGAAGACTGTAAGCCCAGTTTTGAATCCCAGCAAGTTGAGAGCAGTCATCATACCCATGGCGCTTGTCCAAGACTTGTGATCACCTTGATGCATGGCCAGATCCTTGTTGACAAGATCACCCAGCCATGCAACCCAAGTGGTCTGCACTTCCTCTGCAAAATACAGCCCAAACTTATCCTCAAGTGTGTAAGTTATACCATACACATTCGTTGGCGTGATGTTAAGATAATTGCTCGGCTGGCCCCAGATTGTATCATCATAAACGGGGACTTTTCCTCTCTTATCACCGCCAGAGGCAGGACCATGGAGCGATATGTCCACTATGTTATCCTTGTGCACTGGCCGAAATAAGGCCAGCATTGCGTCAAGGTCATTCTGAAAAAAGCCGCCAGAAGCTGACACGATGTCCAAAAACTTTTTGGTGCTGTGTCCTTGACCGGTCCCCATCCATGAGAGTAGATTGGAGAGACCTTTTGGGGCCGTAAGTTTCGAACCAGGTAGATGTTCCTGCATCAGAAGAGCAGTGCATGAGTATTGTCTGACGGGATCTGTCTGATCTCGGTTGTGCTCTCTCTTGCTGTTCTGGGATGCATGCCATCCCTCTAGCACCCTCCGCAAAATATCATGGCCAGCTCCCAAATTACGCCTTTCATTCAACACTTCTCTGAGTATGAGTCCTAGCATGCCGAACTTTGGACTCGTGTCATTGGGCAGAAGCGCCTCGAGAGATACCTGTGAAAATGCTCGTTTTGGTTTTTGAGCTGGCGCTTGAGGCTTTTTCTTGGGGGCATCCTTTTCAGCAATATCTCCCTCATCGACCTTACCAAGGTTCAGAAGTTCATCTGGGGATAAGGATCGCCCATGGTGCAATTCCAAGAGGCGATGTTGAACCTTTTGCCCAAGCTCACGCGCGTCAATAGCTAGTTGCGTATTTCCTTTGACACGGGTCTTGATCAAATCGAAGAGTGGTGTGAGAGTCTTTTGGGTCGCTTTCAAAACCTGCTTCGAAAACTTTTCATCCTTTCGAAGATGATCGGCAAAGATGATGGTAGGGGTGGCAAGAAACGGCTCCAGAGATAATGAAGCAAAAACAGCATCCGTTCCATACGCCTCTGCTATGCAATGGAGGATTGCGCCTCTAACAATGCTTCGGTCAATAATTTTAGCTTCATCGACAGTGCGACGAGAGCTGCTGAATTTTTTGTCGATACAAGCCAGGTGTGGCATAAGAAGCTCCCATGACCAGAGCTCTTGTAGAATGTAGCCACCAGAAGTGTAAAGAGTGTCCAACCCAGGCTTTACATGATATGGCGCCAGGTTTGGAAGATGGATCATTTGAGTTTTCTTTGCCCCATCCCGTAAGCTGTAAAGGTCATAAGGAACCTGAGAAAGCTGTTGCCGCACTGGCCCTATTTTGGCCCGCGGCGTCTCAGGCATTGTAGGTGGCTTTCTCAGAGGTTTACCTGCAGCGACTGTACGTTTGGCGCTTTTGGCTTTCCGCTTGGATGTTCGCTTTCCCTCTCGCGCTGCATCCTGCGATTCCTGGACATATTGGACGATGTGGTCCACAATATCTGCAAATGGCGGCAATTGCAGTTTCAACGCTTTGTAGCCACCCTGTTGATGAATTTGCAGAAGCCGCTGAGCAAACTCTGGGCCCGTAGAAGTGTACCAATCAAATACAACAATCAGAGATCGGCACATCTCCCATTGCAGCGCACGATGAAGAATCTTGACTTTTTGCATTTCAGCAACAAGCGTAGGAAGAGCTTTCGTAGAGTGGATCAAGCGTTGGAATAGAATTCCACCAGAGAGACAGGAAAGCGAATCTCCATTTGGAGTGACATGCAGATAGGTTTCGAAGAAGTTTTGGATATCATTTTGCTCAACCAAGAGTGAGACCATATCCCCAGTATCTGAGGATGAGAATGCGAGGCGATCAGTCATTTTTCCATTCTCATTGACCAGGACCTTGAGCTCATTAGCAAGCATCTTACCATCTAGGATGCACTCAAGCTTAGCAATATTACCAGAAAGAAGACCCAGTTCGATCTTGCGCCTTTTGAGACAACGTTCATCCGGTATTACCGCCTGGATAGATGGCAGAGCCCGTTCGTAGTCCATTGGGTGGATTCCTTGAACTTCATTATATTGGGAGAAGATGTCCACGCATCCCCTTTCAAGTTGTCTGGTCAAACCTTGATTTTTGGCCATAACACTTTGGAGACACTCACTGAAGTTTGTCAAATGTTTCCCAAGTTGTGTCGTCATATCCCTTCCAGCTAATTTCCCAGTATGGAACGTTCTGGGATTCAGTCAATATACAATCCCTTTTTATTATCCAAGGAGTAATTGTACTCACATCATCATCATAGGCAAATCCCACTATTGCTTCCACTTCATAAACTTCGTTCTCCGCAGGTTCAACTTCTTGATGTGGTCGTTTCCTTCTTCCTCGTGTTGCTGCAAGACAATTGGCATTTCTCTGAGGTATATCTAGATTATCTCGATTGTTGGACTGGCTTGAACGGTTTCGCTGGGCACCGGAAGATGGTCTAGAGGGAGAGCTACCTTGATCGTTGGAAGGAACAATGTTCTGAGCGGCTAGAGTATCGCCAAGACCATCTGGAGTGCTATCAAGCCCATCAACGCTGTTACGAGGTTCTGAACCAGAGCAGCTAAGAGTTTCAGAAGATTGGGGAGTGCTGTTTCGTCCCTGAGACTTATCCGGCTGGACACCTGAAATCACATTAGCCAGAGCACCAGGTTCATCCACATTATGCCGTTCTTCTACAGAGTTTGGCTGCAGTGCCCCGATGTGAGCATTGTCCAGGAGCGCTGTTAGAGAAGCGCTGGAAGGTGTATTAACATGTGTACTAGACTCTGCCATTTGGAAAGAAGATGCAGCGATTGATGGTTTGGCGATTGCGGAAAGATGTTGTTTGAGTTTCGACGGGGCATTTTGCCGGAGGTATGCAAGTACCAAAGGGTTGCCTTTTAGTCTGACCAGAAGTATGAGAAAAAAGCTTGTGCAACAACGGGAGTACTCACAAATCTTCCTTCACGTCTACAATGCGGTTATCATCCTTGAGCCGAACCTCAAAGATTGCCTGGTAATGGCTACTCAGCAATCATAAACTCAGCAAAACTAGGATATCTCACCTTCGTAGAATTTGTGTCCTGTCGCCGCTTGATTACCTCTGTTATTTCTACGTCCACATTTTCTGCAGCATCATAGCGACTCAGATCCAAGTCATCGTCGGAGTTGAGTATGTTTGTGGAAAGTAGTGGTCGCTTCTCTGAAATCCAAAAGGCTTCGCGGCGAGAGCGCTCAGCATTGTCTTCAACCATCTTCCGGTGTCGGCCCCTGTAGTCGCTCTTCTCCAAACGAATAAGCATCATATTGCAGAGCTGTCTATGCCATTCATACAGCCCACGCCAGTGCTCCACCCTGGCAGCATCCTCAACAGGGTTATAAGGAAGCTTGGCAAGAGCGACCTTCTTGCCATCTTGATCTTCGTATTGGATCTTCTGTAGAACCTCATCGATATCAAGGTCTAAAGTAAGGTTGGCCAGACTAAGCGAATTGAGCAGTTGCATGACGGCCTCTCTACCAAGTCGGTTGGCAGCTGCATCCTTGCCACCAAGCGTCGCCTCCCCATGGGTGGCAAAGTCAAGTTGCTTCAACTTTTGGGGTTGTGCTGCACCAAAGTTGCCAAAGGTTTGAGAAGGCATCATACTCATCGCGGCAGTACGCTGGGTGGCAGCGGCGCTGTAGTAAATAACAAAACCCCCACGCACTTCGTCTCCTTTGAGATTGAAGGCGGGTTCCTTGATGCTGTCAACCCATTCCTGATGTGCAACGGGATCTTCCATGGGTGCGATACCAGAGTGTAGGTCGTTGCCCTTGAAGACGATGAAAATGACCCAGGCATCTCGCTCACGAACATAAACACCACCTCGGGAGAGGCAAAAAGAACCGGGATCGCCTTCTGTATAATTTTCGCTGTGAGATTGAATTCGAAATAATGGATAGAAAAGGTGCTTACTGGGACCTATCTTTAGTAAAAGTACGAAAAGCGTATACCGCGTATGGTCATCCTTGCTATCGGGATGCCAAGACCCCGTGCGACCCAGTCTTTTAGAAAGATGACTGCAAAGAGATGATAGGTTAAACTGACACCCAGTCCCATTTGGCTCGAGACCGCCAAAGCCTACAACGTTCATATCCTCTGAGTGGAACTTTGCCACCTCATATTCGAATTTGGAAATGCACTTCGGCATTATCCGTTTGTGCAGTTCGTTGAGCGTTTTGAGAACTGCGGCGATCTGAGGACCTCCTTCCTCTGTATTCACTTGTGTAGCAGGGATTACGGTTCCCTGGCCGGTGCCCTTCAAGACTGTTGTTGCCAAAGAGTAAGAGCCATCATGCGAACCAGGCGGAAGGTCAGGTGCGATGGATTTTGAGCGATCGTTGCGTTTCAAGCCTTCTAAATGTCCAAGAGGGCGAATTGGAGGGACATTAGAATCGCAACCCCAGGTGAGCTTTGCTAGACGAACTGACGCATCAAGAATCTCAGGGAAGTCATGATATGGACGAAGTGATGCCAGAGTCTGTACGCAGGAAAGTGTGTATGGGCGAGAAGTATCACCATTGAGAAAGTATACAAATGGTGCTCCTGGGACCATTTTGACCATTCCAGGAATTGGGGAGGAGACGTATCGACCGTCAAGAGTTCTAGTAGACTCTGCATTGGGTGGCGTTACAATGGAAGCCATCCGATTTTCATCCATTCGTAGATCTTCTAACATATAGTTAGCGCAGTAGACCCATCCACGGCTCCAGCGCGGATCTTGACGCAATCTCCAATGGGGCGACTGAGGGAATTGAGTTTCCCCTCGGGGTGGGGTATCAGCGTCCGGTGGCTGAAGAATATCCTCTGTAGGCTTAGTAAATGTCTTATCAATGTCATACGTGCACTCCTCATCCGAAGGTTTGATAGAAAGGATGGTACCGGGCACCTTTCCAAAAAATTTATGTTTTGAGACTTCTTGCTCTGGCGTTGGGAAATAGATCATGAAAATGTGCACTGCTTGGCCAGAGGGAGCCCACTCACCAACTTGACGGGGATCGGACAATTTTTCTAGCTCAACTTTTCCAAGATTCTTTTGGAAAAACAGGCCGACTTCACGCAGGTTAAAAACGTCTGAGGTTGTTGTATCTGCAAGAAACAATTGAAAATTTGTCAATAGAATCGGCTGAGAGTCCAATATCAACAAGAGTTTCGTACCGTTCATGAGAGATTTGACGTTGAGTTGGGCGCGTAAACAAGAGTGTTCTGTCTTGACACTGGAAATGTTGCAAGCGCGTTGCAGGAGAGAGATGTCATGTTTCCCACCTTCGGGGACCAAAATCCGGTCCATTCGGTGTCGAATGGACCGGATTTCGGTCCCCAAAGGTGGGAAACATGACGTCGTCAAGTCTTGTCTTACACTAACTTGTTTCTCAATCCTTTGACATTTCTTTCAACGCTAAGGGCTCCTACCTCCCACCTCAACCACATACCTATCGACGGCGATTCTTTGCCAGTCCCTTTGTCTCCGCTGTCTCAACCAACCAGCCACGCATCAGAAGGCCATTCGACGCACGAAGTCTGTTATCTTTGATTCTAGGCGGTATGGTCATCAGGTAGGGAATTCCTGCATTTTCACCCTCGTTTACACATCTTTACATCGACCCAGTCACAGTACTCCTCACTAGACGTCACCATGCCGTGAATCAACCAGGACCCCACCAACGTCCCACGTTCGAATTTCGCGGGAGCAGCGTACACCGCTATCAGACAAACGATGTCCAACAACGGTCAGATCGACAACCGGAAAGTCCTCAGCACGATTGCGGGACTCAGTCAGGCTAGAAGCGATCAAAAAGGTCAGTGTACCCCCCTCAACGGCTCTTCACACATTCAAACTAACGCCTTTTCCCCCCTCCTGCTCCACTCACGCCATGCCACGTTCATCGCGTTACCATGCACGCAAAACTAACGCTATGCCATACCATCCTAGCATGATGCGCTGTCACGCCCATATCGTCTGCCACGGCATGCCACAGAAGACGACGAGGGCGAGGTAAACAAGCACGAAGAGGGCGAGCGTGTGGCCATCGCCTCTGGTTCCGCACCCATTCCACCATCCACGCCAACTGGTCGCCGTTTGTTCATCCACATTCTCCCACTACATCCAACTTTGCCACACCCACCCGCAGACTCCCTTCCAACGCCGAGAGCTCTACCATTCCTGCCCATTAGAGCTGGACAAACCACCAGAAAGCATAGCAGGACACACCTTCACTGTCACCCAACAATGTCAGCGCCGCGGCGGGTCCGTTGGGCGTTACTTGTCTCCCCAGCGAGGGCGAGGAGCTTTTGAGCTCGGGAGAGGCGGCTGAGGTGGGGATGGTGGGCAGGCTGATGGCTTTTGGCAGCGTGACGGTGATTTGGTTGAGGAGGAGTGTACGAAGTCATGAATCCCCTTGTTCGTGTTTTTTTTTTCTTCCCCTTTTGTTGGATGCCTGATCAGCTGTGTGTAGATTTTAGAAATCGTCAACGGACGCAATGGCGACGAAATCGCCTGTCTCATATTCGAGCGTGCGCGTCCTCCGTATGCGCGTATTGGCGTCGAGCTTTTCTGGGGTGGAGATCTGGTGTTGCAGAGGCGGGAACGTTGTTCCCAAGCGGATTGAGAGGCAGGCTGGTGGGTTTAATAGTACGTTCTCTTTTTCTTTCATCCCTTTCGCAGTTTTCTGACAAAAAGTCGGTACTCCAGCAGCAATAGTATACAACGAAGTCAGTTTTCTTAGTAGGAGGCTACGCTGCCTCTCCTTGGTTGTTCACGTACGTCTTCTCCCCACATTCTTCTTTGTAATCTCATCCAAAGTCATAGGCAATCCCAAGAACGCCTCGCCCTCGCCCCCCTCCACCGTTTAACGTAACCGTCACCAGGCCAGATTAACAAATGTTCGCTTGTACGAACTCGAACTCTGCAGGAGCGTCCGGATCGGCAAATGTTGATTCAACGGGTACACGCCTTACCTTCGTGCAACATTGACTGACGAATCAAATCCAACGCAGCAGCGGCTACCATCCTCTCTGCTTTGGTCTTCGAGCCCAGGTTTGTCCGTTTTTGGAATTTTAGTAGGACTGACAACGTTGTTGGGGACACAGTCATTCTGGTGGCGCAACATATCGCTACTGGGCATCTGGTTTGTGGAGCAAACACGCGAAAGAGGGATATACCGTATGGGTATGGCTTTTCCCTGGTCTCAGGACTCCAATTACTTCTTTGAGGCTGTTACGTGGGGTGTTATCTGTGTAATGACTGAGAGTATTGCTGGTACGTAGTTTGCTGTGTGTTCTTCGTGTTCACCCACCTCCTGCCCTACGTTGTACTAATGTCATTCCTAGCATTCGTGTTTACCGGTCTTAGTGTTGGACGGATGGCACTGTGGGCCATCAAGAAACATAAGAACTAGAAGAAGGACTTTGGGAATGTAGGTTTTGTTCTTCTACGTTGCATAACGAAGCTAATTCCTCCGCCTAGACGCCGTAGAACACCGGCAATGCCACAATGACGACCCCACACAACAACAACCCCATGCAACAAGAAACCCAGGACACGAACGCCCACAATGGCCGAGCACCACACCGCACAGTGCAAGTCACGTCAGCCCCTCCTTTCCGAAGCACTCGACCTGCATGTTGGGAGGGGTTGAAACTTGAGGAATACGATAAGGTCTGTTCAAGGTTTGTCCCTTTCCTACTCCTATCGTTCTTTTTCATACTGACACGCTCTTGGTTGATAGACGTACAGACCTACCAACCACACACCCACCACGCCACTGAGTATCTCACGTTTCCCCCGTGGTCTGCCGACGCTTCGTTCCCTGTCACTCTGAAGCGAAAGTTTCAGAGGTGAACGACCAACGTGCTTTGAGACTCTCCACCCTCACAACAACACGCCCATCATTACTTCCCCACATTTCGTCCATGGTCCACTGCTTCGTCCCCTGTCACTCTCAAACGAGAGTCACAGAGGCGAACACCGCTTCTTCGGAGACTTCCTGCCCTGGCAAACCGGTGCCGTACCATCTTCCATACCAGCAGCGTCGTCGGCGATGTATCCTTGGCCACCAGCGACGATAACAAGTGCGGACATTTCTGTGTTTTCGGATGGCTGGAGTGAATGGGCATGGGTGTGGGTGGGTGTGGGCGAACATGGATGGGCGCGTGTGCACGGATAGGTGTTGTTGGTTTAACACCATGTGTGGTTGAACAGGGACGGTGTTGGTCGAAACGGATGGTGTGGCTGATGAGTGCGGATGGGTGTTGTTGGTCGAATGCAGATGGGCGTGGTTGGTTGAACGCGGATGGGCGTGGTTAAAGGTGGATGGGCATGGCACGCGGATGAGTGTGGATGAGCATGGATGGGCGCGTAGACAATATCGCCGTACCATGCACGCCAAACTCGCGGCCAAACGCCGTGGACATTGTTGTGAACTTTGCGAGGTGGAGGAGCGCGTATTCGAGTACGTTGGAGCAGATCATGGAGGCCCTTTTCCAACAAAGATTACACCTTACAAGCCGCTCTCAGAAGAACAATGGAAAAATACTTGTCAAGATACGATATTGCAACCAAAACCCTCAAGATCGCGAATCCCACTTTTGAGGATTTGAATGGGGTACGTTGGTTCGCCTTCTCCTCATTCCACTTCACTTACACCGTTACATGTAGAGTCTGCACCAGTTTTCGATTCCCCTGAATGGGTCGGAGCAAACGTGTCATATTGTCTAGTAGATGCCGGGCTATGGATGGTTCGTCACTCTTCAAACTTGTGGTAAACTTGTTAGGACCATGTACTCCATTTATCAAACCATATAACATCGTATACTGTAATTCTTATACAATGTAACCTGGAACTGACAAGCTACAAAGACCATGTCTCCAAAACCTCTTGAATCTCCTTCATGAACGGGCCGATTTTCTTTGTCAACGCATTATAGACCCCTTCTTCCTGTCTGCCTTGAAGATATTCATCATCACTAACGGAGATGACCCTAGGTGCCAGCATTACGTTGAGCGTGCTCAGAAGATTGAGGTGCTTGGGCTGTAGGGGATTTGGACCTGGATGTCCTTCACGCTCACGGAATTGCTGTTGTCGAAGAAGATGGTGGGCATCCCGCGTCTTCTTAAACTGGGTTCGAATGCTGTTGACGGTGGCTGGAACAAGCCCTAACCAGGTCACAACTTGATCCGGATGAACAGTAACTGTGTGCCCATCGTGCTGAATGGTAGCTGGGGTGATACGGCTACCTTCGAAAAGAATACCGAGCGCCTGGCAGATTGCCGTGACCTGCCTCTCAATCAAGCAGTGTCGATACGCAGTCTGATAGATAGGATTTGACAGCCATGATGCCAGCTGTTGACGATGTGTCCCAAATCATTGTTCAAGGTACGTTCCAGGAGACACTGACGCCAATTCCAAAGCAGTAGGGGTCAAGTCAGGTTGTTCACCACTAATGGGTGCTCTGCCGCTGGCTACCAAGCGATTTTGGCACTAAAGCAATTAGTTGAAGAGAATCTAAAGTGAAAGTATCAACAAGACTATACCTCGTGATAGAAGTATAGAACATAAACTTTGACATCGTCGTTGAGCCGGAGGCGAGACAGAAGTGCAGTTCTGGCATCTGAAGGAGATAAACACCGGAGGCGGGAAGTTATGGTCAATGGAAGGAGTATGGCATCGAGTCGACCAAGTTCAATGAAGTTATGGCGATAGTTCATGAAATCTTCCGAAGCGTCAATGGGATAGTCAGCAGAGCCAACGTAGTATTGATTTGCTGGCATGAGAGCTTCAATAGTCCGTCCAGCTGGACCATTGCCATCAAGGAGAGCTTGAATAACAGCGCCCGGTTGAGGTCTGTTGGCGTGTCCCCCGTTTCCTCTCTCACAGAGAGTGGTTTGCTGTGCAGCTGCCCGAATGCCGATAAAGTAGAGGTGGCTTGGGGTCCCAGCTTCCGAAGCTGAACAACTGCTTCAGAAACTGAATCAGAGAAGATGAGGATGGTAAGATACCTTGTGACAGCGGTAACTCGACTGCTCTAGATTCAGGGGTGGACGACACAACAGAGTCAATGACGACTGGGATATGAGATAGATCAGCTCCAAGTGCTCTGTCGAACATCATGAATGAATAAAATCGTACTGGGAGGCTGCTCTGCACCGATGTCCAAAGTAGGGGTATCACTCCAAGTCATTTCAAGGTCAACAGATTGCAAGTCAGAGACCACAGGCTCTATTGAGTCGTCTTCTCCTGTGGCTGCGCGCCTCAGGTTGATAAGTCGGCATATTAATTCTGCAGCAGGATCATTTGAAAGATCTGTTTGGAAAGAAACTGGAATGTACTATGAGCAGAAGAAGCATTATTATAAAGGAGGAGTCGAGTCTTACCTTGAGACCCCGTAGCAGCAAGATTTGCCCCAAGAGGGGCGCCTAAAGTTCAATGTTCATGCGGTCACTGTGACACCGTTAAATAATATTGATTACTTACCTTCAACATCGTCTCTATTGCCTGATTCCACCTGACACTCTGCGTCTGCTATAACCCTGTTCAATAACAGCTAAATGAACTTTGGAACGTGCTACTTGCCTATGACTCTGGCTGCTTCAACCTCACTGCCAGCCCCTCCTACATCGTCGATAGCCATCATCTGGTGAGAGCCGTTTGCACCGCTCTCAGGCTGGCCTGGCGTTCCTCGTCTCACATCAGTAGCATAGGTCACTGGTTCATCTGCTTGAGGTGGTGCTCGCCTTTCACGCCTTGGTCGCCCCGGACGTTGAGCCCCGGTAGCTGCTGAACGACCTCTGGATCTTTGTTGACGAGGCATAGAGTAGAAGGAAAGATGGGGCAGGCACGCTTTTCTTTCTTGCAACATAATGTACCTTAAAAATTTCTCAAGTACTTTGGGTACGGGCTCAGGAACCAGAACAAATCGTATTGAAAGCAAATTGAAAGACGATATCAAGAAATTACAAGATATCACGCACTCTACCACTAAACAATGGTATAACTCTGATTGGTATTGAGAAGTTGGGCATGGAACCATCGTTCGAAGTCTGGAGATGAACCCGTACTATCAACTTCTGCAAGGAGTAGCGGCTCAAGATGATCGCTGAAGAAGACATCGATCTCCATGGTGCATGTGTGGAATTTGAGGGCTGAGCTCTATAGCCTTGATGAGTGGCGGCTTAAGTCATTGAGAACAACTCACCTCTTGTGAAGTTTGAGCTGCAGCATCATCGTTGTAGAAGCGGAACTGGAAATGACATGAGCTTGAGAAGCGTCACAGCGGAGAGAAACATACTGAGATTGCCCAATCCTCAGCAATTGGGAGAAGAAGAGAGTCGGAGGAAGCAACCATTAAGGCCTGTACGCGCTTCAAGGGATTGTTCAACTCCTGGGCATACTCGTCATGGGAGACGATGTCTCCACAAAGAACTTTGGGATGTCCGACTCCTTGCAAATATTTACGTACACGGATCTCAAATATACCAGCAAGAAGTTGCAGCGTTTCAGACTCTGCAGCATCACCAATGACATGAAAGCGGATATGATCAAGGACGTCAGCGACACTGCGAATCTGACGGTTGTACATGCAACCGTATATTTGAAATGCTGAAAATTTCCCAGGTTTAAACAGCTAGTAATGAGGGTTAGAAAGATATTGAATACTAAGAATGGAACGTACATCAAATAATTTGCGTGTAGTAGGGTTCTGCCTGAGCACAAGATTGAAACCATCCTTCAGTGCAAGAAACTCGGGACGGTTCCAGGGATCAGGATGACCAAGCAACAATTTAGAGAAAAGCATCTTCGTCCAGTATTCGCGATCTTGGGGGGTCTGACGATTCGATAACATGTTGGGCTATGGGCAATAAGTGGTGAGTATGCGGCTGCCACAATCCAAAAGCTTAGGATGCAAACCTGAATATCCAACACATCAATGATGAGTTGATTCACTGGATGACGTAGATCGGTTGGAAGAGGATTGGTTGGGGACAAGTCGAACCAAGGCTTGAGTTTAGTGGCAGCAACAGGGTCCATGAGATTCATTGACGCTGGCGTCTGAAGCATGCTTGACGGGCCCATAACGAGTGCTAACACAACCCAGAAGCTCACAACGGTACCTTGCCCGTAGTATAGACAGTGAAGAGCCAGCAAGAAGGCATGCGCCTTGTAACGAGCCACGCAATCATGAATAGCTGATGAGCCTGGTGAAAGACATGGGACAACATATTCAGAGTGTTCATATGGTGACCAGAATGCCGAATCTTGACTAATCAAGTGCAATGCCTGATGAATTGTAGCACGTTCAGGGCCAGGACCAAGGGCCACAGCAACAGGCATGCCACTACGGCGAACCATTGTCACGCCTCTGAAAGGACATGTCATGATGATACCTCATATAAAGAGAGAAGAACGTACACTTTGTACACCCGGAATGCAGATCTAGCAAGAAACGCGACAAGGGGGGCCTCAGCATTACAGGTGAAGATATCGGGACCTGCTGAGAATGTAGAGGTAATGGTGTCGCTTGAAGATCGCTGAATGTGAATGAGGAGGTCGATCAGGGCAACTGACATTGAGTGGATCGTTCGACCATGAATTTGAACTTGTTGACGCTCATTCTGTGGGGCCTCAACAAGCTTCATGACCTCGGCCTGCCATTTTTCAACTTCAGAAGGGAATGCAAGCCTTGGCGCATTGGCGGATGATCTACTTTCATTCTGAGGTAGAATAGCAGTTGGAAAGTCATCGTCAGATGAAACAACATCAACCCATGTAACTGTGGATGGTCGCATATGAGATCGTGATGGACCTGGTATTCTGGATGGTTGCCCAAGAGACCGTAAAACAGGCATTCTAGCTGGTGGATTGATGCGAGTTCTCGAACGTGGAGGAGAATGGGTATCCTGAATCAAATGTCAGTCAGTGACTGCAACGATGAGAATAACATATCACCTACATCAAAAATTGAGATGGAACGTGGGCGAATAAGAGAGTTTCGAGGGGGGGCTTCATCATCCTAATGGGAAGTGAGTTGAATAATTGGCTAGAGAAGCAAGTTCAACTGACGGATATTACAATAACTTCAGGAAGTTGAACAGACTCAGAAGCAGGTCGTTGTGATGGAAAGGTGACCTGGAAACCCAACCATCAAATATAGTCATCTATGAAGGTAGACGTTGCATACCTCATTTGTGGGCGTGTCAATGGCCTCAGCCCCAGGGCATAAATTTGTAAGGCACACAGGTGGGTGTCGAGGCCGTCCTGAATGAGGTAATCCTGCCGTAATTTGCTGGGCAAAGCATGGATGGTGTTGATCAAGAGCGCTCGCAGAGCTGCCTTCTCCAATCCATGATGGCTGTAGGATACCTGATACATGACCGTACCGTGGAGCTGAAGAGAACTGGTGAGCAAGCCTTGAAAAGAAAGTTCATAAGAGAAAGCACCAAGAATAACCATCATTGTCTTGCTTCCACGTTCCGGGTTTTTGAATTTTGACGTTATCCTTACGAGGTTGGTATGGTTAAAGGTATTGGCGTTCATATTAGGATGTGGCTCAATACTCCAAACCAAAGTCGCGTTTTTCAATTTTGGCTGCATTAAAACCCAGGGCCGCTGGTGGAAATGAATATCACCGGATCCTGGATTAGGATCAGAGGGGAGAACAAGGTTGTGGGAAGTGAAGTGGGCGAGAATTTGAGAGGTGAGCGGACCGTCCAGAGGCTCGTCAACCTTTCCAGGAAGAACGACATTGAAGAAGAGGTGATGACGCTTAAGGGTTTGAAGTGTTTCCATAAATTGGCCACCCGTAACTTTGAAGTCATAGGTCGGCATGTCGAAAGGCTCATACATCCCCGAGGTCTAGAATTAAAGATAAGTTATGTGCAGCACAAGAAATTTGAAAGAGTAGATTGAACATACGACATTAGGCCAGAAAAGTACTGATATAGTGCAAGGTTTTGGTGCATTAGTAGCTGAAGAAGGATAAGCGCGGATTCGAGATGAGCCAGATGGTTGGTTTTGGGGGAGGTTCCGCAGTCGGCTACTCTCACGGTTGGCAAGGGCGCTTCCAGAAGCAGGAGGAGGCATGCCAGTAAACAAGGAAATGGGGGGGGGCATCTGTGCCTGAAGAGTCGTTGTTACGGACAGAGGAGCCGGGATTGGTACAGAGGTTAAAAGAGCCGTTTGATTGGCTGGTTCACCAGAAGGAGCAATTGCGCTACAGAGACAAATTTTACTTTTATGATCGTTGATATAATCAAAATAATAATACACGTACTTGTATGCTTGATGATAGCTCCATCTCTCACCGCAAATACAAATGGCGGCTGGGCTCCAGTGACCAATGACCTGAGACGCGGGAGGTGAGTATCACATAAAGATTCAGTATACTGGACTTCCTACCATGTAAAATCCCCCACAGTTGGACGCGGGACACTCGCCTTTGCGATAAGGGAAGAGTGGATGGCTATCTGCCATGGGGAAATTTCTGTGGCTGAGCCAAGGATGCCGACAGCCTGCGCACTGCTCATCCTTGTTGTTCGGATTCTAAAAAGTGTCACCGGTTAGCAACTTCAACAGAAGTTGTGACTCGTGAGATGGCGGTCTTACTGCTCTAGGTAAGAACGCCTGTGTCACTGGGTCGACACTGGTGGCAAAAAACTCTGCACAGGGGCAGAAGATGCATGAGCGACGTGGTGGAAGGGTACTCATAGTTAAAAATGAGAATAAAAAATTATGGAGAAGAGACGTTGATTGGCGGTCAGAATGAGGGGAATGGGAAGAGACTCAAGGTCAAATTTCTTCTTCGTGTATATAACACTGGTCATGAGGACCCCCATCCTCTGTCATGGGTTCAAAATAACTTTGCAACCACAGGAACAATATCAAATCCCTGATTGTGTGGCGAGGAGAATTGGATATTGCTGATGGGGTCCTGGTACTGGGCAGGCACTAAAGTAAAGTTATTCAACAATTGTTGATGAGATCCGCAGAGAGAATATAGCAAACGAAGACTCTGTCAGATGAAATATCAAAGATTGTTGAAGATTGTTCGTTATTCCTTTGCAGATATGGATTCTAAAGAAATCAAAAAAAGTCAGAGAAAGTGAGACAAAGTTAGACAAAGTCAGAAAAAGTAAGAGAAAGCAAAGAAGGCCAAAGATTGTCGACATTTGTCAACTTTATGCAAGAACGTGGAAGAAACTCAGACATTGTTGAAGTTGAAAGATAGTTATAGATTGTCGACATTTGTTACAAAAAAAAAACATGACTAAGTTGACAATTGTTCAGAATTGTTAAAAATCTTTGACAAAAGCTGAAGATTGTCAAAGATTGTTGAAGATTGTTGACTATCAGTGACTTTTGTCAGCAATATTTCTTTAAATTTGGGTCTTTTTAAAAAAAAAACAGTTTTGTCCACAGACGGCCTTCATACTAACAGAATCGCGTCTCCTCGCTTCACACCAGCTAAAATCAATCAATTTCGAACGCGTGTACTACGATGACGACCTTATACCTCTTGCCCGTCTACTCGACGGTCTCTTTCCCTCCTTGGAAGTTGAGGGTGAATGTCAAACTTGTGGCGTGTACCAACACAGCAGGTCCAATACAAATGTTGAACAATTTGTTGTTTCTCTGTCGGGTTGCTCGGGCAAACCGTTTTCAGGTGGTTGAATGAAAGCTCTTGTTGAGAGCTTACTAGCGCTCACTGGCTAGGCAGCGACGTTTCTCCTAGAAAAATATATACGAGTAACCTGTGTTGACTTGAAAATGAGATAAGCGACAATCATTTGCATCGTCGAAATGGTCTATCGGGTTCTCGACGTCGACCCCTATCAACCCTTGAATATATACATGATCATGGGTCTTCGGTATAAGCACAGGCGTCAACATTGGTGTACACCCACTCAAATTGCTACCATATGGATATCAGTTGACCACTTCGACTAGATTACTTGTAATCTAAGTACTCTCATCACAAACCCTCGATATACAACGAACAAGATCATATTGATAACACCTCTCACTGCAACAGGCCAGAGCGGGTAATGACGAGCTCCATAGCCTTGGTACGCAAGAAAAATGGCAGCATTTCCACCTCAAGCGCTACAAGAAAAAGGTATCGATCGCCGTGATTGGAGAGTTATTGTAACGTGCTGGCTATCGCTCACGTTGCCAGCTTCGCCCTGGTGTGCCTAGGAAATTGCGCCAATCGATTTGCATTCGATTTCACTGGGTCCGCTCCCCTTTGGAAGGTAGAGCATGTAGGACAACGTGTTTGAAGGGCGATTCATACAGTTCGAACCAGATGACTAGCCGACAAGCGTGCGACGCTGGACGCAGATATCGCCTTAACTGATTGATTGAACTTACCCTTTAGTCGACATGAAATGACGACAAGTTGTCCAAAGTCACGTCCATGATAACTTGTACATAGAACACCACATTTAACAGTAGGAATCTTCTTCTTCTTTAAGTACACCTGAGACCTTTTAAACGACACCAGAATCGGCGATGGTGACCTTCTTTTTCAGTGAGCCGGATGCGGAGCCAAGCCCCTCAATGAGCTTGACGAGCGCGAAGTTCTCAACAACCTCGCCTAAGATATAGCATTCAGAGTGAGTACTCAATCGATGATAGCGTAAACTCAAATTGCGCACCGAAAACGACGTGAGCGCCGTCCAGCCACGATGTGACGACAGTGGTGATGAAGAATTGGGATCCGTTGGTGTTCTTGCCGGCGTTAGCCATGGACAAGAGACCAGGCTTGGTGTGCTTGATCTTGAAGTTCTCGTCTACAAAGAACATATATCACACATCCCTCCGCAGCCCGTAAGCGCAGAACGTACCAGCAAACTTCTCGCCATAGATCGACTTGCCACCGGTCCCGTTGCCCCTGGTGAAATCTCCGCCCTGGAGCATGAACTGAGGGATCACGCGGTGGAAGCCCGATCCCTTGTATCCATATCCATGCTCCCCCGTGGCAAGCTCGCGGAAGTTCTTCGTGGTCCTGGGGACGACATCGTCGTACAACTTGAACACGATGCGACCAGCTGGCTGGTTGTCGATGGAGATATCGAACTGCGACACAAGTTAGCCTGTTCGATGAACGCAGCGAACGCAGGGACTTACGAAAACGTTGGCCATGATAAAAAGTTGGTGGTAATAGATGATAGATAAGGATCGATGGAAATGCGCAATCTGAACAGATTGTGTCTCTTATACAGTTCGGCGAGTTCCGGTACCCACCGGAGATGATCAAGCGGAGTTCGGATCTGCTGTATCACGTTTGTCATTTGTGTGATGGCCACATATCGAGCATATCGAAATGTTACTATAAATCAAAATCGAGGCGAGATAGGGCGAGATCAAGCTCATTACATTCCTACATATGCGTCAGATTTTTCTGACATATATCTTTTCGTTTTGGGCCAACTAAAGCCGTCTTTTGCCCCACCAGCGTCATAACACAGCATGCCTCCTCAAAAGTAGGCAAAAGCACGTCTCGGCGTAAACGTCATTACACCTGTCAGCGTCGCCATGTTGATTATCGGATCGCCGTTCTTATCGTGTTGTAATTTTGGAAGGGGGGCGCACGGTGGTGAGGTTCCACTTAGTATTGGAATCTCTGAGCAATCTTTGAGTCTGGACTCTGGAGCGATGATTTGAGAGACTAAAGAAGGGATTGGCCAATGGGCAAAGCTTGAAAAATTATTAGTGTCCATCGCGAATATAGGCAGACGCAAAGAACTCACTGGCTGAAAAAAGCATGACTTAATAATACCGCAAGGTCCACAAACCACATCTGGAGAGAAATGGAGAAATATGATGTAGAGGATACTCATGTCTCCAATGGTTTTTCTGCGTGACAAATTGTATGTGGTCTATGTGAATTTATCAATGGATCGTTCCTCGCGCTATAGATTCGTGAATCGCGGAAGAAGAATCGACTTGACGCGGAACCTTGGTCATTGTCGTAGCTAGTATAAACAAAGCCTAAAACAAAAGAAATGAAAGTAACTACAAATTTTCCGGCACGTAGAACTCACCTCAATCAAAGAAAAACAAAAAAAACAAGCCCCGAACGTATGGCCAACCTGCAGAAAACACGATTTGCACAAAGGAGGGCGTTCAGATGGAAGCAAAACAAACATCACGCCTTCTCCAAGTTACAAACAGTCGAACTTTCAAATTTATTATCAGCCTGAAGGGGGATCGGATATATGCCGCCTCCGTAACAGTTGTATGACGATGAAAGATCTATCAGCCAAAGCAATGAGCTCAGCACGCAACAATGCAAATGCAACGCTGAAACTCACCCTCAGCTCGTACGTGACAGTGGCAGGTTGGTGGCCCGCTTCGCACCAGCGATAAGCCCTCGCCAGGTTAATTCTGGTTCTCAGTTCCACTGAGGTGGAGCGAGCACGATAGAGTATGTACAGGGTTTTGCTACCTATAGCTATATTTCAGTCAACAATTCTCGATACCGGAGTTTCGGAATAGATTTGCGCACGCATGATATGCAAGAAGTCAGCCGACCTTCTCATTTCATCTTCTCAGCTGCGTCGTGAGAAAAGAAATTTGAGTTCCCATATTTCATGCATCGTCATAGGCCGCCGATGATAAGCGCAATTCGCAGGATGGACCCCGTGAGGCGACTGCGCGATCTAGGTGCAAGATTTGGTTTTTCGGTAATCATTTCACGAATTTAGATTGAAATTCAGCCTTGAAAAATTTCCTTAGGTGGATATCATTGAGAACTCACGCCAGGCGTCAAAACTTGCAAACCCGAATACACTAAAACTTGGAAAACTCACCACTACCTGAGTCACGCATTCATCACCAGTCTCAGGTCGATATGCGCCACTATCTCTAGCCTGCACGGCGCTTGCATTCAACACCAAGGAACGGTACTCGCACCTGTGGACCGAGGACTCCAGAGCTTCAACGTGATATTCAAAAAGTAAACTTGAAGTCTTGAAGGCAACTTGAATGGCACTGGTGCTCCAACCGTTTCCGTGCCCAGCGTCGAAAATAAGGTGAAAGGTTGGCAGGAGAGGCGTGAAGATGAGATAGGTTAGCGCTCATTTGGCTATTGGTGATGTGATAAGTAAGTATGCCAAGAGAGAGCCTGAACATCGTTGGGTTGAACTGAAGAGCAACTGAACAGTCTGCCAGTGTATTTGTGCGTGCTTGGCCGCCCTGTCTATCCAATGATATCTTCTGCCTCTCATCTTCCTTTTCGCGCCTCCCGCTCTTCATCAATTCAGAGTTTCCTGCACTACCGCTGCAGCTCATTCTCCCAATGACGACAGTGGTCGTAACCAGTGTTTTCATAAGTGAATGCATGCAAATACCCAACAAATACCGGGCTGCACTGCCTCGCGACTACTTACAGGGTCTTGCATAAATAAGTTCAGGTGGAGAATTCACAAAATGTTGTTTGCGAGTGATTGGTTGTGGCTGCGCCGTGACACCCAGTGAAAATCAACTCCGATGAGGCCGAGTCACAGTGACTATGGTCGATTTGCGTGGCATCAATCGAGTTAGTTATATTCCAGGCGATTTGCAGCGATTTGTAAGGCTGACCCACGCGCTGCGTACATGTGTGTAATATCGATTCAAGTCTATTTGTATAGAATTCTGTCGATAAAACGACATGTTTACATCGCTTCAATTCTAGGCAATCAGAAGACCCTCGGAACTACCCGAGTCGTTTTTGACCGGGCGTGACATATCGTGATGCTTATGGGTGACACCCGTCACAAAATTACTCTCTTTGGGCACGCATCAACATGAACAAACAGCTTTTTAAAAACGTCCACCTGAACTTATTTATGCAACACACTGTAGCCTTCACTAGCACTTGTAACATCAACTGCCTCAGTCACCCACAGAAGCCCACAGTGCACCGCCCAGCTCAAGTAGTGCCGAAGTAAGGCACTTGCCTGGGTACTGGACATTGAGTTGCATCACTTCTCCCCAATCTCACTTCAAACTTCAAACTTACTTACTGTCGATTCATTGGCCACATGTCCATTGCTGGAACCAGTCTCTTTCCATTGGAGAAGGGTTATGAAGGGTCCACTTCCTTCGTCTCATGCACTGATGGATCCTACCTTGGCACGAAGACTTACTTCATACCCTCAGTTTCGATGGTCACGGAGGTCGTTGAATCCATGCTCTCCCAGTTTCAGCCACAAGAAAATGCCCATTACATTTCCATCCCAAATTCTTATCTGCTACCCAACGGCGATTCTACCATTATCAGTCATTCTCTGAATGCAGTAAACCAGTCTATTGCTCGGAATCAAGGTTTGCCGGGTCCCCGTAAAGAATATCGTATGGCTCACGGGAGAGGCTACTGCGGAACACTTCCTCACGGAGAGAGTGTCATTTATGTCATGTTCCTCGATTTCTGTGCTGGTTATATAGCCTCCGACCTTCTCGTGAGCACCTATCACGATGGGGAGCGGAAAACATGCGAATTCGTCGAAGTGTCGTCCCCCCTATCCAAGATACCTCTATAGAGGAAGCGATAATCAGGGTGGCGGTATTTGTGTGTGAACCACCGCTTCATCGCATAGTCCTCAATAACCCCCCTCCGTCCCTTGCTCAATTGGTGCACACCGTTCTTTCTGAGAATTATCCCGAAATTCCTGTTATTGCGGCTTCAGCCTCAGACGTCTCCCAGGCACTAGCCAAATATCAGTACCTGAAATCATGCCTTCAGGGCAAATCAAGGCGGCTGGCCTCTGGATTCATCATTCCTCTGCCTATCTGCATTGCCTCCCCCGCAAGTGTTGCCATGCCCCTGGGAGATCGACCTGGTCTTGTTGCATGTCCCAAAGAAAGGATCTTCACCAGTTCAGTTGACAATCAGGCTACTGCCACAGTGCGACTCTTGTTGGGCGACAACCCTCTCGCAAAGGATAATCTTAAACGGGGTGTCGTTATTTTGGAAGGATTGAAACCAATGCCAAAAGGTGTTGCTCTCATCAAAGTCTCCGTAGATATGCCCACCCTAGATGGGTTTCTCGACATGATAACGATGATGGTGGAGCAACTGGCAGACGATGAAGAAACAGCCCCTCCATTGGTGAGCAAGATGTTCATTTTCCCACATTTCTTTCGTGAGGTCGGGATGGTGGAGGAGAGGTACTCGTATGACCCAGAACTTGAACATGAGTACGATGAGGCCCAGCCAGAACTTCCACCCTGAATTTATTACACACTGTAACCATCAAAAATATCTGTATTTCCGTTTTTCAAATGGACCCTCCATATCGCACCGTTTTGTGAAGCCTCGCAATGAAATGACGGCCCACTCTGGGATGCGATCTGAACGCCAGTAGATTTGTTGGCCTAAAGTACTCAACCATGCTCTCCAGAAATACTCGGAATACTCCCCCCCCATCATCTTTGACGTTAAACGTGGATTGCTGAGACCAATGCAAAAGGGCGCTGTTGGCCGCATTCAAGTCGCGCTGCGATTTTAAGGATATGTCAAGAACAAGCAAGATCTTTATCTTCCACCACCACCGCTACAACTGCCACGGTTGCCCACCACCCACGGATGGCGATTAGCAGGTACCACTCGAACGATGAGCGCCCAGCATGTAAATTTGGTTGACCTACAAGGTGCGTTCATCTCTCTGAATTTTTACTCGATCCTCAATTTACGTGGCCCACATCTAAACGGTATTGATGGTCAGGCTGAGGGGTATTTGTTTGGCCGAAAATCAAATCCGAGGGGGACGAGTCGGAACTTCTTTCGCGAATTTCTCCTCCGGCACGGGATAATAAATAATTTATTTTCGATTAGGTTTGACCAACTCGAACTGTTTTGGAAGGTACGACGATGGAAAAGCTAGCACTTTGTCATGCTATATGCCAGCGGGCATTGGCTGGCATTAGAGAAGTTTTGTGAGAGGCCGGTGCAACTAGGACTATGGGGATTCCGGGGGGAGTTTGTGGTAGAGTCAAGAGGAGAGCGTTGCGAATGTGGCTCGGCTAGGGGAACACGGCTGCTTGTTAGGAGGCAAAGACGGTTCGTAAGAAATGAATCAGATGGCGGTGATGCGGCGAGTAAACATAGGGCCAAAGTTACGCCAGGACCTTACTATGCAAGCGGCTGGAGCGGGTGTCAACCATGATTCATCCTCAAATATACTCATTGAAAAGTAGTCAGACTGCACTTCAAGAGACAATGGCGTTACTCAATTTAAAGGAAGGTATCTATTATACATTGATGAACCTATAGGCGAAGATTGAACATCAGTGCAACAGGCCTCGGAAGCGGATGTTTTACTCACCAATTACAAACATACAGACAGCTACACGAAAGAGTAACAGGCAGAATCAGCCGAAGATGTTTGCGTCCAAAAAGGACAGAACTCACCGTCAACACAGGCCAAATCCACAGCCATATTTTCGGGAAAAACGTGTATGATCAAGAAAATCCACATATTCGTTGGGAAGTCAGTTACAACACAGGTCTGATATCTGTTCGAATCCGGGTCAATAACGCAGCAAAAAAAAACGAACACTCCAACACTCACCAAGGCATTTCAAAACCCAAAAACCTTATTCAAAAACCCCGTCCGCCCCTTCCCACTCCCCGCCCCAACCACACAATCATCCTCCCAAACAACCTTCACACTCCCATGCGAAGCCTCAACAACAACCTCGTCACCCTTCCACGCACCCCCCCTCCATCCCGAAAAATCACCGACAAAACACCGTCTCGTCCCATCCACCTCGCCAAACGTCGTCAAATTCCCACTGAGCGCGTCGGAGAACTTTATGGAGCCGTGTGTGACCTTGAGGACGAGCGGGCCGTGAAACGTCCGCGGGAGGTGCACGCGCACGTCGCCGTATGTCGATTGGACGGTCAGGTGGAAGGAGGTTGGCGGGAGGTTGAGGTTTGGGTCTGAGGGTGTGCGCTATCATTCAAATGCCATCAGCCCCCACAAAAAAAAAACGAGAAAAGAACGCACAATCTTAGCAGTAACACCCCCATGCGTCGACTTCATCCACAACTTCGCCCTCCCCCTACTAGTACTCCCCTTACTCCCCGGCACAATCCCAACATCCGCATAAACAGCCCCATGCGTCGATTCCAACCTCAGATTCTCTTCCCTCTCTGGAGAAGGACGGACCGAGGGCGGGATGTATAGCCCCGGATCGAGGAGGAAGGTTTCTTTGATGGAGTTGTGCACGCGTGAGATGGAGATGTAGTTTGTGGGTTTTATACCCATGAATTCGACGGGGTACGCATATGTGGGTTCGTTGGGCTTTGAGGTAGCGCCATGTGGGGCTTGGTCGGTGTGTTCAGGGGAAGAAGAAGAGCCAACGCTAAGCGACGCATAAGTCGGCGGAGGTTCCTAGTCAATATTCGACCCCGTCAACTCGAACCCTAGCATCGGAGGATACACGCAAAAACGTACATCAATATTCTGATCCTCAACCACCCTCCTAGCCTCGAGCGCTTCCACTAGTTTGTCGTCCGTCAATATCATCGTCTAGCTTCTGGTGGGTATTTCGTCCCAAGGTTGTGGTGGTGGGAAAGAGAGAGTGAGAGAAGAAGGACAAGAACAGGATCCGGCCAGGTGTGCGCAGTACACAAAGCAGAAAGCACAGTTCACAGTCACAGCAAGTCCTTGTGGGCCCACAGCAGCTCCAAGTGATGGTGCACAGTCGCAGCAGTCGCGCCACGATGGGGGCATTATATTATTTACATTTAGCGCCTTGAGGCGACTGTGCTTTGATTAGATTTCACGATTAGATCCCCGCATCAACCTTGGCTCAACCACGGTTGGGAAACGGAGATGTAAAAACCTCATCGATGCACATGGTATGGTATATCAAGGCTAGTGTACTATACTATACTACACAGCGGTAGCAAAAACATTTTCTTTTGTAGAGGTATCTGTACTAGAAGGTTTCGACAAGCTAATTTCTGAAGAGGATCGATCGATCTGGGGATAAGAAGAGAACGAGAAAAACAGGAAAATCAAAGGACTGTGCGTAGTTCTTCAAGCCGAGTGTAGAACTTTATCGAATCGCAAAGAAAGAGAGTAGCCGTGGTGCCGAGCCGATGCTGGGGGTAACAACAGAGAATGAAAAAGGTCGAAAAAGGAATAAAACGATAAACGATAGACACATTGTGCTTGATGTGACGACAGAAAAAGCCAGAGAGTTCGAAAACGGAGCGCCAAAGGATAGTCGCCAAAAGAAACCAACGACGGCGAGAGACCAACGAAAGCCAATGACTGCGCAACCCTCAACGCCCCCCAACATTGACGCCCCCCAACCCCTTCTTCATCCCCCCACCACCGCTCTTCAACCCCTCAATCGAAGCCAAGTAAACCTGGACACCCCTCTCCCCCCCTCCACTCGCATCAACAATACCCGCACCAAACAACCCGTCCCCCTGACTGCCCGTGAACGATCCAAAGAAGGGGGTAGCAGGGCTCAGCGTAGAAGGCGTAGACGAATACGTCAACGCAGGTGATATAATTGATGGCGATAAATTCTGCTGCTGGTCGTACCCGCCAGCGCCGTTACGAGTAGCGGCAGCAGCAGCAGTCGAAGGAGGCAATTGTTCGTACTTGTCCCCTCCTCCTCCAGCAGAGTTGACGTTGGCACCGGTATTCGTGAGCTCCTCAGACCCCCCATTAGCCATCTTCGCAACGCTCGCATGCTGTGGGGTCCTCAACACCCCAGTGCCCACAACGCCACTCATACTGTTATGCTGATAATGCCTCGTAGTAGCCCCCAGCACCGGGCCCGAACCGGTATTACGTGAATTGCGATGAGGAAGCGTAGTGGATCGGATATGATAATTATGCTGCTGTTGTTCCTGTTGTTGCTGTTGCTGTTGTTGACGCTGTTGTTGTTCTTGCTGCTGTTGCTGTTGTTGTTCATACTGCTGTTGTTCGCATTCTTGTTGATACTGTTGCTGTTCTTGTTGCTGCTTATAATACAGTGCATCGGTAGGAGTAGTGCCCGCCGTCTGTGGGTGCTGAACGGACCGCTGAGTCGAACCCGCCTGGACGTGATAGCGTCCCTCCCAGCCGTTATTATGAAAGTCATTCTCGCTGATCGGCGCCCCGCCGCCAACAACACCAGGCGAAGCCAGATGGACCTGACTAGCCTGCGTGCGATAGCCCCTCACGCCCAACGCAATGTTCGCATTCAACAGCTCCTCATCAACGTTGCCCGCGCGTCTGGCGCTTCTACTAGGACGCAAATCTAGCGGGGCAGGACGTCTCCTTTGTTGCTGGGTAGACTCGGCATGTGCGCGCATGATATACTCCTCTGTAGCGGTGTACCCTGTCCTGGTGTGGACAGGAGGAGGACGAGCGTAATGATGCTGGTGTGGTTTTTGAAGAAGATCAAGATGCTGTGCCGAAGCGTCGTCATCATAGATGCCACCACGATAAGGGACGCCAGTGCCTCTTAGGGTCTGCAAGAGCGTCATCATAGATGGGTCCATAGGATGGGGCGAGGTGGAAGGTGGCAGCTGGACAGTCTGGCCTTGCCCAATGTACGGATGGGGAGAATGAGCCTGTGACCGGACGGGCCTAGCAGGAGCAAGTGAATAGTCCACCGCAAACGGCGCATGGGACGAGAAATCAGGGGTCGCAGGAACAGGAAGGCGACTATTGCTGTGACTCCGTTGGATGGAAGGTGGAGGCGGAGGGAGCGGCGTTTGTTGCACATGACCATGGGCGTGGATAACTGGCCCGCTCTTGATCATCGAAGGCCTGAGCTCCTGCCCTCTAAGATTGAGCAAGGCAGCTTGGGCGATGGTGAGCCTGGCTGGAGAGCCTTCCACGCCTTCTTTAGTTGCGCGTTCGTTCCTCTGTAAAGATCATGAATAAAAATTGACATGAACATCGAGAAAGAACGTACCCTCAACTCGCGCTGTTCACTTGTATCCGCAAACCTCACGGAGATTCGACTCCCAGTATCGTTCCATCCACGAACCATACGACCATGAAGGCGCTCGATGATTTCTTCGGCCCCCACGCGGGTTTCCAGCCTTGGAGGTGATCAGCATCGCTGGACACGAGGAAGCAGACGTTAATTACCTAACAAATGCAATAATCCTCGGCGGATTACTCAACCTAGTCTGGAAGAACCGAGAACTACTGATCCGATGAGGGGAGACCAGCGCCGCTAATGTCTAGATGCTCATCAGCATACACCCACAAAGGGAAGAGATCAAGGAAGATGACATACAGGCTCATCAATACTCAACGGTAACCTAAAGTGACCAAACAGAAGTATAACATTAGCAAGGCGAGAACTCCGTGAAGCAAGACACAAAAACGGACGAAGAAAACGACACAAAGAAAACAGTCCAAAGAAAACGACCCAAAAAAAGAAGCACAAAGAAAACGACACAAAGAGAACAGCGCGAAGAAAACAGCCCAAAAACCCAAAACCAAGAACCCAAAAAAAAAGTGACCAAACAGGAGAATCAGGTCAGCAAGGCAAGAACTCAGGGAAGAAAGAGACAAAGGTGGAGGAAGAAAACGGGAGGAAGAAAACGACAAGCAGGACGAAGAAAACAGCCCGAAGAAAACCGCCCGAAGAAAACCGCAAATAGACCGGCCCAAAAAAACAGCAAAGAAACGAAAAAAAATGGCTCAAAGAAAGCGACAACAAGAAAACGACCCAAAAAAGGCATGAAGAAAACGGCCCACAAAAACCCAACTTCCAAAAACCCAAATCCAAGAACCAAAAAAAAATAGGAAACCCACCCCTCCATATACAAATTCGTACTCGTCGGATCATGCAACGCCTCCATCTTGGCTTTAAAATTCGCATCTCCATCCGTCGTCGTCGAAAACGCAAACTCAAACTCTCCCTCCTCCTCTTGTCCTTGTCCTTGTCTCGGCGCTCCTCCCCCGGGGTGCTCGTCCCAATCACCTCCCTGCGTAGCCAACCCACGAACTTGAGTAGGGGAGGAGGAGGACTGCAGAGGGGACGAAGACGCATACGCCGTTCCTGGTATCTTGTGGATTTGCTGCATTTTTTAGTATATGCGCGCATATACGAACAAAGAAAAGAGATGGGTACCTTTGAAAACGTCGGATGTAAATTCCGATACCGCCTCAGAGAGATGATGCACCTCTCAGCAGCGTCGATCGTCTCAAACCTTTACCATCGTCCTCGTCAACCAAAACTTAACAACAACAACAACAAGAAAAAAAGACGTACAAAACGAACCCATATCCACTCTCACTATCCCTAACGTGCCGAGTAAACGTCCGCACACTACGAATCTCACCAAACGGACTGGCGAGCGCGAACAACTGATCTTCCGGGAAATGAGGGGGCAGACCGTTGATATACACATTCGGAGTCTTTTGCCCCATATCAAACGTCGTTGAAGGAGGAGGAGGGCCAACGGGTGCGAACGAAAATGGTGGAGCCGAGCGGGCTTGGGCTTGAGAGGATGGAAGGGGCAGGTCATATATCGTAAACGCAGAATTCTGTTCCGATAGTTGAGACTGGACTTGAGGCTGAGGAATCCTAGCAGCGCGGAAATCAGGCGAAGCGTCTGGGAGAGGGATGGTAGGCTGAGTCGGCGCAGATGGGATCTTGGGGGACGCCGGCTTCCCTGTATGCGCTTGAACTTGAACCTGAGGCAGAGGTGGGTGCGGGACGTGGAACCCCAGGGAAAGGCTCTCCGAGGACTCACACCCCGCAGGCAGGACAGGACTCTCAGCGGGACCTGCACCCTCTCTCGGGTCTACAAAAAAGTCAACATGAAGCGCATATACCCAGTAAAAAAGCGCATATAGTGACCCACCTGCAAGACTACGATGAATATGAACGTGCATCCTGCTCGCCGAGTCGTCCAGCCCCAGATCGTTCAAGTAAATCTCGACGTCCGAGCCTTCATCGTCTTCCCCCTCGGAGAAGCTCTGGCTCTGATAGCGCGCATAGGGCGATTCTGGGGACGGAGGGAGGAGGTGTGGGCTCGGGACTGAGATTGATGCTGAGGAGGCGGGGGAGGGAGTGGTGGATGGAGGGAGGGGAGGGTAAGGAGATGTGGTATGGCAGGAAGAAAGAAACTCGCGCGGATCGTTGTCCGAGCGTGGGGGAGAGGGGGGAACGCGGGCGGAGGTAGTTGTGGGTAGGGTACTCTGAAGGGACATGATGGTCGAAAGAAGAAAAGTGTGACTGCTGTACGTGTAATAACAGTAGCCAGGCTAGGCGGGTAGGAAAAGGCTAAGTGACGGTGTGGTGGCAAAGGATGGTCAAAGCACCCTGTCCTCTTTATGCCGAGTGTAAACAAACAACACTGTGTGTGTCTAGGTGGTAGCTGGATGAGATGAGGGTATAAGGCAAAAATCAGAGACACTCACTGGAACGACGCTTCTTCAATCGAATTAGAATGCAGTCCTTTATGGTCACCCCGCATCCTTCCATCATCATACGTGGCGTGGCGTTCTTCCCCCCGAGCTCCGAGGCACATACCAAAAAAATTATCTCTCTCCTTGAATGTCAAAATACATATCACAGTGAGCAAAATGTCGAGGCGTAACAACGTACCCGACGTTTTAATCTGTTGCTCTCGACGAGTGCAGTATGCGGAAAGACGTAAGACGCCAAGCATTCATCCGACATTCCATTCATCAGTGGTCAAAGCACCCCATCATCCATGTATGCTGACCACAAAAGAGAAAAAGAGCGCATAAGACAAAGCGCTCCAAGACCTAGGCAGCCGTCCCTCCAAGTCTGAGCTTTCGCTTTCTCGCACCGTTGCCTCGTCGCCGCTGCAGATTTGACACGCATAGGAAACAACACAACCGTAAGTCGAGTCGTCGAGTCGTCCAGTCAAGCCTAGACTAGATCCGCCTCTTCCACAATCCACTCCACTCCACAAGTGCCACTCCAAGCACTGGCAGATGGCAAGCTAAGATTCGACGCGCAAGAATTAGAATACAACGCAAAACGACGACGATCAAGAACCAATCATCAACAGATTAATATCCTCGGCTTTCCGGTGCCGGCGCGCCTCGGCCCCATTAGCCGTGAACAAATCAAGAAAGTTGAAACGACGAAAATCCAGCGAAAATATCTCGCCCTCGAATTGAGGAAATGACGATGATCGTCGACGTCGACGTCGAGTATACACCCCCCAAAATGCAATGATGTCGAAAACTAGGTGGCATTTGGGTGGCATCTCAATTTTGTTCGACGCACGGACCGGCACGGTCACCAGTGGCGTTGCCAAACCACACCAACCACACCAACGTTGTTTTCTCCCTCCCATGCTCGATAAGCAGTATGAGCGGTCTGTGAAAGATGAATGCCTGGAAGCGGGGCTTATCATAAGGTTGAAAGCCTTCTGTCGTTCCGAACTGAAGTTGGGCTGACACGACACCCGCAGGGATATCTTTACCATGACCCGACTGATTTTAAAGGCCTGCAGTGGAGTCGCATCGTAGGGATGGTCATATAACTATCATTACGCTCGAATTCCAGGTTCGTGTCGTCGATTTGAACGTTGGATCTTGTTGTTAATGCTTTTGACTTTCAGCTAGGAACGCCATTCAAGCCGTACCAGCAGCAGCTTATGGGCGCGTTGCCCGTTGTTAGGATGGATCACATTCCGCTGGCTTATCAGGTAGCTAGCTAACTGCCTTCAGATATGATCACCAGCTAACGGTTTTCCAAAGGATCTCATGTACGGTCCAAACTCACCGATTATTGACTTCCACTCTCTCGAGTCCAACGGGAAAAAGTAAGACGGGGAGGGCATTTGTCAATTCATCAATGAAGAGAGGCTACTGAAGGTACGCTCCTTGCCAAAGTATAGTCGCGTAACACTAAACGTATATTTTCAATTCCAGCTCGTGGGAGGAGACAAAACGGAAACACATAAGGCTCGACCATCAACTTCAGTTTCAACCCCACTCTCTATGCCCCTCTCTATCGATGCACGTGCAAAATGGAGCCCGACTCTTGCTGGGCTTCATCTTTTGCGACGGGGTATTACTCGGCACACTGAGCGAACCTCGCTGGGTTTCCATCCCTCAAAACACTTCTGGATTACGGGCTCAGAGAAGGAAACGGAACATGCGGTTCAGATGTGTCTTCCCGGTTCCTCGAACGCGACGTGCCTCCTTTGTCGGAGTAGTTTCCTGAGGGTAGCAAGATTTTTCTTCCTTGGCAACATGCGTATATGGGGTTTGTGCCACGACCGAAACCAGTTTTGCTGTACGTCTTTTAGTAATTCTGGGTCATAGCGCGCTCTTGAACTCACCCCCGCAGGCTACTAATGCCAATCCTCCAGAACCCGCATCATCATCTGCGGTGCCGCCGCCCCAAACTAAATGCCGTGCACAATGTCCCGCCTGCTCCTGGAAATCCTTCATTTTCTATGATGCTTTATATTAGAAACCAGTGAATGGACCTTGACTCTAACAAAAGGACTGTGTAGCACGCTGTAAAAGCATCTTCCAGTGAACGAACAATGACAAGCAGCCTTACATCAAGTCGAGACGCGTAAAATCATTACAGCCTTTGGCAAGATGTCGACTTCTTCGATTTCAGTACACGAATCACCTAGCATGGCTATTGGTGTACCACATTCTCAAGACTCGGAGACATACAAACATTCTAATCAAAAGTTCCTACCATTAGCCGCCCATTGGCTGTTACCGACTGGAACAAAAGCGCAATCAAGACCCAAAGGCCAGTCACTGGTGCTCTGTCCCATAATATCCACACTCTCCCGATCAACCCTCAAACCGATTTTCTGTCCCGTGCGAGTGCGTCCATATAAAACAATCCGGTTTCGGGGAATTTGCGCTGCGTAGAATCCAGATGTGGAGTCGTCACTTTCATACCAATGCAGACCCGGCTGCGTGGAATTACTCAAGCTGAGGTGCATGCGGCGGTGACTGCCGTTGTGAAGGACAGAAATCCCTTTAATGTACCCCACGTCACCTTCAGACCATCCGTATAGAGTTTCGTCTGTGTCGCGGAACCTGCGGTCACGGTACCGGACAACTGCGCCTTTACCACTGGGATAAAACCTGCCAAGATTTTCTCGGCTCATACCAAGCTCAGTTCCGTCGGCGAGCATGATTTTGTACCACTCGGCGGTGTTGATTTCACGGCCGTAGATGTCGAGAAGATCATAGCATTGTTCAGCGATCGTCTGCTTGTGAAGCTTGTGTGAAGCTAAGGCTGCTCTCACCTTGCCGCCCATGATAAAGAGTCGTACCGTGTTCGTCAAGTTGGGCAGATATAAGCAAGTTCCGCGATGAGGCTGTGATATCCGACACGGAGGCAGGCATGCGTCACATGGCAGGCATTAGGCTCGTGTGTGGTCTATGGTTCACAAGCACTTTTTTGTCATTCCCTTGCTCTTCCTCTTTCGAAAAAAATCAGACATGTTTACAGTGCTTTGCATTGCCGTCTGCACAAGGGAGTTTCGAAAACTCTATTTGGTTTTGTATTTTCGTCACAGATGGTCACGTATCAGAACCAGATCTGAGCACACAATTTGCACACAACCAACTCCCATGGCGCCATAAGGATCAGATGCGATGCGCACACGGATTACCATTTGGCATGGTGGGCATCATCTCTCAGCACAAGAGATTTTAGGCCTTGTTGGATGAAGTGGTCTGTTTCTCCCCGCTTTGTGGCAGTCACGGTACAACACATACAAACAGGTTTTCCAAATTCCGTTGTGCAGACGGCAGTGCAAAGCACTGTAGTTAGTGTATAAAGTACTGCTTGCAGAATTTTGATGGGACTCATGGGGTGTAAAAATGAAACGAAAGCGATCCGCATATCCTGACTCATGCGCACATCTTGACCATGAGCGAATTTGGAGCGGCAACTCAGTCACAAACTTGAAGCTTACCATGCGTCCCGCGTCACGACAGTGGTAAATTCTGTGACCGCCTCCGGTGTTGCCAAATTCCCACCCTCATCAATCATACCACCAATGCTGTCTTTTCTACCCAAGTCTTCCATGCCGATGGGACCTTCGACGAGCGGTCTGTGAAGATGGAGCGGGTTTGTTATAAGGTTGGGATCCTTTCCTTGTCCTGAAGTGAAGTTGGACTGACAAGGACACCATTGCAGTGGTATCCTACTACAACCTGACTGAAATGGGTGGTCTGATCTACCGATATGTTGAAAGCCTGCAGTGCAGTCGCATCGTGGGGAGATGGTCTATAACAAATCGGATTACAGGTACGTGTCGTCAGTTTGGATGTTGAATTTGCTCATGTTGCCAATTATAGAAGTTCCGGGGGGTGTCTTTTGACTTTCAGCTCGAAACCCTGTTCAAAGCGGTACCAGGCGTGTTGCCCGTTGCTAGCGTGGATCACATTCCGCTGGCTTTCAGGTAGCTACATAACTGCCTCTGGATATGATTGCCAGCTGACGGTTTTCCAAAGGATCTCACGTACGATCAACCTCACCGATTCTCGACTTGTACCCTCTCGGGTTCAACGGGAGAATGGCAAGACTGGGAGGGCAATCGTCATAATCCCATGTATATTGATGAAGGAAGGCTGCTAATGGTACGCTCCGTGCCAAACTACGATCTTATGACACTAAACATACATCTTCAATTTCAGCTTGTCACAGAGAAAACGAAAATATCTGGGGCTCGTGAAGTTCAGTTTCAACCCGCTCTATATCTTTCATCTCCGCCCCCCTCTCTATTGATGCACGCCCGACTCTTGATGGGCTGCATCTCGTTTCTGGCCTTTGCGACGGGGTATTCGTATTCCTCGGTACACTAGAAGCTCTCGCCTCTTTGAAAACATCTCCACACACGACGGGGGTGCTGGGATAGCATGGTGTGGACGTCCTTTTCCAGAAAGAGGGGCCGCAGAGATGGTTGGCATCTCTGGCCGGGCTCTGGGAAATATAACGTCGAGTTTCATGGTCATCACATCTGATGTGCAGAAGACCAATGTCGGTCTGAGCCTCAAATTCGAAGCGAAGGCTTGAGAAAGAGGGCCGGCATTGGGAGTAGTGAGAGGGCAACTGGGGCAGCGCCTCCCAGGTGACTTCATGCCCTCATCCACAAATCTTTTCAAGCTGACTAGAAGATGGATACCCAGCACCCCAGCACATCATGCCCAACCCCAACCGTCGCCGACGGGGACACGTCCACGGTCGCGGCAGGCCCCTAATGCCAATCCTCATGACCATCTGCGGCACCGCCTCCCCAAACTAATGGCATGCCGATGCGGCCTTGATGAGCAGTATGAGCGGTCTCTAGAAGAGAAGATGGAGCAGGGTTGTTACAAGGTTGACATCCTTTCGTAATTCTGAAGTGAGGTTGGGCTGACAAGACACTATCGCAGGGATGTACCGTGACCAGACCGAAATGGGTGATCTGATCTACCGATGCGTTGAATGCCTGCAATGGGTCATGCATCATCCTTGGAGTCCGGAGGGCGCAGAGAAGGAAACGGAACATGCGATTCGGATGCATTTGCCTGGTTCCTCGGACGCGACGCGTCTCCTTTGTCAGAGGAGTTTCCTGAGGGTAGCAAGATTTCCTTCCTGGGCGTATGGGGTGACTGCTGCGACCGAACCCAGTTTGTGTCTGTGTTTCTGTACGTTTTTTTAGTAATTCTGTGTCAAATCGCGCTTTTGAACTCACCACCCCTGCAGGCTACAAATGCCACACCTCCAGAACCCGCATCACCATTTTGCGGCACCGCCTCCCAAACTAGATGGCGTGCACAATGCCCCGCCTGCTCCTGGACGAGGCTACCTCCATAGAGGTGGCAGGCTTTATACCCGGATGTTGTGGGGCTCCATAGCGAACCCCTAATGTGGCCGAGGAGGGCGAGGGGCCTTGTAGGGCCTTGTGTGTGGGGTCGTGGCTCCCTCGCCTATTCTGGTTTTTTGTAGGGCCCGATCCGGCCCAATCTATCTGGCGTTCCTCTGTCGGGTCTTTGTACCTGTAGATGCCATAACCTGCTTGGAGTTTGTATTTCTCACCAGAGCCTGATAACGAATGAAGATGAACATTCAAATTGTCAGGGACGCAAGATGTGTTTTGTTCCCTTCTTTCAAGTTTTCAACACTTTACCGTAACAGCGCTCCACATACATATCATATCTACCTATATTGAGTTCTCCGGTGCGGGTCTAACACCGGTACCGCTGTCAAGTTTATAAAGACCGCCCTGGGGTGTGTGAATTTTTCATTATGATTGTTCACTTCCAATGATGCTGACTTCTTCTACCTATTACACTTTCCTTAGCTCTCTCTGCCTTGGTGACCGTAGATTTGTAGCTGTCCCTCTCAGTCTCCATCTACCTGCTCTTTCACAAGAACTGGCGATCTATGCTAACTTTGTTAAGGTAGGACCCATCACTGTAGACGGACCATGAGAGCACTTTCAGATAGATTCGGTGGGACGCAAGGTACGGACACTAATGACAGTCAACTTGTTAATAATATGTCCTTACATAACTGCATTTTCCCTCGGTGCCTCTCTTTGTCTCCGTGTACTTAACCCTCATGATGAGAACTTCTTGCATTGACGGAGCTGCTCCCGACTTCTAAGTAGCCTCAACTATCATGGATCCCCAGCGCCTTCCTCCTCTTCGGGTCCCCGAGTCCCCAATTCGCAACCCGGACAGCCTCGTGGTGCCTTCGACGCAACCTCAGGCCAGATCAAACACCGGGGAAGATCCAGAAGCCCAGCAACCACACCTTGCCCACAGTACCTCCACCGCACCTTTATCACCAGGCTCGGTACTAGAAAAGCCTCAGGAGGAGACCGATCCTTTCGGTACCCCAGAGCGACAGGCTAGTGATTATCATGGTACTACAGGGATCGACGCGCCGTTGCCCAGTGCTCGTCTTGCAGGGGAATATCAGGGTTCGAGGAAGGCGAGGACGACTGATACGCATGCGTCGATGGCTAGGCGGTCGGCGATTGATTGGATAGTTCCTGTGGAGGAAAAGGTTTGTTCGATGTTGTCAACGGTGTTGGTTTAATTGTGTGCTAAATCATCGTACTTGTTTATCAAAGCCAATCCGCCGACTCGCGGTTCGCGAGCGTCTACAACCGACGGTTGACGTAGCCAAAACTGAAAAGGCCAAGTTTCAGAATAAGGCGAGGATGACGGGTTACGCACTCAATATTGCTATCGGCCTGCAAGTCTTGCTTGGCTCTCTGACGACTGGGTTGTCCGCCGTTGCGGTGTCATCAGGAAAGCAGGGGAGTAGTATTTCAGTCAATGCTTATTTTTGGTGACTTACCCTGGTGACTTTTCCAGACTGCAGTTTCTACGACTATCCTTGGTACGCTGAACCTTCTTCGATTTTGCCACCATGTACTTACTGAACATGGATCTATCTTGCATAGGCGCACTGGCGACCCTGGTAGCTTCCTACCTCGCAAGAGCTCGTGGTTCAAACGAACCTGAACTATCGATAGCTCGAACGAAAGATTTGGAGCAATTCATACGTCAATGTGAGATTCTCCAGATGGATCATGGGCATGAAATGGGAGATAAGTTCGACAAAGAGTTGGAGAGGTTAAGGGCGCGTTTTGAGGAGCTTTTGGGGAATACCGGGTGAGGGAAGACGAAAGTAAATTCGGTCTGTTACTGACGTTTATTTTGCTAGGAACTCCGAACGGAAGTTGGCCCCTGTTTAGCGGAGCGGAAGAACTTATTTATCGCGTTTATGTTATTACTTGACCTGAGGACGTTCTGTATTTCGAGAGTCTCGCGTGTATACATTTACTTTACCTTACCGGACTTAGTATTAATATCATGGGAACTTGAAATGCATGAATTTCTCGAACTCACTGACGGTTTCCCACTCAATAAAAGGAAATACTTGAGGTTCAGACATTTTTATGCCAGGGCGTAGGAGGGAAAGGCAACTTGAGGAAGGTGAGGGGCTGAAGACTGGATACCATTGCGCGGCGTGCGCCTACTAGTGCTATGAAGCACATTGATTGATTGATTTCGACTGCCAAAAAAACATGCATCCTTTTCTGATGAACGACGCAAATGGTCCTTATGGACCACTAATAAAATGTTCAACTTGAAAGATACGGCACGGAATAGGCAAAAGGCTCATACTACGGTGTCTCATTCTGATTCGGGTTCACGCTGTGTTGGCTAACGGAAACACATCATCCTGTGATCGTGTTAATAGAGCGACATTATTGAAAGTGAGGATCTAGTATTTCTGCGTAGACACAACTCCATCAGTCTGGAAGATCTTTGCTTTGAGCTTCTCCTGCGCTTTTGTATTCGAGTGCTATTGGATTGTCCTACCAAGTAAGTGTCAGCATGGAAGGCGATGGTGTTGCTGTCATTCAACCACTCAAGTTGGCGGAACGGAGAGACGATTTGCCGAAGAAATTCCCACCCCCAGCCATCAATGCATCACGCCACGAGCCAACGTTTTTTTTGATCTTCCCTTGTCTTCCTCACAAACGCTTCCAACGTCCCCGTCGTTTACATAACACCCACGCTCCTTACGCTCCTCCTCCTCCACTTCTAAACCTCGTCCTCCTTCTTCCACTATGCGTTCAACACTCGCACTCTCCCTCCTCGTCTCAGCCTCCGTCGCTCAAGCTGCGCTGACCATCACCAACCCGACGTCTTCCAGCTGGTGGGGTACGTAACCCGCCTACGTGGCGAAATATTTGAGATATAGTGGTGGCTGACAAGCATGCTGAGTATAGTTGCTAAATCGGCCAATGTCCTTTCGTGGACTTGCCAGGACTCGCCTTCTAACCAGTTTACTGTCTTGTACGTTTCTTTTTTTTGACCGTTCTACCGTCCCGCTCACCGTCTCATTCTTCTTTTGTATAGGATCAACTCTCCCGTACATCTCTTCCTCCTATCCTCTCCTCCCCTTCTCTTCCCCTGTCCCTTGCCCCTCCTCCTCCCGTCTTCTCTCCTATACTCCCCCATGCACGCAAAAACTAAAACCGTCTTTGACAGTCAATGGCAGCCCCCCTAGCCATCATAGCTCAAGAAAACAACTTTGACTGCTCCAAAACCATCACCCAAGACCAGGCCAACCAGGCCGCCGGAACGGGGTACACGATCTTGCTCGCGGATCCGTTGAATAATACCAATGTGCGTTTTTCTCTTGTTCATCCTTGATTCGTACCATTTTTTTGGCTTCTCTCCAGTCCGCTTATCCACATCCTCCCTTCCCTCCCCTTCGTCCCTTTCCTTGTCCCTCTTTCCTCCCTCCCTCATTGGTCCTCCAAACTAACCCCCTTCTCCCTCCCAGGTCTACGCAACATCCGAACCATTCGAAATTAAAGCCCTCGGCTCAGCCTACCCCTCCCAAGTATCCTCCTCCGCCTCCTCAGGCGGCTCAGGCACTGCGTCCGGATCGGGCGCTTCTGCTTCCTCCACGTCCACTTCGTCCAAGTCTGGCGCTGTTGGTGGTGGTATGCGCTTGGGTGGGTTGGTGGGAATGGGGATGGGTGTTGTTGGGTTGGTTGTTGGTTTGGCGCTTTAGGTTGGTAGGTGTGATGAACTTGGCAGTGGATGAAGTTTTTTTTTGGATAGTTTTATTTCATACGGACTTTGCCTGTCTGTCTACCCCTCGTATACCACCATTGAACTTGATTTTTATAGTACACATTGTGGCCTTCATGAGTTTTGTTGTACCATGCCCAGATATCGGGTGCGATTGGAAGGTCATGTAAAATAAGAACATTCAGTTTGTCCGGCGTCATGTCAAGAGTGAAAGTCTCGATTCCTCATGATCACGCTCCACGCCAAACATTCAACATTTCAAATTAACGCCCCTTGCGCCGTACGTCGCCGCGTTTCAAAACTCGATGTTCCGAAGACTCAAGAGTAACGAACAGCACGGTGAGCAGGAAATGCAGCTCCACCCCTACTAGTACTCTGAATTCGAACTTTTTTTCTTCTTGTGGATCTGAAATACTTACGAGGAATTGTCCAGCCCTCGACGGTTTTTTACAAAAAAAATCTTTTTACATAACGGAGAGTGGCATTAATATTGGAGTGGGATCTACATCCTGGGCTCTACATGTACAATTTCGCGTCGGGGCGTTGGTGATGCCAAGTTCACCACTAGCAACGATGTAAATCAAAAAAGTGAAGTCACTAGTGGTCACTCTCTGTCTGGGAGTCGAACCCAGCTTTCGCGCGCATCGATTGAGGTTATGACAGGTTATGACAGGCGCGTGTACTAACCGATATACTAACAGAGATTGTTCTGTGTAAGTACTTGTGGACACAACGAAAATTTCGACGATGAACCGTCGTTGGATACTTTTTTTTTTTTTTTTTTTTTTTTTTTTTTTTGGATAGTTCTATTTCATACGGAACTATACCATTGAACTTATTGTTTACGTTTACATATCAGTACACGTTCTAGCCTTCGTGAGTTTTGTTGTACCAGACCTTGACCAGGCACAAATATCGCACAATTGGAAAGGTCATGTAATTGTAAAATACAGTGTGTTGCATAAATAAGTTCGTTTTTAAAAAGCTGTTTGTTCATGTTAATGCGTGCCCAAAGAGAGTAATTTCGTGACGGGTGTCACCCATAATCATCACGATATGTCACGGCGCAGCCACAACTAATCACTCGCAAACAACATTTTGTGAATTCTCCACCTGAACGTATTTATGCAAGACCCTGTAAGAACATTCAGTTTGTCCGTCATGTCAAGGGCTTTTGGCAGTCTCGAGCCCTCACCCTGGATTTGTGGTTGTGCCCCGTCAGTCGCGCGAGTTTTAATGAAGAGGGGGAGGATCTCAAACTCATCGTTATCAAGGGGGTGGCGGAACGTGGATTTTAGATATACAGTCGCATTACGAATTAAGGCGCCCTCAGCCTACCCCCCCCACCCCTTACCCCCCAAAAAAGGAAATTTCCAAGTTCCTATGTCGAAAACATACTCAAGTAAGCAAGAAGTAAGTACTAAAACTTCGATGAACGGCAAGTACTAACCTTCACATATTTGTGGGCAAATTGCAATGTATCCTATACACTGTGCATTTCAGTCAGCCACGTACAGGACACCGCCACACAAAGCGAACTCACCAGTCTCGTACTTAACGCTCAACGACAATTTCTGAATATCATTCACGAAGACGTTGCATGGCTTTCCCCCCAGAACGAGGGTCGCGGTGAACTTGGTCCCGCTGGCAGATACATCGGTGGCCTTGTATCCAGAACATGCATCCAGTACGTTGGGAAACTTGGGATCAATGAAAGTTGCGTCAAACTGAGACGACGTGTGGGAGGAGCGTCGCCCTGAGGTAGAGCCCAGCTTGCTGTCGCTCGTAAACCCCGACACTTGTCTGCAATACAGTATTGGATTAGTATATATGTAAAATAGGGACTTACTTCTACTTTGCCATACTTTTTGCAAATCTAACTAGTGTTACAAAAAAGTTCGTTGACTTTTTTTGGGCTCTCAGTCAAAATTTCGGACAGTAAATATGTAAATTAGATGTTTGCCGTGCATCTGAATTTCCCAACTTCTTTCGGAGCACGATTTGGCTTATTGACAGGACTTTTCCAAGGTAGGTCACAAAAAATATTTCGACCCCCTAGCGGAGCCCCCCCCCTAACCCTATATCCGGGATCCACGTTCCGCCACCCCCTTGATCGTTATGCGTAACCAATGCGTAACTAGCCTTTCGATAGATAACTGTCAATCCTCTGCAGTTGGCACAAAGTTGGCATAAGGGCTAAAACTTTTACAGGTCCTCCGTCAATTGAGTTATCACTGAACCTGCCCTCGGTCTCGACTCGGGCAAATGGATGGATCACAGTTCGCGTGCCTTGACGTCCTCCTGTGTTTCGCGTGTTTTGAGATCAAAGGAATGAGGAAAGGACGTTGCCGAAAGTTCAACGCCTGGCCTGGGTCACTTCTGGGCACCGCCACTGTGACCCTAACATCGGCCACGAAGGTCCACCCAACCGAGCGCTGGTCAATGGGGTAGCTGCTTGTGGTCCTGATTTCTGAATACCGAATCCGTCGGACGAGCTTCTCCAGATCTCCCTGCAATAGATACGCCTTCGACAGAGTCCGGCCCTTGCTCACGAAGCGGCAACTTGACAGTAATTGTCGTATGCGAAGGCAATGACCATCTTTTGTTTCCTAGCTTCACCGGATCGATATGTGGTGTGGGGAGTTTAGTAATTGGGAGCTGCTGTTCTACATGAAGCTTCAACAACCGCGTGAGTTGTCCACGAGTTGTGTCATGGAACTCGGTGTTGTTGATGGATCAGTAGCTGAAGATCCTACCAAGCTTTTGGGTGCAAGTTTGAGTGCATCTACACCTTCTGCGAAACTCTCAACGACAAAAGCGAAAAATGCGGAAGTTTTGAGCAATGCCGGGGCACCGCAAAACGTCGGTCGCCAGTTGAAATAAGGCCTGGACGTCCCTGGACTCCTGTCAAATTGCTGTCAACAACTGGAACCTTGAGATTCCCTTATTCTGTTCTTCACACGTTGTAGCTGATTATCTGTGGTTGTATAAATACTAGACATCTACGAGGGCCTACAAGTTCTGGCGCCTCCACAAGCGGTGAACTCCAGGCTGAGCGCTGCTGTGTCGTTGACCATGGAATTCGATCCAGTAGCGATGTGAGTGACTTTCAAATTACATTCGAGTTTGGCGCTCATTTCCATACCACATTAGAAATGCAAATTACTACCTCACCCTCATTTCCTTCAGCAAGTCTTTCCTTACCTTCCTCATGTCACTCGGACTAATAACCAGGGACCGATAGCAATCCTTGTGCATGAATATGTTATCACATTCGTCGAAGAAGTCGACAGGATGTGGTATCCGACATTTCACCGCCCACGGATGAGCTGGAATTGGGCGTCGTTCTTCTTCTATCTCAATCGATATCTCGTTTTGTTCGGCCATGGACCTGTCGTAATGGAATTGTTCTGGACAGCATCAAATTACTACGACAAATTGCAAGTATGTGGACTATCTTTTCATACTTCTCTTTTTTTTTTCGACTTCCCGCTCTCCATTTCTGCCCATTCAAGACACAGAAAGCTCATTACTCCTAAAATTTTAGATGTCGGTTCTCTTCCGAGCTTCCGAGCGCCGCGCTCCTAATTGATTCTCGCCCAGCTGCCATGCTCTCCGAGTATACCATCAATGTTTGGTGATCGTCATTCAAGTCACCATTTCCTGTACGTTGCACGTTCAATCGGCTCAGGTCAAAGGATACTAATCACACGAAGGCATGCTGATAATGCGCGTATACGCTCTCTATGAACGCAGTCGCAGAGTCTTGGCCCTGTTGGCTGGACTCGGCATGGGGGCCATTGCATTTGCTTGTGTGAGTGGACTTTCAGTGATTTACGAAGTGATTTCCTGAATTTTATATCGAGAAGTGGTCGGCTATTGACGGGAAGGATCGTGTTCCAGAGGTCGATCTAATCCTTCCTGTGGGGTGCGTTGCTCAACTGACCCGTAAAAAGTAGGTGTCCATATCTTCAGTTCCTCAATGGTTTCAATGACGCACCTTCCCGATTTTAGGGCGATCCGTGGGTCTATTTAAATTGTTAAGAATGACACAGATACCATGATGCTTTTGTTTAGGCGTTGGAGCTGCCTGGGGGGGCATGCTGATCTTCGACACTGTCGTTTTCGGCATGACTCTTTGGAAGTCCCTCACCCTACGGTCAAAAGAGCAAGATCTGATCAGTGTACTGCTACGCGATGGTACGTTTACTATCGATCTCATTTGTGTCCTTTCTTCTAATCTCCTTTTGTATCCTTTGTCTATAGGTGCCATATATTTTAGGTGCTTCTTTCCCGGCGGTCCAGTAACAAAATTCTGACTTAATCTGTGTCGACAGCGTCATTATGGTAGCCAACTTGGCCAACATCCTTACACATGTGGTAGATTGTACCTTTTCTGCATGATTATTTAGTTGGCTGACGGGTATCCAGCTCGCAGGGGTAAGCCTGATAATATCCGTCTTCTGGTAAGACTGGTTGTTTGATCATATTTCTTGAAGCCTCTTACGCGGGGTGTCGGCACGATATTTGTGAACATGTAGGGTCTTTTTTCTTGAACTCATGGAGTACTAACGCCTGTGTGTCCTTTCTCACAGAATATCCTCTGTGATGATTTCCAGACTCATGCTGAACCTCCGCGATCCCAATCTTGTGCGGAAAGGACGGCCAGGCGAATCGGCCATAGACTCCACTTGCGGTGTTTGTCCAAATATTTCCACCTTGGCCGACACAAACTATCCTGGATATTCGAACGATGGCTCGGTACCAATGGATGTTTTCAATGAAGATTAAGAATTGGACGAGGAAAATAATGGGCACCGGGGTCCTGGTCGACCCCCTCCAGTAAGTGTGTCATTCTCATGGGCAGTGCGGGCTCAATTATGAAGATCAGGTGTCCAAACCCATGCCATCCAACTTGTTCCCGCAGATTATCGGCTATGATTCCGCGTTGGAATGCTGCTTTCTCGTCTTTTGTGCCTATTGCATGTAATTTAGGGGGTTCAGAAAGATAGAATCTGGGATCGGTCTAACTAGTTTATAAGTGTACAGTAATTAGAATACAGCAAGGACTCTGGAGATTTGCATCTGGTGCATTAAGATATATACATCCATCCATCCACTGAACTCGTTGTTTACATTTCAGTATACCGCGGTATATCGTCGTTTTCCCAGTACAGTGCGTACGCGGAATTCATTCTGGCCTTCAGCGCATGATGTTCCGCAGAGTGAACTACACATATTCCGAAAAGCACAGTGAGCAGGAAATGTAGCTTCACCGAGTCTACTCTGAGTTTGAGCTTTTTTTTGTGGATCTGTAGTACGAGGAACTGCAATCTCACATGCATATACCCACGGGCTCGACTTCCAAGCAAACCGACGGCAGAGGATCCTGGACAGTGTTTTACGCAACGCCTCGACGATCCATTGATAATCTCCACCACGATCTGGACGGCTTCATGCTGTGGCCAAGTAGAGCTCAAACACGTCTGGGCGGGAATACTCGAGGTTGAGAGACAGATCTCAAAATTCAAGGGGTGGAAAGCTAATCCTCGCCGTCACGGTCAGATCACCGCTTGGTCGCCTTTCATTTAGCCAAGCCCGCCAGTGTGCGGGCCAAGGTCAATTTAGCAACAGAATCTTGTACGCAATAGTCAGATTAGGTGACTCGCCTCTAAAGCCGACTGCAATGGTAATCTGTGTTCTTGAGGTTGAACCTACTCAATGAGAATCAGGCTTGTACTTAGCCACACTTCAAATGCGACAATTACTCCAGGGCCATTGGACTTTGTGACCTTAAAGCCCATTTTGGCGATAATCGATGCCGCCAGGTCATGTCCTTCAAACTTGATTAGATTGAAATACGCCTATCAAAAAAGAAAAGTAAATAGTTGGACCTTGCCAACAGACGAGGCGGTGATTATGCACACATACCGCAAGTTTGCGTAAAGGTCCAGATTATGATACTCATTTTCATGGCTTTTTTCCCTCGGAGCCTCGATGCGCAAAGCCAAGATTAATTTGTCGTACCTGGCCCTTGCGCTACTATATTGGTCCTTCACGCACAGTTGGACCATATTCATCCTTGAGGGTCATTCACTCTCGAAGCCGATTCAGACGGTATACTGTGTACCGTTCAACGGGGTATCGAAACGTCGTGCCTGTCGGGGTGGTGTGTTCAATTGTTTGGCCTAGTAGGACCCTCTCCGTCAGTCGGGCGAATTTTTATTGAAGGGTCCGCAGGGGGGTGATGCTTCCAGTACTCAGTGTATCTGTCAGTCCTGTAAGTACAGTTGGCTGCTGGCCTAAGGGGTGGCCCGTCTAGAACCTTTGCAGCTCCACAGTCACAGGGCGTTTCTGATTACTATGTATACCAACTCACCTCACTCGGAACCTCGGTGCACTTGTCAGTCCTGGACAGTTGGCATAGAGTGGTGACCGCATCTCTGAATTCTTTATGCCACAAGCTGCTCTGGAGCCCACAATTAGCACACGCAAGTTAAAAACACCTATACATACCACTTTCGAACCCCACTATCCCTTTGAGTGATTACGCCTTGTCGGAACCGAACTTATTAGAGAAATATTGACCTCTTCCGTCAATTAAGTTATCATCATCAAAGCAGCCCTCGGTCTCGACTCGGGCACATGGGGGGATCACAGTCGCGTGCCTTGGCGTCCTCCCGTGTTTCAAGATGGAAGAAAATGAGGAAAAGACATTGCCGAAAGTTGAGAGTGAACGAGTCAGTGGCGGTGCCCAGAATTGACCTTTAAGATCGGCCGCCAAAGTCCACTGATGAAGGTACGCCCTGGTTAGTGGGGTAATAGGTGCCTGTGGTCCTGAATATCGAATCCGTCGGACGAGCTTCCAGGAGCTTCGTCAGGTCTCCGCAAGGTCTCCCTGCAGTGCAACAGATGCACATTCGACAGAGTCCAGCCTTGGTCCAGCCCTTGCTCACGAAGCAGAAACCTGCAGAAATTTGCAAGCAATTGTTCGTGTGCGAAGGCAATGATCATCTTGTTTTGTTTCTTAGCGTCACCGGATCAATACCCGGAGTAGGGAGTTTAATTGGGAGCTGCCCAGTGCCAGGAGCTGCCGTTGTGCATGAAGCTTCAACAAGCGCGTGAATTGATCACACGAAACTCGGTGTTGTCGATGAACTATCAAGATCCTACCAAGCTTTGGGTGCATCTACACCTTGTCTACACCTTCTGTGAAATTCTTGGCGACAAGAGTGAGAAATGCGGAAGAGGTATGAAGATTTGAGCAAACACAAAACAAGAGACTATTACCGGCAAACTTCGGAGCTTGAACTGTAATTCACTCATCTGCACTCCGACTTGGCCGTCAGTTTGCGACAAACCAGGCCCTCGACTCCTGTCACGATACAACCGGGACCTTGAAATTCCCTTGTTCTGTTCTTGATCTCACACGTTGCAACTTATCGCAAACTTATAGATTATTTTTCGCCAAGATCTCTCCTCGGTGTTAAAGCTAACTAACTGCAATGCCTCCCGGTGATCCATGGTATAAATAGGTATCTACGAGGGCCTACAAGTTCTTAGGCTCCAATCTCGACAACCTTGCAAGAGTTTTTTGGCGCCTCCACAAGTGGTGAACTCCAGGCTGAGGAAAACGAGGGCTGGTTCAACATTGACCATGCAGTTCGATCCAGTGTCGATGTGAGTGACTTTCGAATTACATTCGAGTTTGGTGCTCATTTCTTTGATACATCAGAAATGCAAGTTACTACCTCACCCTCATCTCCTTCAGCAAGTATCTCCTTACCTTCCTCATCTCACCCGGACTAACCAGGCTGCGATAGCAATCCTTGTGCATCCTTACGTTTGTTGAAGAGGTCGACAGGATGTGGTATCCGACATTCCGCTTCCCCCGTATGAGCTGGAATTGGGCGTCGTTCTTCTTCTATCTCAACCAATATCTCATTTTGTTCAGCCATGGACCTGTCATAATGGAATTTTTCTGGGCAACATCAAATCACCACGACAAATTGCAAGTATGTGTATCATCTTATCTTTCTTTGAGTTCCGGCTCTCCATTTCCACCCATCCAAGACACAAAAAGCTCACTAATTTTAACACTCACAGACGTCCGCCCTCTTTCAGAGCTTCCGAGCGTCATCCTCCCCACTGACGCTCGCCCAGCTGCCATGCCCTCCAATCATACCATCAGTATCTGGCGATCGTCATTCAAGTCATCATTTCCTGTACGTTGGACATTCAATCGTCTGGTCGAAGGATATTAATGACGTGAAGGCATGCTTATAATGCGTGTATACGCTCTCTATGAACGTAGTCGCAGAGTCTTGGCGCTGTTGGTTGGATTGGCCATCGGGGCCGTTGCATTTGGTTGTGTGAGTAAAATTTCAATGATTTACGAAGCGATTTTCTGAATTTCATATCGGGAAGTGGTCGGTTCTTAGCGGGAAGGATCGTGTTTTAGAGACTGATCAAGTCCTTCCTGTGGGGTGTGTTGCTCAACTGACCCATAGCCAGTAGGTGTCTACATTTTCAGTTCCTTGATGGTTTCAATGACGCACTTTCCCGATTTTAGGGGGATCCGTGGGTCTATTTCAATTCTCAAAATTGGCACAAATATGATGCTTTTGTTTAGACATTGGAGCTGCCTGGGGGGGCATGCTGATCTTCGACACTGTTGTTTTCGGCATGACACTTCTGAAGTCCCTCACCCTCCGGTCAAAAGAGCAAGATTTGATTAGTGTACTGCTACGCGATGGTACATTGATATTGATCCACCTATGTCCTTTCTTCTAATCCCCCTTGTCTCTAGGAGCCATATATTTTAGGTGCATCTTTCTCGGCGGTCCAGTAGGAATTATGGCTTACTCCGTTTCGACAGCGTGATGATGGTAGCCAACTTAGCCAACATCCTTACATTTGTGGTAAATGGTACCTCTGCTACTTGATTGCTTAGTTGGCTGACTGGTATCCAGTTCGGAGGGGTAAGCCTGATAACATCCGCCCTCTGGTAAGACTAGTTATGTGATATTTCTTCAAGCCTTTTACGAGGGGTGTCGGCACAATATTTGTGAACATGTAGGTTCTTTTTTTCTTGAACTCATCAAATACTAACGCCTGTGTCTCCTTTCTCACAGCATCTCGTCTGTGATGATTTCCCGACTCATGCTGAACCTCCGCGATCCCAATCTGATGCGGAAGGGCGAACCAGGCATGGACTCCACTGCAGGTGTTTGTCCAATCATTTCTACCTTGGCCCACACAAACTATTCTGGATATTCGAACGATGGCTTGGTACCAACGGATATTTTCAATGCAGCTAACGAAGTGGATGAGGAAAATAATGGCTACCGGGGTCCTGGTCGACCCTCCACTAGTAAGTGTTTCATTCTCATGGGCAGCGTGAGCTCAATCATGAAGATCAGGCGTTCAAACCCACGCCGTTCGACTTGCTGTAAATTATCGGCTTTGATCCCGCTTTGACATATTGCGCTCTCTTGATCAGTGTACAAAAGCCATCTACCGTAATTAGAATGCAGTATGTACTCAGGAGATTTGCTCTGGTGCACTTAGTATTGCAAGTTTTCGCCCCAGAACCGTGCGATATGGCGTCCACAGTGACCCAGTTCCCTCTTCTTAGTTTTTGGATCTCATCCTGCTTTTCTGACCCCAGCCTCTGAAGAATGTTCCGCACATGGGCCTGCATTTCTTGTTTCTCGTAGCGCTCCTCCCCATACTAACCTCCGCGCAAACTGGCTTGTTCCGGAGGAAAAGGACTAGATCGGGTGCTGGGAGACCAATATCTGGAGATCGAGATTCAACATTTCACTAGGATCTCCGATGTTGACCTTGGATGCGGAATATGCTATCCCTCAAAAGGCGTATCGGTCGCAAATAATCGGCGTTCCTGCCGCTAAGAGACTGTCAATTGAGGACCTGGATATCACCGAATGGTAAGCATTGAAGAGAACAAACTGGTTGACAACGGCGTAGAAGAGGAGATTCGTCTAGTTCTGAGTCTGATCGGAGGTATCATGTATGAATCAACCATTTGGCCGATCACCGGTCACCAGTGACCATGCTAGTCGAAACTTTTTGACCGCGGAATGGTTGAGTACTAATCATACAACACTGGCCAAATCTGAACCCTATCGAAACTCGTAAAATGGTGTAGCTTTGGTACAAGGTGAATTTCGTTAACTCCAGTATGCGATCAGTATCTTATCTTATCTGGTCACACGACTTTGGATCGTTTGACAGCTTCTTGGCTTGCACACTCTTGTCAATTTACCACCCAGCCAACATCCAGCTTTCCCATGTCCAGCGCCCTAAGCAAAGGGGCGAGTCATGTTTGCGCGTCGGAAATTGACACTCTGTTGCCTGGACCCTGTTCCTATGGTTCAACCTCTTCAGGCACCGTGATTACAGCGGTTTCTGAGTTACCAGCAGAAACGCAAGCTCTCAAAAGAGATGAAGGGGATCGTATGAGACTCCATTTCCATCATATGAAGCATGTATCTAATAGTCCTTCCAGAGCACCATGGTGAAGAATTCGATAATGTCCCTACGACAAAACGACAACTTGGTACACTTGTTCTTCGGCGTATTGGCCAATTTCTAATTTTAACCAGGCCTCTTCAGCGCCGCTTTTCTCATTTTCAATCGCGTCATAGGGACTGGGTAAAATTTTTTCTCTGTATGCAGACGCCCTGATTGACGTGGCCCAACTGTGACACCCTACCACAGCATCTACGCAACTCCAAGCAATATTCTACGCGCCTCCGGCAGTGTCGGCGTCGCTTTGATCATGTGGCTTGTCGGAGCGATTATTGCCGCATGCGGGACCAACGTTTACATTGAATTGGGGACTGTACGTCCCTCATATTCTTCCCAACGTTTCGAACAACATTCACCGCTCTTGAAAGGGAATACCTAGAAGCGGAGGAGAGAAGAACTATCTAGAGTTTATCTATCGCAGACCAAGATTCATGGCCGCGTCTATTTTCACCGTATACGCCCTCATAATGGTGCGTTGCTTTGTCAGTAGAAGGCCTCCTCATCGAGATGTCTATCCAACAGGGAACGGCGAGCGCGAACAGTGTCGTCTTTAGCGAATGTTTGTACTCTTCCACAACAATCTGACCGCATTCTTACCCTACATGACAAAGACCTCCTCCATTCGATGTCGTTTCCCCCATCACGCCTCAACACTCGCTTAGTCGCCTTCCTTTGCCTAACATTCATCTTCCTAATTCACGGGACCCTCCTCAAATGGGGTCTAAGGCTTCAAAACACCCTGGCCGTTTTCAAACTCGTCGTTCTGACTCTGATAGCTTTGGCAGGGATTTTTTGTTTATTCGGCGTCCCTGGCTTCGCCGTGCGTGTAGGATATCAGCAACCTCACAATTTCGAATGGAACAACTTCTGGGAGGGAAGTGGTACCGGAGCGAATGCATTTGTAAGTGGGCTATATAACGTCATTTGGTAAGCCACTCCCAAAGTCAAGTAGGAGTGCTGAATTATCCATGCTTTTTTTTCCAGGTCGTTCATCGGATACTCAAATGCAAATTATGCCCTTTCCGAGGTAAAGAACCCCGTTAAGACCCTCAAACGTGCCGCTCCTCTGGCCATGTTCTTCGTGACTTCCGTCTATCTCCTCATTAATGTTGCCTATTTTGCGGTGGTGTCGAAGACTGATATTTTAGAAAGCAAACACATTGTAGCGTGAGTTCTTTCTCGATTCCGGCGTGATATATGTGTTTATAGCCTCCAGCGCCCTGTTTTTCCGAAATTTATTTGGTCCGACTACGGAGAAGGTAGGTTGACCAGGAATTTACTTTTTCATGTCATGTCTTATGTCCACAGGCTCTCAGCGCGTTCATCGCGCTATCAACGTTAGGCAACCTGCTCTCTGGACAATTCTCGCAAGGAAGAGGTTTGTCCAATTCGTTCGCCACCCACTATCACGCGACGACTCACAGTGGGCATATTTAAACTTTTAAAGTAATCCAGGAACTCGGACGTGAAGGGATATTACCATATTCCTCAATATTCGCAAGCAACAAACCATTCGGGGCTCCTTTCTCCGGCCTCTTGATGCAATATTTGGTCTCGTGCACGTTTCTTCTCGCCGTACCACCCGGAGACGTATATCTCTTCTTGATCAGTCGTGAGTAAGCAGTCAAACTTGTTTATTCCCTATTGAGAGTCTTTACCCGCCCAGTATCGTCGTATTCCGCCTCACTAGTCAACGCTCTCGTCGCATTCGGGCTCCTTTTGCTATACACAAATTCCTACCGAAGCTGGGACTGGAATCCGCCTTTCCGAGCGCCCAAACTCCTCGTCATGGTCTTTTTCATTTCAAACATCTTTTTAATCGCGGTTCCATTTATTCCGCCAACGTCAGGGTCTAAAACGTATGAGACGCTTCCGTATTGGGTGCGTGGTTTTCAGGCAGAGTGTTCAATACATTACTTATAGCGATTTCGGCTTACTAGTCTCATTCTGTCGGTGCATTCTCCGTCTCCCTCGTCGGCATTGGATATTGGTATATTTGGAGTGTGTGGCTACCCAATAGGAATGGGTATACCCTCGAGAGGGATTGGACTCTCCAGGATGATGGTGTACCGAGGTGGACGTTCCGTAAAGTTCCTGTACTGGGGCGATAGGTCTCTACGTTAGAGCAGAGTTTTCAAACTATGTACCATGTAAAATGCAACACACCTTGAGTCTTTGAATTCTAGAAACTAGATATCTATTAGTGTATAGGTTCAAGGCTGCTCATATGGAAGATTTCTCGTAGCGGCCATGTGGCGAAATCCGGAGATTATCTCTCCACGTCCTTGAAGCCCGACTGTGAGTCTTACAGAGTCTTCAAGCAAAGCCCCGCAACGGTCCTGCCAGTGGCTTGCTCAGTGACTGCCATTGTGTGGGCATACGTTCAAAAGTCTGCTCAAAGCTTGTTGTGGGTTTCAGCTCTTTTTTCAGAATGGATGGCGTGTTTCAATATCTGTACTCAATTTTGGTGAGATTGGTTGGCAAGATGGCCCGCCGGAACCGGATCCGAACCGATAAATATGAACTGCTTCCCACAAGCACAAGCTACAAACACCATCCAAGCAGTTCAATTCCTCGACTACCTAACATAACAATCATCGTAGGTACTAATGGTAAAATCGTAACAACAGCATGATAACGTAAATCAACAAACAACAGGTATGGGGACATGACATGTATGAGCACAAGCAAGCGAGATGGGTAACCGACCCTTGAGTGACTTTTGTAAAACCAATACGATGGGTATGAAGGAGGGAGAACTAGACGGAGACGAGCCCGCCGGCGTAGCCGTCTCCTCTGCGTGCAGACGCGATACCGCGGATGAGGACTGCGATTATCGCGAATGTGACTAAGATCCTGTGGGGGGGATTAACATAAACAGAAGATCAAACGACAGCGAGTAGAGAAAAGGAGAAACGCACCAGATAAGCCAAGCAAATCCTTCAAGAGCATTGAGATGTGTGCAATACACAAACAGGTCTTGTGTTCTTAATCAAACATTATCAGAAATCAAGGAAGAGATCATGGGATGAGAGAGAACACCAGCAAGAACGCACTTGCAGTTCAACCCCCCACCCAAAGTCTGCGTGATAGCAGCGGCGCCGGCGGTCCACAAAAGCCACGTCAGTCCCAAACTAACCATCCATCCAACACGTCAGTCATGGACATAAGAATCGCAAAGGAAAAACGTACAAAAGCAAATGCGCACCAACACTCGTCAAAACACCCGTCGCCGCGTGATAGAAAAGGATCATCAACATAGACCCAAACGATACAGTCCACGTCGCGCAGAATAGGATGAAGCGGACCCTATCGCGGACGGAGATCCGGGTGTAGTTGTGGTGGATGGAGTATTGGGCTGTTAACCATGCTGATAGGGATAGCTGGTGGGGTTGCAAGATGTGTCAGGTTGGCCTAGAGGGGGTAGGGAGGAGGGAGAAGAGAGCGTACCTCGATGATGGAGAAGAGAACGATGGCGCCGAAGGTGACTGCGGATCATAGTGGATGATCAGTTGAGTTCCGGTAGGGAAGGAAAGGAAAGGAGAGGTGAACTCACTGTGGTGGCCCCGTCGAACAGCGGTATCTCCTGCGCCCATTATGTGTGTTTATCGAGGGTTGGTATACGGTTGTTGTTCTTGATATTAGTAGATTCCAAAGCGTGAGGGTATTCGTGCCTTCGTTCGTTCCGATTGGTATAAGAGCGAGGGGTTGAGTTCACTTTCTGCGACCTGCGCTTAAGTATGAGTGGTGGTGGTGGTGATTCACAGAATGAGGGGAGCATCGCATCGGCGGTGTTTGGTGTTTTTATCATAACCGATGACAAACACTTGAAATGGTACGATGCGGAAAGGCTGTGTAAAACGGTGGAGCTCACCAAGAAGAGATATGACGGTCAATGGCCTACTGCTTCAATCGCTGTTGAGTACGTCGCTAGCGACGATGATGAGAGGTGGAAAGGAGATATGAGCAGGGTTGAAACGTTGACTGGCAGGTGGTTCGATTTATGAACATTCTTCACCACATGACGTCATCATTGAGTGTCAGCATCTTGTGCCTATCGAATTCGCCTCAAGCGCTCCATCCACAACACAAGCTCTATAACTAATAAAGTATACTGTAAACACGACATTTCGGAGCCTACAACAAGATAAGTAAGCATACATACATACATCGCATCTCGCATCTCCATCTCACTACACCCTCTTCCCATCCCCATCCCCACTCCTCCAAACACCCATCTTATCCCTCTTCTTCACCGTAAAACACGCAATCCCAAGATACTCCGTAATATCCCTAATCACAAGCGTAACAAACCTCGCATACGCAAGAAACGAAACCACCAACGTAACCCACACCACAACCGTCGTATTCCGTATCGACGTCTGCAAGAACGGAGCGCGTCCAAATAACCTCGGAATATTCGCGTCAAGCGCAGCAAGTGCGCTCCAGACCCAGATCCAGTCCCATACAGGGAACGGCGTGCTAGTGACATGCGCCAAGATCATCCTACCGACTTGGTGTGCGAATTGCAGACCCCACGCACAGAGGAAGGGGACAAAGGCGGCAGAGTGGAGGATGTACGAGTTGTTATACTCTGGATGGGAGAGCCACGCTACCTGCACGAGCACCGTGAAGAGGAATGGGAGGAGGAGGAGTAAAGGGTATGTCGTGAATCGGGCGTTGTTGGGGTTGATGCTGGTTGTGAGGATGCGTGCCTTTCGTCGTGCGGTGCGGACGTTGTTGTAGCTTGCGAGAATGTTGAAGGCTAGTCCGATACCACCTAAGACCATGAATGACTCGTTTAAGGGCAGATTTGGGAGTTTGGAGATGAAGGGGAGATGTTCGAGTTTGGTTATTGTCCAGATTCGGTTCTCCCATACAGTTGGGCCTGTAAACCATGATCAATCGCGTGAAATCAGCAAGTGGGGCGGAAAACTTGCCAAAGATCCCAGTGACGATGTATATTGTAACAATCATCAAAATCCCCTCAACTGGTCCGGAGATGTAACTGAGAAAGAGCTGGCCAGTGTGATACTCTTCCCACGTTGTCAGGTAAAAGTTGGCAAGGGTCGCTATTTGTGAAGACACCGTCCACCAAGAGCGTCCGAGACCGAGAGCGCGGGAGGCGAGGATACATTCGAGGGTAGTGTTCAGCGCGTCACAACCTACAACGTAACAAATCAGCCTAGCACCAATCCCAAAGAGGGAAACACATACCATGATCGAACATCTCCCCCAGCGGCCCAGACATCCCCGTTCGACGTGCCTGCTTCCTACATCCAATAATCATCATCAGCACCACTCCATCAATAACAACTCTCTACATACCCATCTATCGCATCCAAACTCTGATAAAGGAACAACCCCACAGCCCATCTGTATCCCCTTCGTGAGCACGACGAACAAAATCAATCAATCAAATCGATGAGAACGAAACATACGTGAAATACACCCATCGTGGCGGGTTATAATTCCCGTCTTTTTCAGTGAGGTATAGAGGGTCGTAGTAGAGTAGCGTGAAGAAGTTGAAGAAGACGATGGATAGGCCTATGAGTGTTATCTGTTCATTTCATCTCGTCGTCAGTCGTCAATTTTTTTTAAACAATTTTTTATGGGACAGCGTACGGTGTTGGGTGCCACGGAGTGTGGCCAGAGCGTTACGAACCATGTCCAGAATGGGTTTAGGATGTATCGCGAGACTAGGGATCTTTTTTGAGTCCAGTCAGCTTGGAACAACACAAAGAAAAGAAGAAGACGCACTTGTCAACCCCCTTATACTGATACTTTTTGAGGTTTTCTAGTGAGTGCTGTGGTATATACCCCATCGCGACTTCTCGTGCTCGTCTATTTCGTTGAAGTCTTATCGTAAAAGCAGCCGTGAAGGTATGGGACGTCCGCGTCGAAGAGTAGAGGGCGAACACGATGTTGGAGATGAGGAGGTGAGGTGGAGATGAGGAGGAGAAAATCGGGCAATGACGAAACGTTTACAACTTTTCTTGACGTCACGTGTACATTCGGTGTTGAATCGGTCCGGGGATGGCCGGTATCCACGATGACGCTCGCTGCCAAGAACTTCTCGTCAAGGTCAAGAAAATTCCCCAACGCCATCCCATTTGAAAAATCACAAAAACCAGTTGAAAAAAAGCCTCTCAAAAACTCCTTTCAAGTACAGTCATCCACGTGACAATGTCACATAATCACTCAGTGAAACACTTGGGATGTATTTTGCATCTCCTGGCGGAATGAAAGGAGGTACTCTGCTCAAATTTTTTCCAATCTTCGGATCTAATGCCTGCGGAATCGACCATCAAAAATTCTCGATGAAAAAATCACTTTTAAGTATTGAAACTGCCGAGCAAGCCAGGTAGATCATGGATTTTGGATGTTTTCAATTTTATACAGAGGGCCTCACCGTAAAAATGCTGTACCTGACCATACCACTCATGTATTTAGTGACCAGCATGGGTAATACCACAGTTTTTTCACCATAATGAGCACATCACACTGTATCACAACTGCATCTTGACGAAGAACCCGCACCCACGTGTGAAACTTGAAGCTGCGTGCACACCCTCCTTGCCATCAACTCGCGTTTATGGGCTCTCGCTCCACCTACTTGTGTTTACTGAATCTTGATCCATGTATTCATGTATGCAGAGGGTCTATAAACACTTATTGTTAATCTTAGTGGACATTCATTCGTTCAACGCAGCAGATTTGCTTCAGAAAGATCACCAACCTGCAGCTGCAAGGCTAGCTGCAGGTTTCTGTATGTATACGTGGAGTGGGCCCAATGTTTTACTTAACTTTTAATTGAGCGCCCCTCTCTTCTACCTATGGCTGGCCGAGCCAAATCCGATGTCGACAAGGCTTATGCGCACAAACGTGTTTATGAGGCTTTGATGGTCCGGGCTGTCGCTGCATACAAGGCAGATCAAAAGAAACCGAAGAAAGATCGTCGTGGATACCGCAAAATCTGCCTTGATTTCGAGAGTCTTCAATTTGAAGAGACTGGTAAGTATATTAATGCTATTCTAAATGACATTCAACTCGTTTTTTTGACAGGAAATCATATCAAACTCAGTTATACAACCTTGAAACGACATGTTGCAGGTGGAATGTCGCGTGAACGAGCAAGTGCGGATCGATCCTGGCTTACTGATTCCGAGGTCGACATCGTCATCGATTTCATCAATGAGATGGCGCATCGTGGGTTCCCTCTCAGTCATGCGCGGCTGAAGGAGCATGTCGATGACATATGCAGTGCGCGCCTTGGCGCTTCCTTTCCCATCAAAGGTGTCGGAGAGAATTGGACTTACCGCTTTTCCAAAAAGTATTCCGAACGGATCAAGATCTCACGTTCCCGACCACTAGAAGACAAACGAGGACGCGCAACAAATCCACACAACAACGAGGCGTGGTGGAAACTTCTTGGGGAGACCATCACAAAATACAAGATCAAAGAGGAGAACACGTACACAACAGATGAAGTTGGAATACAGGCCCAGGGAGGTGGTGAGCGTGAGTATGTTTTCGGCCCTCGTACAAAAGCCGCACCCTACCAGCAGCGCTCTGGAACGCGTGAAAATATTACCACCATCGTTACGATCTGTACAGATGGCACAAGCACACCTCCTGCTGTTATCTTCAAGGGGAGTGCCTACCAGGTCAAATGGGGGGAAAATAATCCCCTTAATGCATCGTATGTCATTCTATTCACTATCTTCATGTCTGTAAATAAATCTTCTGCTAGGATCGGATACCAGCAGAAGGGCTGGACAGATGGTGAAATCGGCGCATCCTGGATGAAGTTATTTGAGAAAGCAACACGAGAAAAGGCAAATGGCGAGTACCGCTTACTAATTGTGGACGGACACAACTCACACTACATGGTCACCTTTCTCCTTCTTGCTCGCCTCCACATGGTCATAGTCATCTGCTATGTTGCGCATGGGACACACGTCTATCAAGGTCTTGATGTGGTTGTGTTTGCTGTGCTGAAACACTATCTCGGTGTGGAGCGCGATGCACTGCTTCGTACAACTGGGAATGCGATCGACAAAGGAAATTTTCTCCAGGTCATATCTAAGGCCTACATTACCACTCTGACCCCAGAACTCATCAAGACTGCTTTCCGCAAGACCGGCATCTGGCCATTCAATCCCAATGTCATTACTGCTGATATGCTTGTGCCAAGCAAGGAGACATCCATCCAGAGCCACCTTCCTGTCCCTACTTCCTCTCAGCCTGTCCAGATTCTTGCCACCATGTTGAGGGACCTTCAAATCGCGGGAGATACTCCAGATACCGATGCTGATGTTATCTCAGGGGGTCAGCGGGCCGGGCCGTCACCCACACGAAATGAAACAACAGTAAATTCCACACGCACACGCCATTCAACCAGAACCACCACTCACCTCGAAATCCTCGAAGGAGCTGTTGCCGCCCTCAAAAAGACCAACCTTGCCTTCCTTGCCACTCCCACTCCCACTACTGCTGCTGATCCCATGCCTACCACTACCACCCGTACTGTCCAGCAAAATTCCGTTCCCATCAATAACGCAGCAGCGGCATTGGCTATCGTGCCCACTACAGCAAACGAGCTGCTTCTCCTGGCAGCGCTTCGGGAATCACAAAGCCAGAACCTTCGCACTGAGGTCCACGCATTCGAGCTCCAGGCATCCAACATCCTCAACGAAGCCTACGCAAAGCGGCTCTGCGCAAAACTGGCGGCACGAGAAGAGAAGCGCAATAAGAAGAAGACCATAAAGCTGGTCGGTGATGGTCTGGCTCGGCTTCTGAGTGGGGACGAGTTCTATGAGCTAGCGCAGCAGAAAGAGAAGGAGATGCGTGAGGTTGCGAGGGAGAAGGAGAGGAAGAAGGATGGCAGAGCATTGTACAAGGCAGCTGTTGAGGAATGGGAGGTTGTTGAACAGGAGCGAAAGGATGCCAAGGCCATCGCCACTGCCAATCTCAAGAAGGCTGTCAAAGCATGGGAGAAGAAACGGGACGCTGCAAAGGTGAAGGGAACGCGCTTCACCTTAATCAAACCAAAGGGGGATCCAGCCCCGAAAGCCACCCCAAAGCCGAAGTTGAAGGACTTTCTGGGTGCCGTAGCCGAGGATCAAGAACCCGAGAGCAGTGGTGACGACGCTGACAAGGGGGGGGGAAGTGCAAGCGTGAGCGGCAGCGATGGAGACGACGACAACGACGACAATGACTGAACGGGCTAGGTGGGCTGGGCCCTGTACCATTGACCCATAATTCCGGTTTCACCTCAGCCACCTCCAATTCCTTCGCCCGGCTCTCAAATCTTGCTTAAAATCACTCTCATATTGTAGCTGGGATACATGTTGATACTGTTGTACCTTTTTGTTTGTGAAATTCTATTTATTCCTTTCATCACATGATTTCTACAATTTGGGTGTGTCATTGACACGTGCATGACTGTATCAGCTAGTAGTATCCATCGAAAAAAAAATCACGGTAAACCCTGTCGAAAATTTGCAACACCCTCTGTGCTTCTTCCACTTTGGTTTGGATACAATTTATAGCCCACCGCGAGGGTCGAACTCGCAGCCTTCAGATCTCCCCCGCCTTCTTTAAAAGTCTGACGCTCTATCCGATTGAGCTAGGCGGGCTTGAAGCGTGTTTCCAGACCACATGACACACGGTACTAATCGGCCTCTTCGTCCCTTCAGAATCTCAAAGACAGGATTCAACTCGGGCCAAAAAGCCACCTGAAAGTCACAGAAAATGGGTGCGAGATCCCAAGTTGCGTAATGGCCCAGGTCTGGACTCTGATCAAGGTAATTCTCTTAGCCCTTCAAAGCGTTTGAACAATATATAAACGTTACCTACTTACTATGTAATGTTTAGAGTGGGCTAGAGTAGGACCCTGGAAAGTACCCTCAGATGCCGTATCCCAAAATGCCCAAAACTGAGCGATTTTTATCCGGTCAGTTTTGCCAAATTTCTATCCGGATATTGGATTCGGCCTTCAAAAAGGCCAATTTCTATCCGGTTCCGGCTCGGGCCTATAAAAATTGCTAATTAAATAACATTTAAATAAAAAAAGAAATTGGCATGAAAGGAGTGAATTTTGGCTTGGTGCGGACTCTAAGCGGACTCCTAGGTATTCTCTGGAGGTCTGCACATCAGGAAAAAGTCGAATATACATGAGTGATGTAGTATATGAGGGAAAAAATATATAAGATCAAGGAAAGAATGAAGAATAGGGCGAAAGAAAGAAATTTTATGCACATAAGTTGGCGGCAGCGCTGTGGCCATCCCAATTTTCGAGCTCAGCTTTGAATCCCATGTCAACAATCTTTATAGGGCAAATTTCTATCCGGACATCGGCTCAGGCCTCGCCCAGCCATACCAATTCCAATCCGGAAAACTGCCTCCGGCATTTCGCCAAAATAGCAAAATTTCTATCCGGACAGACCTACGGGATTTCAAAAAATTTCGTCAGTTTCTATCCGTTTCTAGATACGGCATCTGAGGGTACTTTCCAGGGTCCTGCTAGAGTGAGGACTATGTGACCTAGCGTCAAGCAGAATGCACATAGTTGGCTGGCGTAGACACCGGAGAATGTGAACCTCCGGAAAGTTTTGAGGATTCAAAGTTAGGTGTGCCTTGTTCTCCAAATGGTCTATGTATGCCTCTTTTCGAAAATAGCTTGTAGCAAAGGAAGACCTACATAAGGTCGATCCTGGACCACCTGGGAACCCAGACATACATATGTATGGTTGGCGAGCACCAATGCAATCGGCCTAGCTGTCAGGTTTGACCAAGGGTTTGACATACGGAAATGGAGCCCGAACTTGAAGCTCGAATTTGGGGCGCGACGAGGCGCGACGGTTCTCGGTGGCTCCAGAAGACTTTGTATGCGATAGGGATATTTGTCTTCGAAAATGATGGCGAGTCCGACGCCCGTTATCGGAGGATGCATGATGACATTGATGGGCGGCCGTGCTGCCATGCGGGGTTTATAAGGGTTTATAACATGCCCATGCAGGGCCCTCGAAGTTCAACGTCCAACTTTGATGCGAAAGCGGACTAGAAGGTGCCTTGTTTTTTTTTTGTCATATGGAATGCTTCATTGCCTTTCTAGCCGCAACGTAGACCACATGGGGTCTGGAAATGCTGGGAACGAGGAAGCGCTGGTCCGGTCTGGTAATTCAAATACGGGCAAACCTAAATGCTTACTCCCCTGTTGTTAACCACCACTGTCCTCCGCCGCCAAGTCCTGAGGGTAATCAGGCCATTTGCCCTCTCCAGGTCCTCGCCCCCTGGCTAGATTATATGGATGGCTCTGGCAACGACATTCCTTTCACAATCCTTCAAATGTATGTTTCAGTCCAGACTTGAAAAGGTTAAAGCGCTAATTTGAAAATGCTAGATTGCGACATAACTATCTTCATTTCTTTGCTATAAGTAAGTCTCCTGCGCTCCGTCTCCGCTCTCTTCGCGTAATTTATCTTATCATCTCCAGCGTGTTTGTACTACGATCATTTCTTGACTTTCGGTAAGGTTGGCCAATGCACCCGCTGAACGAGCGTTAACAGAAATTCTTCAGAGGGAGAGGTAGAATTCATATGGAAAAGACGGAAGAGTCATAGCTCGTTGTGGTTCTTCCTCAATCGGTACCTTGCGTTCTTTGGGAACTTGGTGGTCACGATACTGGGGTTAACGTCGCCTTCAGATACGGTGCACCTCCTTTTGGTTTTTCTCCATCTTACTTCTAATGACCAGTATCACAGAGGTTGATATTCTTACCAAAATAGACCGAAATAAGTCTAACATGGTATTTGGACAGCTGTAGACACTACAGTCTCTTTCGACAGATATTACTTATCGTGCAACAGGTTATCGTTTGCAGTACGTTGTATCTTACTCCGCTCATCTCCAGTGCTAATCAATCCCAAGCTCTTCTAACGCTGCGGACGTACGCCCTCTACGGACGGTCTTCGCGAGTCCTGAGGTTTCTGCTTGGAAGCGGGTTTGTTCTGGCAGGAGTCTGCTTGGTATGTCTTCGACTTGAGTCTCAACTGGCGATATCTGACTAGTTTAGTGGGCCATGTTCGGACAAAAAAGCGCCCCTTCACAAATAGGCAGTGGGTGTCATATTGGACTGTCAAAAGTAACGTACGTGGTTCTGGTCGGCCCCCGATCTACAATTGACAGGCCTTTCCTTCATTCTAGTGCCATCCGTGAGTTTGTCGATAATATGATTTCCTCGTTCCATGAACCTGAGATGGATACTATCAGGATTGGCGTCGGCATGGGAAGCCCTGTTCGTGTATGATTGTTTCATTTTTGGCCTTACTGTGGCCAAAGCCTGGTCAACTCGAAGGGATCATGATATTACTGGAATCAACGTTCCCCTCGTCACGCTCGTCCTCAGAGACGGTGGGTACAACCACTGCTTTCACACGCGAACAATGCGCTGACCTGGCCTTAGGTGCCCTCTATTTCGCGTACGCATCCCATCTTTTTCCAACCCTTGGCGTGTCTAAATTTTCTTTTCCAGTGTGATAGGATTTGGTAATTTTATGAATATGGTTTCTTTCTATGTGAGTTTATCACCCCTCTTTCTCCGTCGTCTATAATTAATCAGTCATCGGCGATAGTTCGGCGGGGTAAGCAACAATGGGATCTTCACATGTATACTCAATCTTCTCACCCACAAACGATAGCCCTTTCTTAGAGGCGGTCTTTCAACATTTGCAAGCAAGTAGGTGACATTCGTCTAGAATGGAAGTGCTGATTCGACGTCGGATCTCTATAGTTTGTCCGTCACAATGATGTCGCGGCTTATGCTCAACCTACATGAATCCGCGGAGGAGGGCAATCTCTCGACCGTACAAACCAACACGAACGTGGACTACGCATCGAATTACGAAACTGGCGTTGTGGAGCTCGACACCGTTTGTAGCAGCGCTATGATGGCAGGCTTCAGGGTCCAGAGTCCGCCTTCCCTAGAGGAGGTCGAGCGATCCTTTCCGTGATCGATCTCTGTGAAATGAGCTCCACCCCGCCCCCGATATCATAGACTGGAGCTCATTGCATTCTAATCACCATACCAGTCCATCTCAAAAGTTCTACTATGTAATTCTGGACGCACCTACTCTTCTCCGGATCTAATGCCGTATGTGCAACTCTGTATTTAGGCATCCTGTTGTAGCTTACATTTTTTCGAGCCATCCATTCGACGATATTTATTGATCTAATTTACACTGTACAAGATCCTTTCTTGATGAAGACTACAAAGAACTCGAGGGAAGCAATTCAAGCCGACATTGGCAACACAAGCTTCTTTCTCGCCGCTACCCCCTCTTCTGGAGTGGCCAATATAAAATCCTTTTTCAGATACGCATGAGGCTTTGCTTCCTTGAACCCGCGAGCTTTCGATATGGCCACATCATTCTCAATGACCGGTTTCTGAAAATTCCCGTAAGTCGCCAAGCAGATTTTTATTTGCAGTTGCGATATCAAACTTACAACAACCAGTGAGGATTTGACGCCAAATACAGCATCGCTCGTAAGATATGAGTCACCCTCGAAGTATACTGCAGTGGTGAGCGTTTCATAGCCCGGCGCCTGCGGGATAGCGCGGCGTCAAGAATGAAGCTTAAGGAACTCAAATCAAACCGTGGCCATACCTCTATCTGGATGTGCAGATGCGCTGGTCGCATGACATGTCTCCCCAGCTTGCTCAGCATGTTACCAACTGTCCCGTCGCTTGGAATTGGGTATGAGACTGGGCTGTATATTAGCATCAGGGAGATGAGCCTCGGGTAGTGGAGGGAAAAGCGAACACAACAGCGCGGAACGCGTACGACCCGTCGTCGGCTGAATGGAGCCGACCTCTACAGTCGGGTACCTCCCGCGTAGAATACTGTAAACCGGTGAATATTGGAAATGGTGACTCCCATGAGAAGAAGGCATACCTGAGTGTCATAGAGGCCGTTACTGTCCGTCTCCCACGTATCAATCGTTGCGGCAGGGATGGGTACTCCACTCGTGTCAAGAACTGAGCCCTCAACGAACATGTACTCGCCCTTGCCCTCTGATGCGATGGAGTCCCCCTTTTGCACTGAGAGGCGCGGTGGGTACGATATTGAAAAAGTCTTTATGCCGACGTACCATCATGAGCATCAGTAGTAAAAAAGGGACCAAGAACGGTGGATTCCGTCGCCTCCGCCGGTTTAGCGTGATTGATTGAGTCGACAAGGGCCGAAACACCAAGTGTATCGGATAGAAGGATAAATTCTTGAAATAAAATAAACCAATTTAAAGAGGCTCCATGCAGGGAAGATAGAGACCTTGTCGGATGTCTGAGGACATCTTTCCGGTCTCTGTGAGAAATTGGATTGCGGTCCTTCGAGAGTGTTAGGATGTTAGAATCTATATTGTAGGTGGGGCGCGCACATCCACTCTTCGGTCGTCAAAGAAGTCTCGCGGACGAAGTCGTGGAGGTGGTCGACCTGAATAATATTCGAGGGCCAAATAAGTGTTCACAGCCGTTCCCCAAGCTTTCATGACGCACTAAGCTTTTGAAGATAAATTTCATTCGTTCATCTTCACCTAAGGACACCTGATTGTATCTAGTAAAATTTCAAGGAGCATGAAGACTCACAGTTTGCGTTAATTGCGTGTACATTCTGAGTGATGGTTTCTGCGGACATATCCAAGAATTTGGGAAGTTTGGAGAGGTCGATACCATGCTGAGCGGCGAGTTTACTGGCTTCAAGCGCAGCTTCTGACATCGTGCTTTATGTACCTTGAGTCCGAATGAGTTGTGCGACTAGAGGTTTGAGATGACAGTTGAAGATAAGCCCATCACGCTCAGAAGGTGCACGGCAGTGCGTCCAAGTGCTACAGGAATGGGTTCAGCCAAGGTTTTCTGTCCGAACTTTCGCCGTCCATCACGTGAACTGACGCCGTGATGATGACGTCATGCTGGAATCAGTTGCTATTTTTAGACACCTTTTAGGCGAAACCCGATACATCTCCTAAACAAAACTACGCTATCAGCGCTCTTCTCGCACTCCAAATAACTATTTGATGGCGGACAACGACATTCAGCAAGCCGAGTGTGAGTAAATCTCACGCAGAAATTCGCAGCTAACGAACCTCATAGTGGAGGAAGTAATTGGGACTACGGAACCAGAAGGACAGAACGAGGAACTCGCTATGAACGCGGAAGTTGGAAAAGATTCAACCGAGCCGACGGCGTTGAACGAGGGAGAAGGACAAGAATTCGGTGTTGAAGCGAGCAAAGCGGAAGAGGCGGGAGCGAGTAAGACCAAGGAGGGAACAGAGGCCGCAACTGGGGAGAAGAGAGAGCGTGAGGAGTTGAACGAAGAATCGCAAGACTTGCAGGGCGGGGATAAGGAAGGGGAAAAGAAAGACGAACAAGAAGTGGCTGAGAAAGACACAGGCAAAAAGGCCAAGAAACCACGACTTTCGGGGGACGAGGCGGCAGAGGGGGAAGGAGGGCCCTCAACTGAGAAGAAAACTAAGGGCAGACAGAGGAAGACGAGTACCAAGGCCAAGGCCGCGGAACCCAAGAAGCGTGCTGGACGTCCGAAAAAGTCTGCCGCCGTTGTTGAAGAAGGCCCGGCGGCCAGTGCGGAAGGTGAACCCCAGGAACACCAACAGGAGACAAATGTCGCAAGCGAAGATGTGCCTGCAGGACACACTCGTTCAAGATCTTGACCGTGTTCATAAAAAATTGCAGAGAGTCACGCCAAAAGTTGTAGAATTAATGTCGCTTGACCTGCGAATGAAATGAAGGGGTCACAGCGAGTATAAGTAGTGTGCATAGAAAAGATCGACAAAGAGTTTCCGGTAGATACAAGAGGGTCCATGGCTTCCGTATAATACAGTCGGTCTAGAGACACAGCAGTAATTGTGCGAGCACATATTAAAGCAGTGGAGTGTCCCCGTTCAGTCGGAAGGGGGGTATTCCTGAAAGAGGGCATTAAAACCGATTGTTTAGAAGCCCAACCACCAGAAAAACTGACCTCATATGCCATTGCAACGGTTTCAGCCACCATCACATGCCGTTCGTTCCGCGCACCGAGAAGCGCCTCTAACTCTCGTTGGGCGATGTCAGCTCTTTCTCTGGCTTCGAAAGCTTCCCTTGCGGCGATGTTTGCCCTCGCGGAGGAATCCCGAGCTTCAGTGGTCGCCCTTTCTAACCTTTGCAAGGCTTCGCTTAGGCCTTTGTTAGTCGTTCGCAATATTTCTATGGCCTTATCGTAATCATTCGTTGTTCGGTCGAGACGACGGAGTGCGTTCTATCGAATATAAGGCATTGCACAACAGAGAGGCAAGACGCAAACGTACATCAAAAAAGAGTGGGTCTCGGCTCTCGTAAAAACGATCACGTAGTTGCAAAGCGTTTAGAGTGCGATGGTCGTTGGAGTCAGATGGGTCTTCGTTAGCGCCACGGCCAAAGATAGACAGAGGGGAAGAATTATGGGCTGTTTCGGATGCTTGTAGAAGGTCGACGACGCCCACCATTCCTTCGGCAAAACAGTTGCAGGTCGGGCGCTCACCATTGATAGATATACAGAGTGTGTCGACGACATCTGCTAGAAACGCGAGGTCGAGGAGGGTTAATGGTCGGACGTTGGGCATGGTGTCGGGGCTGGACCAATCAAAATCAAGTAAAAGTTCATCGGGGGTGTCAAAACCTTGGGGGTGACATACGACGCTGGCGTACGCTGAAGAGGTGGAGGTGAGTTTTAACAGAGGAGGGTGGTCAACTGCGCAAGTGGGATCGTTGTGGCTGGGTGGTACGGACACTGGTTCCATTGAGGAGGCGTCCAAGTCCGATCCGGGCAGAGGAGATGATTCGGAGAGACTTGTTATCGAGTTCGACAGAGTATTCGGAGGAGCAGGGGGTTCCATTTCAGATTCTCTTGCATCGGAATTCATTCCTAGCGCAATGGGATCACAGCAGAGACTTTCAAGACGCACATAACCAAGAGTAGTTGGTCCTAAGGAGAGCTCTGCGATGAGATATTCGTGATTGGGGCAACCAGTAGTGTTTCGGGTGGTGTACCATCGCAGCCGAGAGAGCTTAAGGAGCCGATTGATGGGCCCGTCATCCGGGACGATGAACCTGTCGGAATCATCGCCAAAGAGAACAGAAAGATAGTCAGATTTCCATTGTCGGACGAGGACTGGCTTTGGGGGGAACTCGTAGAGGGGAAGAGCTTCCATGTGAAAATAATATCAGAGGAGAGGTAGAGTTTTCTTGTTTATGACTGGCGTGGTTGTGAGAGAAAGAACGAAGCAAAGACGGTGCCTCCTCAGTTATATTTAAAGGAATCGAAACCAAATACGCATTGCTGTTAAGCCACACCATGTTGGCAGATTTCCCCATCCGCAGCGACCAATCTCGCATAATTAGATCTTGTGGGGGGAGAAGCGATGCCATTAGATGCTGTATATGGAGCTCTTCAGCGGGAAATTGTTCGTGTGGTTCCGGCCAGGAGTTGCAATCAAGGCAAAGCAAGCCTCGTGGCTTTGCGCGAACTTTGTATATGTTTGCTATTGACCTTGATTGACTCATCCTCCCCAAATTGGTCTTGCGATCAACTTGCGATCTCCCTGCTGTTGACGGTCACAGGTCACCCAATAGAAACGCTGATCTCTGTGGATGAAGCTCAAATAACACCGTCACTTACATAAATAGGAATCACGGTGCTCCAGGGCTTGATCTACAAAAGTGATCTTGTCACTATCCCCGCTATCATCTGCTCGTTATTTCGCATCTTTGCGACGGCGGTACAACAGCGGCAAAAAGGATTTTTTCCGGTGCATCATAACAAAAATGCCTGGTCAGCAACAGCTTGGTCGTTTCCGGATTTTAACTAGCTAACAGAGCCAAATTAGGCTACAGTAAGTGGCACAAGCAGTGGCCTTGCCTTGACGTTTTCGCGAGGTCGAATTTCAAAGCCAAGGAGGCGATGCATATGCTGATACCAAGGCTGGTGCATGCGTCGCGTCGTTCTCACCTCACGGGCAGCCTCCTTTTTTGGCCATTGTTGCCGTAACGTCTTTGGTACGGTTGAACAAACAACTTGATCGGGAAAGCTGTTCTGAAATAGAACCCAGTTTCCCCGACGTCCGTAAAGGGTCCAAATACTTGGCTTCCCAAAGGAGCCATGACTTCCGACAGTTTGCTTGAAAAAGCAACCAACTAACAGAAAGAAAATGACTTAGGACAGTGGATCAGCGGCTAGTTGAAATCTGCTTCCAGGTCACTTTGCCGGAGTGGTTAACGGGATCGCCTGCTACGCTGCTAGCTAGTCAGCGGTTGGTCTTTGACCGCGAGTGTTCAAATCGCTCAGGTGACGTATTTTTGACTGCATCGTTGCAAGAGAGTTTATGCAAGATGGATTTTTCACCATCTCTACTAAGGGAAGGGGCGCACATCATGCATCGGCGCCAATCTGTTGTATGTAATTATAAATTCTGATTCGCCGATGCCTGCATCGCAGCTGGAAATTTGCGTGGCAGCCGCCTCTACGCATTTCTTTCAACATCTCTTCGCACAACGACAAGCATGTGGTGACAGAGCCTTAGTCACTGGGGTTAATTTGTGGCGATGTCCTGACGCACTGGCGATCACAACAATTTTTGGAGGCAGACAGAAGCAGCAGTGCAATGGTTCGGTTGCTCACCAGACTACGATAGAGCTTTCATCTGAGATTAAAGATAAGGGTGCTTGCTGTTTTTGATCTGGTCCCTCTCAACTGGTAACGACTCTTGATTGCAGAAAGAAAAGTAAATTAAGAGGATCCGATTTTCTAGAAAGTAACCCATGTTGACTTCGCCTGGCCGAAATTGAGCACTGCCCGGACTGCTGACAGGACAGCCTTTTTGAGAGCTATTTGCCCTCAAAAATCGAGTTGCTGAAAAATAAGGAAAGCTCTTTTTTATGTAAGTTACTTTCAATGGTTTATGTCGTGTGTTAAAAATACATGTAGTGACTATCAATAAAGTACAAAAAAAAGTGCAACTGGGCTGGATAATGAAGAGCTCTTGTAAGATAACTGGAAAGCAAGACAGTGTCAGGGTATACAATGAAAAAAAAATGTAGAGAAATCTTGGGGATTGGATGTTGTACAATAGCGTCAGTCTGAAATTCCAAAATTCAGGGCTAGGAGGAGACACGGGTAATAAGCACTGAGAAGGATAGATCAAATACTAACGACCACTCACTCAAGAAGCGCCTCGATCAATTCCCGAAGCTCTTTCTTTCGCAGGTGCGGTAAAAATCAATAGATTCGCTGTCAAGCTATAAAAACAGAATACCCAAATGTCATGATCAAAGCATTTCATATTAGACTAAGTGCAATAACTCACTCGAGAACGCGCCTCGATCAGGTCCTTCAGCTCATTTTTTGCTTGTTCAGCCCTTTCTCTCGCTTTGAACGCGTCTACGTCGGCAATTTCTGCTTGAATCACAGCAGCTCGCGCTTCGATAACAGCTTCTTGGACTTGGACCAAGACATCTTTTGTCCCGCGCGGTAGAGGTTCGGTCGTAGAAGCGGGACTTGGGTGGATCATCTTGCCGTACGAGTCCACTGCTGAGGGTCGCGTAGTATAAGAGGCAGACATTATAGGCTTGACCACGAAGATGAACGCGCGCGTGAAGTAATCGCAATATGAGAGGGATTGGTGGCACTGGGGAAGGGAGTTCTTGACATTGTAGGCGAATGCGCAGCCATTTAGCCAAACTTGGGAAGCCCGCCTTGCCCTCCTGTGAATTGCTGTACGCGTTCTACATTTGGTCGAACAGTTGCTGTGACTGTGAACGAGAGTGTTTGCCTCGTGTTCAGGGACGATTGTTTGTCTTACACCCTGCAGATCTCTGATCGTCTTCTCCAGCACTAAAAGGGTTTCGCAAATATGCCTTCTTTGCATCAATAGGCGCAAGGTTGGTGACTCTTCGGGAATTGCTTATTCCTTGTTGGGATCGCTTGAATTTTTTTTTTGATATGCCTCGGTGGCGGACGAACATATCAGCTTGGTGTAGCGATCACAACAGAAGACGAAGGTGTAAACGAAGAAGGTGAGAACAAACACGATGACGCCCAAGGGGATGTTTATTACTCAGAAGACGAAGAGGAGATAGCACATGTTGGTGCCTGATTACTTTGGGTATTGTTTCTTTCTGGAAAACGTCAAGAGCGATTAGAAACCCGAGAGTAAAACAAAAACTTAAGGACAAATATGATATGGCTAGGAAGAAACATCCTCTTGCTCCGCCTTCACTACCTCCGGTTCTCCAGCCTCCACTACCTCCAGTTCTCCAGCCTCCACTGACTCTGGCTCAGCAGCTTTCCCTACTCCCGGCTCTGCGGACTGTTCAGGCTCCACAACGGAGGGAGCGATGGTCACGCCCGAGACGTCCTCCTCCTTCGTTGATGGAACAGACTCGACCGCCACCGCTACTGGCGCAGAGTCCGGCTCTGAAGTTGTTGTAGCTGGCACGATTTCCGATGTCGCGGGAGGGGCTTCCGCTTTGGCTGGAGCAGAAGGGACAGAGGCGTCAGGTTCAGCTATGCCGAATCCAATTAGCATGCAAAGCTCGTGGAGAGCGGAATGAACTTACACGACTGAGACGGTACGGCGTCCAACTCCGTGTCCACCTTGCCTTCAAGCCCTGACGTCTCAGCTTCAACCACGGGGAAGACGGCCTTCTCTTCAGGTGCGGTCGTCAGTGGTTTCTCCTCATCGGCTGCTGCTACCACAGGAACGTCAACTTTCTTCTCCTCCTCCTCATCTGCCGCTGCGGGTGATCCATTCGTTGGTTTAGACTCTGTCGCACTCGGAGCGTGAGCCTCTTTCGCTTCGCTTGAAGCTGCGGGTATTGCAGCACTGGGAGGGGGTTCGATGGGGGTCGTCGTCCTGGTGGGCTCAACAATGACAGGCGCAGAAAGCGGTTTTTCCACACTTGAAGCTTCCTCCGTCGCACGCTCCTCGCCAACCACTGAAGCTCCTTCTTCCTTGGTTTTCTCTTCGGCAGGCTTTGCTTCCGATTCCACCGTTTCCGCAGCGACCGTAGGTTCTGAAAGCGCGACGGTAGAAACCACAGGAGTGTCAATGATTTCAGGGATTGAGCTGGGGATGGGCTCCTTATCGCTGTTGTCGATAGGTTCAAGCACCCTCTCAGGCTCAGGCCTAGCCGTCTTCGGCACGTCCAGTTCATCGACAGGGTTATCCCCGTTATTTCCGGAATTAGCCAACCCGTCCACCACAAGGCTCGCCTCTGCCTCACTGAAGATCATGGTGTCCGTTCTGTTTCTGCCATACTTCCTCGGGCTCTCACTGCCGTCCACAAGAGGACCTGGTGGGCTAACACTCTTGGTCCTGCTGTATGGACTGTATTGCCCAGGGGGCTGGACTCCGAGGTGACGTTGTGTAGCCGCCGGTGACGGCCTATGTTCTCCACGGCGTTCACGGTCAGCTTGGGGATCTACAGCCGCTGCGAGCAACCGGGGTGGTTCAACTTCCCTGTCACTCTCATCGTGGCCGGAGAAGGACGAAGATGGGATGACGAGGAACTCAGGTGGTACGAGATCGAATTTGGCGGTCAGAGAAAGGAAGCGGGCGTGGAGGGAAGATTCGACTTCAGCTTGTTCGAAGGCTTCGCGGTGGTGGAAGTAGGCGTGGGCGAAGATGCGGCCTAGACGGCGGGCGAGAGATGAGAAGTGCCTGTGGGATGTTTGTGGGATTTGCAGGCTGATGCGTGATGGCAGGTTAGTTGGTAACAGAGTTGGACTTGCATTAAGGACTTACCGAGAGGGAAAGGCGCGCGGGGAGTTGAGCAGGGCTGTGGCACTGTCAAGGGTGTGGAGGATGTAGTCAATTGCACAACATTGCTACAAGATGCATGAGCTTCAAATAAAACGTGTTGGGAGGGGCGAACAAACCTCCATGGCGCCGTCGTTGCCGTGGGCGACGCAAAGGTACAGCCATTCGCCAGCTTTCATCTCTGGACACGAAGCCCGTGTACATTCTTGCTGTAATGTGGTAATAAGCGGATGGGTAAGATCCTGCGCAAGACGTCTTTCGGAATTTATTAGAAAAAGATCTCAAGAAGGGGGGTAAGAAGCGAACCGTAGCTGCTCGTATATCCAGCATGCTTCGTCGACGGTGATGTCGCTCTTCTTTTCGCCCTCTTTTCCCTCAGTTCGCTCCTCTGATCCCTTCGCTTTGCCTGTGTCCTTCGTTGAACCAGGTAGAGTGACAATAGCATCGACGTCGTGAACGTCGAGCCGGATGAGAAGGGATATATACTCCTGCAGCTGAAAGGCGCTGTCGAGGGAGGAGAGGGAAGGGAGATTCTTGATAGGGTAGAAGGAAGATATCCTTGAGCCGCGCAAAGGCCTCTGGATGCCACTCGCCATTGTTTTGTGTCGTGCTCGTCGTGGTCAACAGTGAGCAACCAAAGTTGACAATGCTGGCATGCCGCTTATGTAAGTCCTGGATATTTTCATTTGAGCTCATAAACACTTCAACTTTTTGCATCTCTTGCTCATCTTCCCCTTCCTCAATTCATTCTCCTTCAATCGCGAGCCTAAGAGACCTATATTTTTCTTTCTGAATAGACCCACATTCTGAAGACTCATGGGCTAACGAAGGCTGGACTCCCCAACAATCACTGTCAAAGCTTCTCTTCGATCCTCGATGCTAGCCTCAATGCAGAACTTTATTCGACATTTTGCTTCCAATTTCATTGTCTCCCTATCTCCAGATCAAAATTGAAAGCATCTGCTCCACTCAGTCTCGTAAATACTACATCTTGCGCTATTGCCCTTTATTCATGGCACCCACTGCTATCGACCACCGCAGCTCTATAGGGTTTGAAAGTACCTTGAGCGGTGCCCCGCCTCCGTGCTATAGCTCTCAAATGGGCTCTGCGTCTGGGACGCCAACACTTGACGGGGACTGTTTTAACGACGACAATGCTGACGATGAGCAACCCTCCATCAGCAGGTTACAGACAGAATTTTACCAACTTCCGTCTCCATACTCTGCCGAAGAGCTCGTTTCTATGCCTCAGACGTACAGGAACTCTTGTAGCCACGGGTACACCCACACCCATAGCCAATGCACGTCGTCGTCTCCAACCGTCTACAACCCCAGTTTGAACCCCCACGTGATAGACATGAGCAATTGCTCTCAGGCGCTTCCTTCTGTGGTTACCCCTCCTCGGGCAAGGACGTTGAGGTACTCATCCCTTCCTAGCCCTGATGAAGACCACAATTCTCCCGCGAGGTCGTCCTCTTATCACCCCGCTGCATCATACTCAGCCCACGGCCACCTTACGTACCTCTCCCATGATACCCACGATCTTAACTGCGAACCTCAAGATCATGTAGTCAAAGGACTATATCCAGAAACTCATATCCACGGGGGCAGCACAGCGACAATTTCATTTCCACAACCCACTAACATACTTGCCGAACCGGTCTCGGCTCAAACAACGAAGTCGAAGTCAAACCTTCCCGAAGCCCCTGTCCCTCCGAGAGCTCATGCGAGTAATTTCGTTGCGCTTTCCAGATTAAGCACTCGCCAAAAGCGTGGCTTCTTTCATAAAGTAACCTCTATGTCTATCACTGGGTCTTTTACTATCGATCCGCAATTAAACATTCCATCAGGCCTTACGACAGCTCTTCCCGGTGCTCAATCACCCCTCCTGCTCGGTCCGCGGGCACGTCGTTCACCGGCCCTTGATGGGGGCCCTCGTGAAAACTTGAGATTGGAAGTAGAGAATGGAGGGATTGACGTGGATATTCATCTGGTTGGTTGTACCAGCAAAACTGTCACCTCGTCGAATATCCCAACCAGGATTAGGCTCGCATTGAAGACGGGATCAGATCCCAAGGCAAAAACGACGACGTTCCCTCTCGTCGCGCGAATTGTAGGTCAACAAAAAAAATTCCAAGTCTATTCTCATGTTTACATCACCCCATCTATAACAGCACGCCCCTAAACCCCGTCCTCCATTCTTGCTTCGAGCCTCAACGATTCCCTTTGCTCTACCCCCTCCTTCGCTCCCACTCACGCCTTCCAAGCTTGTGGATATTGCCAATGAAACGCTGAACGCTAGAACAGGTTCAACAAGATCGACACAACCCAACAACACCTCTGGGCGACCTATTAGGCCAGTTCCCCAGCCCATTAACACCAACTCAAAGTCACCTCTGACCCTCCATCTTCCCCGTACCTTCCGCGGGCCTCTCACAATCCACGTCGCAGCAGGCGACATTGACGCACACGTCTTTCTCTCAAAGGAACTTCAAGAGGCAGTAGTCGTCTTGAGCGAGACGGCGCTGGAGAGGGGGTATTTCGTCGGTGGGCTGGTTACACAGGACGAGGAAGAGGAGGAAGGAGAAGGGGAAGCAGTAACGTACTGTCAACGATGCGGCAAGAATCAAAAGATGCCAAAGAGGAATCATATTTCGCGGGGGTTAAGTTCAAGTTCCAGCTCGAATTCGAAGGGGCGGGATAAGTGTGATGGAGATGAAAGGTATAGGTGTCTTTCGTGTGGGTGTCAGTGCGTGTGTGGAATGGCGGAGTGCGAGAGCGACGGGGGGGAGGAAACAGGGGAGGGCGATGGGCATGAAGATGGGGAGAGACGTGTAGAAGACGAGGAGTGGAGTGGAGATCGGGTTGAGGTGTTGGTGGGGAGGGGGAATGTGTACCTCCAATTTATGGGTGAGAAGGATCCTCATTGGCGTGAGGGATGGTTTTGGGGTTGGTAAATGAGTCCAACAATTATGACGATGTATTATATGCAATGTTCCACATAGATCTGTTTGTTGTGAATGTACCTGGAGACCAGAGTCACCAAACTAACGCTCATAATACTTAGAAGTGTTTAACGTCCAATTTTCCATATACTAAGCCCATATTTGCCTGACTTGCCACGAGTCGGTAGAAATCACACGCCCAAGACCACACCCTAACCCTACGCTCTTACCACCTAAGCACCGACAACGTGAGCATTTTCACCTCGAACCTACTAGGCAGGATGCTGCGCCGATTTCGTTCAAGAAAGATGCCCTCTCCCCCATCCCTCCTCCATCGATTTCACACGATGTTCAAGCGCCGAGGACGACCTACCCAGAGCGAAAAAGACATAGCTAACCATTCAAATGAATGGAATATACCCCTTCCCCCGGATCTAATGTATTACATCATTGACGCCTACCTCGAAGCTTTGTGTGCCGCGATCCCAGTTCTTCGGCCTTACTGCCACCCACGACCATACCGACACATGGCTGTCCACATTCACAAAGATTATTTACCTCCTCAGGCGCACGAAGTTGACATCGAACTATCCGAATCCCCTCTTACCCTCGACCAGGAGGACAAGTCCATATTCCTTCCGACTCAGCTACATGACTTAGGCTATGCTAGCACGGAAAAAGTGCGGGGCATCCTGTCCCTGGTCAGACATCTAACGCATGATCTAACGTCAATCTATCTGAATGTCTCAGTAAGATGGAATGAGCTTGATGAGTTCGTGAAAGTCTACATCGTGACTCTTCTGCAGCGCAATCGCTCAGTCAAGCTGAATACCTTTGGCATTCCAGTAAACCTATTGGGTGTGGTGCAAAGTCTCAAAACGCTCGACGTGGATATGGAGTCTCTGGGGCATCCCGACAATGTTTCTTTGTCGGGACAAAGAGGAAAGGTGTACGTTGAAGAAGTTCGTCTCCGTGGCGGTCTCCATTATTGCCTCATCGGCCCCGGGTCACCGTTCAATTGGTCCAGATTGAAGGCGATTGAGTATACCAGATGTCGGGGTGGTCCACAAGGGCTACTTGAGTTGTGTTCCTCCTCTCTTCAATCGCTAGAACTTGCCATGTATGGGGAAGATGGTGAGCAGTGATTCATCCCTCACCCTACTAAACTCACATGAATTTTTCCTACTCAGATTATATCGACCGCGGCCTCGACCTTGGCATTCTTACCGACCTCCGTCATCTCACATTATCCATCAGGCTTACCTATTCTGTTGAACAAACAGTGTATGACAATCCCGGAATTTACTCCTCAATCGAGCCGTTTAGATGGGTCCCCTACATATTGGCGTCCTGCAACGGGCACAACACTGTGGAGAAAATCGTCCTTATAATGATTACGGTAGACCCTCAAGCTTTGAGACAGTGTGACTGGCTCTCCGTGGATAAAATCTTCGAGGGGGAGGGGACATGGATGTCGCTGAAGGAGGTGCTGGTCGTGAATTGTAAGGACAATGAATGGTGCACCTAGTATTGGGAACTGGAAGCCGACCAGTTGGAGTATATTGAAGCTAGTCCGACACCTTGTCTTCAAGCAAGGGAGGTAATTAGTTGGCGTAAGTACGTCAAAGATAGCATGTAACCCTTTCCATTGAGTACTATAATTCCTTTCATCTAGTCCATCAAATACCATGTAATTGTAAAGACCTCTGATTTTCCATTTTTATGAATTGATTCCATTAACGAGATAACCGATTGCGAGTATCCTTTATGTCGTGCTAAATTCTAATTATGAAGGGACTATGTAGTGAATTCCAATGGAAATTTATTCTCTGAGTTAGTGGAACACAGATTACTAAAATCACATTTCGCAGAATCAGGAGCCTCCAAGTGGTTTCGTGGATGCCAAGGTGAATGTCAAGTTGAAGTGTGCACTTATGTGAATGTTATTATGTATAGGGTCAAAATGAAACGGTAGAGGAATGTAGAGGAATTGCCAGCTGAGTGAAGTGAGAATCTGAAGAAGCGGGCCTGCCCAATTGAGGTGTGGGAGAGGATGCTGTATCTGCAATTTATGGGGATCTGTGAAATGCTGTGTAATGTAATGTCCATAGTATCAACCTCTGCCAAGAATTTTTTTGTCTGCTTTCCTCGTTCTATATTCAGCTCCATTCCCTCGGCCACATCCACCCATTACTTTTCAGATTCTCAAACCAGCCCAACTGCTCATCTTCATAGAGTATTCGCACATTGCCATCCTCCACATTGATCTCCACCCGATCCCCTTTCCAATCGTTCAGATTCCCAGAATGAAGCTTGTTATCTTCCTCCTCCACTTCCCCATCCTCATGCAACAGCCCAATAAAGCATCCTCGGTTGATGGCATCCTCGTCCAGTGGTACTGCTGTGCTCAACACGCTTGGGGAAAGGTAGAGGTGGTGGTCAATGTTGCCCACAGTGATTCGTAGTCTAAGAGGACCACAGAAGTTGCGCAGGAGGAAGAGGGTCACAGGGGAGGTGGTGCTAGGAATTCCTGGATCCTCTGGAGAGTTTGTTGTGCAAGTCAGATGGATGGGTGGGCGTGGGTTAGGAGCATGCTAAGTTTGAGAAAAAATATTCAGGATGAGGGAGAGCAAATAAGGAAGTCAACACTCACAAGGCGAGCTTTAAGTGGGTAAGCCTTAAACTGCATACTCTTCCTGGTGGTCACTTTGATATCCAACTTAACTATATCTTCATGAATCACAGGGTCACAGCATCGAAGGCGGGGGTCGTCGAATTCAAAAAGGGCCAACTAGTACAAGTATACAATAATAAGCTTGCCTCAACCCTCAGCACAGAACATAAACTAGCACCGATGTGGTCACCTCCCTGACAGGTCATGGAGCAACTCCTGAATTTGTATGAACTCAAGTCATTGGATGGCACCCCCTTGGATGGGCTATTCCATGCTAGACATTTTCATAGTTTCGTACCAGGGGAGGGCATGGTGCTGGCAGTGGAACAGAAGGAGTTTGAGGAGGCACTAGCAGCAGAGAAATCCAAGGAGACAGTGGCGGAAGAAAAGGTAGCAGATGATGAAGCGGAAGAGGCAGGGTTGGAGAGTCAAGGCGAAGAAGAGGGTGAAACTCAGACCAATGAGAGGTTTTTCTATGGGGAGGACGAAGAAGGGGTTCAAGACAATGAGGAACTGGGCATTGGTGCTAGAGTGGCAGTGAGGAGGTGAGGATGCCTCCATAGCGGAGGGGGGCAGATAGACTGGTGACTGTTCTGTATATGAGAAGTACCTGTGATATACAGACCGGTAAATCTGAGTTTAAATCCACATACTGCATGGCTCCCATGCCTGTTTCCATAAAAGGTTCGATGATTTCTGACCTCCCCTAAACAATAAGCACGTGTTGCACAACACACACTGCATTTTCACTGTATTCACGGTCTCCGTTGCATGAGATTGATGCATTTTCTTATGAATGACACATCTGTAAAATCTGGAGTGGTTGCATTCAGACTGGACAACTTTTCAGATTTTTGTACTCCATCCATTTTGTCACTTAGCTATCTGTTCTTTCTTTTCCCTCCTTGTTTGAGTAGTATTTTTTGGGAGGTTCTCATTTTCTTGCCATACATTCAATGTTAAAGAAAAACACAAGGATTAATATAAATATATCAGCTGTGCCTCTGGGGTGCATAGCTGAAAGACGATTTTGGGTTGGACACAGGGAAATCATAGACCAGGAAGATTTGGCATGGGCCAGACTGGATTGTTAAGGGGAGGTCAAAAATCATCGAACCTTCTATGGGAACTGGCATGGGAGCAGTGCGGTATGGGGATTTAAACTCAGACATACCAGCCTAGGGGCCAGATGGAATAGGAGATACAGTCGCAGACAAACAAAGACAACAATTTTGCTAATTGTGAGATGGGGACCCTGCACAACCCTCAATGTTACTTTTTATTGCAGAAACATGAAGATTAGGATCCAATGCTTTGATTTACATGAGCTGATTTTTTGAAATTGATGAAATAAGAAATTTTAGCCCAAAAATATTGACCAGACCCTGAATGAACCCTTAAAATTATGAAAAATAGCACAATTGACTCCTTTTTCAATTCTGTATCTGATCCTGAAGTTTGGGGAAAATCTGACAAGCTGTTCTTGTAGAAAAAAATGATTTTAAATCACCTAAAATAGCAACTCAGGGTCTTCCCACCCCCATTGACCCTCAATGAACCCTGGCTTGTTGATCCCCCTTCCCCTCCCCACCTTCAACACATGCATATTATTAGTTTCTGATCAGAATTACAATGTTTAGCAAGTGCCACTCAATTTTTAAATGACCACCAGCGTTGGGAGCCTGCCAGGGGGGGTCCCAAGACCTGCTGAAGACCCCTACAAAACGACAAAAATTGTCAAAAATTTTGGCCAACTCAATCCCTTGTGGGAAAAACTTTGGAGGGGTGTTTTTGGACGTAGTTTCGCATCCTGAGTTCGAATCTGAAGTCAGATTGTCAAAATATTCATTTCTTCGCAAGCTACTGAAATTGTTGTCTTTGTTTGTCCGCGACTGTAGGGCATTCCAAGGAGGCACGTGACAAGGAGATTAGTCAGCAAGTAGAGTAGAGCAAGCGGACACATTGATGATTGAATATTGAATGACCACGACTTCACCACGCATTTGCATCGTCGGAAGCACTTGCGCCCCTTCCACCGCTACACCTACGCTCTTACCATTTTCACCTCGAACCTCCCAGGATGCTGCGCCGATTTCGTTCAAGAAAGATGCCCTCTTCCCCATCCCTCCTCCATCGATTTCACACGATGTTTAAGCGCCGAGGACGACCTACCCAGAGCGAAAAAGACATAGCTAACCATTCAAATGAATGGAATATACCCCTTCCCCCAGATCTAATGTATCACATCATTGACACCTACCTCGACACATCCACGATAATAGCTTTGTGTGCCGCGATCCCAGTTCTTCGGCCTTACTGCCATCCACGACCATACCGACACATGGCTGTCCACATTCACAAAGATTATTTACCTCCTCACGCGCACGAAGTTTACATCGAACTATCCGAATCCCCTCTTACCCTCTACCAGGAGGACAAGTCTATACTCCTTTCGACTCAGCTGCATGACTTAGGCTATGCTAGCACAGAAAAAGTGCGGGGCATCCTGTCCCTGGTCAGACATCTAACGCATCATTTAACGTCAATCTATCTGAATATCTCAGTAAGATGGAATGAGCTCGATGAGTTCGTGAAAGTCTACATCTTGGCTCTTCTGCAACGCAGCGGATTACGCTCAGTCAAGCTGAATAGCCGTCACATTCCCGTAAACTTGCTGGGTGTGGTGCAAAATCTCAAAACGCTCGAAGTGGATATGGAGTCTTTGTGGCATCCCGACAATATTTCTTTGTCGGGACAAAGAGGAAAGGTGTACGTCGAAGAAGTCCGTCTCCGTGGCGGTCTCCATTATTGCCTCACCGGACCCGGGACACCGTTTAATTGGTCCAGATTGAGTGCGATTGAGTATACCAGATGTCGAGGGGGTCTACAAGGGCTGCTTGAGTTGTGTTCCTCCTCTCTTCAATCGCTAGAATTTACCATGTATGGGGAAGATGGTGAGCAGTGATTTATCCCTCACCCTACTAAACTCACATGAACTTTTCATACTCAGTTTATATCGACCATGGCCTCGATCTCGGCATTCTTACCGGCCTCCGTCATCTCACATTATCCATCAGTCTTACCTATTCTGTTGAACAGACAGTGTATGACAATCCCGGAACCTACTCCTCAATTGAGCCGTTTAGGTGGGTTCCCTACATATTGGCGTCATGCAACGGGAACAACACTGTGGAGAAAATCGTTCTTATAATGAGTACGGTAGACCCTCAAGATTTGAGACAGTGTGACTGGCTTTCCGTGGATAAAATCTTCGAGGGGGAGGGGACATGGATGTCGCTGAAGGAGGTGCTGGTCGTGAATTGTAAGGACAATGAATGGCGCACCTATCGGGAACTGGAAGCCGACCAGTTGGAGTATATTGAAGCTAGTCCGACGCCTTGTCTTCAAGCAAGGGAGGTAATTAGTTGGCGTCAGTACGTTAAAGATAGCATGTAACCCTTTCCATCGAGTACTATAATTCATTCCATCTGGTCCATCAAATACCATGTAAAGACCTCTGATTTTCCATTTTTATGGATTGATTCCGTTAACGAGATAACCAATTGCGAGTATCTTTTATCTCGTGCTAAACTCTAATTATGAAGGGATTATGTTGTGAATTCCAAATGGAAATTTATTCTCTGAGGTAGTGGAACACAGATTACTACAATCACATTTCGCAGAATCAGGAGCCTTCAAGTGGTTCCGTGGATGCCAAGGTAACTGTCAAGTTGAAGGCATGTGCACTTATGTGGATGTTATTATTTATAGGGAAACAGGGGTCGAAATGAAACGGTAGAGGAATGTAGAGGACTTGCGAAGAAAGAATCTGAAGAAGCGGGCCTGCCCAATTGAGATGCGGGAGAGGATGCTATATCTGCAATTTATGAGAGAGAGAGAGATTCCGGAGCGGTCCCAATGATCCGTTGAATGCTGTGTAATGTAATGTCCATAGTCGACCTCCGCCAAGAATCATTTTGTCCGCCTTCCTCATTCTATATTCAGCTCCATTCCCTCGGCCACATCCACCCATTACTTTTCAGATTCTCAAACCAGCCCAACTGCTCATCTTCATAGAGTATTCGCACATTGCCATCCTCCACATTGATCTCCACCCGATCCCCTTTCCAATCGTTCAGATTCCCGGAACGTAGCTCATTATCATCCTCCTCCACTTCCCCATCCTCATGCAACGGCCCAATGAAGTATCCTCGGTTTATGGCGTCCTCGTCTAGTGGTACTGCCGCGCTCAACACGCTTGGGGAAAGGTAGAGGTGGCGGTCGATGTTGCCCGCAGTGATTCGTAGTCTAAGAGGACCACGGAAGTTGCGCGGGAGGAAGAGGGTCACGGGGGAGGCGGTGCTAGGAATTCCTGGATCCCCTGGAGAGTTTGTTGTGCAAGTCAGATGGATGGGTGGGCGCGGGTTAGGAGCATGCTAAGTTTGAGAAAACATATTCAGGGTGCGGGAGAGCGAATAAGGAAGTCAACACTCACAAGGCGAGCTTTGAGTGGGTAAGCCTTGAACCGCGTGCTCTTCCTGGTGGTGACTTTGATATTCAACTTTGTCTGGCGCTTCGGCTTCTCCGCCAATCTCGCATTCAAATTCGCAGACGACGCCATTCGTCTTCGATACGATGAGATTGAATCGTTATCAGCTACAAGGTGCAGAACAACATCCATGGTGCCGTTCTCAATTTCCAACTTGACATTCTTCCGCCTTCGATCGGCACGACGCGCAGCTTCGCCTGTCTCCCCCGTCACAGCTGCCAGCACGGAGCCAGGAATATTCAAATGAGGGTCGATGCAAAAAGTGTCTTTTATGGATGTGCTGTTGCCAAAGAAGGAGAAAATCCGCCTGTTGGTTGTGGACATCCTTACTAGGGAGATGTAATTCGTCGCGTTGTGAGGTCGAACAACCATAGATCCTTGCTGGTACCGCGGCGCCTCTCGGTCAAACTCTTGGGCGTCCCCTATGTCTGCTGGTCCAGCTTCTAAGTGAGACAGGGAGACGTCTGTCAGACTTGTCGGAGTCATCATGAACGTGTTTGGGCTGATTGGGGAGGCTGAGCTTGGGGGAGGTGTAGCAGCTTCCTGCATCCTAAGGAGTCGGTCAAAGTTCTCGTGGTTTGAGGGCCGTTGGCGGGTGCCGTTACTGGTGGGTGTCTGGAAAGGCTTCAGTGCGTAGTACTCCACGCGCGCTAATGAAGTGAACTCACCTCGTCTGCTGGCCCTGCTGCGTCGATCGCCCCTCGTGGAGGTACCCCCGCATTCATGGAATAGCTTGGAGGGGGGAAGGGATTGAGTGAGCCTCTCGAAGCTGCCATGATGGCTGTGTAAGTAGAAGAGGTCACGGTGTGTTGCAGTCACTGCCAGTGCGACTGCGTGGGCACGAGAAAGTTTAATATCTCTGGACCTGAGCGCTTCCCAGCAGGGTTCTCTCGTTGGTTCCTTGATTGACGTGATAACTCCATGATTGTTTGCATATTGTTTTGCACAACGAATTTTCGTGAGCGCTATTTGGTTGTGTTGTGACGGGTATGTCCCAAACCCTGAACCCACCGTCGTCTTCGTTTTTCCGTGTCCAGAACACTCCTTGCCAAGGTGCCATGATGATAGTGTAACAGTGTGTGTTCAGATTCTTTGAGGAATGGGCCAGATTCCAGACACCAGATCTTTCGGGACCAAAAATGTCACGTCGCAACACAACCAAATAGTGCTCACGAAAAAATTGTTGTGCAAAACAATATGCAAAACACTGTAAAGTGAAAACTGAAAAATTAGTGTCGCCGTTACTAACCAGGAAATCGTCACTCTGGCAGCGTTCGAAATTTCCGCTGGTCATCTCCTTCTTTACTATGCTCTGGATGCTTTGTGGAGAGTATCATGATTCAAGTCAAGATTTACTTTGGATTTACTGGTACATATGTGCAATAGGCAAAAGTCATCTACGTGAAAACTCAACGAAACGTTCTGCCCAAGTATAACAACTTGAAGTCAACTGCGTCTGTTGCGTGAATTATCAGTACAACCCAAATTGCAACATGGTAATACCAGCTATCATCGTCAGAGAATTTAGGCAAAGCATTGGGTTTTGCTTTTAGGGGAACCTGTTGGGAACCCGCAGTCTCTGTATATTCGGAGGTGAGATATCTGGGGATATTCAAGAGGGGCAGGAGTGCGTACAGGTGATACGATGGAGTGTTGTCGCCTCAAGGTCAAGCAGCGTTGTGCGGGTCGGCGACCTGAGGTCACAGTCATCGACCGTAAATTGTGAGAGAGTCACCAAAAGTCGTCAACAGACAAACGTTCGCAACTTTGTGTGGTGCCATGGGGTCCTACCTCTGGGCGCGCGCTACATCGCACTGCGCGGTTTTCTAACGCTGCAAAGTGATTCCTACATCATATTCTGTATCTACCACTGTTATAGATTCCTTTATATCGTGTTCTGTATCTACCACAATCCATTTTGCGTGCTACCCTCTGTGACAGTTGTTCTGCGTCACCAACCTTAGGTCACAGTCACCGACTGTAAATCGTGAGCAGGTTTGAGCTGGCTTAACTGCTCAAAAAAAACTTATATATGTCTGGGTTTGAAGAACTGCTGTTGTGGTTCGCATGAAGCGTCCTGGTCGTCCTTGCTCTGAGGCTAGCAGAACCGGTGATCATGAAAGTGTCAATAATTGGTCCGTATTCAAGTTGCCGTCTCAACTCAATCTATGTATATCAATAACTAACTCAAACTTAGGGTCAATTCCTGACGAGGGAGTCCTGGCGAAACTATCAGTCAGTCTGACGACTATGAATATCGAAGGGAATAAACTTACCAAGGCGAGGGACTACAGATTCAATCACCCTTGCCAGATGGTTTGGGGGTTCGGCGGTCTAAAATAGGTGAGTAGACAATCAGCCTTCAGTGCCGACCACTGTGATCCAAACATGCCTTTAGTAGGCGACGGATAAAGCGACCTCGGTGCGAGAGGAGGCAATCCAGCAGCCATGCGGGCAGCGTTGGTCTTCAGATCCCGACCAATGTTAGCATTGGGTCCCGGCAGGTCGCGCTTGAAGGGAGCCTTCATCATAGCGTCGCGGCGCATGACACGGACGCGTTCCGCGAACGTCAATTGAGCCATGAGGAGAAAGAAAACGATGAAGACGGTTCGTAGGTAAGTCATGCGGTTGTTAGCCATGAGTGAGCGTCAGGCGGATGAAACAACGGAGGGGCGCGGGGAAAGAAAAGAGGCAGGGAGAAACCTACGGGCGACCTTGTATTTCATCAGCCCATTTATATATGAGCACGAATTAAATTTCTTATGTCAAAGGTATGTCAAAGGTATGTCAAAGGTTTGTATATTTCGATCACTGTACCTATATGCTATTTATAGACATCCTCGTTCGGGACGCCAGATATCGCTCCAAGAACAAGAGGATTGGATACTTTCGATCGTTTAAGTAAAGTTGGTGAACACTGTTCAGGGAATTTACACTGTAGAGGGAATACGTGAAGGAAGCTTTCGTGTACAGAGAAATGTTTTGCCTCCTCCAGTTAACGTGTGAGTTGCATGTTGCCAAGTCAGAGGTTTTCGGCGCCTATGACATGATGGCGCAGCAAGGGCGCCTCAACTCGCTCCCACCAACAAACGTGTTACTGTCTGTGTACTTACTCTGATGTCTATCCAAAATGGATACGAATTTAAATTGAAAGGACACCGGGGACACTTGGATATTATCTCCAAGTACATAGGACTCGCATAATAATTGTTGTTGGGAGCTGCAAGGGAGTTGGTTGGCAGGGAAGGGCCCGAAGTTAGACTATTTAAGTAGCCTCGATTGATGATAATTATACTTAACGGGGGTATATCCTCGCACCCAAAATCCCACACTCTGACATGAATGTGAATCCCGCCAAGCCTAGGCCCGCATGGCCAGGGTCAGCGCAACCTGCCGATGCGAATGGAACGTTCAGTAGGTGGTGTAATACCTAAGCCTGAGAATACTGATTTTGAGGTTGACCATGAGGGACGGCGTAATACTTATTGTGGGCATACCATTGGCTACAGTCGTGGACAAGCAAAGCCCACTAATAAAAATGGAAATGTATTGATGGCTACCAAAGTGCCCGGAAAACGTGCAGATATGTTGAGGGAAGCTTCTGGCCAAATTTCAGCCAAGTCTCACGAGCCGTTTTGGAGAAAATGGCCATATACAGAAATACACCCTAAAATTTTGGCCGGACACCAAAAAGTGCCAAGAAAAATATGAACAATAGCGGAATCGCTTCCTTTCACGGAGAACAATCTGCCCATCAAGTTTCGAAACAATTTATGGAGTGGTTCTTCTGGAAAAAATTGCCAAACATTGACCCAAATTGGGCACTTCGTCACTTTTGATGTGACATCTATCACGGGACTAAGAAATTCCATCACACTAGGCTCTACTAGGCTTTCTCAATGCAGGGAAACAACAGGGAAATCCCTTTCTGATAGAATCTTTGCCCTTTCTGAGTAGCTTCCAGCCGAAGCTCAGCACAGGTACCAACTTTCGATAATTTCTGGCCGGTTTCGACCTGTTTTTCTCCTTAAATATTGCAGTTTTTTAGTCGAAAATTTTGGCCACGCCAATTCCTTGTGGGAAAAACTTCGGAGGTGCGTTTTTCGACGCATTTCGCAAATCCGAGCCAGAATCTGGAAAAATCTCAGCTCTAGATACATTATTTACTGAGATACCGAATTAGTGGGCTTTGCTTGTCCACGACTGTAGTACGGTGTTATGAAACTAATAACAGAAGATGCCAAGAAGATCATGATCATCAGCAAAAACCCATGACTATTTTGATCACCTTGGATTCAGTTGCTACCAGACGACAAGGATCAAAAGGGCTCGCAACCACCTTACAATGAGTGCAATCAGTTATCACCGCTTACATTGCTGAGGGATATTTTACAAGATACTATGTTTGTTCAGGTGTTTGAAACTTTTTCACCGCTGCGCAATTTCTGCCTCACCACTTCATTGAATTCTTTAAATTTTTAACAAGCCAATAATATTTTTTCTCTTCTATATGAATATCTACTTTTTTTTGGTATAATTGTGTTGTGTTCGCTGTCCGGTGCTCAGGGTTCAGATATATCAGGAGATTGAAACTCGTGTCACACTAGGTAACAACAAATTTGGCTGATGGATGATGCCCAGTCAAAAATGACTCGGGTTATTCCGAGGTAGATCTGATTGCCTAGAATTGAAGCGATGTAAGGTGTCATTTTATCGACAGAATTCTATACAAATAGATTTGAGTTCGATCCAATTCGATATTACACTATGTAAGCCATGTACGCAGCGCGGTTTTTAGTGTTGCAAATCGCCTGAAATATATCTAACTCGATTGATGCTCACACAAGCCATGCAAATTGACCATACTGTCATGTGACCATTACTGGGTCACTTTAGCTTAAATTGCAGATTGCACGCCTCCCTCTCATTGGGAGCACATAAAATTTTGCAAGTGAGTAGGAGGAAACATATACATATTGTATCTGTAAGTTTTATTTAGGAGGGATGCTTTTGGGTAGTGTTAAAATGCCTTGACCCGTTTGTCCTGAATTGGTCAGCCCCCATAAGCCAACCGTAAAATATTCTTAGACACCCCATATTCTCCTTATCTGATTTAAAATTTTGTGTGTGAGTTACCAATACCTCCACTGTAAACTCTCAAAAATATTTGTGTCAATAGAGGCTAGCACTGTGGAGAGAAATGGTTGTCAATTAGATAGACTTGCTTTTATGGGCAAACTTGGCAAAACAACAATGTGACCATCTTATCTCCCTTATATCTCAGCTCATACTCAATGTTCTATCCAATAAATCTCCACACACAGCCGCATGTGCATTGTCAAACTCTGTTCAAAATTTCAAATGCATAGCATGGATTGTTGTGGTGCTATAGCTTGTTGACCCGTTAGTGCTGATGACCTGTTAGGGGTCACATGACAGTAGTCACTGTGACTCGGCCTGATCGGAGTTGATTTTCACCGGGGATGATGTGCAAATGTCACGCAAATGTCACATTTTTCGAGCTGTTTCACAGCAGAATTTGGTCTTTTGCCCTTCCTGAAAAGACAACTTCACCTTGCTATCTAAATTTTTTTATTTGAACTTAAGTATGCCATTCAAATGCAACTGGAAAGTTTTAGAATAAAGAGTCAAGCCGATTTGGAGGGATCTGAGAGAACATTCCATTACTTTTGTTTGTCAGGTGTAATGAAAACAACAAATCCATGTCCCCAGACCACAAGTCTTTGACTCTTGTTCTAAAATTTTGAGACAATAAATGTAATGCATAAATACACCTTCTGTGAAAATTCCAAGGCCCCAAGGCAAGTGGAAGGTAAAATAATCCACAGTTTAAAACACCTGATGGGTTTCAAACACCTGAACAAACATAGTACATTGTCATAGTACAGTAGCAGCATTGTAATGTCACACAATAATTGCACACATTGCCAATAGGTGTCAGAAATGTATATATTTTATCAGGTTGCAACTTGCAAGCCAATTACAAGTGGATTTGTATGAAGATAGAATGTTGCCACAATCTCAATTGGGATATGCATATGTACAGGAAGATTCATTTAAATATGGTTGCACCTTGCACAGTACTAAATAGCCTACGCTTCTTGTGATCTTCATCTGCCTGCACCCACATTTGTGCTGCCAAAGACAGTAACAATATCATCATCTCCCTCGTCACTCTCGTAGAATCAAAACATTCCTTGGATAAGGTAGTTAAGTAAACAATTGTATTAGAGTGAATTAACAACACACATTAAAAGCGACAGATGCAATCACTGGAGTGGGGGAACTTGAGAACACATTCATAAAGGAGTGGAGCGGAAGGATCACCTCGTGACATTCAGAACAATCACACTGAATACCAGACTACCAGTATCTTGCGAGTAATAGTTGATGGTCTAAAATTGCGTTGTCAGTGAAAGCTATGGAAATGGTGTGAATCCATGTACCTCAAAATTGTGTTACCCATCCTGTCGCCCATGGACAACTTCCTCCACATCGAAATGGAGGCCCCATGTCACCACCTCCAAATACCCCCATGCCCGGTACTCTCCTGATGTCACCTTCCTTTGTCGTCATCCAAAGGTCATGTCACACTCTCCAATACTTACTGCCCATCACATACTTGGCATGTGTCATCGGGCGGCCAGGGTCTTCTGGCTGCATTGTGCCACAGATGGGCTTCTGGAGTTGACGAATTTGTTGCGCTTTGGTAAAAAGATTCTGCCATAGTATGCAATGTGTTGATGTCAGTGTCATCATGAGTGAGTTTGTGCTGGCCAAGCACATACCCAATCATGAAGACACTGTGCAGGAGGAGGGGAGGGGAGAGTGTGAAGTTGGACATTGAGGGAAAAGTTCACAGGTCCAAAAATTTCCGAATTTGGACATTCAACATTGACAGGAAAGGCAGAGGGCTGACGAGATGTTGAGGAGGCGGCACAATTCTGAGAGGAAGCTGAGCCTAGAGAGACAGTAGCTCTGTTGAGCACTGCCATACAGTGAGACATTACGAGGCTGGGTGTTTGAGGGTTGAGCAAGGTGGAATGGGAAAAGGTGGCACCACTGTGGATCCAATCCTTCCTGTGACTTTGACATATTGAAAAAACACTTACAGGGTCTTGCATAAACAAGTTCAGGTGGAGATTTCACAAAATGTTGTTTGCAAGTAATTGGTTGTGGCTGAGCCATGACTATTGTGATGATTATACATGACATTCATCACAAAATTACTCTCTTTGGGCACGTGAAAACATGGGCAAACAGCTTTTTAAAAACCATCACCTGAACTTATTTATGCAACACACTGTAAGTCCCATAAAGTAGCAAGGAATGGTAAGGAGCAGGTGACATAGTTGCAACATCTACGAGCCATTTCAGCTATGGTGAAGAGATTGTAAATGCATTGTAATGTGTGTTACATATTGTAACGTCTCCCCCGGATTTCACCGACACTTGAGACAGCAACAAATATGTAGGGCTACATATGTATAAACATATGCACTCAAAACTGCAGGATATGCTGGAATCTTTTTTGTCCTGATATATTTACTTTCAATTTCTAAGTTTGGTGATGGAATTGTACATCCATCATATGCATAAAACAAACTTACAATAAAAAAAGGGATCAGTTCCAAGATATGAATGAATAAATATGATCTGCATTCATATTTGAACTTCCTGGACCAAGATTTTAGCATATTCTACATATGAATTCAGATCATATTTAATTGTTCATATTTTGGAACTGATCCCTTTTTTATTTTAAGTTTGTTTTATGCATATGATGGATGTGCAATTCCGTCACCAAACTTAGAAATTGAGAGTAAATATATCAGGACAAAAGGGATTCCAGTGTATCCCGCAGTTTTGAGTGCATATGTTTATGCATATGTAGCCCTACATATTTGTCGCTGTCTCAAGTGCGACTTACAATGTCTACCAGTTCCCAGCATTTTTCCTGATTGATGCTACAGGAGTGCACGGTGGCGAATGGATTCCAGGACAGCTGCCACCACTCGATCATATGGTCAGCTAGGAGGAATTGGATGCTTCAATTTTGCGGTAATGTTAGGATTTTTTTGGCATACACACATCTATTTATCACTCTGCTCTCGATAGGACTTTTTCTGGTCGTCTCTTATTATAATTGTTGAGGAAGAGGATGCTGATGCCTGAAATGGAATTAGTAGTCAAGGCAAACGGGCAGCCCCTTTTCACTGCATTTTTTCACATTGAGAGATTTAACTCGCTGTCGGAAGCAAAGCCCAGATTGACGCTAACACACTCGCACAGACTTGCACAGATTTTGAGCTGGCTTGCCCAGGTTGGTTTTACAAGCTCCACGTGTATTTCCAATTGCCCAAAAAGAACTGTATGCAATTGAAGAACCAATGTTGTGCCTTGCATGAAGCGCCCGTCCTGGTGCTTGCTCTTGAAAAGCTACAGAACTGGTGAAATTGTAGGTATTCGATTTGTATTGCCGTCTCTCTTCGATTTGCTACGAATTTGTTGCCATTGACTATTAAATACGGAGATGACTGGGGCTGCAGTGACAAATTGTCTGATTCTGAACCTGAGCCTCTCGGGCCGGGGCCTTCCTCACCATTGGAATCGTGCCCAGATGCACTGCCATCATCGTCAAGTTCTACATCACTGTCATCCAATTCCCGCAGAGATGCAGGTCAGCTTCAAGCTAGCTGGGTACACACACAACGCAAGCCTCGCACATGATCCAGGCTTTGGGTTTATAGTCATAAGCAAGAATCTTGACTTCAAAGACGTAAATGAAGCACTGGTCATATTGCATGGAACTGTTCAGAACGGGAAGGACTGAGCAGTAACTTACATAGATTATGCATAGAAGTTGAATTCATACGGTCTTCGCTGACACTGATAGAGGTTTCAAGAAATTATAGTGAACTCAACGAAATTTGACTAAGTCCATTGACAGACTTGCAGGCATGTCACGCCTCCGCCCAAAAGGGTCACAAAATATTCCAGTCTGTTCGCAAGCTTGCCATTTTTCTCTTTTTCTCTTTGGATTATGTAATGTAATGTCTTACATAATTTATTGTTGTAATAAACATTGCATAGAGCTTGGGGAGGGCATGTCAGCATTGGAAAGTATGGCGATCTGTGTGGCGATCTGTATGGCCGGAAACGTGACAACAGACACGTGATGTTCAAATATTAGTCCACGTTGCCTCGTGCACTTCACCACAAGGGGTATGTAGTTATTCGTTCAGAGACATGACCTACCCTGTGGGAAGTTGGAGATCCAAGTGTGCAAAAAAATCCAACCCCCAATTTATTTTTATTTTGAGCAGCTCAAAGACATGCTGTGCTTCAGGGGATCTCCCTTAGTATTCTTATGACATGTACAAGACTTACATCACTTTACATCTCATCTGTACTTACATATATGTAATACTGCCCATGGTGGAAAGAGTGTGAATGATAGATACTCATTGTCTTACCACAAAATGAGTTTGACAAGGTTTGGGTTCAACTGGATTCCAGCGCCTGCGTACATCCAAGGTGGGCACACAGAATGCGAGGCTGCTATATTGTGAGCAAAGGCAAAAGTAAGCAATGGAAATAGAAAGCAAAGGAAGGAGATCATATGTAAACTTCCCATTGAGCGAAGGGATGACCTTGCCAACGGCCTTGGCAGCACCAGTGGATGAAGGGATGACATTGTTGTTGATGCTATGTCCACCATGCCAGTCCTTGTGCGATGGGCCGTCAATGGTCTCTGAGTCGAGGTGGTGGCATGGACGGTCGTCATCAGACCCTCAACGATATCAAAGTTGTTGTGAATGATCTTGGCAAGAGGGGCGAGGCAGTTGGTTGTGCAGGACACATTCAAGATCTGTAGTTCCCTTGATTATCAAGAAGAAGAAAATGGATGATAGATGTCTATGCATGACTTTGACGGCAGGGTCTTACTTGTCAAGGTTGACACCAACCATGAACATGGGTGTGTTGGCTGATGGGGCAGAGATGATGACTTTCTTCGCACCACCCTTCAAGTGGGTTGAAGCCCTATAATGTTGACGATCATTCAGGATGGCTTAGTAGAAAATGTTAAATGTTTACTTCTCCATAATAGTGAAGACACCCTAGACAGAAGATGGCAGTCAGCATCAAGTGTCTAAATCAGAAGAGGAAGGACACACGGTGGCCTCAACGATATACTCAGCACCAACTGAGCTCCAGGTCACGCTCACCAATGATGGTGACAGGCTTGCTGTTGACAATGAGCTTGCCGTCCTTTGCATGGAATTGTACTTGAACGGGAAGAGGGAGATGCAGGAGGATGCATAGCGCCCTGGTGTTTTGGACCGATGTAGCCGCCAAACATTCTGCCAAACATACACCGCCAAACATTCCAATTCTGACATTTTTTGAGCTTGCGAACAGACTGGTTGCGAGTCTAGTCGAAATCTCAGAAGTGTCTACACCTAAAATTACATTACATAATATAAGAGGACACCCCTGGCACTCCACAAGTCACAGTTGTGTTTGGTTGCAGTCAGTGACAGTCGGCGACTTTCACAGCAGTTGCGCAACCGGCACAACACTGAGGTCAAGTCTGTCTTTTTGAGAATATCATTAATCCCTTGCTTCTTCAAGAATTCGGAAAATGGCTTGGAATTATCATAGATTGTGTCACTGACATCAGGAAGGATGTACAGCTTGGTCTCCATCTCACCCAAGCAGAGTAAGTCATAACCAGCAACAAATTCAGTCTGGACGTACTCAAATTCAAGTAATTCCACTCCGTGCCCTTGTAATAAAGTAAAAATCAAGTTGTGTGATCCACAACAGTGAAACCTTACCTGCTTTACTCTATCCATCAAACTACGCATAAGCTTACTGCTAACCGATCCACCTTCCAGCGCCCCGAAAACGCGGCCATTGCATTGGATCGTGAACCAATTCATGAAATACCCAACGATAGCAGTGGTGTGGTTAACACAGAGCAAAGGGGACCAGGACGTTAAAATGTTATTCAGACCTACGTAATTGGCATCAATGATGTTTGAAACCTTGATGTGGTCGAAACGGATGCTTGAAGGGATGCCGTCTGCAGCCAAAGAGCCATCTCGAATCTGGCACCCAAGGTCACATGCATCTAGCATCTGGACAAAGAAGGATGTTGATGTGGTTTGTAGTCTGTCAATCACCTCGCGCAGCTGTTTGGAGAGGAAAAAGTAGAGGCAGCCGTAAATGTCTTCGGCGTTGGCTCCATGTGCTTTTCCGACATTCACCACGTCCCCTACACTGTTCAGCAGTTAAGTCATGCTGTTTTGGAAGAAGGATATAGACTTACTCCCAACTTCCAATGGGTCAGCGTAATCGGTTTCTAACTACTCCCCTTTGAGCGAGAAAAGGGAGAGGTTTGGGGTGTTGAAATGGGCGTTTGGGGCCCCGCAGGGGAGGACAAGGCCGAATTGGCGGAACTTGAGGAATGCGACGTGATGCGATGGTCGCAGCGCTGCATACATTTTATTGCGGTAATCTCCATGGCTTGGTGCATTTCTCACTTTGCTGTATTGGTCTTGGATCTCTTGTGCCAAGAAAGAGGTGGAGATGTAATGCTCGAAAAAAATGCACATCGCTTTAGTTAATGTGAAGGTCAGCAATGAATTTTGGCCAAGAGGAATGACTATGGATCCGAATCCTTGGTCATAGGCTCGTTTCAATAAAAACGTTATGATTGACGAAATTGTGACACAATATTCTGCAGGCATGAACACCGAGTACTGGAAGTGTAGGGCAATATCGGTGGCTGTAGTTTTGTCCACAATGCTTCCTAAAATGAGGAGTATGACAATATTGCGACAAACGATTGGCATGTTGCAGTCGTTCAATAGGATCTTGAGGTTCCCAGAGTAGTTGGATGGAAGACAGTTGAGAGTGCGCGCGATGTGCCGAAGATCTCCAGACGCTGAAGCATGACTTCAGCCTCGCGATAAATGACTCGATCCCTGAGATACACACCAATGAAGGCCAAGAAAAAATCCTTCTTTGGATCGTTCTCGTTGTTGGGGAGATTAATCATATCCATGGCGGAAGTAATACCCCATCTACAAATAGAATATTAGACGTCTATCATGCGCAGGCGGAGCGATAAGCATACAGCGACATGCCCATTGACAAAGCTAACCAATCATGGCTAATCCATTCTCCAGGCCCTCCCATGAAAAATGAAGGTAAGCGCTGTTCAACAGTCCAGCCAGGCCACCAATTCATGGAATGCAGTGTGTTCTTGCAGTCTGAAAATTGAAACAGTTTGGATACAACACTGTGGGACGTAGGCACTGAGAGACACCTTTCTTATGCCGGTGCCAATGGGTCTTCTGACAATTCTACACACAGAAGGTCAGGGAAGCAAAACGACGACCAATCAGTAAAGCAGATCATGCACCTTCGAACAATATGACACAAGTTTGCACACGCTGCAAGCCATCCTCCCTGGATTACCGCAAGCATGATAGAGTTTCGGCTTGACGTTGGCACAGGGCAAAACAAGTGGAAGAGAATGTTTTGGCTTGACTTTCGTCAACTTTTGGAGGTAGTCATCCATGGCCTTTGTGGTGAGGAGTCTGAGCTTGGGAGGTAATCCTCTATTGTTCATGTGGACTGCTTGTTAAGGTGGGTGAATGCAGGTGAAAAATATAACAAGAACAGAATCAAGGGCGAAGATCGTAGACTCTACAAATACTTGGGCAGCTCAAGAAGGTGGCTGTGTGCAGGTTTGCCCCAGGGTGTTGTAGGTCCAACCTCTTATGCAATGAAGGCAAGCATCGAGCACTGGTGGCTTAGCTCCTTGAGAAGAACTAACAAATTTGGTATATTGGCATATTTTTTTCAAGCGGAAAGTTATATAGAAGACTCACCGCTCGGCTAAGGCTGTGTCTGATTTCTTTCTAACCTCTGTTCGCCCTTCAATGCCTAACATTTGTGGACTTTGAAGTCAATTCGACTCAGGCTCAAAAACCTTAATGGCCCCGCGACTGTGGTTGATGCTGTTGGGGGAAAGACATTAATGGCCAAGGGTAGTTACAGACAGATATGGCAGTAAATCTCCAAAACCAGTGGCATCCAAACGTAGCAACAGCACTTCTGTGCAAGTTGCAGCTTGGTTGCAGCGTGTTGTTCTCGTGCTCCATCTTTTAGTGAAGTTTGCTTCAATTTGCGTCAATCATAAACACAGATCAAATACTTTGTGAATTGACTCTTACCTGATGACTGAACATGTAGGCCCTTGCAGGTGCGTTTTTACCCATGCTTGGAGGAGAATTGTAGGTCGAATACAAGGGTGATGGCCAGTTCGAGACCTGTATGGTGCGCCTTGCGTATCAGCCAGGATTTCAATATTTGCAATTGATCAAAGGCATCTCCTTGGAGTCAGACTTCAAACACAAGGGACCCGATGCTCTTTGCTGGTTATGCCCTGGTTCCAACTGTTCGTTCAAGTACCATTCTATGTTTTCTCTTCACTTATGTTTTTCGCCTTTTATGTTTTCACCTTATGTTTGAACTTTTTCTGATTTAATTGTCGACACATATGCTTTGTATATACACCTAATGAAACACCATTCTTTGTTCTTTCTATGGGATGGGTCCCTCCAGCACTCTACAATGACGAGCATTGTTGCTTGAATCAGAACAAGACCCAATAACAAGTCATGTGATTCATGCCAGCATTGCAAACTTCCCTCACTGCATTTGTCTTTCTCCAGAGCTCTCTCTCCAAGGGCAGCGCCAAGGCATGTTGCTACTGCTGGTTTTTGGGTAGATGGTCTGCTGTGCACTGCTTGCGTTACTCTGGTCTTACTGTGTGACCTCAAGGGTGTGGCCACTGTCTTCACCTCCCAGCTGCAAATTGATGGCTGCTGCTCCTCTCCTTGCAAGTATGAAGCCTTTTAATTGGTGCGTTTCCAGTCTGTCTACTCTCTTTCAAATCTTCTTTAGAGTCTTGTACTGAAATTATGCTTGCTTTCAGTCGCTCTCCCTCCTTCAACATGTTGTCTGCAAACTCAGAACACACCCTTTCAAATACTGGCTTGAGGACCTCTGCATGTCAGTCTCCACCATTGATGTGGGCACCGCTTCACCTGTGTTCCTCTCAATTTCCACCTCAAAAGCCGCCTGGGGGAAAACACTCTGCCTCTGCCGTGCCTCGGCTTTTCCATCGTTATCACCCTGCTTGGTGGGCATCCCCACTTCCTCTGTGCTGTCTGTTTCTTATAGACGTGAGTGGATCCTCTTTTGATCCTTTTCCAACTTTCTCACCTCCCACTCCGTTTTGAAGATTTCGCAGGTACCTTTGTTGCTTGTCCCTTTGGCTTCCCTGACTTCTCCTAGGCCTGCGTGCACCTTCCTCACCTGTACCTGGTCTGTTGGCCCTTACTGGCATTGTCTCAGCACCCCCCAGTCCTCTGGTGGGAGGACCTGTTTGCAATCCGCAAGTTCATACTTGCAAAATTTGCTGGACTGTGTCCTGCTCGACTCACCTGATGCTTTGGTTTAGCCGAGTGCCAGCAAGTGAGTCGCTGCCGACTTTCCAGCAGGCTCTGGCAGGCTTCAACTGGGTTTGTGAATACATTGATTCATGCCAATCCGCAAGCTCGCTGACTGCCGCAACAACTCCTCCATTTGGCTCCACCAATTATATCTTGAGAGGTCAGTTGCTTTGTTGCTTATTGTTTGTTTGGTGTATAATAATGTCAGCCTATTCTTAGATTGAAACAACCACGCAAAGACGACATTTTGCGATTCCTTAGGCATCTTTTCACATTAATTAGGCCTATTTTACTTATTTGAAATGGTAGACGATTTCTTTTTTCATTCTTTGAGCTGCTTGAGCTGACCTCTCTACTTTGCAGTACTCTTGTGGTGGTTGCAGCTATGAGCAAAGCATGGTCGCCTATAGGATCCCCTCGCGCACACTCATATGAGGATATAGGAATCATTGACCTCAGCTCAGTATTAGGTGTTATTTTGGGGCCACCCGAGATCACAAGGAATGAGTAAGTATCAGTCTCTCTATCCCAGAAGAGAGTGTACCAACTCGCATTTTAGGAAAGCAAAGAAGTTCATGAGAGTGCCGCTTGGGAGCAGCATTATGCATGTTCGAGGTTCCAGGCTCTGGAATGTGTCAGTTTGGCGCCTAGCTCGTAAGTTTGGTACTGTATGTGGTGTAGATCTTTAGCGTGTATGATGTCAGTGTTTGTGGATTTCTGCCTGATATGAAAAGTTGGATGAACTGTCTAGTTGATTGGATAAAGTTTGTTGAGTCTACTATACTCACAATTTTGTGTTCTCTTCTCCAGATCTTTGCTCAGCAGTCATGGGTATGTGCATAGGTTGCAGGCTTGACTTTCCATATTTCTATGGAGACACTTGCCAAAAGTGTGTCAAGCGTGCTGCTGCGAAGTCCGAAGTTGAACGTGGGGATGTCGAGGTAAGAAAGCGTACTATTCAACCCAGGATCTTACTGACACAAACTACAGCACCAGCCGCAATGCTTAGGCTGCTCTGTTATTTACCTTTTCATGAAACATGAGTGGTGTGGTGCCTGCATCCAGAAAGAGCTGGATGCCAACAGTGAGGAACCTCTATATCTTCTTTGGTGTCTATCTGTAATCATTTCACCTTTTTTTCAAGAAGATTTGAGAACAGGTCTTATTGGGCATGCTGCAGAATATCAAAAAACAGCATCCGATCATCGCCTCAACCAAGCTGCAAGCAAGCAAAATCCTCAGCTCCAACAAGCAACTTGGATGAAGGAGCAACTAGCGATGGTTTGCAAGGCTTCAAAAGTTGACACATATACAACTGAAATCTCGTTATGGATCTATCTGCTGGGCAGAAAGGCTGCCAAACAGGTAAACCACTCTTGCCTTCAATATATATTACTTTCTGACATTCTATGTATTCCTAGGCGCAGACATTACCTCTTCATTGGATCTGGAAGGGAAGTGAATTGGCAAAAGATGTTCTTGAGTTTGCCAAGGCCGAGTTGAAGAAGGCTCACAACAATGTAATCTCGGCACAGCAGTCAACTCCCATTCCACTGAATTTGCAGAGTAGGCTTTTTTTTGTGATGAATCTTTACTCTCTGAACAGTGTTTATCATAGCGTACAATTCGGACTCTTGGCAAACAAAACTGTTCACCACTTTGAACCCACTGAAACTCACTTAGTCGGAATGGTGCATGCAATGTTCAAAAGCTTGAAGCTTGACTCAAAACTCAGTGCGAGCGATGTGAAGGAGATAGTGTTTTAAAGTCCAGTTAAGTCCAGTTTTTTACCTCAAAACGACGCAACTGGCAACCGCAACCGGTCTAGACCGATCCAGATATTAAGGCCCAGTGAAAATCGACCCTAAAAAATGGCCAAATGGATCGGTGGAGCCCAATCTGAACAGGGGAGATGGCCGGAAATTGGCAAATATATCGATTTGATCCGGAGAAACCCGATCTGCACAGGGTCAATTTTCACTGGGATTAAGGGACCGCAACTGAACCGCTTTAGACCGGTCCTAATCGGTCCACAACACGAAAAAGACTGGTCCAGACCAGTTGCGATCGGTCTTTTGTTGTAAAATTTATTACACCACAGAAACTAAATATTACCTCACGTACATTGCATACGTAGATAGATATTTTAATTCTCCGTAGACTGATCAAAAATCGAAGCAATTCCGTGAAGATTTGACTGAGTTATGGCAAAAACGGAAAGGATATACATTCAAATTGTGTATAAAAATGTTTTTGGCCATATCTCAACCAATTCTTGACCGCTTTTGATGATTGAGGGACCGAAAATTGAGTAAAAATGTGTGCGAGTAAGGTCCAACATGTGATGGGATGAAAGACCGGTTGCAACCGGTCTAAACCGGTCTTTTTTGGTTTTTAAATATTTACAAAAACATGGCAACTGGCAACTGGACTGACCACAAATGTGGGCAACTGCAACTGGAAAAAGACCGGACCGTGGTTCAGTCCAATTCAGTCCTATGTATATTTTCAGTCCTGTAGACTGGACCTGTGAAAACTAGAAGGAGAGACGAATGCCTCTTCGAGTCTACATTTTTGAAGTAGATACAGTAAGTTTATCCTGAATATATCACCAGGTGACTATATGATGTGAGAAACATTACTAGAAGTGGTCTGATGAAGACGATGATGTGCCATTCACTGCCAGCACTCGGGTATCGCAATCTACCAGACGATCAAGCCATGCCAGCACCAAATGAAAAGTGTCAAGCACAGGTAGTTTGATTCTTATTAGTGCTTGGAAGTCCGGTCCAGTCCGGTCTTTTGACTTTTTTTGGAAAGACCGAGACTGAGACTGGTCCCTGTATTTTGAAAAGCCTCAAAAAACTGGACCAAACCGATGGGAACCGGTTCATGGCGGTCTTGGGCGGTTTTTTGCAGTCTCAAGACCGGTCTGAACCAGTTGCGGTTCAGACCAGTTTCTAACCGGTCCCAGACCGGTCTTGAGGGTAGTGAGGAAGGGGTTTACTATGGAATAACTACATTTATATTCTACATGTATAAACACCCTCTATACATACACTCATACTCCCATTGTTTGACAAGCATGCTGTCAGGGACCGTGTTTGTAGTCATCATTGCCAGTGCATCGCGTACCTGCTGCCTGGTTGTGGTTGCGCTGTGCAGTGGTCGTGGTGGGGACATCATTAGCAAGCTGGGTTAGGAGGAAGGTGGTAGGTGCTTACTGTGTATGATACAATGAACAACGATATTGTCATTCGTTATTTGGTTGCCACGTCGCTGACAGCGGCGTGGCACCTTGGAGGGAGTTGTCGGTTGTGGTAGGCAGGGGGGGTCCATCACAGTCATCGCCAGATCTTGGTGAGTGGTGGTGGTCATCGATCGCCAAGGTGGGTGGTGGGCAGTCACGTTCATCGTCTGGCGACATGGCACTGGAATTGATGTGAGAGATGATAAAAGGAAGGTGGGGGGGCTTACCACAGAATAACCCAGAGCAATGAACCCTCATTGCCACGTCGCTGCCAGCGACATGGCAGTGAGACAATGCAGCACAGATGTGCTGCATTGTCGCATCGACCTCGTGGGCGCTTGTTCATGTGCAGATGACGCCAGTAGTGGGCGGTGGTGGCCATAGGCGATGTGGAGAGGCAACGGCAGGGGGGTTGTTGTTGTTGTTGTGGAGGCTGTGGCGCACTATGGCCATGTGGGTGTTGTAGCTGAGCCTCCAGCGTGTGAGGTGGCAGTCAATGTGTGGCCTAAATGTCGTTTAGCCCATGGTGGGCGCTCACTTTGCAAGGCGGTGGTCACGAAGGGTGGTGACAGTGATGGGGATTTGGTGGGAGGAGTGTTGTGTTTGCATTTACTTACATGTTTGTGTTTGTGTTCAGTTACAAGTTGTGTTTGTGTTTGGTTACAAGAACCAGTTGAGACCAGTTAGACTGGTCTTTTGTCGGTCTTGAAATTTCCGAAATCATAAGAGACTGAAGACTGGACTGCGGTTGCAGTCTTTGACGGTCCTGAGAATTTCCGGTCTTGAGCAGTCTGGGTCCGGTTCAGTCTCAGTCTTTTTTCAGTCTTGAGACTGGACTTCCAAGCACTAATTCTTATTGGTTAACGTGCCCTGACGTCTGAAGTGCTTGTTAGGTTTCACATCAACATATACCAGCTCATTTCGGCCTCGGAAAAAAGCTATCTCTAGCTTTGATGTTGATGATGTGGCCCCAATTGATATTCCTTTCAACAGCTATGAGTACACATGAATGACGGTGACCGCAGATAAAGAAGGACATGTTCAAGATCACATCTGTCTTGAGCCCAAGACGATAAAAATTGCCAGGGATTGGAAGAAAAACATTGGTGATGGCAAGGGGTACCAAAAGTAAAAGTACATGACACAATGTTATGTTGCGTGTTTAAGCCCTCTGAATGACCTCCCCCCCTCTAGCACCTTCCAAATAAGGAAAAACATGTGATTATTCTGGCCTCCGCCACTTCCTACTGTGCCCCAAAGTCTGATGTTCTTTCAACATTCCTCATCACAAAACCAATCTGCCAAAGGTCGTTCAAGGAGCCCACAGCATGTTAGATGGTACTGTTAAATGGACCAGTGCCAGAGAGGTCAATTGGGTGCTGGCAGCTTACAACAAAGTTGCACCCTGGTGAGTAACAGTGCAGAAGCTCCTTCTTGGAAATAGCTTGCTTACACCCAAAACCAGCACAGATCAGCCTGTCTTGCTCCAAGTTCTTAATCCAATGTCATCTCCCCACTCTGGATGTTGATACTTCTGAAGATAAAGGTGTGTGATCAGTGATCCCCAGGAGATGCTTGACGAAAACACAATCACCTTCAAGCTCTTGATTGTCCAACATATCGGCCTCCCCAGTACTTGGAATAACCTCTTCATCACCCTCTTTGATGACCTCTTCATCACCCTCTGTCTCTTCTGCGGACCCCTCATCAACAACTCCATCAAGAGATCTAGTTAGGTCATGGTCAGGCTTTTCTGCTGAACAAGCATGGAGACAACTCACCCCATTGCAACTCTTGTGCTATTGCCTTCAGATATCACCATGCCATCCTTTTTCTTTTGTTTCTTGACATTTGTGGCTTAGAAAGGTAAACTCCTCACATCAGCACCATTTCTTCATCACTGATCTTGTAATGCTTTTCGTATAGCTTGACATTTGCATGTGGATAGGATATGTGACCTAAGGTTGTCCTTCCAGATGGCCAGGGTGTTGTATAATTGGCAGAAAGTAATGTTAAAACTGGTCAAAATTTTATCATATTAGGCCTATTTATTTTAGATAAAGTTACGTGTTTAGATAAATTTACGTGTTTAGAGGCCCTGCTGGACCCCCCCTCCCCCCCAAGATGGTGTCTCAGAATTTACCAGTCTGTACCCCCTGGGTGATGGTCCAAAAGATGGGTATCTGGCAAAAGGTTTCATGAAATTCGCATTTTTGGTAGGTCGTGAGTGTGTCGATCTGTCCCACAACTGAATGCCATTCCAGGGCCGGACAAATAGTAAAACTTACACAATTTTTCAGTGCAAACCCCAATGTGTCACTGAAGCGCAGAACCAAATCGATCTGATTTCTGAGCTGCGACTTCTAGCTCTGGGTCAATATTTTGCTGAGTCCTTCACCTTGCGACTTGCAGCGCATGAAGTAGACGTGAGTACAAGTGAGTTTCTTACTCTTTCTCATACCTGCTCTTACACTATCGCAGGTATTCACTGGAATTTCCAAGATGCTTTTATTGGCGATGTTAGCTCTGGTATGCTTCCGTGCCCCGACATTGGTGAGGAAGACCTTCGGAGCCTGAGCTTCCTGACTTTCTTGGCAGTGCCTCTGATCACTACGACTGGACTCTATACTGAGCGCAAGTTCAGTGGGAGTGATGCCGCTGGAAACAACCTTGATGAAGTTGGTCGGATTGTTGATCCCTATGCTCACCACGTCTTGGTGGATAGTCAAGGCTCTTACCTTCTGACAGATTTGCAAGGTTTGATGTCTCGAGTCCAAATCAAATTGTTTGTTGACCTCCTTGACATAAGGTGCTGTAGGGCCTGATAAAGAAGTTATTTTATTTGACCCACAGGCTCATTCGTAAGTTTGTCATGTTTTTCTTGCAATTAAAAGTCAACTTTCTGTACAGGCGTGAGAGCGAAACAGGATTTTGGGATGGTGGACACGAGCACATCAAGATGTGGAAAAAGGAGCACAAGTGCCAGAGTATATGCAGAAAGCTTGGGTTGAAAGATGCCATTGTTGATTTGGAAAGGCGAGATGTCACTCCTGTGCTGCAGGAACGAACAAGGCCACTTCGACTAGGATTTTCTCCAGTGAAGACTGGGAGGGAAGAGACTCCATAGATGGTCCTTGATGTCACACCCTTACTTGTTGTATTTGACAACTGCAATCAATTTTGAACAGACTTTACATATGTGGCAGCATAGCCTCGAAAACAGACCAAATGTTTGTAAGAGTGAGCTCACCAAGGCCAAGGCTGAAGTAAACAGCTTTGGCCTTTGCAGCATATGCTGGGGAACAAACTCAACCATCTCCCCTCCTCCGATCTCCTTCATCAAACCTTTGACAATGCCTGTTTCAACGGACTGAAGACAATTTGTGGCTCTGTATTTCTCAGGAAAAGAGTACGCTAGGTGTGGCGTGACACCTTTTGGAAGCGACTTCGACTTCCCTGGGGTTGTTCGTGGCTTGTGATCATTGCTATGTGACACGAAGCTATCCAACTCTTGCTGGATTAACCGCAGCCAAAGCCACTGAACAAGGTCACTAGAGATTTATGTGAGAATGAAAATGGTAGCGAGCTCAAACCTCACTTACTATTGCTTAGGAACTGTGGGATCATACAGTTCTGCACCCCTGCTCCCAAAAAATCTTCACATTCACACCCCACTGTTTGTGCAATTGGCCCCATCCTCGCTCAATAGTTATGTTGTGGACACTCTTGAGGAAGTGGTGTGCAGGGCCAATGTTGACAACACCCAGTTCTGGAGAAAACTGTTCTCTGCACAGGGATTAACAATTGGTGAAAACACTACAGAAAAAAACAAACCGAAGAGCATTTGCCAAGCCATACATCATGACGGTTTCAGAACCACAATCTGTTGTAGACTGCAGTGGCATTCCTGCTTTACTCATAAGCCTGAACTGGACACAAAGAGAGTGAGCTTGGATCTGACCTCCCAGCTTAGCAACCAGAGACAGGTACAGATACGTGATGGTCTGCATGTACTGGTTATTTGGTACAACCCACACACCTAGCCACCTTCCAGACCAGACATCACGAACAGCCCAAATAGGGAAACCAATTGCTGATAATTTATCATGGCCATCACAGGACCACTCGTGGTGAGGCCCAAGACTGATGATAGTGCTGCACGGGATTTTCTTTGCTGTTGGTTCATGTGCAGCAGAAGCCTCAGGGTCAAGAAGGACAACCTCCTTTCGAATGAAGTCTCTGAAGACCAATTAGCAAATATTGCAGAGGACGTCGTTGGCAACAAACCTTGTCAAATGGATCCCTGTTTCGTGGGCAATGGCCTCCTTGATTAGCGAAGGCCCATGGCAGCCAGCTGGATCTTTCGCCATTTGATCAAGGATAGGCTGGCACTTCTGGTCATCAGGCAATTCAGCTGTCATCGCTCCACTACCTTTAAGGCCCAGCAGTTTGAAACATCGACCAATGCTAGCCTCTCTGCAAGAGGTTGTGTGATACTGTAGTACTACTTACCTATCTTGCGTGACATGGGACCATCATATTTACTCTTGTTATCTTCTTGTTATGTTGTGCCGAGACAAACTAATAAACCACTTGCTAACTTCCACATAAACTAACATGTGGAGTGAGTCACACACCTCGTATATGGCTAGGCAGCCTTCTGCCTCCCCTCTGGGATACCAGACACGATGTCCGTGACTGCTCCATGTGCTCTCTCACATGTTCCCTGCATCTTCTCCGCCTCCATCACTCATCTACGACTTCGTCGAGGAGCCAAGGACGACCGTGCAGTTTCACAATGGTGGGGGCACCACGGACTTCATCAAGATGAAGTCTGTGAGTGCCGAGGCGAGGAGAAGCCCCAACAGGTAAGTCTTAATGACACAATCTGTCAACTGACCATGGTGCCTAGTTTACCTACCACTACAACCGACAACGAAGACTTGTCTGAAGCCCCGCGATTCTTGTTAGTGCGAACATCCGCTGCTCTCGAGAATCCTCAAACCAAAGGCTTGGATGTTTAATCTTCGTCAACCTTTACCCTGGTTACTACCTCGTCTGGTCCTCAATCAGCGCGTTCACTCGCTGCTCTCGGGACCTACGACTTGTTCAGAAACCCTTCAACTCTCCCAATCATGTTGAGCTATGCCCGCTGCCATTGCATGAAGGCCCTCTCAGTTCAGGACCCTGAATCTGATGACTCCCTGGCCCTAGCGACCCTAACGATCACCACTCCAGGGAAATCCTTACCCTACCAACGCCCAGACCATCAACCGCCCCCTCGTAAACCAGGAAGTTGCCAGCAAGACATATCATACACTTCCTCTATGAGCTCAGCTACTCCCTCAGGAGGAGACGACAATCTCCGCAACAAAATACGCAACACCAACAACTCTGCTAGTCGCAAATGAGTAACCCCCTTGATGATGAGGAAGAAAGGGAAAGGAGTGTCAATGACTGAGGAACCAGATCCCAAAGCCAGTACTCCCTCTAAGGCCAATTCCATGCCACTAGTGGCTACCACTTTATTTCTATAAACTATACCCAAGCCTAGAGGGTCATTTCTATAACTTAGACTTAAGCCTAGAGGCCATATCTATAATGCTTAGGATTTTTTGAAAGGCATTTCAAATGTAGGCCTGGGTATTTCATAGTGAATTTTCCATAGATACCCAGCACATTTTCTGCGAAATTTCAAATGCAGCCCTGGATATTTCATTGCGATTTTTCAATAGATACCCTGGGCATTTCATTGTGATTTTTCAAATGTATCCCTGGTGCATTTCATTGTGATTTTTCAATAGATACCCTGGGCATTTCATTGCGATTTTTCAAATGTATCCCTGGGTATTTCATTGTGATTTTTCAATAGATACTCTGGGTATTTCATTGCAAAATTTCAAATGTAGCCCTGGGCATTTCATTGCGATTTTTCAAATGTATTCCTGGGTATTTCATTGTGATTTTTCAATAGATACCCTGGGCATTTCATTGTGATTGTTCAAATGTATCCCACATGTCAGGGTCCATGCAATGGGCTTCCCTGGAGGGTGGTCACATGACCAATTACCAAAAATGGTCAAAAACGAAAGTTGTAGCCCTACACTGTAGCTTCCCGAATCTGTTTGAATTATGTTCTGAAGTGCTCCCGTTGTGGAGATATGAGGTAAAGGAGTTTCAAAAGCGTCGCGTTTTTTTTTTTTTTTTGTGTTTTTCTCTATGAAAACAAAACCAAATAACATGATTTCAGTATATTCAGAAAGCTAAAAGAAAGGGCTACAATTATTGTATTGTGGGAAAAATGACCAAAAAAGGAAGGTGCATCCCCTACTATAAGAATCAGATATAGACTACCAAGTTTACTGATAGACTACAAAAAAGTCGGACTTAGACAACACAGTTTACTGATACACTATAAAAGACTACAAAAGTCGAAATTAGACTACAAAACTGAAAAAGCA